CAAAAAGCTACTCACAAAAGCCAATCCACATACACACCTCTACACTCAACTGTACGATTTATTTGCAGGCTATATGAACCATATGCTTCTACTATTGACTCGCAAATGGTTTGAAGTAAACGTCCGAAACACTGCAGCAGGCAGCGTGTCGGCACGCAGCTATGATGCCTCACTTTGCAAAGCACCTCCTAGCTACACGTCCCCGCACACCATTTCTCCTGCTCTGAGATGGATTCAGCGCGTCTCTGCTGCGCAATGCATTCCCGCCTCTTCCCCAGCATTCACATCCTCTACGCTCTCCTCCGCGGACCGAGTCCCGCCGCCCTCCGCCCTTCGCCTCACTCACCGCCCTCGCTAACCGCTGCAACCCTCTGCACGTGCCAACCAAAACGCAGGCGACCGCGCCCTCCCAAGCCCGGCCCCACGCCCCGCCACTGCAACGCTTCTTTCCCGCCCGGACATGTCATCATACATCATCAGAAGTCTGCTAGGGAGCGGGCTAAACGAACCAGCATCACAGCGGCCGTGTTAAGACATGACGCCTAGCTTCAAGGCATCCTGCAGTAGCTCCGGCAGCCTTCCTATGCGCGAGTGCGCGCGCGTGGCGCGAGCCAGGACCCAGCCAACTAGCAGTGCATGCATAGTGCCAACAAACACCCAGCCAACCACTAACCAACATCAATCCAGCAGCCAGCTATCTAGGCATGCATGAGGTGATGGACAAACAGTCCGTGGGGCGAATGAACAAAAATAGTGAATTGCTCATGTGTTTAAGCCAGCAATGAAGAACCCACGCTGACCTACCGAACCCGTCGTGTACCGGTACCTATCCAAGCAAAGTAAGCTAAAGTGCCAACCCATGTATGTCTACAAGGCGCATGGACGCGTCAACGCACACTCAGCAGGGAGGACCCAAGACACGCACACTCTGGCGCACATACACACACCAGCGGTAATCAGCAACCCACATGCATGGAGACCAACCGGGCATACAGACCCCGGCTCCAGCACGCAAAACTAACACTGTAACGAGCAGCAGTGAGCTCGACAACAAACGCTTGCAAGTGACTGGTATGTATGCTACTGCTCCCGGCATCGCTCAAGGTGTCGCATGCAGCAGCTAGCCATAGGCCGCTAAAGACGGCAGCATCAACACGCAATGGGTCAAAAGATGTTTTGCACACCAAAAGCCTGGCCCCCCGCAGTAAACGTAACGCCGCAGGATTGACAGCGAGGGCCTAACCGGTATTGGGTCACTTGAATAAACGTACTTGCATCGTCACCGGCGCTCCATGCTAAAGCGCTAGAGCGCGGCGCGAAGACGAGCATGGCGCAAAGAAGAGCGCGGCACTCTAATGTAAATTGCCATCGACAAAACCACCAACAGCTAAGCTCTGTGCAGGCACATGCCGGTGGTTGCATTACCGGCATTCAATGTGCCGTTAGTGGTTCGTACGAAAATACACCACATGGATCTAAGGGCACCGACCCATGGGTCGGCGCCCAAGAATCCACTTCCAAAAGCGTACGGTAGCACGTTTCTCTCCACCAGGACGCACGTATCTCCTCCAGACCAGATAGGTCCCCATATCCCAACACGTTCGTTTCGGAAAGCGGTAACACCAGCAGCAGCGGGCAAGCCCCTCGCACGCAGCCCAACGCATCGCCCTCCGCTGCCTGCTGCCTCTCCGCCTGGCATCTGTCATCTTCTGTCCCATCCTTGCAAACACAACCTTTTACTCGTACAACTTGAAGATACATAACAAAAACACCCCCGACACACGAAACAAGCACCAACGTTCCCACAGCCACAACTAGCTCCTCGACCTCCCATACTTACGCCAGGCTACATGGCTGGCCGCAGCCGCCACGTCGCCTCAGTGGATGGAGCGAGCCTATACAAACCTCCCCTTCCGACCTCCCCTTCCGACCGGACCACGCCAAACCCGTCTTATTACGACATCTCGCAATTGCATGCGCGTGATGTCATCTCACGTACGTTCCCGTATGCGTGCGTTGCCGCCCACCACACTTACAGCCGAGCTCGCGCCCACCCACCCTGCACCTGGGTGCATATGAACCCCACTCCCTCCCTAGTAACGAGTCCCGCCCTTTCGGACTCAAGACCTCGTTGTCCTTCCATCATCTAAAGGTAGCGTCGTCTATCAACAGCAAAGTGTGTGGCAACATTTGCACCCAACTGAGCAGGCGAGACACGCCCGACATTACTAAGAGCTCGGCAAGGCAGAACGACAGTACGCACGCAACTGTCATACGGAAGAGCGCCATTAGAAACGACAAGAAAGTACGCCAACCAACCAACCGCCAAAATCTTTCGTACGGCGTGCTGTCGTACGGCCTTGAGTGTACGGCACCGCGGGTGCAAGCAGCAGCGCCGCGGCCGCCGCTGCGACGGATGCCAGCGTTTGTACGGACATCCGCGCCTCCGCAGCCGTCGCCGCCGTCATCGCCGCCAGCGTCACAAACCAGGCGGCGGCGCTGAGCTGTACGGCACCCAGGAGGCGACCGTCGCCGCCGCCGCAGGAGAAGCGACGGGCGTACGGAAGCAGTGCGACGGCGGCGCCGACGGCCGCCAGCATCACAGCGGCGGCGGGGGCCGACGACGCCAGGCTGTACGACGACGACGGGCCGTCAGCGCCGCATCGCAGGCCGCCCGCTGCCACCAACGCCGCCGCCGCCGCCACTCGCGTCACGACCTGCAGCACCTTGCGCAGCGACACCAGCATCAGCATCAGCAGCGCCGCCGCGAAACCGCAGATGACGTTGCCGTACGGCACGACCCGCGGGTCTGCGGCGAGTGTAGCCGCATCCACAGTAGCAGCGGCGGCCACGGCCGTCATAACCAGCGGCGGTACGGCACCATCCGTCACCTCCGCCGGAGCCGGGGAGGCTGACGCCGCCGACCAAGGACTCCCGACGGCGGCGTCGCGCGCAACAGCAGCGGCGGCAGCGGCCTGGAGCTCCGCCAGCGCCGCCGCCAGTGCAGCGGCAGACACGCCGCCGCCGCCGCCACCACCTCCATTACGACCGCCAGCCACGTTTCGCGACTGCGGACTACTGTTATTCGTCGTACCGACAGCAGTGCTCCTGCCACCGCTGTCGTACATCGCATTATTACTGCTACCACCCCCCATGACAGCGGTTCCGCCGTCACCCCCGCCCGCCTGCTCTCCTCCCAGCGCCAGACCCTTGGCCACCGCCGTCTGCAGCAGTGTGGCCAGGCATGCGAACATGTCGTTGTCACGCAGGAAGGAAACCATCTGGGCCAACACAGACTGGTAGTGAGACACGTCGCCGCTGACGTCACCGCTGACGTCACCGCTGATGTCACCGCCGCTGCCGTACGGATGGGGAATGGCGGCGGCGGCGGCGGATGTACGGCAGGGGCCGGCAGCTGCTATGCCCATGGCTGCCTGCTCCATGCTGATCGCCGCATTCTCTGGCAGGCAGTCCAGCAGGTAGCTGAAGTCGTGTGCGAAGGCGCGGAAGTGGTGGCACCAGGCCCAGCTCAGGGCGGCCTGTTGGGGGGAGGGGAGGAGAGGAAGGAAGGGTAAGTGAGCGACAAAGAAGGCGACGGGATTGTGAAGTGACAAATGAGCTACATGGATGTCACTTTACGGGCGGGAGTGGCGTTGCTACAAAGTGCAGCAACGCATATGCTTTCCAACATCCAACCGCAGCTAACCGCCCTGTTGTTCAAAACACAAGCGCAATCACGCATACCCTACCCCATCGCCTCCCATCCCGTCTCCCGCCCCCCCCTCTCACCTGCAGCTTGGCTGGCAGCAGGTCCACGGGCGAGCAGAAGGCCTCCGGGTCGAACGGCAGGTGCGAGTGGTTGGGCGGCAGCGCCTCGTGCATCATGCGCCAAAGCAGCCGGTGAGCCTCCTCGCGCGCGGCGGGGGGCAGGCAGACTAGCGGCGCGGCGTCGTGGAGGGAGTCCAGGGAGGGGATGCCCTGGGGAGGGGGGAGAAAGGAGGAAAGGGAGGGAGCGGGAGGGAACGAAGAGAGAATAAGAGACGGAAGAGCGGGAAACATTTGACGAATGGCGAATACCGGTACAGCGGCGTACGAATGCAGTGGGTGCCGCAACCCATGACAACAATGAGCGCACCAGGCAGTAGTCGGCAAAAACTGTCGCCGGCCTCATCCTCATGCCCCAGCTGCCCACCCCGCTGCGCCAAACCCTCCGCCCCCTACCCGCCCCCACTATGAGTCGGGATATGGGATTGGGACTTAGTTGTTTGCATTTCTTATATAATTTTTGCCCCCACTCACCCCCTCGCCCGCCAGGATGCACGACGTAACGCCCGCATGGGCCGCCGACAGACGCAGCCTGCAGCGGTGCGAAGGATGAGGCGTCAATTAAGGGCATTAAGAAGGGGCGCACAATTGTAATACTATAAGTAGCAGAAGGGCTCTACAAGACCCACGGGTCGCTTGCCCTTTAGATGTCGAGGACACAAGGCAAATGAAAGCCCAAACACCCAGCATCGCCAGCAGCCTGCCCAGCCCAAGTTAACCCATCCTCCTGCCCTCCTTGCCCTCCCTCCCCGACTCCTCACCTAGCCCTCGCGGTGCCGCTCGCGTCCACCTTGACCCGCTCCTCCCCCACCACCACATCGTCCCGCACCGACAGCACCGTGCCGCAGTGTGCAGCCGCAGCGGCAGCCAGCGCCGCCGCCGCGCCGCCGGCCCCCTCGGCCCCCTCTCCCCCCGCTGCCGGCGCGTCCACCGACACCGCCGCGCGCAGCTCCACCACCTCCGCCGGGCCCCCCACGGGGAAGGTGGGCGGCCAGGCCAGCGAGAACTCGGCGCGGCCCATTGCCGTGGCGGCGGGGTGCAGGGCGGAGGAGGCGGAGGCGGCGGCAGGGCCCTGCTCGCTGGCCGCCAACATGTGGTCAACCAGGGCGGAAATGGGGGCGCCCAGGAAGGAGGGACGGCGGGGGGCGGCGGAGGCGGCATCGCAGCAGGAAGTACCGTAGCCGGTGCCGGACCATGAAGAGGCGAAGGAGGTGGTTCGGCTGGTGGTGGTGGTGGTGGTGGTGGTGGTGGTGGCGCAGCTGTTGAGGGAGGAGGAGGCGGAGGCGGCAGCTAGGGAGGAGGAGAGGGAGGAGGCGGAGGAGAAGGAGAGGTGGCGGGTGCGGTCTTCGTCCATGGTGGGCTGCTGCTGGTGATGGTGATGGTGGTGAGGATGATAGTGAGGATGAAGATGATTCTGGTTAAGTGAGAGCGAGGTGCCTGATGGACCTGCTGCGATGGAAAGGAAAGGAAAGAACAGGAACTTTGCGTTAAATTTTGGTACTGAAGCGTCAACGGCCTTCTGCTATTTGCTGTGTGCGCTTGGTGGGAGAGTGCCAGGCAACGCTTGTCTTTTGTTAGCTTGACCTAACGGATAAAGAATTGCACAAAGAATCCTCAAACCGCATCCGACAGCACGCGAGCGAACAGGAATCGTATGCATCCCGTTCGCCAGACAATGGGTGGTGTTGTGACGACACAGCCCGTGTTATCCTATCTAGTGCGGTGTGGCTCTAATCAAGACGTGAAAAGGACAGACCTGTGTGTTCAGCCCTAAAAATGTCAAGTGGCAAGAAACCCGTTCGAATGCTAGGTGTTGCACATTACTCTCGGCCAAATTAGTTCTTCTCCTTGCAAGGTGTGCGCAGGGAGATAGAAGCACGTCAGCCGCCGGTCAGACTCAGCTGCCGCGTCGAGCGTGTGCCCCTATCAACTCGACGACAGTTGACGCATCGATGCTCACGACACGTCTACGCCCGCGCTAGCTCATTGTAGGTAAGTCCAGAACTGAGGAAGCAACTGCTAGCTACCCAAGAGCTGTTCTCACCTTTAACGGCTAAGAAGAGCAGCTGCTGCACTTGGGAGTCCTCGCCGACAGGCAACCCAACAGAGCTCGAGGCGGCACCAAAGCTGCTCCCGCAATTCCTGATTTTGCAAGCGCGCTGTGGCTCCAAACGATTAGCCGGTACTGCCAAAACAAAAAGATGAGTATCCTAGCCCGGCCGAGGATGAGCTTTGAAGCGTATATCTGCGCTGTCTGTTCTCCTCTTGGGTATAAACTATTATGTCTGTGTAGATAGAGCAAAAGCGTTTGGGTCTAGTAATGTGCGGTGATGTGCGGTACCGCGGTCCTCATGACGTTGCTGGGTGTCCAGTCCGTCCGGGTGATCGGATGCACACTGGACCGGCGGTCCCCTGACTAGGTCCGTGACTAGGCACCCAAGCAGCAGCAGCCGCCACACAAGCTGATTTTATATACGAATAGGCGTTTGTATATAGGGCTTTATTCTTCACGTCCGAATGAATTTTGGAAGCTCAGTGGCAAGCTGTTCCGGTGATGCCGCTGGGTCCAGCAGCGTATCAGTGAATCTGATTTGCGTAAAAGTATGCAAATGCTGAAAGATTAATTGTTTCTATACTGTAAACAAATTGGGCTTAGTTGCCAGGCTGCTAAACCGGCCGCCGCCGTATCGCCTGCCCGACGCACTCCTTACAGGGATGGGGCATTCCTCTTCAGCCTCGCTGTCCTGTCCTACTAAGAGCAGTTGTAAATGCGCCCGGAATGCGTTTGAGTTGCCGTGAAGTGCTCTGGAAGCCTGGTCTTGCGTAAAGTGCAAACACCCACGGAGCTCTGCGCTTCAGGGTCCGCATTCGGACCCGTGGGTCAATTGTTGAGAAGGAGTTAGAATTAATGCATGCTCGCCGCTTTGTTCGCATCTGGCGGCTTCGTTCATGCTTTTGCTCTGGTGCTGATGAGTCGGCCAGGCTTGCAGCCGCAGATAAACAGAACGCACTGTCGTGAGGCCTTACATAAGAGCATGGACCTGCTGTGCATGTGACGTTTGTTTGGTAGGTGTGTATACACTGCCCTTTGTCCTTGCAGAAGTCGCCAACTCGCCCCTCGTCAGCAGGCACCTGCATGCTCTCCTCCGCCCTCACAATCCTGCCCCTTTTCGAATACCTGGCTACACCCTCCAGTCTACCTACCGCATATACGTTCGCGGTCAGTGTTGCAATGCGGTCAGTTGTAGATCACCCCATTCCCCAGCTCCTCCTCCGACCACCCACCTCCGTCTGCTACCCTTCTTATTTACCCGCCTGCTGCTCGCCCGCTGCTAGCCCTCCTCGCTCGCTGCTAGCCCTCCTCGCCCGCAGCTAGCGCTCCTCGCTCGCTGCTAGCCCTCCTCGCCCGCAGCTAGCGCTCCTCGCCCGCTGCTAGCGCTCCTCGCCCGCTGCTAGCCCTCCTCGCCCGCTGCTAGCCCTCTCGCCCGCTGCTAGCCCTCCTCTTTCACATGCCCGCCCCCAGCCCTCCCGCCTGCTAGCCCTCCCGCCTGCTAGCCCTACCCCGGGAACAGCACCGCCTGCATGAGCGGCACTGCGCCCAGCTGGCTGATGTCGCCCAGCGCCGCCATCACCTCCCGGGGAGAGCCGCAGGACAGCAGCACGGGGCGGCTGGGGGTGAGGGGGGGGGCGGCGGGGGGGCGGGGGAGGGGGGTTGAAGGGGGGGGGGAGGGGGAGGGGGAGAGATGGGGTCAGAGTTGCAGGGCGCAGGGCGTGAGAGAGAGAGAGAGAACGTTGCATGAGGACCTGGGGTAATGGCATAAGGCCTTCCGGATGGGTGCTGCCCGCAAAACGAGAACGGTAAGGGGTGGAGGGGCCGGTGGACGCCGCGAACCGAGGTACGGCACCCTGACACGTGTATGACATGTGTATGGCAACCTGGCACCTGTGTGTACGGCTCACCGGAAGCAGAGTACGGCAGCTGCCAGCAGCGGCAGGGGCAGCAGTGAGTCCAGTCCGATGATACGGTCCCAAAGCAGCAACACCTGGGGGGGGGAGGGTGGGGGGAGGGGGGAAACTCCTGTTGGCAGGCAAGGGACATGGGAGGTTACTCAGGCAGCCAAAAGAGTGGACCAGCGTGCACCAGCAAGCAGCGCAAGTCGCACGCAAGGTGCCGCGCAAGCCAGGCAGGGAGAGCCCGCCTCACCTCCTGCACCGGCAGTGCCCCCGCGAAGCCCGAGCACATCCAGGGAGCCACCAGTGCGCCCGGCAGCAGACCCAGCCGCTGCAGGTGGCGCAGGAGGAGCGGGTCCAGGGCCTGGGGGGGGGATTATAAATAAGTGCAACAAGTGGGAGGGAAGTGGGAGGGGCGGCAAGGAGGGAGGGAAGTAGGAGGGGGGGCTCCAGCGACTGGGGGGCAGTAGAGAGCACCCTTGGGCGTCCCTGTGTGGGGCCTTTGGGGCTCTTCCCATGGGGGCAACAACACCCCCCACATCTCTCCCCCCCCACTGCCCACCTGCATGATTTCCTCAAACACCCTCAGCAGGCCCGGCAGGGCGGGGCAGGTGGGGGGCGGGGAGGTGCTCAGGGAGTGCAGCTTGCACCAGTACCTGGGGGGGGGGGGCGTGGGGGAAGAGGGGGGGGAGCATGCAGGGGGGGATCTAACAAATAAAGATCCAGCTCAGCAAGGTGGCGGGCGCATGTATGGCTCTACCTGCAGTACATCGCTCGGAACAGGCGGTACGACGATGCGGGGTTGTCGTACAAGTAACACAGCGGCGCCGCCAGCAGCGACAAACCCCTGTACGGCAACACCCCGCTGGGAGGGTAGTACGACAAAGACCAGTGTGACGTCGCCGCCGCCGTCTGCCGTACAGTACTGCTACTGCTGCCGCCGCCGCCGCCATTAGCAGCCATCACATCACCCCCTCCGCCGCCACTGTCTGCCCCTGCTGCTCCCGTCGTTGTCGCCGTACGGCAGGCTCCCAGGGGTCGCGGCGGCGGTACGGGTACGGCTTGTACGGCAGATGCGGCGTGCAGGGCTGTCAGCGGCGGCGCGGCTAGCCGGCTGGCGACCCGCGTGTCCCGCAGCAGCGCCAGCAGCATGGCTCTGGGGGTGGAGGTTGGGAGGCGACATGGGTTACACGATTGAAGGCCAGTTAGCAGCTGTGCCTCAGGGCCTCCTCCCCGCCTCCCCGCACGGGTTACATGCCCTCCTCCCAATCCCCTCCAGCCTCTCCCTCCCGCCTCTCCCTGCCCCCCCCACCTGATGCTTTGGTATAGTCCTCCCCCCCACCCTCCTTCCGTCCCCCCACCTGATGCTCTCCTCGAACAGGAAGAAGTCCTGACAGTCTCCCGCCAGCCGCCCCACCTCCTCACTCACAACCACGTCCAACAATAAGGGGCTGGAGGCCACCTGGGGGGGGGGGAGCGGGGAGGCGGGGAGCGGAGGGCGGGGGCGGAGGTGAGACGCGGGTTGCGAGAGGTGGGTTGCGCGCCGGAACGCACGTTATTGAGAGAGAGGATAACCCAGCAGTCCTGTCCTCACGCCCCCCACCCCTCTCAGCCTAATGCGGATGCTGTTTCCAAATCAACCCCTCCCTTCCTTTGTTCTTCTTCCTCACCCGCCTCCCACCTGCTCACACAACTCCTCAAACTCCGCCTCCTCCTCGTCCTCCTCCTCCCCCTCCTCCTGCCTCCGCCGCCCCTGCTGCTGCCCCCGCGGCGCCAGCCCCAGCGCCGTCTCCCACACCCCCGCCCGCGCCCCGTGCGGCACCCCGAAGGCCGCGAAGGCCGCTGCCGCCCGCACACCGCCCTCCGCCGCCACCGCCCGCGCAGCCGCGTGCTTCACCTCGCGGAACCAGGGCAGCACACGGTCATCCACGCCCACCTGGGGGGGGCGAGGGGGGGGGGCGGGTGGGGAGAGATCAGCCGTCAGGCCGCACGAGAGAGGGAGGAGCGGTGACACAGAGGCTGTGGACTCCTTCCGAGGAGGCTGCACCCGAGGCTGCACCCCACCACCATCAACACCACCACCGGCGACAGCTACATGCTGGACACCCACACATGCCGTACACCCACATGTCTCTGCTGCGGGTGGAGGTCCTTGAAGAAGCCCCGCAGCCACTCCAGGGGCGGCTGGGGCAGCGCAGGCAGCGACCCCGCCAGTCCTGGAAGTGACCCGTGGGTCTCTGGCGGCAGCAGCATCGCCAGACTGCGCGGCAGGGCAGCCACCCAGTCCAGCTGACCAAAGCCCCCTCCACCACCTCCCCCTGCTCCGAAACCACCTCCGCCGCTCCCGAATCCAGCGGAGGAGGTGGTTTCGGAGCCGCTGCCCCCACCTCCGCCCTCCATGAGGCCGCGGACGGTGTGACTGAGGGACATCCAGTCCTGCGCAGCCGGGCGGGAGAGCGGGCGGGGGCGGGCGGGCGGTTGCGATCCAGGGAGGATCAGTTCAAGAGGCTGAGACATGGAGACATGGAGACATGCAATCCCGGGCAGACACAAAAGAAGGACTTCCGCGTAATACAGATAGCGCAAGCGCACCTTACTACTGCTCTCCGCCACCCCTCCCCCTCCTCCTGCTGTCGACGTCATGCAGAGTGCCCGCACCAGGTCCGCTGGGCCCAGCAGGCTCAGCCCCTGCAGCGAGGGCGGCAGGCGGGGCAGGGGGCGCTCGGGGGAGGGGCCGCAGCGCCCGCCGATGCGCTCCCAGGCGCGGCAGCGGGGCGGAGGCGGGCAGCCTGGGCGGGAGGAGGAGGGGGAGGGGCGTGAGAAGGGAAGCAGTGTCATGGGTAGGGAGGAGGGTGGAGGGATGGGAAAGGTAAGCCCAGGGCGCAGATGTGCTCTGTCACTAGCTTCGCCCATCTTCCGACGTCACCCGCCGTAACCCCCGCCACTGCTGCTGCTATAAAGCCATGGGCATGCGCATACCGGTCACCCCCGCCGCCGCCGCCGTCACCGCCCCAGACCCCGCGCCTCCTGCTCCCGGCCTCTCCTGCTGCTGCTGCGGCTGTAGCGGCGGCAGCAGCAGCGGCCACTCCGCGAGCAGCTGTAGCTCCCGCAACCGCTGCAGTACGACACGCTCAAGTACGACACGAGCAGCCGACAAGGAGGGGGTTGAGGAGGAAGAGCAAGAGCCGCCCTCGGCTGAGGACGGCTCCGGAACCGGCATGGATCCAGGGGCGCTACCGCTGGTGCTGCTGCATTCTTCAAAGTACGGCGAGAAAGCCAGTCGGGCCTGTGTACGGCAGTGGCGTGTATGTACGGCAGTGGCGTGTGTATACGGCAGGTGGAGGAAGATGAACAGCAAACCACACACACAGGGATCACAGCGCTTGGGGCCTGCCTGGTGGGCTGGTATGTGAGCGCGGAGAGGGGATAAAGGGCTGGATAGAAAGCGTAAAAGTATCAAGAAAGATATGAGCCCAAGACGGCCAAGAGGCAAACAGGGGAGGGCACGGTACGGCAACGTGTGGTCCCCCAGCAATCCCCGATGTCTCCGCCACATCGCCCCCCCCACCACCACCGCCCCCACCACTGCTGCCGTACCTGCAGGGCGTACGACACATTGTCACGAAGCAGCTGCTCCGACATGAAGGCGGCAGTGGGGGCTGGGGCCTGTGGTTTGGGGGGATAATGTGCGTCAGGGTGTCGGGAGGCGAGGATGCTTCACTTCAGGGGTTGGGCAGCATTCGAAGATGTTTCCGGGAGGCGGGCGGGGAAGGAGGAGGTGGGATGGGCGACCGGCTTCGCACCCGTTCGCTTTAAATTGAGTGTTCCGGTAGCGAGTGGCGGCCAGTATGAAGATGATCCGAAAGAGATGTGCGGAAGGGATTTGTGAGGAAGGATGTTGCAGGCGAGGCAGGAAGGCAGGCAAGTAGTCTGCCGCAGCTTACCCTTGCATCTTCCTCTCCCGCGCTATAGTCGTGTTCATCATAGTCGTCCTGTCGTGCTCGCCAGTCCTTAGAGGCTGTCCGCTGCGCTCATGTCAAAAGGAGATGTTTACGGACGACATCTGGAGCTGCTGTCCCGAAACGGCTACTGTTACCTGCACTGAATATCGGTTTGTGTCACTTCTTGGAGGCATCAGCCTCATTGTGCAAGGCTTTTGTAAACTTTCGGCTGGAATAATTGTGCAAGTCTTTGAACCCAAAGCAGGACCTTACTCCAACGGCTTTGAATAAGATAGACATCGCTGTCTCCCTATAATCATTCGTGCAAGGCACTTTCAGCAGTCGCAATGTTTATTGCGAGCTAGAAAGAGGATACGGAACAAGCCAACAGTGTTATAAGCACCTGGATCTTTCTGCATTGCGCCAGCATTTGCCATTAAGGACATGGTCTAAAGTGGTTTGCGTCACCGCGACGTTCGCGCGCTTCAGTTGGGGTCGCTTCGTACGGTCTCGGAGAGCCCGTCCCTAAGCCCAAACCGTTGCTTGTCCCGCCACTCCGCCCCATTTCGGAAATGCAACTCTGCCCCGGCGACATCTCGGACTGCCATATTTACAGCGGCTCTTTGCCAGCGACACCATATTCTCTGTAATAGTGATACCTTCATCGCTGATGCATTGCTTGTAAGTTCGAGTAAGGATTAAGCCAGTCGAGCCAAGCAGGCATTCTGTTTTGGAAGCCGGATGGCGGACGATAGTTGTATACCTGAATGGGCAACCAAGCTGTTCAGCTTGGACTTATCCGATGAAGAAAAGGGGCAAACTGCGGCGATTCTTGTGGGCATGCCGAACGCTGCGGTTCTTTTCCTGGGCAACGCCACCAGCTCTGCCTCAGCGGTGAGGAAGCTCCTGCAGCAAGGTGAGCAACTCGATCTTTCTAACCATGAACCGGGTCCGGGCGCTGTGTTACTTATGGGAATTGACGGTCGCCTTTCTTCGTGCACACCCGCACGTCGGGGGAGCTGTCGTGGGTTTGGGGCGGATGCCAGATGTGGTTGAGGCGGTTGGCACGCTGTGCTCCGCCGCCACCCAAGCTTGGTTAGTGGACGTACACCCGTATGCCCGCCTGCAGCCCGACGCGCACGGTGCCTGTGACTGCTATGCATGCAGCTGTGAGCTGATGCCCTTCTGGATCGGGCAGTCTAGGACCATCCAAACTGTGCCCTGTCCCCTTCCTTGCGCCCTGTGCCCAGCTGGAGGTGCAGGTGGAGGTGCGGCGGCAACTGGTAGGTGTCGCCTGCCGTTTGGCTAGGGAGGAGGGTATAGCTCACACGCGTGTATCGCACCTGTTAGCATTCTAGCACACCCACTCGGCGGCCCCTACTTCTTCAGGATACAGTGCGTTGACTAGCCTGCATGCATGGTCCCCCCGGCTGCTCCCATCGTGCAGGCGCGGCGGCAGGGCCGGGCGCAGGGAGGGCGGCAGCGGGCGGTGAGTTGCGGCCGATTGATGGTTGGTTGCTCCAATCGGACACAGGTCAGGGGGCCTCACACGTGGGGTAGCCAACATGGAAAGCTGGGAGACCCCTCAAGTCAGAGGGGGAGCGAGAGGGGGAGCGGGCAGAGTTGAAGAGAGAGTGGGTGGATCGGCGTGCACGGTGTTCACAGGCCCTAGCTTTGCGGAACGGCCGACACAACTCGCAAATCATGTCGCTAAATGTTGCTTCACTTTCTCATTGCTTGTAAGGCACGGACAACTCCGAAGAGTATGCCGAACAGCTCGTCCAGCCTGCTCTGGGCTCACCTCCACATCTTGGTGACCTGCAACGCTTCATCTCGGAGCCGCCCGCCGCTCAGATCCCCATCACTGCGGATGCGCTGGACGCGGTCATACTGACGCCCGCCCGTCGGCTGCGCTTCGTGGCCGCCTCGGGTCAACTCGCCCGTGCCGTTGGTTACAGCATGACGGCGCCGCTGCCCCCGGGTAGTTCGGAGGCGTGCACAGTGATCATGGCGCACGTGGTGGTGGTGTCGCTGCTGCTAGAGCTGGACAAGGCGCTGCCGACGGACCTCCGCATCGGGTACGAGGGAAAACAGGTGCTGTGCGTAACTATCTGGCGGGGCGCGATCGCTGCATGGCTGGGGCTGAAGAGTGGATCGCGTGTTGGCGTATCTAGATAGTACCCGGGTACTCGTTGCTCAGCCCTTGCCTCCCTTGTTGGTGCGTAGACTGGTGATGGAGCGTGACCAGCAGGACAGCAGCTCCCTCATGACCTTGAAGTCGCGTGGCGGCTCGTCTCTGCGGCCTGATGGAGTCTTGCGGGGAAAGAGCGACCGACGGCTGCTGGCGAGATGGGAGGACAAGGCAGCAAGCATGGAACAGGCGGTCGAGGATCTGCGCAAGACGACTGCGGCCTGGACGCCGCTGTACTACGGCGAGTAAGTGACATAGCTCATGTCACGGCTGGGTGCATGCATGTATTGAAAGGGCCTCGCGGATCACATGTATTTCCTATAGCATGCCTTCAATGGCCTTGCCTTCAAGGCTTCCCCCCTTTGCCCGCCGCCCTGCCACTGCTGCCCCAGCATTGAGTATCTGCCGTGCTTTGCAGCTGCCGGCAGCAACCTGCAGTTCTATGCCATCTCGCGTGCTAGCGGTATGGCCGCCGCACCGCGCGCCATCGGTCCCCGGTACGATCTGACCAACGCGGCCGACCGCGCACGAGCGGTGATGGCCACCATCAAGTTCTACCAGCTGCTCCGCGCGCAGCAGGCGCGCTATCCGGCGGACGTGCTGCCCGCTGGCGCTGTGATGCGTACACATGGTCACGACTTCACGCGTGAGCTGTAAGCAGGGGAGGACTGCGCCGGGGTTCACACGACGGGTGTGTTGGGGAGGGGGGAGTGGCTGTGGGTAGGTGGAAGCGTCTGTGGGTGCGTGTGGTGGCGGGTGGGTGCACACAGCCTTGGCTGCTGTAGGGCACGAATGCCGGTCCGGCAGTTGATCCAGCAGCTATGCCGTACGCATGTCTGCGGACGACCCTAAGTGCGTGTCGGCTGAACGCACTTGTGGTAAGCGAGCGAGTACACCACGCGCCCGTTCACGTGCTCCGCAGGCTGTTCCGCACCGACGTGCTGGCGGTGCGGAAGTGCGTGTCGCCGTGGTGCACCTTCGCTTCCTGGTGCGGCGTGGACTTCACACGGCTGCAAGAGCTATACCGCGCCACCGCGCAGCGGCAAGGGCTGGTGCACGCCATGAAGGGCGGCCCTATCTTGGACGGCAGCGTGTACTCGGTCGACATCATTCCCGTGGGGCTACCAAGCAGCAGCGCGCTGCTGGTCACGGAGGATGACGCGCGGCAGCTGCTGCACGGCCTGCTGCACGGCCTGGCGGCGATCCACGAGGTGTGTGGTTAGTTAAAGCGGGCGGGCGGCGACTGGTGATGCAAGTGGTTGCAGAAGGGTGCATGTCTGGCATGTTTGTTTGGCTTTCTGTAGAGCCTTTTGCGCGCTAACTTGGTTGGGCAACATACCTGCTGCTTACACACCGATGCGCCTGTTCAGGCAGGCTTCGTGCACCGCGACCTCCGCTGGGACAACTTCGCGTGCTCCCCTGGCTCCCCAAGCAGCCGCCGCTGGTTCCTGCTGGACCTGGAGACATGCGCCCCCGCCGACCAGCCGCCGCCGCCAGCCTTCGAGCCGGTTGGCTGGCAGTCCGGCACCACCCTGGTTGATGGCTGCTACACGCGCGCGTCAGACCTGTTCCAGCTCGGCCTGGCCGTGCAGCCGCACTGCGAGCAGGTCTTGGTTTCGGCGGAAGGGAGGGCATTCCTGGAAGCCATCCTCACTCCTCCGGCCATGCAGGAGCGTAGTGCCGAGCAGCTGCTGGCGCACGAGTGGTTGCGATGCGAGGGCGCCAGCATCTGCAGGGCCGCGGGCGCGCGGCCAGGCGAGCGCTAGCTAGGTTCAACCGTGCTGTGGAGAGAGAGGGCGGAGGGGGTTACATAGTACACCGCGGTGCAGCGCCAGCGCCAAGGGCGGTGGCATTATGGGGACGAAGGCGGCGGTCTGTAGGTGAAGGTACAGCTTTTGGCGTCCGTGCTGCAAGCTGCCTCGGCATCTGTTGCTGGCGGCTGTGGACTTGCCGTATCTTCGAGGTTGTAGATACCAGTATGCATCAAGCAGTAACAAACGAAACGTTGTGGGTTTCTTTATGGCGCGTACAGCTAGTTGTCTTGAGCCGGGAAGTCACATTATTATTGACATGATGCCAGCGGTAGCCGCTGAAGGGACTGTTGCTTTATCTCCATCGGGCCCTTCAGCGGCTACCTCCACATAACCCCTACATAACCGATGACGACTCGAGCTCGAGCTCGAGGCTGGTTCGTAGCTGATGATGGGCTCTAGCAGTAGAGGCGCTTCCAACCTCTTATGTTCGTAGGTGCAGGAAGTGAGGTGAAACAGCATGCATGGTTGAGTGCGGGGAGCGGAGGTAATTGATGGTACCGCTGTGCATGGCTTTTTGTGCACGAGGAGGCACGTGTAGAAATACGAAGAGAGGATATGAAGGTGCCTTGTTGCAAACCAGCCGGGGTCTGCAGATGAGCCTAGGCATCATTATATGCAACCATGCAATGTGCGAGCAGCGTGCATCAAAGCCGGGGGACAAGGTTGCGAGCAGGAAAGGGACGACATGCACTGCAACGGCCGAAGGCAGGCGCATGGATGAAGGGCAACAGCAAATGGGTCACGTGCAAGAATGTCACAATCTGAGACGAATGTGTAGGCTGGGTGTGGCTCGCGTTGCGAGTCGAAGGGGGTGCAATCCGTGCATGCTGGGTCGCCAGAATTTGCATTGTTTGTTGCGTGTAAGAATGCGGGCTTGCAAGAGGGGACAGTCCGAAGTGTGCAAGGACGCCAGGACCACCAGATGCTGCCAGTGTAAGAAGAAAGGTTCCAATGTTTGCAGTGCAGGGTGGCGAGCGAGGGCGAAGGTGCAAGCAGCGCACGCGGAGCGATTGGTCTCCCACCGTGGCTAACAGTGTTTTGCACGTGGCAAAATGGCAGGAATGCTCATCTTGGTCGGCGGAGGTCAGAGACGGGAGACATGGTTGGTCTTGTATTGAGGGCGCACGTTCTATGACAAAGGTTTGGCTCTGCGTCGCGCACTGGCAGTAATGTTGACTTCTTCGGAGCGAAGTTTGAGCGTCGGAGAAGGCAGGTCCTCACGACGAACTAAGTGGGTTTGGCACGAAGTGCCGTACGAGGCTTGCCAGCCTCTTACTGCAAACGTAACAAACCGGCACACGTAGCCAAACCAAACACGAATGCATGTGTTACTCAATCCTGCACGCGGCAGCCCAACCTCCTGCAGGCTGGTTGGCAACTCTGCCCTCGACCGTTGTCACACCGAAACCACAGCAGTTGCCCTGACCGTTGCCTGGGGAATGCATCCACCCGCAATAGAGGTAAAGCCAGAAAACCTGGATTAAATTATTAATAGTGTTCTTGAAATGCCCTGGTTTCTTCCTTGCGAGATAGAGGCAGTTAGGGCATCCTTCGCTCTGATCACCGTCGAGATAAATGAACTCAAGTTACTGCATAAATTAGTTGAAGCCGCGTGCTTTAGCTCTGGCCAAGCAATGGTTGTCCTCCCTCAAGGCTGACCTCAGCCCTTGCATGTCGGCCGGGAGTGTGCACACGATAGGGACAAAGACACTTACTGTTTGTATTTTGTAAACAGATCTGCTATGCCTTCATAACTTCGCAAGCGTTCTGTCGGCACTCGCGTGGGCATAGCATGTACCTAGTAGGGCTCTGGGAGCTTGACACTGTTGCCCAAACATCACCGCTTTTTGCCCACAATCCAATGTTAATAATCCTACCTTAAAACAGCCAAGACTTTACAAACCTGGTTTTAGATAGAGCGGGCGCTATCCTCCTTACGTCACTTTAATCTACTTTGCCGCAATCGCCGCTTGCCGACTGGCAAGTGACACATTGCTTATTACAAAATGCTCAGCGGGAGTCTTGTAACACGTACCCATGTGTCTATCTGGAGCATGGTCAGGGTGGCCACCGTACCCAATCCAAGCGACGTGCGAAACTAACAATATTGTACATAATGTACAGTTATTTCCTGGCTACATAGCAAGCTTGCATTTGCGCGAGGAACCCTCAGTCCGACAGGCTGACCGACAGGTAAGCGCAGGACTATATAAAGGCAATGATTACATTACATGTCGCTTTTCACGGTAACGCATATTACTCACTAAGCTAAAGCTTGTTGCCCCTGTGCAGCTTGCTATACAGTGAAGGCCGGCTTCTTGTTTAGACGCCAGGATGTCACCAGTCGCTACCTCGCCAAGGATGCGTTCCGCCACTATGGCCCTGGCAACGCCTGCTGGTCTGCGCTTTGCGCGCCTTCCCATTCGCCCTGTTGGAGCCCCGCTACGTCGTGTTCCCGCGCCGTCAAAAGCCATTGCGGAGTCTGCCACAAGTAATGGAGCTCCAGGCAAGCAATCAGCGCTATAACCTTCTTTACTATGATGCTTTCAACACCTGCCTTTGATTTTACCTTTTCTTTTCATACTAGCTGGCTGCCGCGTCAGGTCAATTCCTGGCTTGCAACTTGAATTGTTTCTGGACAAATGTCAAGCAGTAACCCAGGAAAATTCCCTAATGTTTGCTTCATAACATTCCCGCAGTCCCGCAAGCTCAGGCTGCGCCAGTGCAGCCGGTGGCCCCGGCCGCTCCTGCCCCGGCCCCGGCGCCCGCGGGCCCCACCCAGACTACCCAGATCCTCGCGCCCGCTGCCATCTACGCCGCTGCGGCCGCCGCGGGGGCCTACAAGTCCAAGATCTCCCTTCCCAAGGCAAGAAGCCGATGCCATGCTGTATCATAGCGCATACTGTCCTTGTAGCAGCACCGTGTAACGCTTACTCGCCCTGTCCTGTCACCCTGCGTCTACCTGTCCTGTCATCCTCCCGGCTTGGTTTGCCTCGTGCTGTTCGCTCGCTGCCTCTCCGCCCATTCCTTCCTGCCAATCCGCCCCCATGCACCTCCGCCCACCACCCCCCCGCAGGCGTTCGTGATGGGCATCCTGGCGGGGGTGTACATCGGGTTCGGTGCGCTGCTTTCCTTCACCCTCCTCAACTACATGCCAGGTAAGGGAGTTGATGGAGGGAGGGAAGGAAGGGCGGGTAGGAAGAAGAAGCCAAGACCCATGCAAGTCCTTTCTCCGGTCTTCTCTTTTTCCCCCCTTCTTCATCTCCTTTCCCACCCCCACCCCGGGCCCCAACCTAGGCCTGGTGTCCTCCAACCCCGGTTTGGCCAAGCTCATCGCCGCCGCGGTGTTCCCCATGGGCCTTGCGCTCATCATCGTGTGCGGCGCGGAGCTCTTCACGGGCAACAGGTAAGAGGGTGGAAAGGGGGCGGGAGGCGGGAGGCGGGCAAGACAGAATGAGGCCGTGAGGCGGGTCAAAACGAAGAAGATACAGGTAAAGGCGGAGGGAAAGAGTGAGGGACGGAAAGAGAGGAAGGGACGCTGTTGCACCGCATGGCCGTTTCACCTCTTCCCTAGACCTCCAGTCCCCTGTAGCCCTCCCTCCCTGACCTCTCTCCCCATGTCCCCTTCCTTTCCCTTCCTAGTGCTCTGATGACTGCGGCCCTGCTGGAGGGCAAGGCCAACTTCAGTGACGTGCTGGTGCGCTGGGTGGTGGTGTACGCGGGGAACGCGGTGGGCTGCCTGGCCATGGCTGCTGCGGTGGCGGCCACGGGGCTATGGAGCGCCAACACGGTGATTCCGGCTCTGGCGGTAGCCAAGAGCTCCCTGCCCGTGGCGCAGGTGGGAGGGGTGGGAGGGCGGTGAGCTTGAGAGCGGGGAACCGCTCCTTGCGCTCGTACGGTATCCTTGCGTAGCCTCGGCATGAGTGGAGTTGAGTGGCCGAGCGTGTGTTTTCCACATCATGTTCCTTGTCCCCTTTGTGCCTTTCGTGACCCCGAACTCCTCCCCAACCTACATCTTGCCTTCCCCTTCCTGCTCCCTCGCCTTCCCCTTCCTGCTCCCTCGCCTCCCCCCCACCAGGCGCTGGTCCGGTCGGTGCTGTGCAACTGGATGGTGTGTTTGGCGGTGTGGATGGCGCTGTCGGCCTCTTCGCTGCCGGTGAGAGGAGGGGAACGGGAGAAACGGGACGAGGAGCCGCAGGAGGATCAGGAAGAGGACATGGCTGCACTCGCATGCATGCTTTTATTGACACGGGCAGGTTGAGCATGACGGCGTAAGCCCTACCTAACAACCGAACCACTCGCAACCGTCGCATGCCTTGCCACCCCTACCCCATCCCAACCCTCCTGCTCTCGGACCCCAGGGCAAGCTGATGGGCCTGTGGCTGCCCATCACGGCCTTCGTGACGGTGGGTCTGGAGCACTCGATCGCCAACATCTTCATCATCCCCATGGGCATGATGCTGGGGGCGCCCGTCAGCGTGGGGCAGTTCCTCACCGCCAACCTGCTGCCGGTGAGAGGGGGGGGATGCGGGCTGGGGGGCTGGGAGCGGAGGAAGAAACTGATGGGACCGTGTAAGGGTATAACATCTAGGCTTTGCCTGGTGCGTGGAAAAAGGGTCACGCTGTGAGTGAACGTGGGCTGGGAATAGGGGGGTGAGGGCGGGGGTGGGGGCCAGGCGAAGAGATGCAGAGAGCAGCAAACGACCAGTGGAATCGTGTATGCCTTGCCACACCGGAGCTACCGTTCCGTCGTTGTCAATAGCATGAGTTAGAACACTTGTAGCCTAACTATACGTCGTCCAACTGCTTCTCTTCCGTCTGCTCCCTTTGTCCCACCCCCTCCGCAACCCCTCTCAGGTGACTCTGGGCAACTTTATTGCCGGGGCGGTTTGCACTGCGGGTCTCTACTCGATCTGCTTCGGAAAGCTGGGCGCCAACCTGTAAGCGGGCAGCAGGCTTTGCCGTACACCTTGCGGCTGGCAGACTGAGCCTGCCGTACGCTGGCAAGGACATGGCTGCCGTACATCTTGCAGCCCCGGGTGGCAGAGGAACCTAATTGTACGGCATGGATGCAGAAAACTGTCGTACATGGCACAACATGACGCAACACGACAAGGGAAACTATCCGAGCAGCACTCGGGCTCATGTGCACAGGTAATGCTTTTTGGTCGTGAAGAGGTCAAGCAAAAAAAGAGAAAAGAGAGGGCTAAGAGAGAGAAGAGAGAAAAGCAAAAATGTGATTTGTGATTTGGTGTGTCATGTTTTCTCGCATGTGGGTGGGGGCCTCGTTCTCGGCCGGCGCTCGCCTTCGTCGCTTCTGTCCGCGGTTTGGGTCTTACCACAAGACAACAAACCATAAGTGCAAATTGTTGAGCGCGAGACACGACACAGTATCCGTGGATTGCGCCCACAGTTGCTCGCGGTTTGGACGGTGAGGCGAGGGGAATCGGGATGTGCGCGTACGTTCAGAAAACTGGCCGCGAGTCAGAACGTATGTGTGAGGACAGTGATTCCTTGCTTTGGTTGCAGTGTCGATCATTTCGTAAGCTTAGGCAACGCAAACAGCATGCCGGATTGGTAGTCGCCCAAACGGTTACGTTTCCGGAACGAACGCCTAGCTTTCGCCGTGTTACTGGGGTTCGAAAATTGTTAAGACGTACATTGTCGTCCAGTTGGGCGTGTGTTAAAGTTTGTGAAGTGCTCGCGCGGCTTCTCCCTACAATTGGAGTCTAATTTGAAAAAAGCCGTTGAGGTTGCTGTTGACGCGTTGGGCAGTATACTTAGAACTCCTCTAGTGGGGCTCGAGGCAATGGATCGTATCAGTCTAACATACGTTATCGTCCTGGATAGGGAACGGTGGATCACCTGGGGTGGGTTGAAGGCCGTTGGCGGTTAAGGGTCGTTAACGTTTACCTCGTTTGGCGGGACTGTCACGCAAACCGTGGCTTACCGTGACTTTACACAAAACAACATAAAAGTGTATGCAACTCTTCTCGTTGACGTTTTCCTGAAATCGGCTAGCTCACTATGCGGATCCTACCCGTGCTCAACGTAGGTCTTTTCCTTCCTGGGCGGCGGGCCGTGATTGTGCTTGTTGGCTTGTTGTTGGGGGCACGAACCGCCGTTCGATCTTGTTTCGGCACGATTGACTAGAATCCTACAGTCAATCTGAGTTGATGCTGGGGGTGGCGATATGTCTCTGACCCACAGAACATTCTGCAGTTGGATAGGGGGTATGCCTGCGTGGTTTGGTGGTAGGCACCGGAAGCCCCAACGGTCGTCCAAGCTGTGTAAGGACAGGCATTTGTGTGACATATCACCGTCGGAAAGCACCCCATGCTCAGCCTGCAAAAGCAGCAGCAGCGGCTCAGAGCCACCTCAGTAGTTAGGTCTCCGTCGGTGACCTGCCTTGTCCGTGAGTGGTAGCCGAATCGGGTGAGGTGCAGGCGTGCAGCTGAGTTGCAATTAAGGCGGCTGTGCCGCAGACGAAGAGGTGGAAGGAACCTTTTGTCGCAGTGCCAGATCGTGAGCCCTTCCCGCATGCGCCGTCCACGCCTCTTCCTTAATCGATATTGCCATCTAGCATTCGTCCTCAGAAGGCGCACCGCACTACCCCGCACCCACCCTGCAAGCGCTTCCATACGCCCTTCCTCGGTAACAGTCCGAGTCGGCAAAGCTCCTCGCAGCCAGTACGGTAAACTGCACACGACGAAGGCGGTCACCGTACCCCCGGGTAGCATGGAAAGCTCGACACGCAGAATCCTGCCCACCACCACTCCACGTCATTGTCGTCATGTTACACCACCAGGGTCCCACCACCAGTCCCCCACCACTGCGTCTTCCTCCATCCCCGCCGCTCACCGACCCCTGGGTCCCACCCGGCCCACCACCCGGCCTAGTATTCGACTGCCAAACACCTTGGGCGCCTTGGGGGGCCCACCTGACCCGGATCCAGAACCCGAATCCGAGGAAGCCTGGGAGGCGGCGGATGATGAAAAGGGAGGGGCCGGCGAGGAGCCCTTGGGTGGGTGCGGGGGTGGCGCGGCGGGAGGCGGCCCGGCTGGCTGCTGCTGCCGGCTGGCTGCTGAGCGGGGGTGGGGGTTGCGCGGGGGTTGCTGGGCCGGGGGCTCCTGCGGGAGGGAGGCGGGTGGAGGGGTAAATGTGCGTGGGGCCGGTCATGCGCCGGGCGGGGCAGGGGCGTCTGTGAGTGAGGCATAGGAAGCTCTTCGCCCCGCCACTACTGCCGTACCAACATCCAGGCTGTACGACAACGTCCCACCCATATCTGTCGTACCTCCATGGGGTACAGCGAGTTGTAGTGCACCTCCGCCCAGAAGGACAGGAAGAGGGTTCGTTGGAGGTTTTGTACGGCAGGTTCGATGTTGATGACGGGACTGTCGGCGAAGGAGGTAACCACCACGATGCGGGTGCCGTACGTGTCAGCAGCAGCCTGTGTCGTACAGATCACACATTACTGCCGTACAGGGGTATCTGTCTGTCGTACACACAGCTGTGAGAGTAGCTGTGATGAGACTGACCTGTCACCTCTCTGTCCTTAATGTTAAAATACATGGATGGACTGAGTTAATACGAATGGAGCTGGCTTTGATGACTTACATACAGTAAGGCTTCGGGGCGTCGTACTTTGTATGGCAAGTAAAGGCAGCGGACATGACGTGAACCGTGCTTTTACTTGCAGTTAGGATTGGCAGCCAGGATGACAAGCATGCAGGCAGTTTCGCAGCCTCTCGCTCTGCCGTTCGCACCTGTAGCGTGACGTGATCACCCCAGGTGCCTGATTTAGCCATGTTCGTACAATAATCCTCGTACTCCCCGGGCACGTAAGCCCGGTACGACTCCGCCCGCCGCCGTAACGTCGCCACAACTGCTTGCCGTACTTCGGTGTGGCTGTCTGGGTGGCCGTACAGTTGATCTGATAGGGCCCGGAACTGCAACACAGCAAACACAAGCACAGGAGGAAACCCAAGGGCGTATGTTTTCATACTCACGGTCGCTCCTGTCCACACAGCACAAGAGCACATGCAGCACACCAAGGAGGACAGGCAGAGGGCGGCAAGTGCTCTGGGTTAGTCAGTTAGCCCTCCCCCCCGCACCTGGCAGTTAGTCAGTTAGCCCTCCCCAGCCCCCCCCCCCCCACCTGGCAGTTGACAACTAGAACAGCCAGCTTTCTTCCGCCCGCTCGCTGGAGCGTCTACCCTTCATCGCCACCGCGGACCCGGTATCGGTAGGGCATACTAATCAACACTTTGTCTTGTGGCACCCTGCCGCCTCCTACACCAATTGCTTTGCCCTAACCTGTGGTCTCCTATGGTTTGGTATGGTCTTTGACCCCACCTGGCAGTTGCCGTCCCCCGCCACCTGCAGCTCCACCAGGTCGTACAGCGCCAGGGTGGCAGCCAGCCGCCGCCGGTCTGCGGACACGACGGGCGGCTCGGGGGGCAGCAGCAGCGGCGCGGGCAGCACGTGGGGGGAGACCTGCAGCGGGGGGGAGGAGGGGGGCGGGTGGAGGAAGGAATAAAGGGAGGGAGGAAGAGGGAGGAACAAACGACGAGTGGGCTTTACCGTGGTTTATATCAGGTTTGAGGTATCCAGGCGGGAGAGAGAGGGACAGGGGCCGGGGTGGAGGTGGATGAGGGGCGCGGAAACAGGAATTGGAGATACCATCCCGGGGTGAGCAAAGGGGCGCGCACCTGTTGAGAGGGCGCACGGCTGAGGGTGCGACTGAGGGTGCGTTCTCGGCTGGAGGGAACCGACATGAGGTCCGGGAAGATGAGGCCTGGGTGGTGGTTGGGTGTTGCGGTACGTCGGGTGGCAGTTGCAGCAAAGCCCGGTGGTCGGGTGAAAAGGAGTTTTTGAGGAAGCCAGCCTAATCGGAAAAAAACGGTCGGCTTCATGGCTATTAGCCCAAGTAAAGTGGCATCGGTACATGGCATTGCACAGCGTAAGCCCTCTAATTCTGAGCCTCGAGCTCACAGAAACCGCTATGTTATCCCTTCTGTTGTCAATTGCTTCTAATGATGTTTCTTACTTGACGGAACGCCAGTTGCATCCTGCACCGCGGCGAGTTCAACCCGCTGCAAGTGTCTAGCCAACTCCGAGTCGCTCACAGCCCTCGTCCCGGACTGCTGGGATGCGCCTGTGCCCGGCCGTCTTTGCTCTTGGCCTTGACGACCGCTGTCTTGATCTTGAAGGAAAGGCGAAGAGCGGTTTCCTTCCCATGGCGCAATGTCGACCTTCACACCGCTGGGTGACGCTGGGCGATCACCATCATGTCTAGAGTCTGATACCGTGTGCTCCTCTTCTTCTAACGCCGCTGCCAGTGCTGCGTCGTTTGATGTATCAGGCTTGAGGCTGTTGAGGCTATCGACGACAGCTTTGTGTGCATGCGGATTCCCGAACGCCGCTTGGTAGGTTGTCGCCATGCCTTGAATTCTCTAGTCTGAGCCTTGCAATCCTGATCAATGCGTCGGTTAATTTTCTGAAGGGGTCAGTGAAACATAACTCGATCTATTCAGCAAATCTGTTTTGTAAAGAAGGTTTTGTCGTGATGATCAATGTATGTCGATTCGGGCAAAAGCGAACGGTACACGAAGAAGGTGTGCAAGCTAACGAACGCCGTACACCATGTCAGCTACCAAGCTTGGAGCTAATGGAAGCACCCAAGGGCTTGCAAAGGCAGAAATGTTCGCACTGCCGGCGCCCTCATATAGCACACATCGTCTTTGGTGAACAACTTACTTGCACCTTGCACGAATCATGCGCCGCCGCTATCTTACCTTCTGTTAGATGGCCACGCAATCCTTATTACTAGGACTACATATTGGACATTGCCCGCTCAGCTCCACATCCTGTCCTACCTGCTCAACGTCGAAACGGGTTTCCGGTGCCCCCATCCCGGTGCTGCCAGCCCCAAGCAGGAGTCTCTCGCATCCGTTTGCTCAGGCTTCCAGGACCGTTATACCTCCGGCGCAAGCAGAGCGTCGCTGCCTTAGTGTCGCCGGGCGAGCAGTCCGTACCCGCTCCCTCGGACCCGCTCCATCCGCACCCCTAGCGTTTGAGCCCATGGAGGCTCCGGAGACCGCGGCAGCGGCAGCGGCCGCACATCCCAACGGCAGCGGCAGCATAGTCGCGGTGGGGGTGACGGCTGCAGGCGCGGTTTCTGCAGGCCTGGCAACTCCAGCAGCTGCTGCGGCTGCAGCTGCGGAGGACTCCATCATGCCCTCTGCAGCCCCTGACGGGGCCGTTGCGCAGGAAGGATGTGAGGAGGGCGCTCCCGCTCCCCTCGAGAACCAGCAGCCGCAAGCGGAGCAGCAACAACGGCAAGAGCCAAAGCCATATCAGAAACCCAAACAACAGCAGCAACAACAACAGCAAGGCAAGCAGTCAAAAGCCAAATCCGCAACACCTCGGATGGTAAAGCTGGAGGATCTGGAAGACGCCGACGGAACGCTGTTCGAGGGAGTGTACGACAACGAGGAGCAGTTGGTCAACAAACTCATGGCGACGCTCCAAGGACTGTCGCACAAGCAGCAGCGGTTGTACGGCATCTGGGACGGCACTGCGGACGGCGGCAAGCGCGCTTTCATTGAGCAGTGGCGGCAGAGGCATGCGGAGCGACGGGCTATGGCGGCGGCGATGGCGGACCCGGCACGTGACCCCAAGGACCGCATGCCGCTTCGGACGTCGTACATCCTAAAGTACGTTTGTACGGCACCTTATCCTGGTCAATGGACCCACCTGCTAGTCCCACATTGCGTAGCTTGGTTACAGGGACGTTATGGTGACATGGCAAACGTCGCTCGAGTGTCGCCTTCGTCCTGAACCCAACATTCACCAATCAGACGGCCCTTTCTCCCTGTTCCCTCCCTCCCTCCCTCCCTCCCTGCCGCTCCCCCCCCCCCCTCCCCCCAGGTGGCGCAAGGTGCTGTTCAGCTGCCCGAACTGCTGGCTGCTGCCGGGGCTGTGCGTGTGCGGCCGCATGCGCCGCTTCACCCCGCAGCGCACCAAGGTGGTGGTGCACGCACACCATGCGGAGTGGTGAGGCCTGGGGCAGCAGGGGGGGTCAACGAAATAGGAGGCCAGGGCGGGGGGAAAAGATATAGAGAAATGCATCAACGGAGTCCCAATCCCAGGGCGGGGGGGGGGGAGCGAGGCACGGTGTGGGGACGTTGAAGTGGCCCGGGTTGGGTTGCGGTGGGGGCTGCTGTTGCTGCGGCGTCGGCCTGGGGTGTGTGTGATGCTGGTCAGCACGCCGGGACATGGCATCACCTCTCCGCTAAGCCCTCCCCGCTGACTTCACCCCGCCACCCTCCACCACCATGTCTCCGCACATGCACCCCCCCCCACCCCACTCCCCCTCACCCCCAGGGGCTCCGCCAGCAACAGCGGCTCTCTGCTGCCCACCTCGCTGGAGGGGGCGGAGATCCTGCTGTACGGCCACCCGGTGAGGGAGATCAAAAAAGATCGAACCATAGGAAACCACGAATTACGAAAACGTTGGTGAGGGGGGGAAGTGCAGTACAGCTACCCCTGTTCCCTTCTTTCCTAGGTCTTCCAGCTCCAGACAGCACCGGCACAGGCTCTTAGGAACCTAAGGACTCCACGCGTTAGCTGCAGCTGCTGTTGTTGTTGCTGACATTTGTTGCTGCTGCTGCTGTTGTTGCGGCTGCTGATGCTGAACCCCCCATCCCCCGCACCTTCCGCCCCTTCACTGCTGCCAGGAGCACGACCAGCGGCTGCGGGCGATGCTGGACGACCCCACCCGCACCACCGCGCTGCTCTGGCCAGGTGGGGGAGCGTGGGGGGCGTAGGGACGGGCGTCCATGCATCCCTCACAACTTTGCTTATCCATCATTCCGGCACGGCCTTACAAGCCTCACGCCTCCTTCCCCTTCATGGCTCAGTCCTCCGTCCCTCTCCTCCCTCCTCCGTCCTCCCGCATACCGGTCCTTGTCAGTGCTGGTATATACCCATGGCCCAGCTGCGTTAACCCCTCCCCCCCTCCCTCGCATTGGGTATTCTCCCCCTCTCCTCCCCCTCTCCTCCCCCTCTCCTCCCCCTCCCGCAGGCTCCGACTCGCTGCTGCCGGAGCAGCTGGCGCAGCTGGCCGCCGAGCGCACCGGCGGCCGGCTCACGGTGGTGGCGCTGGACGCAACCTGGAGCAACGCGCGGCGCATGCAGGGCTGGTTCCCAAAGGGGGTGAGGCGGGGGGAGGGGAGGTGGGGGGGTCAAAGACCATACCGAACCATAGGAAGCCACAGGTTGGGGCAAGACAATGGGGATGGGAGGTGTGTGTGTGGGGGGGTAGGGAGGCGGCCCAGGGGTGCTTGATGGAGTCCCGTTGTTTGTCGCCGTGTGCTGTGACTACCGTATTGTGGCTTACCTGTTGGAGGGATTGCGGGCCCCAACTCTACTCCTCCACTCCACTCCTCATCGCTCCCCATCACCCCCCCTCCCTGCTGGCAGACCCTGACGGTGAAGCTGCCGCCGGAGAGCACCCTCAAGGTGGGTGGGCGTCAGGGTGTGCGGTGTGAGAGCGGGCGTGAGGGTGTGAGGTGTGAGGGTGGGCGTGAGGGTGTGAGGTGTGAGGGTGGGCGTGAGGGTGTGAGGTGTGAGAGCGGGCGTGAGGGTGTGAGGTGTGAGAGCGGGCGTCAGGGTGTGAGGTGTGAGGGTGGGCGTGAGGGTGTGAGGTGTGAGGGTGGGCGTGAGGGTGTGAGGTGTGAGGGTGGGCGTGAGGGTGTGAGGTGTGAGAGCTGTGAGAGCTGTGAGAGTAGCTGTGATGAGACTGACCTGTCACCTCTCTGTCCTTAATGTTAAAATACATGGATGGACTGAGTTAATACGAATGGAGCTGGCTTTGATGACTTACATACAGTAAGGCTTCGGGGCGTCGTACTTTGTATGGCAAGTAAAGGCAGCGGACATGACGTGAACCGTGCTTTTACTTGCAGTTAGGATTGGCAGCCAGGATGACAAGCATGCAGGCAGTTTCGCAGCCTCTCGCTCTGCCGTTCGCACCTGTAGCGTGACGTGATCACCCCAGGTGCCTGATTTAGCCATGTTCGTACAATAATCCTCGTACTCCCCGGGCACGTAAGCCCGGTACGACTCCGCCCGCCGCCGTAACGTCGCCACAACTGCTTGCCGTACTTCGGTGTGGCTGTCTGGGTGGCCGTACAGTTGATCTGATAGGGCCCGGAACTGCAACACAGCAAACACAAGCACAGGAGGAAACCCAAGGGCGTATGTTTTCATACTCACGGTCGCTCCTGTCCACACAGCACAAGAGCACATGCAGCACACCAAGGAGGACAGGCAGAGGGCGGCAAGTGCTCTGGGTTAGTCAGTTAGCCCTCCCCCCCGCACCTGGCAGTTAGTCAGTTAGCCCTCCCCAGCCCCCCCCCCCCACCTGGCAGTTGACAACTAGAACAGCCAGCTTTCTTCCGCCCGCTCGCTGGAGCGTCTACCCTTCATCGCCACCGCGGACCCGGTATCGGTAGGGCATACTAATCAACACTTTGTCTTGTGGCACCCTGCCGCCTCCTACACCAATTGCTTTGCCCTAACCTGTGGTCTCCTATGGTTTGGTATGGTCTTTGACCCCACCTGGCAGTTGCCGTCCCCCGCCACCTGCAGCTCCACCAGGTCGTACAGCGCCAGGGTGGCAGCCAGCCGCCGCCGGTCTGCGGACACGACGGGCGGCTCGGGGGGCAGCAGCAGCGGCGCGGGCAGCACGTGGGGGGAGACCTGCAGCGGGGGGGAGGAGGGGGGCGGGTGGAGGAAGGAATAAAGGGAGGGAGGAAGAGGGAGGAACAAACGACGAGTGGGCTTTACCGTGGTTTATATCAGGTTTGAGGTATCCAGGCGGGAGAGAGAGGGACAGGGGCCGGGGTGGAGGTGGATGAGGGGCGCGGAAACAGGAATTGGAGATACCATCCCGGGGTGAGCAAAGGGGCGCGCACCTGTTGAGAGGGCGCACGGCTGAGGGTGCGACTGAGGGTGCGTTCTCGGCTGGAGGGAACCGACATGAGGTCCGGGAAGATGAGGCCTGGGTGGTGGTTGGGTGTTGCGGTACGTCGGGTGGCAGTTGCAGCAAAGCCCGGTGGTCGGGTGAAAAGGAGTTTTTGAGGAAGCCAGCCTAATCGGAAAAAAACGGTCGGCTTCATGGCTATTAGCCCAAGTAAAGTGGCATCGGTACATGGCATTGCACAGCGTAAGCCCTCTAATTCTGAGCCTCGAGCTCACAGAAACCGCTATGTTATCCCTTCTGTTGTCAATTGCTTCTAATGATGTTTCTTACTTGACGGAACGCCAGTTGCATCCTGCACCGCGGCGAGTTCAACCCGCTGCAAGTGTCTAGCCAACTCCGAGTCGCTCACAGCCCTCGTCCCGGACTGCTGGGATGCGCCTGTGCCCGGCCGTCTTTGCTCTTGGCCTTGACGACCGCTGTCTTGATCTTGAAGGAAAGGCGAAGAGCGGTTTCCTTCCCATGGCGCAATGTCGACCTTCACACCGCTGGGTGACGCTGGGCGATCACCATCATGTCTAGAGTCTGATACCGTGTGCTCCTCTTCTTCTAACGCCGCTGCCAGTGCTGCGTCGTTTGATGTATCAGGCTTGAGGCTGTTGAGGCTATCGACGACAGCTTTGTGTGCATGCGGATTCCCGAACGCCGCTTGGTAGGTTGTCGCCATGCCTTGAATTCTCTAGTCTGAGCCTTGCAATCCTGATCAATGCGTCGGTTAATTTTCTGAAGGGGTCAGTGAAACATAACTCGATCTATTCAGCAAATCTGTTTTGTAAAGAAGGTTTTGTCGTGATGATCAATGTATGTCGATTCGGGCAAAAGCGAACGGTACACGAAGAAGGTGTGCAAGCTAACGAACGCCGTACACCATGTCAGCTACCAAGCTTGGAGCTAATGGAAGCACCCAAGGGCTTGCAAAGGCAGAAATGTTCGCACTGCCGGCGCCCTCATATAGCACACATCGTCTTTGGTGAACAACTTACTTGCACCTTGCACGAATCATGCGCCGCCGCTATCTTACCTTCTGTTAGATGGCCACGCAATCCTTATTACTAGGACTACATATTGGACATTGCCCGCTCAGCTCCACATCCTGTCCTACCTGCTCAACGTCGAAACGGGTTTCCGGTGCCCCCATCCCGGTGCTGCCAGCCCCAAGCAGGAGTCTCTCGCATCCGTTTGCTCAGGCTTCCAGGACCGTTATACCTCCGGCGCAAGCAGAGCGTCGCTGCCTTAGTGTCGCCGGGCGAGCAGTCCGTACCCGCTCCCTCGGACCCGCTCCATCCGCACCCCTAGCGTTTGAGCCCATGGAGGCTCCGGAGACCGCGGCAGCGGCAGCGGCCGCACATCCCAACGGCAGCGGCAGCATAGTCGCGGTGGGGGTGACGGCTGCAGGCGCGGTTTCTGCAGGCCTGGCAACTCCAGCAGCTGCTGCGGCTGCAGCTGCGGAGGACTCCATCATGCCCTCTGCAGCCCCTGACGGGGCCGTTGCGCAGGAAGGATGTGAGGAGGGCGCTCCCGCTCCCCTCGAGAACCAGCAGCCGCAAGCGGAGCAGCAACAACGGCAAGAGCCAAAGCCATATCAGAAACCCAAACAACAGCAGCAACAACAACAGCAAGGCAAGCAGTCAAAAGCCAAATCCGCAACACCTCGGATGGTAAAGCTGGAGGATCTGGAAGACGCCGACGGAACGCTGTTCGAGGGAGTGTACGACAACGAGGAGCAGTTGGTCAACAAACTCATGGCGACGCTCCAAGGACTGTCGCACAAGCAGCAGCGGTTGTACGGCATCTGGGACGGCACTGCGGACGGCGGCAAGCGCGCTTTCATTGAGCAGTGGCGGCAGAGGCATGCGGAGCGACGGGCTATGGCGGCGGCGATGGCGGACCCGGCACGTGACCCCAAGGACCGCATGCCGCTTCGGACGTCGTACATCCTAAAGTACGTTTGTACGGCACCTTATCCTGGTCAATGGACCCACCTGCTAGTCCCACATTGCGTAGCTTGGTTACAGGGACGTTATGGTGACATGGCAAACGTCGCTCGAGTGTCGCCTTCGTCCTGAACCCAACATTCACCAATCAGACGGCCCTTTCTCCCTGTTCCCTCCCTCCCTCCCTCCCTCCCTGCCGCTCCCCCCCCCCCCTCCCCCCAGGTGGCGCAAGGTGCTGTTCAGCTGCCCGAACTGCTGGCTGCTGCCGGGGCTGTGCGTGTGCGGCCGCATGCGCCGCTTCACCCCGCAGCGCACCAAGGTGGTGGTGCACGCACACCATGCGGAGTGGTGAGGCCTGGGGCAGCAGGGGGGGTCAACGAAATAGGAGGCCAGGGCGGGGGGAAAAGATATAGAGAAATGCATCAACGGAGTCCCAATCCCAGGGCGGGGGGGGGGGAGCGAGGCACGGTGTGGGGACGTTGAAGTGGCCCGGGTTGGGTTGCGGTGGGGGCTGCTGTTGCTGCGGCGTCGGCCTGGGGTGTGTGTGATGCTGGTCAGCACGCCGGGACATGGCATCACCTCTCCGCTAAGCCCTCCCCGCTGACTTCACCCCGCCACCCTCCACCACCATGTCTCCGCACATGCACCCCCCCCCACCCCACTCCCCCTCACCCCCAGGGGCTCCGCCAGCAACAGCGGCTCTCTGCTGCCCACCTCGCTGGAGGGGGCGGAGATCCTGCTGTACGGCCACCCGGTGAGGGAGATCAAAAAAGATCGAACCATAGGAAACCACGAATTACGAAAACGTTGGTGAGGGGGGGAAGTGCAGTACAGCTACCCCTGTTCCCTTCTTTCCTAGGTCTTCCAGCTCCAGACAGCACCGGCACAGGCTCTTAGGAACCTAAGGACTCCACGCGTTAGCTGCAGCTGCTGTTGTTGTTGCTGACATTTGTTGCTGCTGCTGCTGTTGTTGCGGCTGCTGATGCTGAACCCCCCATCCCCCGCACCTTCCGCCCCTTCACTGCTGCCAGGAGCACGACCAGCGGCTGCGGGCGATGCTGGACGACCCCACCCGCACCACCGCGCTGCTCTGGCCAGGTGGGGGAGCGTGGGGGGCGTAGGGACGGGCGTCCATGCATCCCTCACAACTTTGCTTATCCATCATTCCGGCACGGCCTTACAAGCCTCACGCCTCCTTCCCCTTCATGGCTCAGTCCTCCGTCCCTCTCCTCCCTCCTCCGTCCTCCCGCATACCGGTCCTTGTCAGTGCTGGTATATACCCATGGCCCAGCTGCGTTAACCCCTCCCCCCCTCCCTCGCATTGGGTATTCTCCCCCTCTCCTCCCCCTCTCCTCCCCCTCTCCTCCCCCTCCCGCAGGCTCCGACTCGCTGCTGCCGGAGCAGCTGGCGCAGCTGGCCGCCGAGCGCACCGGCGGCCGGCTCACGGTGGTGGCGCTGGACGCAACCTGGAGCAACGCGCGGCGCATGCAGGGCTGGTTCCCAAAGGGGGTGAGGCGGGGGGAGGGGAGGTGGGGGGGTCAAAGACCATACCGAACCATAGGAAGCCACAGGTTGGGGCAAGACAATGGGGATGGGAGGTGTGTGTGTGGGGGGGTAGGGAGGCGGCCCAGGGGTGCTTGATGGAGTCCCGTTGTTTGTCGCCGTGTGCTGTGACTACCGTATTGTGGCTTACCTGTTGGAGGGATTGCGGGCCCCAACTCTACTCCTCCACTCCACTCCTCATCGCTCCCCATCACCCCCCCTCCCTGCTGGCAGACCCTGACGGTGAAGCTGCCGCCGGAGAGCACCCTCAAGGTGGGTGGGCGTCAGGGTGTGCGGTGTGAGAGCGGGCGTGAGGGTGTGAGGTGTGAGGGTGGGCGTGAGGGTGTGAGGTGTGAGGGTGGGCGTGAGGGTGTGAGGTGTGAGAGCGGGCGTGAGGGTGTGAGGTGTGAGAGCGGGCGTCAGGGTGTGAGGTGTGAGGGTGGGCGTGAGGGTGTGAGGTGTGAGGGTGGGCGTGAGGGTGTGAGGTGTGAGGGTGGGCGTGAGGGTGTGAGGTGTGAGGGTGGGCGTGAGGGTGTGAGGTGTGAGAGCGGGCGTCAGGGTGTGAGGTGTGAGGGTGGGCGTGAGGGTGTGAGGTGTGAGGGTGGGCGTGAGGGTGTGAGGTGTGAGAGCGGGCGTGAGGGTGTGAGGTGTGAGAGCGGGCGTGAGGGTGTGAGGTGTGAGAGCGGGCGTGAGGGTGTGAGGTGTGAGGGTGGGCGTGAGGGTGTGAGGTGTGAGGGTGGGCGTGAGGGTGTGAGGTGTGAGAGCGGGCGTGAGGGTGTGAGGTGTGAGAGCGGGCGTGAGGGTGTGAGGTGTGAGAGCGGGCGTGAGGGTGTGAGGTGTGAGGGTGGGCGTGAGGGTGTGAGGTGTGAGGGTGGGCGTGAGGGTGTGAGGTGTGAGAGCGGGCGTGAGGGTGTGAGGTGTGAGGGTGGGCGTGAGGGTGTGAGGTGTGAGGGTGGGCGTGAGGGTGTGAGGTGTGAGGGTGGGCGTGAGGGTGTGAGGTGTGAGGGTGGGCGTGAGGGTGTGAGGTGTGAGAGCGGGCGTGAGGGTGTGAGGTGTGAGGGTGGGCGTGAGGGTGTGAGGTGTGAGAGCGGGCGTGAGGGTGTGAGGTGTGAGAGCGGGCGTGAGGGTGTGAGGTGTGAGAGCGGGCGTGAGGGTGTGAGGTGTGAGAGCGGGCGTGAGGGTGTGAGGTGTGAGGGTGGGCGTGAGGGTGTGAGGTGTGAGAGCGGGCGTGAGGGTGTGAGGTGTGAGAGCGGGCGTGAGGGTGTGAGGTGTGAGAGCGGGCGTGAGGGTGTGAGGTGTGAGAGCGGGCGTGAGGGTGTGAGGTGTGAGAGCGGGCGTGAGGGCGGCAAGGTGGAGGTGGCCGGATGGATTTGAGGTTTGAGCCGAGGAGCAGCATGGCCAGTGAAGGCGAACAGGGAGTGGAGATCACCACCGCTCAGCTTGTACAAAACCCGCGACGGAGGTATTGTCGGGCTGTATGACTTGTATTCTGCTGTGCTGCTGCTAGGCAGGGTGGGCAAGGTAGGCAGGGGACCGGTATCTGAACAGCCCCCTCTCCCTCTCCCTGTCACCCCTGTCATCCTCTTTTCCGGCCCCAGGAGAACAAGCTGAGCCTGCTGCGGCCCGTTCGGAAGTACCGGGGAGATCTGGAGAGCGGCAGGTGGGGGGCTGGGGGGGCCTGCGGGGGGGGAGGGAAGAGCCACACCGCGAATAGGATGGGAGCTGGGGGGCGAGGCGAGGCGAGGCGCACTCTCCGCCCAAGCACTCTCCGCCCAAGCACTCTCCGCCCAAGCATGGGCACAGTGCATTATCAACTGCTGTGCGGTAGTACTGGGTGGCTGCTGGGTGGCTGTGTTGTGAGGCTTGTGAGGCTTGCAACATGGGTATGACATGGGCCTTCCAAACTGTTGCTCAGCGTTGTCTGCTTCTTGCCTTTGTTGTGCCGCTGCCTGCAGGGTCAGCACGGTTGAGGCGGTAGCCTCGCTGCTGTACGACCTGGAGGTAGGTGGATACGACAGCTGCGTCGTGTTGGTGGGGGGTTGGGGGGGAGAGCAGGGCGGGGGGGCATGTGCCCTGCTGTGGGGTGGTTGCTGTTGGGATGAAGTGTTTGCCTCGGCTTGGCTACGCGTTTGTCGACACTGCAGCCGCCTTAACTGGGGTGATCCAGATACACTGATACAGTATGCTGGAGGTGATATGCCGGGGCAGGGTGAGCCTTGACACTCATGCCACGCCGGGTTGCTCACCCCGTAACACTCGCCGCAGGGCGACGAGGCCATGTACCGCGGTCTGCTGGAGAACCTCAAGATCAAGGTGGACGCGGTGAGTTCGTGCATACGACGCTGTACGGCGGTACGACAGTACGGAACTGCACATGCGCTTTAGCGTTACCAGTAGTCCTCGGCTACAAAGCGCAGATAGCAGACCACAGGTGCTGTATGGGACGTTCACGACTTTCAAACAAGGGGATGATGCAATTGTTGAAGGGCTGCAACTCGCCTGTCCTGCCCTGTACCCCGTACCCTTGCCGTACAGTGCCGGCTTCAAAAGAATCGTTCAATGGTGTACGACACGCACACGCCAGAGGAGCCGTCGGCCAGGCGGCGATGGAAGAAGAAGCAGGGGCTGGCGGAGGGGCAGGAGGAGGAGGGAGCGGCGGCGGTTGACGGCGGGGTGGAGGACGGAGTGGCATCACAGACGTATGATGGGGCGAGCGATGACGGGGAGGTCGCTGAGGGTTCGAGGTAACCGCCGCCTTGTACGGCTAGGTAACCTTGCCGGTTTGGGACAGCGCATGAATGTCGCTGACGGTCCATGCAGTTAGGAAGCGGATGTTACAGTGTGGTCCGTGCAGTTAAAAGCGTCACATTTAAGTGTGGCCTGTACGGTACGTGCCTTTGATGAGGCAGCGCAATCTCTGGAGACAGTATGTACCTAACGGGCAAAGTACACATCAGTGTCTTGCAAGCTGAACATCATATTGTAACTGCGGTGTGGGAAGAGAACCATTTGACGTTGCTGTTGCTGCAAACCACGCGGAACGTCTCGAGAAGGGAGGGAAAGAGGGACAAACATGTTGCTGGTGTCTTACAGGCGCTAACCGTGGGGGACTTGTCCTACCCATGTCCACATTGTGTAGCTAGCGTGCAAAACAAGGCCTACAGTCCAAGCAATGATACAAAACCTACTTGATTAAGTGCAATAGGGAAACGTGAATGCTACATTCCCCATTTAGGCTGGCCCGTTGGGGCACAACGAGGAAAACGATCTGACGACTTAGCTGTCTAAACAAATGCATCCTATCTACCACACGAGCCTCTTCGGATTGCCGTATGACACACGAAACACAAGTGCATCCATACAAGTACACAAGTACACTCCCTCTCAATACACATTTTCATGCATCATGCCACGACGTCGCTACAAATTCACGCACGCAGGAACCGGCGGTTGATGATTGAGCTTGCGCTGGCAGCCGCAGCTGCAAACGCGTCTCCGGATGACGAGTCGAGCAGGGAAGCTAGCGCATCTGCATGCGCAGCAGCGCGAGTAGCAGCCGCATCCGCAACAGCATCTGCGGCAGCAGCAGCGTGGCTGTTACCGGACGCCTGGGCGCTAGCGGCAGCCTGAGCGGTGGCGACGGCGTGGACGTCCGCGGCCACCTTCGCGTCGGTTGCCGTCTCAGCAATGGAGGCGGCCTTGGCGACGGCGGCGTCGGCATCATCGAAGGCGCTGGCAGTTGCAGCGGAGGCAGATCCTGCCTTGGCACCGAAGGCAGCGCCAGCGGCGTAAGCAGAACCGGAAGCAGCGCCAGCAGTGTCGGCGGAGCCGGTAGCAGCGCCAGCAGCGTTGCCGGAGCCGGTAGCAGCACCAGCAGCGTTGGCGGAGCCGGTAGCAGCGCCAGCGGCGTTGGCGGAGCCGGAAGAAGCGCCAGCAGCGTTCGCGGAGCCGGAAGCAGCGCCAGCAGCGTTGGCGGAGCCGGAAGAAGCACCAGCAGCGTTGGCGGAGCCGGTAGCAGCGCCAGCGGCGTTGGCGGAGCCGGAAGAAGCGCCAGCAGCGTTCGCGGAGCCGGAAGCAGCGCCAGCGGCGTTGGCGGAGCCGGAAGCAGCGCCAGCAGCGTTGGCGGAGCCGGAAGCAGCGCCAGCGGCGTTGGCGGAGCCGGAAGAAGCGCCAGCGGCGTTGGCGGAGCCGGAAGAAGCGCCAGCGGCGTTGGCGGAGCCGGAAGAAGCGCCAGCGGCGTTGGCGGAGTCCGATGAGCCAGCAACGCCAGCGCCTGACTCCTTCACCCCAGATGCAACCGAAGCGTCGCTCTTGGCAATAGCGGTAGCCTTGGCATCAGCAGCAGCACCAGATGCAGCAGCAGCGCCCGATGCCTTGTACCCTGCGGAGTTACACATAATCGTAAGAAACGTATTGTTGAAGGTGGGCAGTTTGGATGTGTACGGTAATACATTCGCAGGATAACGGCGTAAGGCCACAGGTAAAGTTCAAGCGGTCCGGGTTGAAACTATGCTGGACCCACCAGTGTAGTAGCGAGCAGCACCGTTGCTGTCCTTGTAAGCGCAGCTCTTGGCGCCGCTCTCTGAACCCCACAGGCGGCCCGACTCATCGGCGACGGAGTTGTCCTCGGTGGGCTGCTGTGAGCAGGCGGGGGCGGAGCTCCAGGTCACAGACGAGGCCTTGGCAGCAGCGGCGGCGGCAGCAGATGCCTTCCCGGATGCGCCGGCGGCGGACTTGGCCTTAGCGCCAGCTACAGATGCAGCTTTTGCACCACCGGCGGCGCGAGTCTTGGCACCCGAGGCAGCTGCAGAGCCGGCCTGGGCACCAGCGGCACCCCTGGCGGTAAGCTTAATCTTGATAGGATTGGCCTTGGCACCAGCAGCTGCGGCTGCGGCAGGCTTGGCATCAGCGGCAGCAGCAGAGGCGGCCTGGGCACCGGCGATAGCAGCGGCAGCGGGCTTGGCCTCAGTAGCAGCGGTGGAGGCGGCCTGGGCACCAGCGGCGGCGGCGGCAGTGGGCTTGGCCTCAGTAGCAGCAGCAGAGGCGGCCTGGGCACCAGCGGCGGCGGCGGCAGCGGGCTTGGCCTCAGTAGCAGCAGCAGAGGCGGCCTGGGCACCAGCGGCGGCGGCGGCAGCGGGCTTGGCCTCAGTAGCAGCGGTGGAGGCGGCCTGGGCACCAGCGGCTGCGGCGGCAGCGGGCGTGGCCTCAGTAGCAGCGGTGGAAGCGGCCTGGGCACCAGCGGCGGCGGCGGCAGCGGGCTTGGCCTCAGTAGCAGCGGCAGAAGCAGCCTGGGCACCAGCGGCTGCGGCGGCAGCGGGCGTGGCCTCAGTAGCAGCGGTGGAAGCGGCCTGGGCACCAGCGGCGGCGGCGGCAGCGGGCGTGGCCTCAGTAGCAGCGGTGGAGGCGGCCTGGGCACCAGCGGCGGCGGCGGCGGGCGTGGCCTCAGTAGCAGCGGTGGAAGCGGCCTGGGCACCAGCGGCGGCGGCGGCGGGGGGCGTGGCCTCAGTAGCAGCGGTGGAGGCGGCCTGGGCACCAGCGGCGGCGGCGGCGGGCGTGGCCTCAGTAGCAGCGGTGGAAGCGGCCTGGGCACCAGCGGCGGCGGCGGCGGCGGGCGTGGCCTCAGTAGCTGCGGTGGAGGCGGCCTGGGCACCAGCGGCGGCGGCAGCGGGCGTGGCCTCAGTAGCAGCGGTGGAGGCGGCCTGGGCACCAGCGGCGGCGGCGGCGGGCGTGGCCTCAGTAGCAGCGGCAGAAGTAGCCTGGGCGCCAGCGGCGGCGGCAGCGGGCTTGGCCTCAGTAGCAGCGGCAGAAGTAGCCTGGGCACCAGCGGCGGGGGCGGCGGGCTTGGCCTCAGTAGCAGCGGCAGAAGTAGCCTGGGCGCCAGCGGCGGCGGCAGCGGGCTTGGCCTCAGTAGCAGCGGTGGAAGCGGCCTGGGCACCGGCGGCGGTTGCAACGGGCTGAGCGTCGGCGGCAGCGGTGGAAGCGGCTTGCGCGTCAGCGGCGGCGACGGCGTCAGGCTTGGCTGTGGAAGCGGCCTGAGCAACGGCAGCGGCGTTGGCGGCAGCGGGTTGGGCGCTTTCGGCGGCTGTCGACGTGGCCTGAGTTCCAGCAGGCGCATCGCTGCTCGACGGCGCAGATGCAGAGGCGGCAGCTCCAGCGTTAGCAGCAGCACCGGCAGCAGGAGACGCCTCGGTAGCGGCAGTGGCAGCGGCGGCCGCCTGAGCAATGCTGTCAGCCGAAGCAGCGGGCCCAGCGTTGGCGGAGGCGGAAGCGAGCGCCATTGCCGCAGCGGTTGCCTCTAGCAGGGCGCGACGGCGCTGGCTCATGCCCTGCGGTTCAAGTTGCAGACGAGTGGCGGGATCGTGCGTGAAGCGCCAGTGCGGACTATCCAGGCAACCTTGGCACGCATGCTGAAGCCACAACGTAAAACGCGGCATCAAGAGTAAAGAAGCGACAGCCCGAACTGTGGACAGCGACCCGCGGACCAGATCCTACCATGTATCCAGGGTAGTAGACGGGCTGGTTGTTGGCGTCCTTGTGCGCGCACGACTTGCCGTTCTCCCAAGACCAGAGGCGCCCACTGGCATCTTGGCTGGTGCTGCTGGCGGTGGGCTCGGAGGAGCACCTGGAGGGGAAGGGCGGGGAAAGGGCGTTTATGAGCAGGCGACGGCAGGGCCCCGGTAAGCAGGGAGCTGCCGGGACGATGGCCAGTTCTTGTAGGGAGGGGTGAACGCTAGTTCACACTGTTGGCGCGGGTGACAGTTGCTGGAGAATGCGAGATCTTGCGTCCTGCCGTTGCTGTTGGCCTGACCCAGATGACATATCCTGACCCACATTCTTGTCATAACAATGACAACATAACATGTCCTCCTCCCGACTGAATAGCTGGGCCGGACCCAAATGCAGGAACACCGCCTATAGCCAGCCCCACCTGCCAGCGTTCGCCCAGTCGGAAGGCACGGAGGTTATGCTCCCGGTGGCGTTGGTGGAAGACGCGGGTGTTGCACGGACGGCGCACGAGGCGTTCTTCTCCCAGCCCCAGGCGTGGCCGGTGGAATCGACAGTCACGGTGACGGCGTTAGAGCAGGTGGGGGCGGCGTCCCAGGTGGGATTGGGCGTCTGCACAGGAAGTTGGAATACAATAGCGAACGTGAGCATGAAGATCTTCGACCCTTCGAAGTGGCAATTTAGGCACTTCGAAGTGGCAATTTAGGCCGACCCAAATTACTAACGACAGCATAAACGAGTCCCAAAAGGTTTTGACGTCGTAATTGTGTAAGTTGTGTGGAATTAATCCAGCATGATCATATTCAGCATGATCAAAGTTGAATGATCCAGCAGATGTCGCCTTCGCTCTCAGGTTCGTAAGTCTAGCACCTTCTTACCGTCGTTGTGTTCAGGAATGTAGCGTTAACCTTGGTCTCGCCGTTCACTACCACGACGGTGCGGCTAGCATCCTGCCCGGGACCGGCGTTGGTTGTCGCGTTAGCAACGGAGGGGCTGCCGCTGCCGTCCGAGGTCGCGACCGCGGTAGCAGCTGCGGAGTCAGCCGTGCTGGTGCCTGAAAAGACAAGGAAATGGGTGAAAGAGGTTGAAATACTGTTAAAGGATATTGAATTGTAAACTGGGGGACCGTATGAAAGGAAGAGGTGATCCTCGCAACAGCCGTGGGGCCGCGATCGACCACGGTGCACACAGAAGCTGCATCTTGAATCATTATCCAGGCTGCTAAGTTCCATTACACTTATTGAAAACATGGCAACCGGAAAACAGGGCGCTGATCAGTGTCGCTGCTATAGTTGCGGAGGCTGGCTGATCAACTGCCGCTAGCCCGAAACTTACCAAGAACCGCAAGGATCCCGAGGGCTCCGAAGAGCAAGAGCTTGTGTAGCGTCATAGGCGATGACCGATGAGTATGAAGAGGGGGTTCTTGAGATGCCGACGGCGACTGACGGACAGTTTACTGGAAAAATATACCGGCTCTAATAAATATCCCCTTAAGGATCACGAGAAGAGCACCACCGTGAAGGGCGACGCTGTCAACTCTTTAGCCTAAATGGAAGAATGCGGGCATTTTAAGCGTCTGGGCTGCCCTGCCGTACCTGCCCGACATGCAGATTTGTCATGCTCCTCGTCATCCAGTACTTTGCCCCTTCTTCCCAATATAACCGCCCGATTTGCCAGGACTTATCATGATGCGATAACTCTGTGATCATCCCATATTTATTTTCTTGCGTTAACCGACTTCTAGCTCTCTAACCGAATCAGCTTCGTGCCGCGCGCTTGCTTTGGACAGCTAGAAAACGAACAGCAGCTGTTTGCTACGTTGCCGAAACCGTCAGGGTCTTATAAAGACGGCTGTAGCACTCTTAGCCACGCTTTCAGCGTAAAGAGGTCAACGCCGTCTGGGTCCAGTTTTCCCGAGCTCTTTCGGGGGCTCGAGGCGCGCGCTTCCTCAGCACTCTCATGCGCCTGAAGTCCGAAATGCATTCAAAGACGTATGGCATCCCGCGGCTGCGCCTGAAGGCCGCGTTGCGGAGCCTCTTGGCGCCTCTGTCTCTGCTGCTGGTGATCTTGTGTTCCGCAGCCGCGCAAGGGGCCTCCAATCCCAGTCCGCAGGTAAGAATTTTAAGTTGCCCTATCACAAGGGTGGCGCGTTCCTTGCAAGATTGTTATGAGCCCGCATGTTTGCCATCTGGGTCGACGTGCCCGCAGCTTATCTGCGCCTTCCGTAATGATATGGACCAAAGCTGGTTTGGGTCGGCCTCCTCCTACGTGCCTCTCAAACAGTGCAGCTAGCAGTCATCCCCAGCAATCTCCCACCGCTTGCTTTATCCGTTTGAAAGCCTTACCCTCCCCTCTTTGTCCCTCTGTTCTGCCTTCAGTCATCCAACATCACCACCAAGACGGTCGCCGTCAACACCACCACCGTCAAAGTCGACATCACTATCAAGACGCCAGCGACCGCACCCACAGCAGAGGCGCTGTCCACGTCCTGGGAGGTACGCGGATGTTGCGTGCTGTGCTATTACGCGCCTGGGGTTGCCCGGGTTCCACAGGGACACTATTGAGGCAAGGGAGCGACGTGAGATTGACAGCCTTACCGATGCCTTTCTCAATGACCCACGTCGATTGCGGCCTGCGGTGAACTGCTCCCGGCCCATATTACCTGACCTCTTCCTCACCCACATCGCCAGACCTAATCCTGACCCACATCGGTTGCCGCATGCCTAAGTTGCACCGAGTAATATGATGATGCCAACGCACATGTTTTGTCCTCCCGCCGCAGGCAACCCCTGCCTGTGTCACACAGCCCACGCTGTACAACAGTGTCGCCGACGCACGAGGCCGCCGCTGGGGCCGCCTCGGCAGCGACGACAGCACCACTGCCACCACCACCACCGCCGCCGCCGCTGACGACAGCGCTGGGCCTGCCGCCAACGCCTCCTCAACCTGCGCCTTCAAGGATGCCGACGGCAACCCCGTGTTCACATGGGAGACGGCTCCTCGCTGCCTGCTTGCGCCCTCGGTGTTCACCGCCACCGCAGACAGCCAAGGTCGCCTTTGGGGGCAGCAGTTCGGCACCTCCTGCGCCTTCAAGGCTGCGGACAGCGACCGGCCGGTGTACGACTTCCTGACTGCGCCTGTGTGAGTTTGGGAGGGAACGCGCGTGTGAGCGGGGCGGGGCGGGTGGGCCTGTAAAATACTAGTAGTGGTGGGATGGTTGAGGTCCATTGCGATGTGGGTCGTGAGGGAAGAGGGTGGTGTGAGCGAGTTCTGATGTGGGTCAGACTGTTCGTGCATCAAACGTGTGTTTTAGGTGGTTTGGGTCGATCCGGGGTCGTTCACAAGTGATGTGGTGCCAATCTGGCCGTTGGACCCAAACCAAAGCCAGGATTCGTCCCAGTTGGCGGCCGCTACTAATGTAGCAAAGCGCTCCTTAGATCCTAGCTTGACATCTGGGTCGGATCTTAGGATCTTGGGTTTGATTTGGGTCGGTCATTAAGGGCAAACGTCAACACTACATGGCATTCAGCAGCAGGCGCAAGCGCATATCTTTCCCTTCGCAACCGCCGTCGATCATGTGCGCCCTCCACCGCTTCATGCTTACGCCACTGGCTGCCTCCCTTGCCGCCCTCTGCCCTCCTGCAGCTGCATTGCGCTGCCGGAGCCCGTCACGTCGGAACCCGACGCCATGGGTCGGCTGTGGGGCTGGGAGTCGGGACACGAGTGCGCCTACAAGAACGCTGACAACAGCCCCTTGGTGCTGCCGGGAGCATCCAATAACGTGCAGCCCGTTTCACCCGAGGAGATGACCGCACGGGTAAGTGGAGCAGCTTCGAGATACCGGTACCTTCGAGCGGGTCCTGAGAGGAGTGCTCCTTGCTTACTGCTCTGGGCATGAACCTGGCATACAGGATCAAGCTTCTTTGCTCTCAGTAAATTCCTGCCTCCCGCCGCCTCTCCACACCCACACGCAGGGTGCCGTTCCCACCGCCGCCTCCATCACCTGGCGCGCCACCCCCGCCTGCTCCCAATCCAAGCCCTCCAAGCTCACCAGCGTCATGGATAGCCGCGGCCGGTTGTGGGGCTGGGAGAACAACGCCAGCTGTGCCTTCAAGGACGCGAACGACGCGCCGCTGTACGACTGGACCACCGCGCCGCGCTGCCTGGGCGACGTGAGCGACAGCAGCAGCGTGGACAGCGAGGGGCGGCTGTGGGGCTGGGAGGCGGGCGCCAGCTGCGCCTTCAAGGACCTGAAGCAGCGGCCGCTGCGTACCTGGGGCACTGCGATAAGGTGGGATGGGGGGCAGGACTGTTACGGGCTAGGAGAGGACCCGGCGGAAGAAATGCACGGATGCCCTCTGATTCTGCTCTTTACGCAGCCCTTCCGGTTGTGACGAACACCACATCAACACCGAGGGGTTTTGTTGTTAATACATGCCCTTGCGCTCCCTTGTCCACCTCCCACCATGCAGGTGCCCCGGAGCTCCACAACTGGCAACCGCTGTGCCCGACTCCCTGGGTCGGCTGTGGGGCTGGATCTCCGACAACGACACAAGCTGCGCCTTCAAGGATGCGCAAGGCCGCCCCCTCAGCTTCAACACTCTGGAAACCCTCCCCGTCTCCGACCTTGCTAGCACCACCTTTGCAGCCCCCAACACCGTCCCAAGCACCACTACCATCGCCACGGGCGGGCTAGTGCCAGTCGCCGCCGCACCAGTCGCCTCGACTCCTTCCACGTCCGTGTCACCTTCCGCTTCCAAGCCGCAGATGCCGCTGCCGCCGCCAACACCCGCAGCCCGGCGTGCCGCACTGCGCTCCATGCTGCCCTTCCTGCGACCAGGGCGGCGCTTAGCGCAATCCACAACCGCTCCAAAGTCCACTTCGCCGCTTCCTGTTGAGACGCCAGTTCAGGTCGTCAACGCCCAGGCGCTAGCGGAAGCCGCCTACCAAGCCGCGGCGGCGCAGCAGGCACTGGGACTGGAAGACCCCAATGCCGCGGAGGCAGCTGCGCACAACAGCACTGCCACTACGCTGCTTGCCGTGTCGCCCTTGGGTTCTCAGACGCAAGGTGCTGTTGGCAGCAGCAGCGGCGGTGATGAGGCATTGCCTGGCAGTCCCCACCGTACGGCAGCTGGAGGCCTGCCCATACCCCTTGAAACCGACGTCGCAAGCAGCACGGCAACAGCTCCTGCTTCAAGCTCGTCCTCTGCTGGTGGTCATGGCGGACGCCGTGCGTTGTTCAGCACGGTTGCCAACACAGAAGTAACGGCAGCTGCCTCGTTAGGCATGCGGCGTGGGGTGGAGGAGCAACGCGCTGCGCAACAGCGGTGGGAGGGCCGCCGTACTCAGGGCCCCGACGCTGCGTTTGTTGCCGTACGCGACGCTGGCCGGCTGGGTGGCAGCACCAGCCATGGGCACGATAACGCCAACTCGCAGCAACATACCGGGGGCCGGAGGCTGCTTGACTCTGCGTCCTGGTACCCCAGTTGCAGGAACTACCCCGCACCCAAATCGGTTGCTCAAGACAGTTCTGGAAGGTAGGCAGCGTGTTGGTTGCTCACTGCTACAATGGCTGAACTCCGTTGCTATGGTTGGTGAAGCTGTCCGTTGCCTTATACGACGTGTAAGATGCGTAAGGAAACCTTGGACACTTCGATTTACTCGATAAGCACCGGCATGTCTCAATCCGCAGGTTTTGGGGCAGCGAGGGTGGGTCCTGCATCTACCGCGACGCCTCAGGCAACCCGGCCAAGCTGTGGGACATCGTGCCGGCATGCAGCTCGGACGTAACGCCTGCTAACATCAAGTCAACGGACTCTGCCGGAAGGTAAGACCTTTAATAAGGTGCTCGTCTTTTGCATGCTACCGGTATGCTGCCAACAAAGGCATACAGCGGAGGATGTTTGCACCAACACCCGCTGTCGATCTGCTCACAGGTTCTGGGGTTGGGAAAACAGCCGCAGCTGCGCATTTAAGGACGGTAGCGGCAAGCCTCTCAGCGTGGACAGCAGTAGCAGCAACAACAAGGACAGCGGTAGCGGATCTTCAGTATCCGCCAACTCCAATGACCCATGGGTCTCTGCGTCTGCGTGCACTGCAGACCCCACGTCCGGAAACTCCAAAACCGACAACAAGGGCAGGTACGTTCACATGCACCAGGAACCTCTTGCCTAGGTGGCAGAAGCATGGCTGTTCCATAATTCCTGATTGCAGTACTCACACGGCCTGAACGTAACTCCGCTCTATGCTTCCCGAACGAGTAACCCGCGTCCCCTCCTTTCCCTTCCTTCGTCTCAGGTTGTGGGGCTGGGAAAACAGCCGCAGCTGCGCCTTCAAGGACTCCAACGGCGCCTCCCGCTCCCTCACCACCCAGGCCAAAGCCGCTCCCTCGTCCTCGTCAAGCTCCAGCGGCAACAGTGACAGCAGCGGCAGTTCAACCGACTTCCCAACGGGCGACGTGGCCACCGCCCCCAGCTGCTCCGGAACCCCCACCATGGACACCTCGCAGCCGGACGATGTGGGCTACTTGTGGGGCTGGCAGAGTGGCCGCGCCTGCGTTTTCCGTAGCTCCAGCGGCAAGCCCATCTACTACGCCGCCCTTATATCAGGTGGGGAACAATAAGGTTCAAGATGGATTACCTAAGAACCCCGGGAGAGTGGTTGTGGTCCAGGGGCTTGACACCGCATGACATGATAACGAACGATTCAATTATTCCAACCCGCTCCCCTATTGCTGGTGCCGAGCTTGGTATTGCCTATGGTTTGACCTAATCTAAGACTGCCCCGACGTACCACAGGCGATTGGGACGCCCAGCCCGGCTACGTTCCCAAGCCCTCCAGCAAGAGCGGCTGGTTCGATGCACCGCGCTGCAGCCAGCCGCCCACCTACGACGCCAAGCCCGACTCGGAGGGACGGCTCTGGGGCTACGAGAACGGGCAGGGCTGCGTGTACCGGGACGCTCGCGGCTACCCGCTCTTCTACTCGGACCTGCAGGTGGGTGAACTTGCCGGCGGGAGGTAGAAGATGGGCGCGGTGGCGGTCAAGGGATCTCGAGTGCTTTTGTTGTAAAATTTGGACGGTACTGTCGTACAGTCGTCTTTGTCGTACTATGCATGATGCGGTAGCAATCGGCTTAACCATGACTCCTATCCGCTTATGTGCTTTGCAGAACGGCAACGTTGCCGAGTATTACAACAAGGGCTCCCTGTGGGACAACTCGCCTGCGTGCCCGAACGCCCCCTCCTGGAGCAACGCGCGCGCTGACAACTTTGGTCGGCTGTGGGGCTGGGACGACAAGGCGGGATCTTCTTGCGCCTTCAAGGACGCATCCGGGCAGGCGATCTATCCGCCCAAGCCGTAGACAACTACGCAGGGCACCGGAAGAACAAGACAGTAACATGGAAGCTTGCGGTGGCGGGTTTAGCCATGGAATGTACCTTGAATAAATAGGCGCCCAACGGCGACCGGATCTTGGAGAATACGGAATCGTAGTAAGGTTTGCTGTTTGCTGCTGCAGTTAAGGGGGGGTGGCACGGAGATAGGAAGGTGTGTGATACTGCGGCTGTTTCTGCTGCACAATAACAGCGTCGGTGAAGGGGCGGGCATGCACTGGCTGAGCCGGGATGGGTGAGGGCTAGAGAAAAGGGTTGTGCTACTGGCTTCTAACAAGGGAGCAGGCATGGAGTAGGGTCTGGGTTTGGGTGCATCATAGGATGAGGAGCATAGCATTTTTTATGTCGTGACTTGTCGGGATGCAGGCTGACGCAGGGATAGTGGCATGTTGGCCAAATGAAGACTTTTGCATGCTGCCATACACAGCAACACGTACCATGGAATTCCAGACGGCAGAGCGTCAATCAATTTTGACATCCCATCCCGGGTTTCCTTCGTTACAGTGTAAGGGTACGGATTCCTGGCTAAGCACAAGCCATGCATACCGTTCATACCGTTGTACGCACAGGGCGTGCTACCTACCTACCTAATCCTCACCCCGAGCCAGCACCACACCAGTGCACGCGCGTCGCAAAAGGCAGCCACTCCACGTGTCACTGCATGCGCTGCTGCACCACCAGCAAAGGGGCAGCTTACCAACACCTGTGACAGCATCCACGCAGTCCGAGGCAACAGCGTAGCTATGAATGCCAAACAGCACAGGCGCGTGTGTGCCCACAGCACGTGTGCATGCTCCACCGCATGACGTTGCATGCAAGCCCCACCTGCCCATACCGTCGTACACATCAGTTTGTCAGCGTTGTAATATGTACACGTAGCGATGCTCATGTATAGCACGGGTTTTGCTCCCACTATCACGGCTTACGATGTTGCAAGCATCATTCATACATGTGTTCTATCTATTATCCTTGGGGACCGCGATAACAGTCATTCATTCTTGTTGTATTCTCTTTCAGTCATCGCTGCCGCATACATACCCACACGCTCACACATGCATATGCAACTGTGTCCCAAACAGACCTCCCAGGCTTCAAGGCGCAACCCCACCCCGCATCCGCATCGCCACCCGCCTCGGTAGGTTTCCCCTCTGTCACCACCACCACCACCCGCCTGCCTCCCTCCCCTCACGGGCTGAGGTCCCGCCAGCAGCACCATGTGTAGACCAGGAACCAGGCCAGCAGCGGCACGCAGAGGGCCAGGTAGATGGCCAGGAAGATCAACCGCCCAAAGTAGCCCTGGGGGGATGGTAACACGTACGGCAGCGGCCATACATGCGCAGCGGCAGGCAGGGGCCAGTGGGGGCGCACGTCAAGAGGAGTAAGGTGACTGACAAAGCGGCATCTACGCGGAATGCTTTGGTATCTTACTTCTCCAATGGCACATGCTACTCCGATTACCTGAATGCCCATGGGCCAAGTATAGAATACATAGCTGTTGTTCGTTATTCGGCTGACCCACCTGGACCTACTAGCGCCTGTCCGAAGCTCCCCTCCCCCCTCCCACCGCGGGCCCCTTGACGCCCACTTTCAACCCCGCTGCCAAGCAATACCCACCCTTGCGCCCCCCCCCCTCCACCGCCCCCTCACCCCCACTTATATCATTATCACACCACACTTTGGAATTTCTTTTTTTCCCCCTCACCCCCAGCGCCACCAGTACGACCCAGGGCAGCCAAGTGTGCAACAGACCACCTAGGGAGGTGTAGCGGCCCCGCAGGAACACCAGGGCAGCCTGCGGTGCGGCAAAATGGTGTGGTAAGAGAACGGCAATAAAGCATGGACAGAGCTCTCCGCGCAAAAGACAGCAGCCCCCTTTTAGCAATGACCAGCACACAAGGTAACACAAGGTAACAGCATTCAATGCAAGCAGCACAGGAGACTTACCAGGTTGACCATATCCCAACCGCCACCCCTGCAGCAGCAGCAGCAGCAGCAGCAGCAGCAGCAGCAGCAATCAATTTGGCGAGAATACCAAAAACTCAGAATCTGGGCATAACCAACAGCTAGAAGCGTCAAGATTGCGCTGCAAACGGAAGCCGCCGCAGCAGCAGGTCGAGGCTTTGCATGCATTTTCTGCAGCTACAGCAATCAGTAACCAGCAGCCAGCAGCGTCCCCACCGCAGGCGCGCACCTGAAGGCTATCTGGTTGAGGAAGTGCGCCACGAAGCAGTGACAGTTGCAGGTCATCAGGTTGTACTGCATCAGCTGCGGGAGCGGAGCGTGGAAGGCGGATATGGGACGGGGCAGGGGCCGGGGAGGAAAAGGGTGGTCGGAACCTGGTCAAAACCATAGCCAGGGACGGGAAGACGAGGGAAAGAAAGGCACGGGGCTCTTCTTCCGTACCAGGAACGAGCTGGCTTTCCAATGACCCGAACAGCGACCCGGACCTCCTGCCTCACCCGATATGTTGTAGCCGCAAACGCCAATCGGTGATCCCAAGAGTGAGGCGAGATGGCCGCCGCAGCCGCTGTTGACGCTGACCTCGTCGCCCCTGCTGACGCCTCAAGCCGCGCTGCCCCCACTCCAACCTCCCCTTCCCTACACGTCGCCGAGACAGCGCTGAGGTCAGCGGGCTGGGCTGCTGCCGCCTGCGGCCTCCCTGCAGCTGCCTCGGGGTCCTCCGTGCAACAGCAGCTGCTATGCGGCGGGTTGGCGGTCGTCGCTGCTGACCTGGCACCGGAGCTGTGCGCTGCTGCTTGCTTGGCAGCCTGGGGCCCCAACGTGAGATACCTGCGGCAGGCGTGTTAGCGCTGTAGCTCTCTTGACAACCCAGAAAGACTGAACACCGCGGAAGAAAGCCAGGATGGGCGAAGTAGTGCGGGGCAGCAGGTACCAAGCGGCTGAGCTGTGCACGCATGGTCACGGCAGAGGGGCGCTGCCGCAGGCTCACCTTGTGGGTTTACCAAAGAGCAGGCAGTCCTCATTGACCGTGAAGGGCCCCGCGAAGTCGTATGTGCGCCCGGAGGAGGAGCAGATGCCTGGGGTTGCGAGCGCGGCCACAGTCAGGAGCTCAGCTCTTGAGTGCTCACCGTTTCCAAACGGGCAGCAGTTGGCAACAGGGGAACGACGGGGATGTTGAACTGGGCCTGCTAATAAACGCAGTTTAGTCGATTGCCTTCCTTCAATTCCTCACCCATGTGGCCGATAAAGGGCATCAACCAGCTAATAAGCGGGATGGGGCTCCAAACGATAGCGTAGGGACGGCCTCCGCTCCGCGTAGGTTGTGATGAGGCCGTCATCTTTTTCTGTTAGCGGTGTCTACCTTCCAACTCAAATTGGTGTTTCAATAAGCAGGTGGATGCAGTCTCGGGATGCGTCAGTTGAAAAGTGAGCAACGGCTTCCCCTTGCAATAGCTCTGCGCATTTGCATAAACATGGTTCCGTGAAGCTACAACATATAGCTTCAGCGGAGTTGTCTGGGTGGGCCATGAACCAACGGTAATGGCGTGTCGTACCCCTTTTGGTGGATTGGCCTGGCGCGACGCATACATCGCACGCCAGATAGTCGCTTTTTCAAGCAACCTTCTGCGTGCATAATCCTGCTGCCTTTCAGAGCTCGGATGGTATCTGTTCGCGTTCACTTGCGTCACGACCGTGTATTCTGACACCATTGCCCGCTTATATAAGGTCTAAGCGTACCTTGCAATCACCTTATCCATTATCGTGTATTCTGGTCTTAGGGAAGGCGCTCAGTGTTTCGCGGCCTCCTTGCAGCATAGCTCCTCTACAACAGGCGTACCATTCGATCTCGGCCTCTATGACATCCATTATCCCAACTTAACTTAGCCTGACTTATCTTTATTACGTGCGCCAACAGCGCCGGCTCGCTCGCGCCAAACGGCCCCAAGGGGCCGCCTCCATCCCGCCCCATCCGGGCCTTCCCACAGCACTAGCAATCTACGGCACGCCGCCAAAATGCAGTCGCTTCGAGCAGCCCCGACTCTCCCAGTTTCCCTTCAACGCACGCTGCGACCGGGCCCCGTCTCGTTTCCTCGGCTGCTATTCCGCACATGCCCGCTGCCATGTCCCGGACTGCGTTCCAAGCCGACAGTGGCTAGCGCTGTCAAGGTGAGACCGCTGCCCTCCTTTCTTACCCATCTCACCGCTGCCGCCCCATAGAACCCAGACTAAGCCTTTTGTCCTCGTGCCTCCCTCCTTCCCTCCTCCTTTACTGCACGTATCAATTATTCTTTCTCTCCCTCCCTCGTGTCTTTATCCCCAGGAGGACCGCAAAACGGGCGGTGGTCGCAAGGGCGAGGGTCGCACCGGCAGCAGCCGCTCCCCCTCTGGCACCACCAGCGGCAGGACCACCAGCGGCAGGAAAGACCCCAGCAGCAGCAGCAGCGGCCACACAACCAGCGGCAGTTCACGGCAGCTCAAGCCCACTCAAGCACCACCACCACCACAACGAAAGCAGCAGCAGCAGCCCCCAAACCAGCAGCAGCAGCAGCCGAGGAAGGGAGTGGTGACCAACAAGGCGTCTGCCTCGCAGCTGGACCAGCTGATGCGGAAGCACCCGCTCTTCTCGCGCTTCTACGACACCACGCTGCTGCTGGGGGATGCGGTGATGGTGCTGGCGACGGAGGTGCGTGTGTTAGGGAAACGGGCGGCGAGGAGGAACGTACTGGACTATCAGAAGATGATGTTAGGGTGGGGCTATACGCGCGCGAGCCCGTATACCGGTAGCTGCACGGCATCTGCATGGCTTGTGTCCGGTCGTGTGCAACGGCGCCAATCCGGCGGCCGCCCACTCCGCCGTCGTGTGCCTCCCCGCCCGCCCGCCGCCGGCCCCCCTCCCCCCCCCCTAGGCCTCTTCCAACCGCATCGAGTGGTCCTCCTTCCCCGCGCTGGTTGCTGTGCTGCTGGTCTGCTGGCTGGCTGCGGGGGCGGCCAACGGGGACTACTCGCCGGCGGGCAGCCGGGCGCACGAGGACGTGCCCTGGCAGCTGTCCATGCTGGGACCCACCTTCGGGGCGGTGAGGGGCGGAGGGAGGGAGGGAGGGAGGGAGGGAGGGAGGGAGGGAGGGAGGGAGGGATTAGATGAACTGGAGCCGCGAGAAGTACTGACCTTGACAGCAGGATACCGGTTTGGAAGGGATCAGGGAGGGGGTGCTGGGCGGTAGTGTGAAAGGAACATGGGTTGTGAGGAACAGGAGCTGGGGTGTGTTCATATAACTGGCCGCGAGGCGGTGTGTTAAGAAAACTGGCCGCGAGTAGGAACGTACTGGGATGTCGGAAGGTGAAGTCCCCACAGAGCCGCCGCCGCCGCCGTCGTGTGTGTGTTAAGAAAACTGGCCGCCGTGTGTGTGGGGGGGGTGCAGAAGCTCATGGGAGGCGGGCATCTGCGTCGTCCGGGGAAGCGGGAAGCTGTCCGCCCTCTGCCGCCTGCCCTCCGACCCGCCTCCCCCGTACTTCCCCTCCCACCCGGCACCCCCGTCCTGCCCTCCCCTGCCCTCCCCTGCCCTCCCCTGCCCTCCCCTGCCCTCCCCTGCCCTCCCCTGCCCTCCCCTCCCCTGCCCTCCCAGGTCCTGGGCGCCACCCTGACATGGGCCTTCGCCTCCACCGCCGCCGTGGCTGCCTACGCGGGTCTGGTGGCCGCCAACCTGCTGGATGCGGCGCCGGTGGTGGAGGGCCTCAACTCGGACGACCTGTCGCCGCAACTGGAGGTGGGGGGGGCTGGGTGGGGGATGGGGGAGAGGGGAGTGGGAGTGGAGAAAGAGGCAAGGAAGGAGTTGGGGCTGGGCGGGGTGTTGGTTCGCTGCCCCCGCTGCCCCCGGTCGCCGAGGGCGCATGCAGCGGAATGTGCATGTCACATCACATCACATCACCACCTGCGCTGGGTTGGCAACCACATGTGGCGGGTGCACGCAGGTGATCGTGGCGCTGCTCATCACTATGACCTGCTGGCGAGGCATCGTGAGCAAGCTGCGACCCACCATTCCAGGAGGCAAGGACTGAGGGAGGAAAAAGAATTTCCGAAGTGTGGTGTGAGGACTGAGGGAGGAGGAAGGGGAGGAGAAGGAAGGAAGAGGATGTATCTCGGGAGAAGATGAACTTGGACGACGGCATCTTACAGTGGTTTAATTATTGCATGGCAGGCGAAGATATGTGTATTTGTATTATGGCAATAAGCTAGCAGCGGGTCGTGGTGTGTTGCGAGTGTTGTGGGTGTTTGTTTGGACAGTTGCGTGCGCGTTTGTGGAGGATCGGTGCTTGGTGCGTGCTACTTGTGTAGCGTAACGTGTTGCTCGTAAGTAAGGATGAGGGCCCGCACCTGCTGTTGTTGGGGTTCGTACGATACCTGGGTAGGTGTGCAGGAGAGGCAGGAGCCGTACCAGCCGTACGGCTGCACACTTGGCAAGAACGACGGCGTTGGGGTTAAGGAGTGTATGAAAGCTCAGAAGAGATTGCACGGGGGGACTGTAGCCTTGTTTGCTGCTTGCTTCCAGCATCTTGTATGACCCCTTCGGCTGAATGTTAGCTGTTTTGAGACACCCTGATAACCGGATTTTGGCATGGTGGCTTGCCTACAGCGCACGCCTTGTGTTCGGCCGCTATGTACATGCGTACAGACTGTAACTGTAATTTTAGTAGCAGTACCCGTACAATGCAAGGTCGTTATCAGAACAGGGAGGTGTAAGCATGCTGGTGGAGTATTGTTGCTGCGCAGTGACGGCCTCCAGTGGGAGCACGGGAACTGCCGTACAGTTGCACACATGTGCCTGCGAAGCGAAGGCTTGCCTAGGGACCGCCCCACTTCGTTACGCCGCTCGGTGCTTTCAGCAGGGACTACGCTCTTGCCACGCTCGGCAGTAGCAGCATGCATCTCGTGCTGCGGTGAGTGCTGCGTCATGCTGCGATGTAATCTCAGATGGGGTGGCGTTACGGCATTATACCTACTCAATAGATCGAAGCGGACACCAAACTCCAGTTGTTGGTAGCACTCCTACCCGCTCATTTATCTATAGGAGGTCTCTCGAGTGCCAAAATGTCGAAAAAGGAGGATGTTCTCGACAAGACCTCGCGTTTCCTTGCCCAGCGCGAGGGCATCGATAAAGTAAGAATCTTAGAATGAGGAATAAACAGCAGCATATCCATGACTGGGTTCCTGTCCCGGCCATGTGCAGACTCTGAAGGTGCTCCGGTACTCAGCGCGACTGGTGGTTGCCCTCAGCCCCAAAGACCAGGACCTGACCAAGAGGCTTTCGGCATTTGAAAAGAGCGTCGGCGTCTCGCGGTAAGCACGTTTGCTGTTGAACTGGTTTCGGTATGCATCAATGACGGGGCTTTCGGGTGACTGCAGTAAGGCGTACCGCCTGGGCAAGTTCCTTCAAGATGTAAACAGCCTTCGCCACAGCAAGACCACGGACGCGACGCTCCTGTTTGAGTTGCTCGCCTACGGTGGCGAGGGTGTGTACTACTTCATTGAGCAGTTCACATGGTAAGCATACTGTATTCTGGCTGCACGCCTTGGCGTGCATGTCTGACATGGGAACCTCACCGTAGGCTTGTCAAGGCGGGTGCGCTGCCAAAGGACCTGGAGGAGCGCCTTGGCCGTGCCAGCGCGCTGGCGGAGCTTGTGGGATACGCCGGTGGCCTTTGCATCTCCATGCACAAGCTCTCGAAGCTCATGGAGCAGGAGCGGGACCTCGAGGAGAAGCTTAGCAAGGTACAAAACCCGTGTCATACCGCTTTTGGGGTTCCAGACACCCACTCAGCCCCTTTATGAGCTCCTTTCCTTTCCCTTCACTAAATCGACTTCCTTGCGTTCCAGGATGGCGCCGATGAGAAGCTGAAGGCCAAGCTGGCAGCGGTGAAGTTCGACCGGGGCCTGCGCTGCGCGCTCATTGTGCAGGATCTGGCGGACTCGCTGATGGCGTTCAACGACCTCACGGGTGAGCGTGGGACGAACGGGAAGCAACTGGACAGCATTACAGGCGGCATGCCAAGCGTTCCCCGCTAACTGACACTGTCCCCTTGTTACTTAACCTACAGGCGGCAAGCACAAGGGGATTAACAACCCCGTGGTGCTGGCGGTGGCGGGCTTGGCGTCGGGCTTCATTAGCTTCTACAAGAACTGGAACAAGTAGTGTTCCACATCTTGTCGCTCTGCCGTACGGGCACCGTGTCGCAGTACACATGCTGGTGTCTAACCGAAGAGCGTGCAATTTTGATCATTTTAGTGTGATTGCATATTGGTGTATATGAAACCCATATGATTACCAGTTTTATACCGGAGCAGTCGTAACTGGAACAGTGCTTGCAACTTGGCTTTCCATGGCGGCCACCTCGGACTCTCTCCAGCGGCAGGTCCGCAATAATTAGCTTATTGCTAACTTTGGACAATGGAACCTGAATGTAACTTGTTGGGCTAACATGGACTACCTTTTACTCACTATCTTTGTCACGCAAGGTTGAGTCTCTTCGGGAATGCTGTCCCGTACTATGTCCAGCCATCACACCGAACGGCTATGACACTCAGGACCTAATAGATTTAATGCAGAATGCTGGTGGGTGCGGCGGCGGGGCATGTGAAATGCATTGCACTAATAGCGCGAGCGGAGAAGTTGACTAGCATGTCGTCAACAGGTCGCGAATCAGTGCAAGCGTTTGAAGAGCTCTTGGACAACGCTGGGCGCGGGGTATCTGCTTGCTGTGTCTGCGGTGCCGATGGGACCCCATCGACAAGCAGCAGTTCGTCTGACGACGACGATGACTCGGAGTCGACCCTGTTCTTTACGTTGCTCACGGGGATAGACTTCAAGAATCGGACCGTCCAACTTCAGAACGCCGGGGTGCGTTGGGGTGGTCACACCCTCCTGAATCCCCATGCCCTAGTCTGCAGCTATGGTTCCGAGTACTCCCACCACCCGACTGAACTATGTGCAAAACCTCGCTTCCAGTATAGTACCAGCCAATCACTCACTCCAGCGCTGCAGCACCCTAACTCATCTCTACCCCTCTCCCGCTCTCCATCCAAATGGTCCGCCCCGCAGTTCGCCTGCCCCCAGTGCCGCGCCCTCCGCAGCACCTGCCGCATGATCCGCTTCGCATCGCTGCACGTGGGCGGCTTCGGCGGCCAGCAGGACAGCAGGTGAGGCCTGCGCGCCATAGCGCGGAGGCCAATTGCATGGTTTCCATTTCTTGATGCGGTGATGCGGGAACGTATAAGCACCTTCACGACCTTACGCATCGACCCGTTATGTTGGTACCGTACCGTACCTCTCAGATACCGCTCCTACCAGTCCTACCACTTCGCCCCCTCACCTCCATCCCCGTAGCCAGGGCGAGGCCCCGCAGCGGCTGCTGGTGCTCGCTGCGCACCTGGCGTCCACCAACCGGGCGCCCGAGGGCGTGCAGGCCAGTCCGGAGGCGCTGGCGGTGTGGCTGCAGGAGCTGTACTGCAGGGCGTACGCGCTGCAGGTGGTGGCAAGGTAGGGCGGTAAAGGAGGGGGGAAGGCGGGGTGGCAGCCATGGCAGGTGGTGGCAAGGTGGGGTGGCAGCGGCAGGGAGGGGGAAGCGGGGTGGTGCGGGGTGACAGCCAGGGCGGGCGGCGGGGCGGGGCATGGCAGGCGTATAGGAGCCAGGTGTGGGGTGGAGCCACAGGACGCTAGGAGGAGGTGACTGGGAGAGGATGGTGGGGCGCCATGCATAGCCGTGTCGGGGCACAGTACAGTATGGGGGCTACGTGTGCCGTACGGTACCATGAGAAGCTGCTGTCCTGGCTGTCCGGCGCCTGCAGTAACCTGGGCGGCTGGAAGGCGGTGGGGCCGGAGGGGCAGCCGCTGAGCCTCTCCCGCGGCAAGGACGTTGTGGCGGCAGCACGGCTGCTGCTGGGGCAGCGCGAGCGGGAGCAGCAGAAGCTGAAGCAGCAGAAGCAACAGAAGCAGAAGCAACAGAAGCAGAAGCAGCAGCAGCAAGCGGAGCAGAAGCCTCCTCAGGAAAAGGCTCAGCAGAAGCAGGAGCCTGGCAGCACACGGAAACAGGGCGGGAAGGAGGAGCCGAAGCAGAAGGCCGCCAAGGCTGCGGCGGCTCCGGAGCAGGCCCCGGCGGCGCAGGAGCAGCGACCCGCCAAGAAGCAGAAGAAGTCGGCTTTGGCTGCTGCGGAAGACGGGTGAGTGTGGGCGTAGAAAGGGAATCGGCGTGTTTGTGGGCGTGTGGGTGTGTGCCAGGACCTCACTGCAGACGAGTGCGGGGAGGGCTTCTACTGGGGGCCTGGTGGGGGCCACTGGCGTGCGCACACTCGTGAGGGCCCCGCACAACGCATGCATGAGGATGAGCGAAGGGTGCTAGGTTATGGGTGCTTCAAGGTGCTAGGGGAGCTGCCGCGGTGAATTAGTCCCGATGTGTGAGCTGCCTCATGCGTCATTGGGCAGAGCTTCGGTGATAACACGGGCACGCTAAAACAATGCGTCTTGCTGTGCGCTCTGTGGCTTAATAACACCAAGTTTCTTTCGTCTCGCAGGCAAGCCGCCGCTGCAGCGGCAGAGGGTGGTAAAGCAGCCGGGGCTGCACAGCCGTCCCAAACCGGCAAGAAGAAGCGGCCCATGCAGCAGGAGCAGCAGCAGCAGGAGCCCGCCCCTCGCAGCGGCAAGGCGGCTGATGGGAAAGGAGAGGGGGCTGAGGATGCTGGGGCGAAGGCGCGAGAGGGGCCAGGGGGGAAGGCGAAGGGCGGTGTGAAGGCGGCTGCGGGTAGCGAGAAGAAGGGGGCTGCGGCTGGGAAGGGCGCAGGCAAGGCGGTGAAGGCAGCTGGTGATGTGGGAGGGGCGAAGGCGGATGCGTTGGCAGGTGGGGGCCGTCCGGGCAAGAAAGCCAAGCAGGCAAAGCAGTGAGACCTTTGCGACTGCAGGAATGACATGGGGATGGCAACATTGTTATTTTGACGTTTTCGGACTTAGACGAGCATGTGGACGCTTTCCTTAGGGGGCTTTGCTGGTTAGCGCTGGAATAGGTGACAACGGGCGTGTTGTGCTGAGCTTGAAAGCGACCCTTGGAAGGCGCTTCCTGCACGTGTGCACGTGCGTCAACGGAGGCCTACGTGACCTAGAACACGATTCCCCTGACAACACACTTCCTCAGTTGGTACGCGCTGCTGTAGAAAGCTGTGAAGCGGTACATGGATGGCACTGTCTGTGGCGCATGCATTCCATGTCGGTATGGTCATGTAGGGTCCGTTGCATGCCGCAAGGCGTGAGGTGCCAAACTTGGGAGGCGAGGGCTTCATGGGGGCGGGTGAGTGGAAAGGAAGTGTAACGGGAAGCGTGCAAGCTGGCCACCGTAGGGCATCTGTCATACTCTACACGTTCCTCGGATCGCTACCAGTCATTGCACGGTAAAAGGGCAAAAGACTAACGGAAGACGCGCTTTCCATGCGGTACGGCAGCGAATCACATGGCGGAAATGGCGAGTACTAACATTACAAAGCAATGCGCTCCCTCGCTTCTGTGCTAATACCGTGAACCGCAGGCAGTCCTTATTCTCTGGGTGGAAGCGCTAAAAGCACCAACAGTTTGAGACGCTCTTTCTCAATACCCAACCTTTTAGGGCGCCTTGGGATCAACTTTTAAGTATTACCAACAAAGGCATTAACTGGCGGTTTAAAGAGACGCTAATCCAGGCTGCTTAGTGTATCATTGGTCAGCACATAGTCCCTATTGTGCGGTAGACGCCATACCTGAATTTTGTGGTTAATTTAGCACTGGGGCCAAACGGCCCGTAGGAATGGCGTCAAGCGGCTTGGGCGACGTCCAGCAAGTGGAGGCCTTCGTGCATCAGCTCATCAACCCAGCGACAAGAGAAAATGCATTGCTGGAGTTGAGCAAGAAGCGTGAAAACTTCCCGGAGCTGGCGCCTTATTTATGGCATAGCTTTGGCGCTATTGCGGCTCTTCTGCAGGAGATCGTATCGATTTACCCTCTGCTCTCGCCCCCGTCCTTGACGGCGCACGCATCCAATCGCGTGTGTAACGCGCTTGCACTCTTGCAGTGCGTTGCCTCCCACAATGAAACACGTGCGCTATTCCTCCAAGGTGAGGGCTTTACCATGTGACAAACCAAGCAAGTGCTGCCAAGAGGAGAACCTTCCAGTTAGTGCTGCTGCCGCTGCTGTTGGGGCGGCGTTGTAACCCCCCAAAATCCCCACCTGAAACCCTACCAACCCCTGCCCGCAGCGCACATCCCGCTGTTCCTGTACCCCTTCCTCCAAACCATGAGCAAAACGCGCCCCTTCGAGTACCTCCGCCTGACCAGCCTGGGGGTGATCGGCGCGCTGGTCAAGGTTGACGACACCGACGTGATCAACTTCCTGCTGTCCACCGAGATCATCCCGCTGTGCCTGCGCACCATGGAGATCGGCACGGAGCTGTCCAAGACGGTCGCCACCTTCATCGTGCAGAAGATACTGCTGGACGATGTGAGGACTGGGCGGGGGGAGGGGGCAGGGGGAGGCGGGGTGGGGCACATGGGCGGGAGGGGGCCGCATACGGAGGGAAGGACCTAGGCAGGGCATTGAAAAGTGAGTCGACGGCGGCATGGGCAACCAGGCAGCAGGTGCATGGCAAGGAGTTGGTGGGGCCTTGGGTCGCTGTCCTCTACTGCACAATCCATGCCGACCTGCACCACCCGTTGAACGTGTCCCCTCTCATTCCTAAGCCTCTCGGTGCCCCCTGACTCTCCATGTCCCCTCCGACGCCCGCCTCCTCCTTCCCTTGTCCTCCTTTCAACGCCCCTGCCCTCCGCCTTCCTCCGCCCTTTCTCTAGGTGGGGTTGAACTACATTTGCGCCACCGCCGAGCGCTTCTTCGCGGTGGGTGCGGTGCTGGGCAACATGGTGGTGGCGCAGGCGCAGATGGTGGACCAGCCCTCGCAGCGGCTGCTGAAGCACATCATCCGCTGCTACCTGCGACTCTCGGACAACCCGCGGTGGGTGGGTGGCGGCGCCGAAATGAGGGGCAGGGTCGAGCGGGGTGGCTTGGCGGGTCCCCAAAGTGTGAAGTTTTGTAGTTGCCTGGGCCCCCCACTCGCCTCCTGACCCCGGTTCCCCTCCCTCCTTCCCTCCTTCCCTCCCCCCTCCCCCCAGCGCTCGTGAGGCGCTGCGCTCGTGCCTGCCCGAGCTGCTGCGCAACGCCCAGTTCACCGCCTGCCTCAAAAACGATGACACCACGCGCAGGTGCGGGTTGCGGATTGGTGGTGTGTGCCCCGTATGTGTCTCTGGGCTGCATGTAATACAAGCCGATGGCATGCTAAGCAAGCACATGGAGTCATGTTTGGCAATGCCACTCCCAAACCGCCCCATGCGCCCATCATAGCTGCTGCCATACTTCTCCAATACCCACCCACCTGCTTGCTTGCTTGCTGCTCACCTCTCCCATCCCTGTCCGCACCCTCACCCGCACCCTTTCGAGTACCCGTATACACGTCACCCTCTCCCCCCCCTCCCCCACCCCCACCCGCACCCCTCCCCCACCCCACCCCACCCCCACCCCTCCCCCCAGGTGGTTGGCCCAGCTGCTGATCAACGTGGGCTTCCCGGACGCGGCGGCGGCACTGGGGGCGCTGGATGTGGTGCAGCCCACCCCCATGACGGGCGCGTGAGGGGGGGGTGCACACTGGGCTTGACGTGATGTGAGGGGCGTTTTCCCTTTATCACGTGGTGGCTGGTTGTCCTAACACTTGTGACGGGCGCGTGAGGGGCACGTGAGGGGAGCAGGCGGATGCTGTTGCTTGATTGGGAGGAGCAGAAGGGAGGACTGGAGGGAGGCTGTGGAGGCAGAGGTAGGAGGGAAGGGAAAGCAGCAGTGGCGGCAGAGGGTTTTGCTGGCCTGCAGTTGGGTGAGGTGTGAGATGAAGGGAGGGAAGGAGGCCCAGCAGCAACAGCAGCAGCGGGCAGGGGTTGTAGGTGGCGCCGGGTTCATGCTTCCTCTTCTTGTCGTATGTGGGGCGCAGGGGGGCTGCAAGGGACGCTGAACCGCTGAAACACGGTGTGTAGAAAGTAGGGAGAGGCGGCAACAGGGACGATTGGAGGAGGCGGAAGCAGGTGGCAGGAGGCGCAGGGAGGATGGTTTGCACTTCGGGCGGTTTGCCGCCCGGTATGCGCATTGTCGAGCCATGCTTCCGGAGGCCCTCGGGTGTCCCATAGGCTTGCATGCACGTCGAGGAGCGATGCGAGGTCGGAAGGGGCGCGGTTCGGCGTTCACGACATCTCGAAGGGCCTTGTAGGACCTATGTTATGTTACAGGCGGCCCCTGGTGCGGTCGGCGGTTCTGCTGGCGGGTATATGCATGTGCGCCGGCGTAGGGCCAATAGCCCCGCATGCCTCTAGTCCGGACGACGTGCCGGCGTGGGAGTTACACGGATGCTGGGGCTGGGGCGGGTTGTGGTAGAGCAGTCCGTGCCAAGCAGGATTGGCGCTGACAGGTAGTGCGATGGGGGCGCAGGACTGGAGGAATGGACATGACAAGGGGAGGTCGGCCTCTTTGCCGCTGTGTTCAGTGGAGTGTGACGCCTGGAGAGCCATGCAATGGGGATTGTGGGCCGCAGCAAACCCCAGCATCATGATATTGTATGAGCTGGCAAATCGTGAGCAGCCCTAGCCCTGGCTCGCGGTGCAGGGGGCCCAGTGTGAAATGAAGCAAGCATGGCCTGCACTACGGGTGGGTGGCACATGCGCAGGGCATGTTGCACTGCATATGCTCGCTTGCACTCCAGATGTACTTCCATACGCAATGGCATCCAGCTATGGTGGCTATTTGCGGTCTTGCTCGTTTGCTAAGTGACCCGTGGGTCATTCGCGACTTATTAATCGGACCGGCAAGCTGTATGGCCTGATTAAGGCCAATGGCAAACGCTCAAAGTTCTTAGCTGCAGTATATAGGAACAGAATGTATGCCAGCGGGGCGTTTGGCCTCGACTCGTTGCTGTACACTGCCGTTAACCTTCCCAAAAGGCAACTTTTAACAGTGTTATCTTACAATGGGCCTGTTTTAACCAATCGATGGCTACCTACGGTAATTACAGACAGGACCTTAAAAGCTCCTAAGGCGATTGCACTGTATTACACTTCTGAACAAGGCCGCTGCGATGCAAGCAGCAAACGCGCAAATTCCTACCCACCACTAGCCACATTAAAGCCCCATCCTAGCCCACCGCAATGCAATTCACGGTTGGCAACGCACACATTGTGGAGGCGCTCGTTCGCCACCTGATCGACCCAGCAACCCGCGAAAACGCACTTTTAGAGCTCAGCAAGCAGCGCGAGAACTTTCCCGAGCTCGCTCCCTTCCTGTGGCACAGCTGCGGAGCCATTGCGGCGTTGCTGCAGGAAATCGTGTCCATCTACCCGGCGCTGCAGCCGCCCTGCCTCTCCCCGCATGCCTCCAACCGCGCTTGCAATGCGCTGGCGCTGCTGCAGTGCGTGGCATCGCACAACGACACGCGCGCGGCCTTCCTGCAAGGTGGGGCTGAGCGGGGGGGGGTACTAAATCAAGAGGTTTGGGGAAGAGGCCTAGCCCTGCTTGCTGTAACGCGGGGATACGATGACGTAGGGGAAGGACTGGGGCAGAGCGTTGCGGCGGTGCTCTCTCCCCGTATTGCAAGCGGCTGTCGCGCATTGAGCTGCCCTGTCCTCGTCCTCATCAATACCCAACCTCGCTCACCACACCTTACCCCCGCCTTTGCTCAATCCGTCTGTACTAGACTCACTTCCTACCCTAACCCCTCACTCCTTACTTCTCGCTCTGCTCTCTTTGGATTCCTTCCCACTTCACTCTGCCCGCCTGCCCGCCTGCCCGCCTGCCCGCCTGCCCGCCTGCCCGCCTGCCCGCCTGCCCGCCTGCCCGCCTGCCCGCCTGCCCGCCTGCCCGCCTGCCCGCCTGCCCGCCTGCCCGCCTGCCCGCCTGCCCGCCTGCCCGCCTGCCCGCCTGCCCGCCTGCCCGCCTGCCCGCCTGCCCGCCTGCCCGCCTGCCCGCCTGCCCGCCCGCCCGCAGCGCACATGCCGCTGTTCCTCTACCCCTTCCTGCAGAGCACCAGTCGCACGCGCCCCTTCGAGTACCTGCGCCTGACCAGCCTGGGGGTGATCGGCGCGCTGGTCAAGGTGCGTGCGTGGGTGCATGCGTGTGAGGCAGGGAGGAGACTGGGGTCAGGAGAAGGCAGGCGACATGTGCCCTGTGCCACTACCGACTCTACCGGCCTGGTTCCATTAGCGTTACGTTGATGCATTGGAGGTCATGAGTGGCTGAGCGATTCACGTTGTTTGCGAGACCTTACCGTATTGTGGTTACGTAACTGTCTGCCGGCACTGCAGTGCTGATAAGATGCAGCCAACAACGAGATCAGCGAGCCCTGTATGTGTCACACTGCTGCTACCAAGCGACCCATGGGTCACTGCTGTGTCCCCGGCCGCAGGTTGACGACACCGACGTGATCAACTTCCTGCTGTCCACCGAGATCATCCCGCTGTGCCTGCGCACCATGGAGATCGGCACGGAGCTGTCCAAGACGGTCGCCACCTTCATCGTGCAGAAGATACTGCTGGACGATGTGAGGACTGGGCGGGGGGAGGGGGCAGGGGAGGCGGGAGGCGGGGAGCACATGGGCCTGCATGCCGGACAACCCCCCATCCAAATCCCCCCCCATGCATCTTCCCTCCCCCCAGGCCGGGCTGCGCTACATTTGCGCCTCCGGCGACCGTTTCTTCGCGGTCAGCAACACGCTGTACGGCTGCGTGGCAGCACAGGCGGCGGAGGCAGCAGCAACGGCGGGGGCGGGGCTGGCCTCTCAGCAGCTGCAGCAGCAGCAGCCCTCGCAGCGGCTGCTGAAGCACATCATCCGCTGCTACCTGCGACTCTCAGACAACCCGCGGTGGGTGCGTGGCGGCGCCGGGATGAGGGGCAGGGTGGGAGCCGGAGCACCACTCAGCATGCAGTAGCTCTTTTGTGAACATACGGGTAGCTGCCCGGGCCCCCGTTCGCCTCCTGACCCCGGTTCCTTTCCTCCACCCGCCCCCTCCCCCCAGCGCTCGTGAGGCGCTGCGCTCGTGCCTGCCCGAGCTGCTGCGCAACGCCCAGTTCACCGCCTGCCTCAAAAACGACGACACCACGCGCAGGTGCGGGTGGGATGCGGTGCGGAGGGGCCACAGGCGAGGAAGCGCATGGTTGGAGGACGGAGTGTTGGGAGCAGTGGAGCGGTTGGGTGGCGAGGTGGACTGTGGAGGTGGAGGGGAGGACGCTCGACTTGCATGCATGCACAATGAAAGTAATGCTGTGGACATGAGCTAAAGAAGGGCAGCCGCAAGCCTGGCAGGCATTCCTGGCAACCTCCCACCTCTTAGTCAACTCCCTCCTTCGGTGCTCTCCACACCCGTGCTCATCCCCACTTAACCCAAAGCTCCGTACGCCCTCACGGCCCCCTATGCCGGCCCTCCCCCAGGTGGTTAGCCCAGCTACTGGTCAATGTGGGTGCGCAGGAGGCTGCTGCGGCGCTGGGGGTGGGGGAGGTGCTGCAGCCCACTCCCATGCTGGCCGGCTGAGGAGGGGGATGAGCGGTGGCGGTGGCGGTGGCTGGAGTTCCAGAAGGTTTGGAAGGGTTGATCATGAGAAGCGACACAACACATAACGGAGCAGCTCCAAACTGGAAGTGCTGGTAGGGCAGGAAGGGCGAGGCAGCTCACCGGGAAGCGAGGGGGTGCGGTGATGATGTCAACGTGTGCGGCTCATTAGGCTGCTTGTGCAAGGAGGTGTTAGGGATCCAGTTGGGGTCCGGGGCATGAGGGCGAGGTGGTGGTGGCTAGGAGCTGGATGCGGGGTGAGCCTCCTGAGGGGTGCGTGTTAACAAAGCTGGCCGGGAGTGTGTGTTAAGAAAATTCGAGTAGGAACGTACTGGGATGTCGGAAGATGAAGTCCCCGTGTGTGTATATGCGTGAGAAGGAGCAGGTAGGGGTGCGATGATGATGCGAGGGGGCAGCAAGACACGTGGGACAGCCTTGCGCAGTGTCGCAGTAGCAGTGTGCATGCATGCAGGCATGCAGGTGGGTGCACGAGGTAGGATTGCAGGGTTGCTCTAGAGCAGTGTTGGGTGGTTGGCAGTGTTGGAAGTCCTCGAGGGTGCTAATGAAGGGTGGTGAACGGAGCATCCGGAGCAAGTGGTAATTCCTGGCCGGTAGGGCTGCGGGTTGGCACAAGCCCTCAAGGGGGTAACCAAGCCTGCAAAGGTGAGCTGTCAGGGCCAATGGTGGTCACTGACCTAACAGTGCGGCCTTGGCGCCTAAACGTCTAATGCCTAACATTGGGAAGCAAGCTGCCCATCTGTAAAGTTACAACCGTCGCTGTCCATTCGCTGCACTCTCAGCAGCGCTTGCTTGCAGGGCTCCATGCCAGTTCCACGCCCCACTCTGTCCCAGTGGCGATCGGGGGAAGAAGAGTAACCCACTGCCGCCACTGGCAGGCCATGACGTCCAGCATACACAGAACAATCAAGTGCTCCAGACCACACTGAAGTGACACAGTTGAACCACGACTTGCTTGCATGGAAAGACATCCACAGTCTCATTCCCCGCCGAGTAAAGTCGCATGGCCCCTTCCCCAGTAAAGTGGTCACATCTGCCATGTGCAACTACAGCTCACACTATATCTATACGAAAGCGGCGGCGCCCCACAGCAATATCTAACAGAGTAAAGGCTCATGCCCAGCTGTTTGCAGCCTACAAGATGCATGGTCGACGACTCAGCCGGCTGGCTGTCCCACACCCTGCATGCTGCAACTCCATAACACACTTAACCCTAAGCCCTTTCCTCACGGCACGATCCTGTTCTCATCCCATTCTTGTTTATGTGACACCCAAACCAGTAGTCGCGAGCAAACACCTATCTGTCACGCTTGGCACCTGTGCTGCACCAGCAGCCACCACAGAAGCCACCACATCCACGCACACTGCTCCCTACTGGCGCCCTACCCACAGCCCTCCTACTTGAACACCAACAGCAGTCCCACCCACATCAGTTGCTCCCCAGCAGGTACCAGCCTCCGCATCCGCTGTCCAGACAGGGCCCCTACACGAACGCGCCTGACCCCGTCCACAGCAGCTGCTCCCACAGCTCCAGCAGCTGCCGCAGCCACTCCCGCTCGCCCACTCGCCGGGCGGCCACATCGTCCCACAGCGCCTGAAGCTCCTGGGGGATACCAAGCAGCGGATCAGGTTAAAGAGCAGTGACCCGTCGGTTAGTGAAGGTGGTTATGTGGTAGGACCGTGCAATGTGGTGCTGCAGGTAGGCAACTACAAGGCTGTGAAGCCGGACAGTGCATGCAGCCTGGTTGCATGCAGCACCAGTTACTAGTACTAGTCTATTGGAGGAACAGGAAACGGGGCGGTAGCCCCTGCCGGACTCACCTTCTGCACGGCCTCACTGAACGTGTGTACCGGATCCAGATCGCCTGGCCGCCCTTCGCCTGCCACCGGAACAAGCCGGAGCTCCTCCGGAGAGTGTCCAGCTGCTGCCTCCACCACCGCCTCCACCGCCGCCTCCACGTGATCGGGTCCCTCGCGGCACTCGATCAGCACGGCAGCTGTGCCGTCCGCTACTGCTGGCAGCCCAACATACGAATCAATACACTGCAGACCATGGGGTAACACGGCGCCAGTGGTGCTCGAATGTGCACGAGCAGCCTCGTCTGCTGGGTCTGCAAGCCACTGCATGTATGCATTAAAAGCGCTTGGCGACTTGAGCAGCAGTGAGATGAAGGTGCCCTGGAGCAGCAAGAAGCGACCAGGAGGCAAGCGGCGAAGTGCGGCTGCAGCAATGTTGCCGGCTGACAGCGGCTGCTGTGGTGCGGCTGTCACTGCCGCTGATGCAGCTGACTGAACCCCTTCAGCAGCCGATGACACTGCAGCTTCACCAGAGGCCTGGGCCAGGTACGGCAGCTCGTGGCTTCCCCGCAGCCGAAGGGTGAGAGAGAGGCCATTACCGGTACCAGCAGGAGGACAGTAGACCAGCTCCCTTGGCTTACCCATCAACTCCACTGCTGCCAGTGCGGTGCGAGGGTTGGCGTGCAGTTCCCGCAGCTCAACACATGTGAAGCGGGAAAGCAGCTCTGACAGGCGCTGCCACTTTGTGTCTTCCAGGTAGGTCAGGTCGAGGGACGGCTCAGACAGGGACAGGCAGCCCAGCCGCTGCCCCACCGCACGACAAGACAGCAGCACTTCAGCCAGGCCTGCTAGAATACTGCTAGCTGGGCTTTCTGGGTCGGTTGTGAGGTAGATGTCGGTGATTTGGGCGTTTCGCAGTGTGCAGGACATTTCCTGGTGCAAGCCCTTCGTGTGCTCAAACCATGAAAAGCACAGCTCCTCGAGAGACGGAGGCAGGTTGTTGAGCAGCCGCAGCATCCCAAGTGGGTACACGTTGCTGTTGTATGAGTGGCCAATGTCAAACTTGCAGGCCTTGACGGTCAGGTGGGTAAGCTGTCGCAGTTGCGGAATGCTCTCCAGAGCGGTGTCGGTCAAGAACATCGGTTTGTTGTCATTGTAGGAGAGGTTGACCTCCAGGTGCTTGAGGCTGCTTGCCAGCAGGCTGACGTGGTGTGACAGGTTGCGCCCGGGCGCACCAGGTACCCGCAGGACCTCCAGGCTTGGCAGCTGGGCAAGCGTGTCGTACAGCAGCTTTTGTTGTGTGGCCCTGAAGGACATGGTGAATCTCGTCAAGTCAAGTTCCTGCAGCGCTGGAAGCAGGCGGAGGAGAGAGGCAACAGCCGCCTCTGAGTGCTGGGCCTCCAGCATCTCCGTGTGTACGCTTAGGCGCGTGATGCACTGCCTGACGGATGCAGGTTGGCCCAGGACGGGTAGCAGCAGGAGGGTGTGCAGTGTTTCACCATATGTGGGGCCTTGGCGTCTTTTGGGAACAACGAGGCTCAAATGGGTGCAGCGCTCCCACCGCGCCAGCGGCAGCTCCTGTCCCGACTCCCAAAGCTGGAGTTTCAAGGGCGTAAGACGAACTCTTGCCACTCGTATGCTTCCATCGACTGTATTGCGCAGCGCACGGAAGGCCAGCCGTGCGGCTCCTAAGCAGCGAAGAGATCGCAACCAGTCGACTAAGTTGTCAGCTGCCACAAGATCAAGGTTGCGAAGGACGTCATCGAAGCCTCCATGCCTCCTGATCGCAATCTCGCGTGCCATAGCAGTGTGGCACCTCCGCAAAGAGATTTGGAAAGTCTAGCAGCCGATTATAGTTCAATTAACTGTTTTGGTTTGGGAACTGGCGTCCTGGTAGATGCTTGCCAATATGCTTGCATCGGGGGGCCGCATCACGGTGGCAGCCGTACAATTGGACGGGGAGTCAAGACGCTTTACTTGCTTCTGCGCAATATTATAGCTGCCCCTTGGTTGTCTTCAGATACTGTGCGGTCGCTTCACGCAGATCCGGAAGCTGTGTTAGTTAGGGTGTTTGCTATAAAATGCCTGAACTGACTAAGGACGACAAGCAATGTTCAGATGGGGTCATGGGGAGGATCAGAACGCAGTAATTAATTCACGTAGGCCACTCGGCGTTCCAGTGTGTTATTGTCACGACTACTGTATCCCGGTATGCATCCTGTGACCCTTTCCTTGCGCTCTGCTTGTTGGCCAGTTGGTTGTAAGGCGCAGCTTTACCTGCACCGTCCTTGATTCAGGGCGCGCCGGACAGCGACACCGAGGAGGCAATCGCCCGGGCAAACTCCCATCGCGATGCCTGCACCAGCGGCACTGACGACTCCTGGCAACAAAAGGCTCAACCTGAACCAGCAGCCATCCACGACTAGTTCATATCATCTGTCAATGGCATCGTTGAATAGCACTGAGCACCTTGCACTACTCCATGCATTCCGACGTGTAGCGCCCAAGGGGCAGCCATGACGCTGCTCTTCGCCCTTCTGTCCTCCCTCTGAACCCCTGCCGCTCCCTCCCCCTTCAGCCGGGCAGCGGCAAGACGCTTACTTACCTGCTGCCAGGGCTGGTCAGGCTGCAGGTGGGGCTGCAGCGGGAACCCTGTCGCCTGTGCCTCTTGTCTTTTGGGGGGCCCTGTTGCAACTGCTGGGGTGGCCACAAGTCGGGTGGGTAACTGGGTTTGCTTACAGGCGCAACACTCGGACAAGAACAGTGGCATGTGGCGTGTGTGGCTTTCCGTGTTTGCCTCCATGATTGCATGCCCGACCTCACTTGGGGTCTTTTGGTCAGTGGTTGGGGCTCTGCGTGTACCTGGGGTCTCCCTAACAACACCACGAGGGGCCATGACGAAGCATTGTTTATCCGTGCTGCATTCTGGCAGGTGACGAGGAATGACTAAACATGATTAAATTGGTTCATGTCGCACCGAGTTGCATACCGGTATAATCCACATTGTGGGGCCTTATCATAATGGTCCTCCTTAACCGAATCTGGGCCCGCGTGCGCAAGCATGTAGGCAGTGGTGTAGCACAGTGTCATGCTTCATGCAGCACAGGGCACACGAGATGTCCGCTGTTCTAACTGACAAGTAACCAACCGTACAACTGACCATATCGTTGGTGTGTGAGAGCCCAGCTGGCAGCTATTTAAGGATGGATATACTCACATACAGCAATTGAACGCGTTGCCTGACAGATCATACGCCCGAGCTATCCCACGACCAATTCCCGTGTCCAATTCGAGATTAACGTCTGGCACTCATACCAGCAATAGCCAAGCATTTGGAGTCCCCAAATTAGCCGGCATCAGCCGGACACCTAGGAATGTCACACCAACTTGCGACCAGAATGCGTGTATTACAGGGGAGTCCAAACGACTCAAGTGTGACCAGGGACGTGTACAACTTGCGACCACTGTAAAAGGGTAGGCGCAGGTGGGGCCTTCTTACCCATTCCTGTGGGTTTTATGGGGCAACTCGTGCGTACATGCCCATTGCTTGCTTCAGGTTTGCGAGCTCGCAAACCGCTTCCGCCACGGAGCTATAAGGCCCGAAGATGCTGTCCGCCGCATGCTCGTTTAGCGCCTCCACCAGCACTGCATTCTCCTTGAGTACAGCGTACTTCTTGGCCTGCCTTATTTACTTCTGTCAGCTTGTAAACACTAGGTTCAGCAATTGAACACTTGCGCACCTTGCTAAACCCGACCCTTAGTCATTACTATGGCAGCCGTACATTTGGACGAGGAGGCAAGAGCTCAAGACGTTTTATTTGTTGAAATAAAGTACTAAACTCCATTAATTATTCTTAAGCCGGCTACTTATCGGTGAACGCCAGTGGCAAGGGCGTCTGCCTGACGCAGGTATTTTGGCTGAAGATCTCGACAGTAGCCTTCACTGGCCTTAGGAAGATATGGGTGTGGACTACGTTGCACGAAAGTCTGCCAAGAAGCGGAAAAAGAAGGAACGGCAGGCGGTCGGCAAAGATGGCGTCGCTCAGAGGGAGCGGCGGCGCAAGAAGGTATCTATACACATTAACGCTTCATCCACCTGTGTATTATAATTGCTCCCTGGCCGTCTTACAATGTTATGCGGTCGCTTCACGCAGATTCGGCGGCTATGTCAGGGTGTTTGCTATAAAATGCCCGCATTGACTGAGGAGGACAAGCAGTGGTCAGATGGGGAGGATCATAACGCAGTAAGTGATTCGCCTAGGCCACTCGGCGTCCCAGTGCTGCTGTTGTCGCGAATAGTCATAATGTGTATGCTTTCTGTGGCCCCTTTCTTGCGTTGTATCTCTTGGCCAATTGGTTGTAAGGCACAGCTTCACCTGTCACAACGTCCTTAATTCAGGGCGCGCCGGACAGCGACACCGAGGAGGCAATTGCCCGGGCAAACTCCCATCGCGATGCCAGCACCAGCGGCGCCGACGACGCCAAGCAACCCAAATCCACCAAAAAGCAGGACCAGAAAAAACGAAAGCGCAAGGAAGCAACCGCCGATGGCCAGCAGGCTGGCAAGCTCTCCACATCCGTAAAGCTCCTCGACCCCGCAGTCCTCGCGGAAAACGCTCGGCAGGCTGCGCTACGCAAGCTGCCTCCCGGCGCCAAGGCGGACGACCTGGAGCGCTTCCCGCCCCTGCTGCAGGCGTGCATGCTGTCGCTACACCACGTGGAGCCCACCCCCATCCAGGAGCTCTGCTGGCCGCCCGCGCTGGAGGGCGGGGACCTGCAGGTGGGGGGCTTGGAGAGGGCGCACACAGGGGCAGTGCTGGGGCTGGAGCTGGGATCAGTCGCCTTCAGCTGCCTTTCTTTGCGAGTAGTTCGTACAAGTCACCCCTTGTACGGCACTGCGGCGCAGAACGCCCCCCCGCCGTACTAGTGGCCCATGCTGCCAGGCATCCTGCCACAACGCACCACCGCCGACCCGCTGACCCTCTCCTCCCGCTGACCCGTACCCTTTCCCCTCTCCTCCTCCTCAGGGTGTCGCCGAGCCGGGCAGCGGCAAGACGCTGGCGTACCTGCTTCCGGGGCTGGTCAGGCTGCAGGTGGGGCTGGGGTGGGGTGGAGGCGCGGGGATCGCATGCTCACACCGTGTGTGGGGCTTTCCGTGCTTGCCTGCATGACGGCATCGCCGACCTCCTGGGGCCTCTTTAGGCCAGATGGTTGGGGGCTCTCTGAGGTTCAGAGGCATGATTACGACACGGGGTGGCGATGACGAAGCACTTGTTTATCCGCGCTGCTGATGCCTGGCAGATGAGGAGGAAAAACAAAACATGGTTGAATTTCTTGATCCGAGCCACCTGTTGTTGGGGATGATAAAACACCTGTTCTCGTAGTTGTTTCCGACCATGTACGAATGGTCATGCACTATTTGCGTTTTGCTGTACATTCCGGGATGTGCAAGCTGTCCCAAACCCTGCCAATCACTTCTTGTGGGCGATGACGATGCATGAGTTTATCCGCGCTGCTTAGCTCAAGCCGTGCTGACACTTACTCAATACTGGTTGAATTTCTTGATCCGAGCCCACAACCGAGAAGCATGAGCTACCTTCCGCTTTGGTTGGGTTTCCCGTTGGCTTTTCCAAAACCCTCACGGTCATTGATTGCCAGGGTGTTAGCTCCCCTGCCACCCCCTCTCACTCAACTGTCAGTGACGTCTCCTGTTAACCCATTCCCTGTTGCCCTCCTCCTTCCCACTCCACACGCCACTCTTCCGCAGTCCGAGGGCAACCCCGCAGCCACCGCCGCCGCCCCCGACCCCGACGGCCCCCCCGGTCCCGCGATTCTGGTGCTGCTGCCCACTCGCGAGCTGGCGCAGCAGGTGAGGGGGGGGGGTGTGGGGGGGTAGCCGGTAGCTGCTTGGGTGAGGGGGGGTGTTTTTCGGGGTAACTGGCCGCTTACTGGGATTTCCGGTTTGTGACGCATGTCTCCACGTCTTGGGTGTGCGGAGTTGCGGTTTCGCAGGGGCATGCACCTATCCGAGCACGTGGTCTCACGAAGAGGGGCGCTGCCTCTTGATTGTGGCGATGACGAAGCACTTGTTTATCCGCGCTGCTGATGCCTGGCAGATGAGGAGGAATAACAAAACATGGTTGAATTTCTTGATCCGAGCCACACATACATCCCGTGTTGTGTACAAGGGTCGCATGCGCCCTGGAGGCCCCTCTTGCCCCTCCACGCAACATGCACAATCACGCAAGCATGCCTGTCCTCTAGGCTCCAGCCTACTCCCTCCTCTGCCCTCTGACCACATCACCCTTATCGTCGCCTCCCGCCGCCTCCTCTCCTCCCTCCTCTCCCTCCTCCCCCTTCTGCCCGCAGGTTGCCGCCCAGTGTCGGCAGCTGCGAGCCGTCACGGGTCTCCGCACTGTGTGTGTTTTCGGAGGAGCGCCCCGGGAGGAGCAGGTGGGGTGGCGGGCGGGGGAGAGGGGCGGGAGAGAGGGGGCTGCATGTCACGGCGCATGCGGTGTGGTGTCCACATGTCCCCACCGCTATCCCCAACGTATTAGGGCTCTGTCCTCTGCTCTGTGCTCCTCTGCACGCTCCTGCATCACCACCCCCGCTCCTTCTATGCTCCCCCCTCCTCCACCCCCAGGCTGCGCTGCTCCGCTCCAAGCCCCCCCACGTGCTGGTGGGCACTCCGGGTCGGCTACTGGACCTGGTGGATGGAGGGGAGCTAAAGCTGGCGGTGAGGGGGGGGGTTGTAGAGGTTCATTGTTTTGGTCAGCTGGGTAGCTCAGATGTGGGGTCAGCCAGCATGCGTTAACGCATGCGTTATCGCATACTGTAACCGCCGCCCCCAATAGCCCTGTCGTCTGGATACCCAGTACAGCTGCTCTCCCCTGTCCGCCTCCACTGAAACCCTTGCATGTCAGCATGGTTGCATGTCAGCATGGTTGCATGTCAGCATGGTGGAACCTTCCTTCACTACCCCCCCTCCCGCCCCTCCATAACAGGGCCACGTGCGCTACCTGGTTCTGGACGAGGCGGACAAGATGCTCTCCCTCGGCTTCAAACCGCAACTCGACAGGTTGTACGACATGCTCCTGGCGCCGTACGACAAGAAGCAGGAGGAAGGGGAGAAGGAGGGTACGGCTGTGAAAGCCGGCGGCAAGAAGCAGAAGAAGAGCCTGAAGGGAGGTGGCAGCGTCGCTGCTGCCGCCGCCGCTGAGGCAGGAACCGCAGCAGCAGCAGCAGCAGCCCCGTCTTCAGCAGCAGCTGGCGGTGTCGGGAGTGTTGGCCGTCCGCAGGTGCTTCTGTTCAGCGCCACCATGCCCGCGGAGGTGTCGGCGGCTGCGGGTGTGTGGCTGCGGGGCGCGAGGGAGGTGCGCGTGTCTGCGGGGGCGGACAACGCAATCAGCCGCACCGTGACGCAGGTGAGGAGGGGGGGAAGAGGTGGCTGGAGAGGGGGGAGGGGGGGCACGTTGAGGGGGGCTGGAGGGACCCTGGGAAGGAGGGGCTGGGATGGGTACGGTGTGCACCGCAGCCCTCCGGGTGGGGTGCCTCTGGGAGGCGTTACAGACGGCAGGCAGTCGAGAAGCAGGGTGTTTTGTGTAACTGGGTGGCGATGACGAAGCACTTGTTTATCCGCGCTGCTGATGCCTAGCAGATGAGGAGGAATAACAAAACATGGTTGAATTTCTTGATCCGAGCCACCTCTTGGGGGGATGTGTGGTTGTCTCTGCATTTGGATTCATCCTGCACAGTCTTGCTTCTTGCGCTTTGCGGCTCTCCGTTCATGGGCTCACTTGCATGGGGCTGTACGACGTCTCGTTGGCCGTTAGCGGTACGGCAGTCGCAGCCAACTGCTTCCAATTGGGGCGATGACGATGCATGAGTTTATCCGCGCTGCTTAGCTCAAGCCGTGCTGACACCTACTCAAAACTGGTTGAATTTCTTGATCCGAGCCCCTTTGGATGGTCACATTAGCCGCGCCTTCCATTACCGTACCTTGTTTGAGCACCGTAGCACTCCTCGCACTTTATAAAGCATGATGCACGTTGTACAGCTCCGTGCCCGGCCGCTCCACCAGGCCGAACCCGCGGCCGCTGCTGCTGTGGTTGCCTTGATGCTTGCTCCCGGCTTGCTGTGCGCTTGGGAAGCATGTGCAAACGTCATTTATAAGCATGTGCATACCAGCATGCGGCATGGAACGGGCGATGATGATGCATGAGTTTATCCGCGCTGCTTAGCTCAAGCCGTGCTGACACCTACTCAATACTGGTTGAATTTCTTGATCTGAGCCCTGCGATCCTATCCACTGCAATGGGGTCTCCCCATACCTACACCTATCACAGCACAGCACCGCACCGTACGCACCCTCTCCCTCGAGCCTTGTCACCCAGCCCGTCAGTTTCCTCGTCAGTTTCCTCATGTTTACCCCTCTCCATCCTCCTCTTTTCCTCCTCCTCCTCCTCCCTCGCCCCTCTCCGCCAGGTGGTCCACGTGTGCGCGGAGCACAAGAAGCCCGACAAGCTGCTCAAGCACCTCGCCCGCATCCGCGCCTCCACCCCGGCCGGCAGCCGCACACCCCCCCGCGTGCTCGTCTTTGCCAACCGCGTCAAGACGGTTCGCTTCCTGACTGCAACCCTGACCAAGGAGGGCTACAAGGTGGCGCAGCTGCACGGGCAGCGGTCGCAGGCGGAGCGGAACGCGGCGGTGTCGGACTTCCGATGCGGCAAGGCGCAGGTGCTGGTGGCCACCGACGTGGCGGCTCGCGGTCTGGACATCCGCAGCCTGCCCTACGTGGTCAACTACGACTTCCCCTGCCGGCTGGAGACGTACGTGCACAGGGTGGGGCGCACGGGGCGGCTGGCGGCGTACGGCCACGCGTACAGCTTCTTCACGAGGAACATGGTGAGCCGGGGGGCCGGTGAGGGGAGGGGAGGGGGAAAGGGTGCTAAGGGGGGACTAGGGGAGGGCGGAGATGTGAGGGCGAGGGGGGCGGACATGTGAGGGCTAGGCTTGGCTAGGGACGCTGATAAACGACGCAGTGCCATCAATGACACCTGCATCACTGGAAGCCATCACTGGAAGCCATTAAGTGTGTAAAGTCCTTGACTCAACCTGACCTAACCCCCGCCTATCCCTCTCGCCTCCACCCCTCTCCCCCCAACAGGCCCCGCTGGCTCCTCCGCTGCTGTCGCTGCTGCAGTCGCACGAGCAGGCAGTGGACCCCAACCTGGCCGCCCTCGCAGCCGCCTGGAAGATGGCGGAGGAGAAGCTGGGGGCGGCGGGGGCAGCAGCCGCGGCGGCGCGCATCAGGGAGGAGGCTGCCGCCGGCAGCGGAAACGGCGAGGAGCGGGATGATGAGGAGGAGGGAGATGATGATGATGAGGGGGATGCCTCGGCGGCTGCTGAGGCGGCGGGGCGCGATGGCAAGTTGAGTTTTGCGGAGGAGGTGTTGGGGGCGGCTGAGGACCTTGCGGAGGGTCTGGGGCCGCGGGACGCGCGGGCTATTGCGGAGCTGGTGCGAAAGAAGCTGATGGGCGGGTCCTCGGCTGGGGAGAAGAAGAAGCAGAAGCAGCTGCAACAGCAGCAGCGGCAGAGGGAGGAGGAGGAGCAGGAAGAGGAGGAGGGGGACGGTGGTGCTGATGATGAAGGGGCTGCACGGCCCGGGAAGAAGGCACGCAAGGAGGCTGCCGGTTCTGTGGCGGCGGCGGCTGCAAGTCAGGGCGAGACGACGGCGACAGGCAGGAGCCGCCGCCCTGGAGACGAGCTACTGGTCCCCACCACCAGGGAACAGAAACGCGTTCAGCAGCAGCAGCAGGAGGGGGGAGCGGCGGGGCGGTTGGCAGCCTACCTGCCCGCCAAAAGCTTCACCGGCGCCCGGGCTGGCTACGTGTTCAAGAAGGGACCCATGGGTCTGGGCTACTACCCTGATCAGCCACTCCTGGCTACTGCAGGCGGCAAGGCCAAGCAGGCTGCTGCTGCGGCAGCGGCCAAGGGAGGGGCGGCGGAGGGTGCTGCTGTTGCAACGCAGAAGAAGGCAGCAGGCAAGGCAGCGGCGGCCGGAGCAGCTAAGCCGGCGGCGGCTGCGTCCGGCAAGACGGCTGCGGCAGCTGCGTGGGGTTTACCGACGCGCAACAAACCCATCATCCCGGTACGGCACTCGGATTTCCTGTCGGACAGCGATGAGGAGAATGGCAACGTGGGCGGATACAGCTCGGGCGACTCGGATTTGGAATCGGATTCCGACAAGCAGCCTGCTCCCTCCAAGTCTGCTGTGCCCAAGTCTGCTGCTGCTGCTGTTGCGGCTCGGAAGCGGGTCGGCAAGGCAGGCGCAGGTGTTGGCGGCAGCGATGAGGAGGAGCAAGGCGGCGGCAGTGATGGTAGCGGTGATGATGGGGATGATGATGATGAGTTCCCGGAGGGCGGGCAGCGGGCGGTGGCTAAGCAGAAGCACAAGTCGCTTCCGGGTCGGCTGCGGAAAAAGTTGGCCAAGATGAAGGCGCAGCAGGGGCAGGCACAGGCACAGGGGCAGCAGCAGCAGGGGCAGCAGCAGCAGGGCGGTGGGAGAGGAGGAGGAGCAGGCAGGCCGGCTGGGAAGAAGAAGGGGGCTGCGGGTGCTGGGAGAAAGGGCAACTAGAAGAAAAGCTGTTTTAGGGTGCATGGGTGCATATGGGTGCGGGCTGCGGTGCATGTGTCGGCTTGTGGTGCTTGCGTGATGCTGCATTGCCGTGTGCCGAGTGGTTGTGGACGCAGCAGCACACCGTGGTCTGCTGGGGCTTGTGCGCTGTATGTCGTGCTGTCGGCTGCCGATTGCTTGGGCTGCACTTTTGAAAGTGCAGTAACTTGGTTGCACTGGGTGTAAAGGACAATACAGTGTAAAGGATGTAGTCAAGTCGCCCCTACGCTCCTGACAACATGCCGAGCCTGGGCGCCGACCTTGGCTTTCCGGAGTCTGCAACAGGAGCAGCGCACATGCGTCCGCTGACCTGCTTTCGCCTGTTGCTACAACGGCTATGACCTATAAATTCAATGGAGGAAACTGCTGAGTATGTGCAGCATATGACGTAATCATGGCCAATGTGTTTCCAGTCGTGCGCCCGGTATTTTTGTTGTGAATGGGCAAATGCCGACTACCCGAAGCGAACAACAGAAGGAGATGGGGTGTGTTGCACGCAATACAATGAGAGCGGCTTTTCCAACTGTACGCACGGCGGTCTACCTCTAACCTCGGCAGTCTGGCCCCAACCTTGATTGCTGTACGGTAGATCAACGACCCTAACGAACATGAAACCGCTTTGTACGCCTCCGGACGCCTGAGGGTTTGCATCTATTTCTGGTCTTGGTGTCATCACCTGCACGCGTAGACCACGGCTCTCTTCTTCTGTTGTCCAAAATACTTAGCCCAGTAGTTTCTGTATGTGCACTGGGCGGGCTTGCCGTAATCACGCAAACATGGGCAGAAACCTGCAGACAGCATGCCGCAACTAGTCTATTCTCTGTAATACAGTTACTTCCTCCCAGACCATATCTCAATTATGGCGCAGCGGCAGCCAGCGCTTATAGTTACCTTGCAGGAACTCTCGGTTGAGGGCGCCGATTCTTTAATCGACGATCTCTTGAACGAGGAATGCCTAGGAGCTGCGCGAGCAGTGTGCAAAGCGCTGCGTGACTTTGTGGATGGCAACATGCGCGCATTGCAGCTCTACATCAACGCCAAGCGCCTCCGCACGTGGGAGGATGGATTTCGGCTGCCTCTAGAGCGCTGGCCACGATGCACCGCAGTGAAGCTAACCTTTGAAGACAACTGGGGTGAGGATGAGGAGCGCGAGGACATCGCAACTCTTCTGGTGCTGCCGTTTGCTGGCCAGCCTAGAGCCGCGTTGCAGCGCATTACCAGCTTAGAAGTAATAGAAAACGGCGAAGTGCGCTATGAGGATGACCACATTCCCGAGGGCCCCGCCATCGCTTCGCTCCTTTCCTTTCTCCCTGCGCTCCGTGAGCTGGACATCACGCACCTGTGTAATGCCATGTCACACGCCGCCGTACAACAGCACATCATGTACGGCGCCATTGCCTCCCTGCCATACCTCACCTCCCTCGCGGTTCCCTGCGGCAGCGGCCTGGAGAACGTGCGTCTCCTCGCTGACAACCTGATTCGCCTCGAGGTCTTCATGGCTCCCAATTTCGAGGGACCAGATAAGGAACTCAGCAGCGATGACGTGTCAGCCATCCTGCAGCTACGTCGCCTGCAGGTCCTGCACGTGCACCCCCGTCGCTTCGATTGGAGCGACTTCGTTCCCCCGCTTGAAGCCACATCTGCCGGAGCGACGCGCGATCGCGGCCTGCTGCCGCTGCTGGAGGGCATCGGCGCGCTCGCGGACAGCCTGCGGGACCTGGAGCTCTACCTCCGCCTCGGGTGTTTCCCGTTTACAGCCGCCGCTGCAGATGGTATCTCCCAGCTTCAGCGGCTAAGGCAGCTGACTCTGGGACATATCGAGCTTCCCGCCAGCGACAGCGGTGCTGCCGCAAGCGGGCTGCCTCAGCTGTTGAGCGCTCCGCCTCGGTCGCTGGAATGGCTGTCGCTGTCTTTCCATCTGCCGCAACGCTCCAAGCTAAAAGCTGAGCTGGTCGATTGCGGCGCCGGCCGCCGCTGCTTCAAGGACATCCAGCTTGGCAGCCGCGCCTCGGGTGTGTTCGTACCGGAGGAATGCAACCGCTTGCTGCAACTGCTACAGCTCTGCCGTACAATGCCCGGTTGCAAACGGTTGGGATGCCTCGAACTGCCCCTGCTGGGCCTACCTCCTGCCGGGAGGTACCTGGCAGTACCTGGAGTACCTGGCAGTAGCGACGAGGTACGGCAGTCCGTCCGGGACCTGCTGGCTGGCTTTGAGCGAGTGGAGTTGGGGTGCATGCAGGTGTGCCTCCAAGACCTACGCAATGGGGCGGAGCTACCGCTCCTGGCGATGCAGCTGCTAGGCAAGCCCGAGCGGCTGTTCCTCCAGGCCTCCAGGAGCGAGGTGCACGACAGCTCCCTTGCCCAGCTGCGAATCCGACGACCCGGGGAGCCGTCCATGCTGGCGCCTGCTGACCCACGAGTCGCGCAGGAGCAGAGGGAGCGCAAGATGCTGCAGCTGCAGACAGGGCCCCCTGCTGCAGAGGAGGTTGCCAAGGTAGCGCTGAAGCGGCTGGTGGCGGACGCGGGTGCGGGGTCCTCGGCCCATCCCGCACCTAACCTGCTGCTGCTGCAGGGGCCGCTCATCGGACTGTTGCAGGAGTCTTCTGGTGAGGGATTTCGCGCCTTCCTGCGGGTTATCAGAGACAAGGCCGCAGCCTCCCTTGGCGGCGGCGGCGACCCCCCCAGGTGCACGTTGTCCTACCAGCCGCTGCCGCCCGCTGCCGGCTGCAATGCCGTACTGCTGGAGTGTGGGGAGGAGGCGGTGGAGGCGGTGGAGGCGGCGGTGAGGGCGATGGCGGAAAGGCATGGGGCTAAGGAGTTGCGGGTGGCGCGCGTCGAGGCGCCGCCAGCGGTGTTGTGGGGTGACGTGCAGGAGTGGGAGCCCTGCAAGGGCGTCTTCACGTGGGCCCTACACCAGGTGGGGGGGGCGGGGGTGGCATGCGGTGGGGACGGGTGTTGGCAGATCCTAGCAAGTCCGGTCGAGGGATGGGTGCGGTGAGGACGAGGGCGAGGATGTCATCCATGGTTTTGGCAACAAGGGCCGCTGGGAGGTGGTTCAGGGAATCAGGGTTGCTAGGAGGTGGAGAGAAGCTCTATCGTTGGCCGCCTCGCACGTGAGATCCCCTGCAAGCAAAAGCTTTGCCACCATGCCTCGTTTCCTCGTTGTCAGTTTCCTGCATCTGACGCGGCGGTTCCTTACGCAGTCGTCCTTTCACTGCGAACGACCTGACATGCGACCCCACAACTGCTGGGCTATCCCTCCTGTCTTCACCCAATTTTTCTTTTTTTTTCCGATGTGACCCAGTTGTGTCCTTACCCCCATGCCGCTCGTCCCCGCCCCCCGCCCCCTCAGGAGCTTCAGGCGCTGTGGGACGATGTGGCCGCCCGGCGCCGAGTGGGCGAGCGGGAGTGGCTGCGGCAGCTGCTGGGGCTGTGGGAGCAGCTGGGCGACCTGCCTGCGAGGGTGGCGCTGTAGCCGGGTGTGTGCAGGACGAGGCGGTGCTGGGTGCACCACCGGGCAGGTGGTGAGGGGAATAGGGTGGTGTGTACGAGCAAGCAGGGAATCGATTGCGACCCTGGAAGGGACGGGTGCACCTGCATCCTGGCGCTGTTGTCTGGTTGTGGGCAGGTATGTGGGTAGGCTTCCCGGCGTGTGAGTTGGTAGGCTTCCCATGCGAAGCTGTAAGAACGTGCCAGCTTTAACACGCCCGATTTTGCCGCACGGATGGCTGCACTTTGGTTACTGACAAGCGATGACACGGGCATACGTAATCGTAAATTAATCATTCATGATGTGTGGATGTGTCATGAGGCTTGTGACCCACGGGTCACGTGCCCTGCATGGTACTGGGCTAAAGGCTGGTAGTGATGTCACGCAGCACCTCTGTACGGCACAGCGCTACGACTAGTGCCCTGTTCCTTGGGTGCTTCGTGTCGGGGCGTATGTGAAACGAGTGATGACGAGCTACGAATTGTATGATCTTACGGGTTGAAGCTGGGAACCGTACCGTACCTCCCAGTGATCATCGCGCAAAAATAAATTATTTGGAAAAATGTGTATTAACGCGCAAAAATAAATAATTGGTCCGGGGCCTGTGCGTTAATCAAAATAAATTCCCCAAAGGACTGCGCGTTAACTAAAAAATTGCCCATGGCGTGGCCCCCAGTGCGTGCTGACTCGAAATTCCGGGTTTCGCTCTTTTCCCGGCCCCATCCATACCCACACCTCCTCTCTGATCCGTTTTCAGCCGTAGCTTTAAGTTCATTGCTCTGCTTTTCCGGTCATTATAGCATAGCTTTAGGCTACTGCAGTACTACTTTAAAGGCTGCGCGAAGTGGAAAATAATTGCTCAGACCCCTGCGCGTTACAAAAAAATAAATTCCTTACAGCGCTGCGCGTTAAAATAAACAATCCCTAAATTTCCTGCTGCGCGGTGATCAGACACAGGTACGGTATACAAGGCAATGTGAAGTGGGGAGGCGGATGTTGAAGGGTCATGAAGGGCGGATGTTACATGGAGGAGTGCAGCTGTTGTTGCGAGGCACACACCGCAGGAGAGGCATGACGAAAGAACTTCGGAGTACCAGTATTGCGGCAAAGCAGGGGCCGTTGAGGGTGTGCCTGACTTCAGCCTGTCTTCAGGCTTTGGGAAAGATGAGACTCTTTGGAACTCTCTTCTGGCCCAGAGGACGAAACTACAGCAGCCAGCAACCCGACGCGAGTAAGGGTACATACCAGTACAGCCGTTTGGAGCTTTGGAATTAGTCACGAGATTACACGCCCAAGTAACATCTATTATCCGTAAGGTAGTCGTACAGTAACAGGCAAAGTGGTACGGTGGTACTGGCAAGGTACGGCAAGCACAGCACATCCGGCGTGCATGCAGCTGTAGCGCAGTGGACTCTGCCAGCATGCAGCGGGGCGATTCAACTGCTCGCAAGCTTGGTTTGTGGCAGGGGCGAGGGTATTGTAGGTGCCGAACGGTTGCGGCCGGAGTCTGCAACGAACGCTTACTGCGACGTTTAGTTGTCACAAATCGGGGACAAACAGTAACGTTCTAGCTCCTTACACAACGCATAGCTACTTGTGTTGCGCAAAGTGCTGAGGTCGCGGCTACCCTGCGAACGTGAATTCCATGGAAACCTGTAAGAACGAATTCCACATCCCACAGCCGTGTACTGCACATGAACAGCTGCAATTTGTACCGAAGTTTATGCTATATTGGTAGAATGCCGCGTACCATGACAAATGTGCCAAAAGTGCTAGGCAAAGCCATTGGACAGACGGGGGACAATAACCAAGGCAAGCCCGCTAACAAAATTGCGCAAAGTGCTTAGTTAAATTAACTTCACTGGCGGTACCAGTACCGGTACTGCTGCGCGCCTAAGCAAGGACATACCGGTAGTCAGTTGCCCTGCCTGCGATTGGGCATCAACGCCTGTATCATTCAGCGTATATTATAAAGTTCAATAAAATGATTTTCAGTTCCCAGTTGTTCTACCTCCTGATTACGCAGCTAGTCGTACCTGTATATGCATGTAGTTCACAGTGAATTCTGTGAACTCGAAGTAGCAAGTTCTCATTTGCCATTCCGTACATAGAACTAAACGCTTTACTTTGTCAGTTCTGTAAGCTTCTTACGCGAAGTAATACCGGTATACTGCTACATTTTCTTCGTCAGGCCACCAGACGTGCAGACCAATACCTGATTTGCATACCTGAAGGCCTGCACTCGGAAAAGCAGACTTGTGACAGTATGTGCCCCTGCACGCTAGTTATGTCGCTCCCTCCCAGTTCAAGCCTAACCGCGGAATGGCGACAAGTTCATGGCCTGGACTTCCTTCACGAGCTGGACCTTCCCCCAATTGACACAGGTATATATGTTTGCAGCAATAAACACAGGCTATTTTCAAGACGTCCGCTGGAGGCTCGGCTTATGCACAAAGCAAGCGATTAGCGATAAGAATCAAGCGAAGCGAAGGACACTTTTAACCCATATTCCGCGTCTGATAACCCTGCAGTTCCGCTGGAGCTTGTGCCATGTGTGGCCGCATGGGAAGTACTGGTGCCGTTGACAGGGTCTGGCCTCCAACCTGCACGACCGACCACAGCAGCGCAGCAAAGGTGCGCCCTGAGGTCGATACGTTTGGTCAGTAATATTTATGCCGACCTCATCCAGCTGAGCTCGGCGCAAGCCTCTTCAATTTTGTCGTCGCGTTCGGTCCCTCCATCCCTGACTATGCACGTACTGTGCTTGCTACAATGCCTTGCGCTTAGCCAATCCGATGTATAATATTGTGAACAGTTATTCCTTGCCCTTCAGCAACACTCCTCTTGCTCTACCAAAGGCAACCCAAATTCCAACATGCCTCTTTTGCTTGCCTCCCTCCCGTTGTTCTGTGCAGTGCCAAGACGACAAAGGGCGACTAACTGCGTGGCTTGCGTGTTTCGACAGTGGCTTTCGAGTCGCATGAGCATAGCGACAATATCTTCGTACGCGAAGACACTGTGTATAAGCACGTCGCCTCGCCGGTGTTCAAGCATTCTCCAGTCGGCTCGTATGATTCTTGTGGTAGGAACGTCTAACGCCAATGGGGACCTGTCAAGGTAAACGAGTGAACCCGAATGAGGAAGGGTAGTTTGCAAGGGTCTATGCTAAGACATCCCTGACCTGAACACGTGGGCTCTTCATTATGCAAGCCAGCGCACACCTGGCATAGAAAACCGAAGACGCGGACAATGGCAACGGAGGAAATGATTATGGGGATGCGAAGGTGGGCAAATTGAAGTGAGTGAGCTCTGTGAATCTATCAATGTGAAGCGGCATCGTAATCAGGAGCGCGTTTTCGTGAATGTTTTAGCCATACTTCAAGTCTTCATGGTATCTTACAGACCTAGATTTCACCTCCAACCTTGCACGGGTTGTGGAGGTGCCTGCGTGTGTTGCACAACATTGTGGGTTTCACGTGTTGCGAAATGTGCATGTCTTCGGTGGATCAAAGAGGTCACAGTACACGCTGGAACGCGTTTTTGAACGCGGATGTGAGCCATGGGCGCTCCCATGGCGTACGTTTGGCGTTGGGCTAAAGTTCGGGGTTCGGGGTGTTTGCGCCGGGTGGGGCTTTTCCCAGTGGGATGAGGGTACGTTGTCTATGTGTAGAGGGTTATCAATTTAGGCGCTGACTTATGCCCTAATTCCAATTCACTACCTCCAAACCAAACACCATCATACCATACTTAATAACCCTTTATGTCTTCCTATTTATCATCATGTTTTGACGAATATCTCTGGGCCGTTACCGTACGTATGCGGAAAGCCGAGCGAGGCTGATCAGCTAGGTTTTACAAGAAGCAATTACCGGGCAGTTTTTGGCGCGTGCTGATGAGTTGCTGAAGGTATCGCAGGGAGTCTTGCTAGGCAGGTGAGCTGGGCCAGTTCTGTGCTAGTGTCCTAGGTGCCAAGAGTTCTACAGGTTGCCACAAATGGCCTAAATAGGTACGCACCCTTGCAGTTGTGTGTACGGCAGTGGTCCAGAAGTAGTAGGTGCAGCTGTACTAATTACCTAATCACACCGTGAGTTTCCAGGGTGTGACTTAGATTGCGTTTTGCAGTAAGGAGAGTACCTAACGTATGTTCATGTGTATCAATTTCAATGTGTTGTCTTTTACCATGACCCATGGGTCAGCTTCATTTGCTGGTGCCTTGGGGAAAACCGGTTTAGGCATTTCGGCATCCGCGGTACAGCAGCCGCGTGCAGGTTGCAGCGCATAGGTTACTGGACTCGTGTCGGTTTTGGTTGGCAGGAGACGTACGTTACAGCTTTACAGAACCGGTTGGTGATTTGTTGTTGTTATAAACTCCGTTGCTGCTACGTTCCCTATGTATGTAAGGCTGCTATCAATATTTGGATTGGAATCATTACATGGTTCGCCAAGTAGAACCAGACCAATGCACTCCAGTACGACACAGCTCAGGATACTTTCATTGGGAGCTACGTGCAGCGCCCCTCCTAAAACCTGCTTCGACGCAGGTGGTTTGGCTATTATCCCAGCGCTTATCCCACACATTCGACCAGGTGAAGCATACTAACCAGGTATGCAAAAGTGCATCAAATGCAACATCTGCATCGCACACAAGCCGTGTGTCAAAAGCGCCAGTCAGCCAAGCACGCACGCACACACAGGACGGCACAGAAAGGCCCTTATTCCGCCGACACATGCACGCATGGGACTCCTCTGTCGCAGAGGAAATTCAGTTCGTGAGGTCCGAAGAAGAACATTGGAAACGACATCCAACACCCGTGCACTCGCGTTTGATGCCCACCATCTGTCACGTGTGTAGTACGAGCAAGAGCTGTACGGAACATTAGCTGCCGTACCAAAGCAAGCGCTACCTCAACAAGGCCAACAGACTTCAACAGCAGTGGGGTACTACGGGTATATCCCCGTCAACCGCAAATGCCGTCATCGATTGCAAGCGTAAAGTTTGCCCCATCTAAGTCTGCCCCTCACTGGTATAAGCATCGGACGTACTTATACACACACACGAACCAGGAAGCAAGACAAACCCTCCAGGGCTGCACCCAAGCGCACTGAAGAAAAAACACACATGGGTAAAACAACAAGCCGTCTGTGACCTTGCAACCTCAGCTGCCCCTTGTGTGTGACCAAGCAAAACTCCAATCACGCTCCGACACGCTCAAAGACAGATATGAATGGTACCTTACCGGCATTTCGAGCGATCAATGCACACGGATATCAACAAGCAACCAATCGCGACCCCATCATGCCGTGCCAAGCAAGTCGCGCACCCCTACCCCGAGTAACACATAACGGCTAGAAGCACGATGGGAACATCGCAGGTCCAATACGCATGCCAGCATCGCCAGCAGCCCACTGCATACGGCAGTTCACCCCAGCATACAATCAATAATACCGCATAACACTCTTAATGTACAATACTTTGCATTAGTTGTAGTATGTTGCTTATTGACAGGTCACGCAGCCACCACGTCCTTCTGAAACACGCGCTGCTATCAAGCAAGCATGCAAGGAACATACACATGTACTGTCCTGCGTTAGTGGTATTGGTAAGGTAAGCACTGCTTATGGTATTTGTTGGTGGCATGCAACCTGGAACCCCCCCCCCCAGCTAGCCTGCCGTCCCAGCCAGTCCAAGCGCGCTCAAGAGAAAGCAAGGCGAGGTACATTGCACCTCGTGCTTACTCGTCACGCAGTCAACTCTCACCCACTCACGCCGCAACACGCCAGCACCAGGTTTCTTCTTCTTAACACACTTCTTAGCACCGAGACGAATACACGGCACCATTAACCCCTCACCGCCACACCACCGCCATCACTAGCACCCGTACCCGTACCCGTGCCTGTCCCCGTCGCCGTTCCCCCCATCATACTCGTCCCCGTCCCTGTCCCCGTCCCCGTGCTTGTCCCCGTTCTCCTAGGTCCGTACTTCCCCCCCGCCCCCGCCTGCATCTGACCCGCCAGCGACCTCCGATACCCGCCCATCCCCACCATCTCATCGCCCTTCTGCCTGGCACCTACACCAAACACCGCCCCCATGTCGTCCAACGAGTACCCAAACTGCGACAACTCAACCGGCGTCGGCAGCCGAACCGGCTGACCCGGGTTACCGCTGCTGCTGATGTTACCCCCCACACCATAGCCCGCTGCTGCTGCTGCTGCCGCTGTTGCCATGCGGTGCGCTGCCTGGTCGGATGCATGCAAGGACGAGGCGAGTGCGGAGGCGGTGTTGCTGCCGGGGTAGGACAGCGCGGTCTTGTCGTTATCGCGGCGGCCCAGGCGGCTGAGGATGCGCAGCTCGGTGCGCTCCTGGGACCATGTGGTGGACCAGCGGGAGAGGATGTACTTGAGGTCGTCCAGGGAGGGCTCGGAGAGCTTGTGGTTGGCCAGCGGGGGGGCCTCCGTGTCCATCTGGGGGTGAGGTGTGAGGGTGGGGGTGTGTGGGTGGGTGAGAGGAGGTGTGGGGAAGGGGTCCTCTAGGTGGCACGACAGGCCACATAACGAACACATCTACACTCAGCCAGCGTCCTCAACATACAAATCACCTCCACATTCCCCAGGCCCCCCCCCAGCTTGTTAGTTGTCTCGTCAGTCTCCTTCTTATCACCCCGTCCATCCCCCCCCCGTCCGCTCCCCCCCCGTCCACCGTCCACCCCCCCCCCCGTCCACCCCCCCGTCCGCCCCCCAAGTTCCCTTCTCACCTCCAGCGGCAGCTCGGGTCCATCCACCAGCGGCTTCCCCGCCCCGCCGCCGCCCGCTCCACCCCCCCGCCGGCGGTTGCGCCCCGGCAGCCCATTCACCCCCGCAAGGTCCCGCAACGACACGCCGCCGTAACGCCTCTGCCCGCCGCCGCCGCCGTCACCGCCCCGCTGGCGATTTCCGCCGCCCGCTGCGTACCGAGCCCCCCGGCCGCCGAGTCCCCCCGTGAAAACCGGGCCGTCCCCCGTCGGCACGAACGCCTTGTTAGCAGTGGAATAGTAGCCCAGCAGGTCCCGTGGGACGCCGAACTGGTAGGCGGCTGCCGGCGCGTCCATGACTCGTACACGGCCGGGGGAGGAGCGCTGCGGTTGCTGCTGTTGCTGATCGTAGGGGGCGTTGCCGTCCTGAGCTTGTCTGGGCGGGGAGAAGGAGGAGGGGCTGGAGGAGGAGCCACCCGCAGCAGCACCAGCAGCCGCGCCGGCTGAGGAGGAGCCCGGAATGGCGGGTAGTGCGTAGGTGGTATGTGGGGAGCCGACGGGGAGGGAGGCGGCGGCGTTGGGGGAGGATGGAGAGCGGCCGGGCATGGGCGGGAGGGGGAAGCCGTTGGAGCCACGTGGGGAGGCGGCTCCCTTGCCCGCAGCCGCTGCCCCTCGGAAGCTGCCGCGGGGAGAGGAGGGGGCACTACCGGAGAAGGAGGTGACGGCGGTTAGACCTGCCGCCTGCCGTAGGCCGCCGCGAGGAGAGTTGACGCCGCCGCTCTCAAATGCCGCGCCCTCGTAAAAGACCATACGTGGCAGAATGATGACGTTTTCATGCAAGTGTTTGGACAAGGTCGTTGGGTCTGAGGTTGCTGTTGTTGCTGCTGCGGGGGTTGTGTTGGGGTCCGAGGGTTGCGCACGTGGCTGGGATTGAGAGCGGTTGACGGTTAGTTGGGTGGTTAGGGTTGTTGCTGTTGCGGCGGAAGAGGAGGGGTCAGTGGCGGGGGCGGAGGCGGCGCGAGAGGGATCCGCAGCGCCGCCGCTGCTAGTGATGGTAGCGGCGGCGGTGGCGGTGATAGAGGCAGCAGCAGCAGCAGCAGCGGCGGCGGTTGTTGTTTTGTTGGCGGAGGCGGTGGTTGCGCCGCTGCCGGCCGCTAACGGTCCGGCTGACATGATGGTCGTTAGGCGGTTGGCGGTTAGCTTGGCGGTTGCTTCAGACGACGCGAGCTGCGGTACGGGCAGAAGGCACAAAGGCGGGCAGGTGAGCTGGCAGTGAGGTTCAGGAAGCACAACTGGTAAAGGAGATCACAACAACCCTCGCACAGCAGCCCCGCGCTTTCCACCCTGACCACAACAACACATCCTTGTACATCACCACAATGCCTCCCAGCGAGCGCCCAAACCCACCCACCCACACACCTACCCAGCCCACCCGGCCCTACCACACTACCCACCTGTACGACAGCCGTCTTGATCAGCGCAGGCGAGGGAAGCGCGCCTGCCGTACCGGGAGTCCCCGGCGCCGGCGCCGCCCTCAGGTATGGCAGCGAGGGCGGCACGTGCGCCTGCCCCGCCACCAGTGGGGTGCCCGGGGGGCCCGCCATGGCGGCACTGCTCATGGAGGCCGCACGTTGGGGTCCGGAGTAGGAGGGGAAGGAGGGGGAGGGCCCCAGGGAGGCGAGGGAGGACTGTACGGCAGGTGCGGGGCTGTAGGTGTGGTGGTTGGGGTGGTTGGCAGGGTGTAGCTGGGAGGTGGATTTGGATGCCGCCAGCGTGAGGGGCTCCACGTGTGACAGAGAGGAGCCGCCTGCTGCTCCCCCGGTGGAGAAACTGCCTTGTCCGTACACCAGGGAGGGATGCGAGGAGGAGGCCAGGGCGGAGGAGGACTGCGCGGAGGGGCGGACGGAGCGCCAGGGGAGGTCGGGGACGCTGCCGCTTTCATGGGGACTACCGCTGCTGCCGCTGCCGCTGGGAAGCACCAATCCCGCCGCCACCACACCTCCTGTCAGCTGCATGCCGCTACTGCCACCGCTGCTGCTGTTATTCGGATCCACTGCCTCCAAGGAACCCACCGCCTGCACCAGACTGATCTCCCTTGATGAGGATGTTGGTGCTGCTGCTGCTGCTGCTGACGTCATCGCTGGCCCCCCTGCAGGGGCCGAGGAAGACAAAGAGACGCCCGCTTGTGCTGCTGACGCAGCTGCTGCTGTCGTACAGCCCTCCGACCAGTCCGGGGACCCCCCAACGGAGGCACCTCCGATAACGCCGCCCGCACCGCCAACCCCGGCATCATCATCGCTGTCGTCTTCATCACAGGATGACGTGTAATCGCAACGCGCGTCCACGTCAGATGACATGGCGGCAACCGCTGCTGACACCACCCCCGCCGCTGCAACCGACATTCGTACATCCGGCAGTACGACAGTTAAACTCGGCCCCTCACTGCCGTACCTCCCGTCATCCCCATACACCTCCACGCAGCTCCCCTCCCCCCCACCGCTCACCCTCATCCCCGGTGGCACCCCTCCCCTTCCATGCACATTCAAACTCGACGCGCTGTTCGCCTTCCTCAGCGCGTTAACCGCATCAAGGCCGCAGGGCGCGGGGCTGACCACCTTGACCAGGTTGGAGTGGTTTTCCAGGACCAGCATGGCCACGTTCCCCGCGAAGGGTAACCCCAGTTTGGTGCGGTGCGGGGCGCGGGGGCGGCCGTTGCGCGACTTGCCACCCGCGGGATCCGGGAAGACAGCCAGGGAGGAGAGCTCGGAGGCCAGGGAGGGAGGCATCTGAAAGGGAGGAGACGGGAACGAGGGGAAAGGGCGGGGAAAAAGGGGGAGCGGGTATAGGTGGGGTGAAGGCACAGCATGTACATCGCTCTTGGTTTTCCTGCATACGTACATCCGCGTGTATGCGTTGGTTCCATGCGCTCGTACTTCATGCCTCCCCCTTCCCCAAACGCACCCCCCCCTGTTGTTACTCTTCTTTCCTCCTCAACTCCACCCCACCCCCCACCCCACCTGCGCCGGCGGCGGTGCCACCAGCCCCAGCTCCCTGGCCATCCCCACACAGGGCGCCCGCATGCGCGTGCGGGGTATGGGCACCGGCTGCGCCACCACCGTGGTGACGTGGGTGGGATCGCCGCCGCCACCACCACCCCGGGGGCCCTGCTGCTGGGGTTGCGGGTGGGGGTGCGGCTGCTGCAGGAGGGAGGAGGAGGTGGAGGGCTGCGGAGCTCCACTGCCGCCGCCTCCGGAGACGGAGGAGGAGGCCATTGTTCCTCCCCCACCTCCCCCCGCCCCGGCCGCCACTGCCGCCCGTTGCGCCGAGGGCAGTGCGCAGTCCACCACCGCCTGCCCCACACCGCACACCAGCTTCATGACGTCGCCGTGCTGCAGGGCGCCGGGGACGAAGAGGGAGGAGTCGGCCACTGCGGCGGCGTAGCCTGGGGGGAAGGGTGGGTGGTGGTACTGTTGGTTTGTGTGTTGTGCAAAGGGGGTGAGAGGGACAGGATGAGCAGCCAGGAGCTGGTGCTGCCAACAACAACAACAACACCAGCTATCGGTCGTCCCGCTGTCGGCAGGACCTTACACGGCTCCACTGCTCCCATGCGCACGTACACTGCAGCTTCCTGCCGCCGCCCCCTCACGCGTTCCCTTTTCCTTTTGTCCCTTGCCACTTCACCTTCCCAGCCCACCCCAGACACCTAGGCCCCCCAACTCCCAACCCCCAGCCCCCACCCAACTCCGCACCCACCCATCAGCGGCAGCCCGCTCCCCCCCTCCGCCCCGGGTGTGACGGGCACGTAGTGCGCCATGAAGGATGCGGCCAGGTGCGTGTCGGGCAGGGGGGCGGGGGGCAGGCCCCGGTCGCCCATGAGGGCAGCAGAGGTCTGGGGAGGGGTGGGGGGGGGGGGGGGGGGAGGGGGGGGTCAGGGCAGGGGGGAAACAGATGGTAAGTGAAGAAGGAAGGGGTGGGGGAGAGGCAGGGTCTAAGACCGGACGGCAGAACCCAGAACCCAGGTACCGAGGTACATCCCAACAGCCCAACAGCCCAACAGCCCAACATGCTGACATGGCGCCCACGTCACCCGCCGGTACGTGCCACCAGCAGCAGCACAGCTCCAACCCAGTGCGGCACCCCCCCTCCCCCCACCCCCCACCCCTCCCCACCTCCCACCCCCCCACCCACACCACCTCCCACCCCCCACCCCCCCACCCGCCCCACCTGCCGTACAGCCACCATGTGAGCAGCCCGCTCCCGGTGCATCTCAGCCTGCGAGGGGGGAAGGAGGGAGGGGTAGCAGGGCTGACTAGGGGTCGGGTAGGGAGGAAAAAGAGGAATACCCAGTGTGTTGTTTCTTGGCTGAGAGCATGGAGAGGGAGAGAGGTGGTGTCCAGAGCACAGGAGGACTTGGCGGCTCCTCTGGGCAACACACCAACCCGCTGCCTACTCCCCTGCTTCACTTTTCATTCATGTTATGTCCTCGCTCCTCCCCCCCCCAGCACCCACCCACCTGTCTCAGCACCAGGTCCCTCAGGCTGGCCGCCTGCTCCCGGCCGAGCAGCTGCTCCAGGGAGGCAATACCGCCCGTCACCTCGAGGGACATGACCTGCGCAGGGAGGGGAGATGAGGGGGAGGTTGTGAGAGGCTGGCTGTAGGCAGTGCGCTATCCGCCCACTGCACGCGTCAGCAGGGCTGTCTGCGGGGGGTCACCTGGCGCTCGGGCTCAGGCCCTTCGTCCCTCCCATGCTCCCCCCCTTACCCTCCCCTCCTCCCACACGCACCTTGAGTGTGGTTGCCGCCACCACTGTGAAGCAGGAGGCCCTGCCGTGCAGGATCATGCCGTTCACAACGTCACCGCGGGACAGCAGAGCCAACTGGGGGGGCGGGAGGGAGGGGGAGGGGGAGGGGGGTAAAGAAGAACAACCATGGGAGAAGGAAGGAGGGAGAGGTAAGGAGAGGGAGATGCATGCGAGGAGCGGAGATGCATGCGAGGAGGGGGAGATGCACACGTGCAGCTCGTCAGCCGTTGACCCCCTTCAGCCCCTGACGGCTGGACAACTGAAAGCTTTGCGGACCTGCAGTCGAACCAGTCGGCGGCACCGGCCTTCAAGACCGCCAGCAAGCAGGAGCCCCCCACCCCCCTCACGTCCCCCTCACACTACTACAACTGCACGTACCCGCTGCTCCCCCTGGCTATGCCACCCCTCGCCCACACACTTCATATTCCGGCAAAAACAGTTGTATACAGTTCCGACTCGCGACCAGTTTTCTCAACACACATCCCCACCCCACACGTCCCACTCACCCGCCCGCCCAACCCACCTCATACACACACGACTGCTGCCGCTTCCTGAAGCCCCTGCCGCCGCCCACTCCTCCCCCCGCCCCCCCTCCCCCTACGCATGTCGTACACCCGCCCGCCCCCGCCCCCCCCATCGCCGACTCCCCCGACTGGCTGCTGCCGCCGCCAGCCGCCCCTGAGATGCTCTGCCCGCCCTGACCCGACCCGCGCTCCCCGCCCGCCCCGCCGGAGGAGCTCACAGCGCCGGCGCCGGCGGCCGAGGAGGAGGCACCCAGGCTGCCGGCCCCTCCTCCCCCTCCCCCTGCTGCCGCTGCTGTCGCTGCCGAGGTGCCGCCAGAGAGACCGCTGCCGGAGGGGCCGGGTCGCTCGGCTAGGAGGCGGTCCACTGGGGGCGGCAACTGGGGAGGGATGAGGGACAGGAGGGATAGGAGGGAGAGGAGGGGCGAAAGGGTCAGGAGGAAAGGAAAAAAGAGTCAGACTTCAATCCGCACGCCTAGTTAGGAAAGGGTGGTGAGCAGCAGGAGGATCACCACCCCGCCGCACCTCTCAGCTGCCCCCTTCCCCTTCCCCGCCTCCCCCTTCCCCAACCTGCGTGGGCGGCTCCGCCACCCACAGCAGCTTGGCCTGCCCCTCCACTACGAAGAAGAGGCGCAGGGGCGGGCAGGCGGGGTCCACCACCGTACTACCCGCGCTGAAGGTCTCATCCTGGGGGGAGGGAGGGGGGAGGGGAGGGGAGGGGAGGGGAGGGGAGGGGGGAGGCAGGATTAGCGAAACAGGGCATACCCGGACGGGGGCGGTGAAGCCGCCTTGCCGCTCAGTTGCGTCAAGCACGCGCGTGCCTTTCGCTTACACATACGGTTCAGGTTACGTGGTGCAAGCCACACAGCTGAAGCAGTTGGCTCAGGCATCCAGCTCCCGCCATCCCACCGCTCACCCAGCCTCTCCCCACTCAGCCCAGCTGCCCACCTGGCAGAACGTTGCGATCCGCGAGAGCGAGTTCTGAGAGGATGCGGACTTCATGATGGCCATGCCCTGAGCGGAGAAGCAGCAGCAGCGGGAGGAGGGAGATAAGGTGGTGGTCAGCAGCGAGAGTGGCTTCCTTTTGCTGTGGAAGTGGAGGTAGGGGACTGGCTGGACAGCGTCGCGTGAGCAAGGTTCATGGCATTGTGCGCAGCAACCGCCGTCCGCCGACCTTCCTATCCATGCCGTTATAGGCACTAAGCGTGGCTGAAAGTTGATTTATGCGGTAAGTAGCCAGGTTATGTGTTGAGAAACAATTACGCCAAACGTGGTCCGGAATCCGGGAAACAGCTAGCAAGTTTAATACGCCCGGCAGCCGTTATTGTGTGTGTCTCTTGCTCCTTTGACCCCCTATGTAAGCACTTGCGCAATGCCATCGGGCTGTAATTGACGATTTAGGCGATCGGCCCTGAAACTCCCCAACAGATAACCTCCCCACCCGCCATCGACCTCACACCCTTGGAACGTGCCCGTTGACACAATTGCGGCCTACCTGGAGAACTTTAAGCCGAACTGCCACGGACTTCTGAAGCTGGTTCCGGATCAGACGCTGGTATCCCAGCTTGGAGACAATGGCAAATTCGGTAGGCTGCACAGGCAGGTTTTAGTAGGCCAAGAAGAATAAATAGGTAGGAATTGAACAAGAATATAAAGACCAGAAGCAAGAGCGCTGCTTTATCAAGCTAGTAAATGGAAAGTGCTTAGAGCAAGTGCCCGTGGCGAGTATTAGGTAGGTGATGAAGCCGCCATGTTCAGTGTCTCTATACCTAAACGAACCACCTAAACATGCATAGAGATACTTTACATGACTTTGTGATGTGATTGCAGTTAGCCACTGCGATGTGCGGTCGTGCAGGATGCACGACTGCGTTGCAGGACCGCTATCTAGGGCATGCTCGTTGATTCTAGGACTAAGGTGCAAGTTCCATAATACAATCGCATATTACTACGCGTCCAGGGCTCTGACTTGGCCTAAGAGTCTTGCAAGCATACGGCCATTAGCTAGGCCCTTTCTAGCCTAGTCTCCAAGCATTTGTGCAAGATGCGCCTTAATCAAACACGGTACACGCCGCAGGGCTGTCCCTGAGGTCCCCAGCAATCCCAGCAGCATTACCCATCCTCCCGCCCGCCAACGCACCTGCGTGCACCTTGCCGAGAAGTTCCGCTTCTTATCGAAATTACCGCCTCCCACCGCGGCTCCGGAGCTGCTCCCCACGCCTCCGCTGCCGCTGCCCGACCCCGACCCCTGCTGTCCCGACACCCCGCTGGGCCCCACCGCCGCAGCAATGGCCTGCGGCGTCAGCGTGCCAAAGTGCTGCCCCGTTCCCACGATGGCAATGTCCTCCAGCACCTTGCGAGACTCGTTGTAGCGGCTGAGCGCCACCTCGCCCTGCGGGAGGAAGCGGCGGGAAGCGGCCGGAAGCGGCGGGAAGCGGTGGGTTACAGCTGGAGCCAAATCGGGAACCAGGAAACACGGCTTTGCCTCCCCAGGACGGCGAGCCCAGGACGTCCCCGTACGGCACCCCAGAGTACGACAGCCCCTGCCTCCCCTCCCCCCCGCCCCGCCCCCACCTTGAGTACGATGTAGCTGAAGTCCACCTTGTCCCCCTCCTCGAACAACACAGTACCTGGGTGGAGATAAGAAGAATCCCAAGGTGTTTAATGATGGGGGGGAGGCGGGTAAAGTAGACCAAACCATATAAAACCACAAAAGGGCAAACAGCTGCTGGCTTGGTAGACGTGGTAGCTAGGCTCCAGCTCTACCTGCCCCCAATCCTCCCCCAGGTAAAAGATAGGTCCCCTCTTTACCCCACCCACCCTCCGGCAGCGCCAGGAACTCCGCTAGGCCGCACAGCTCGGGTCGGAACTCGGGGTCGGTGGCCTGGAAGAGCTCGGTGACGGAGAGGAGCGAGGCCAGGTCGGCCAGCACGGAGGGGTGGCGGGCGGACCTGAAGCAGGGCAGGGGGTGGGAGAAGGGGGGGCGCTGAGGGGAGGGGAGAAGGTGAGGAACCGTGTGTTGAAGGATAGTGGGAGGGAGGGTGAAAGGGAGGAGGGCGAGAGGAGGGGAGGAAGGACGGATGAGGAGGTTAGGGAGACGCGTAAGGAGGAGGGTAACGTTAATGGGGGTAAGCGATGAGGAGGTGTGTATAAAGCTCCTCTGCAAGTCTGCGCCGCCGCTGCCGCTGCTGCCGCCCTGCCCAGCTCCCCCGCCCACACCGCCCTACTTGGTAGCCAGCAGGCAGCTCATGGCCTTGAGCCCCTCGAAGCTCTTCTGAGCAGCCGCCGCCACCACTGCCTGGTAGTCGCAGCGGGAGAGGGCGGCAAGCTGGCAGCGCCGGGTGGCCTGGGGGGGGGGAGCGACGGTGGGGGGAGCATGAGGGGGTTGGGGGGAGAGGGGGGGCCGGGGTAAAGAGGAAACGAGTAGCTGACCGTGGGCCGGGGCGGGGAGAGCAGGGGGGAGAGGGAAAGGGAGACGGGAGGGAAAGGGATGAGTAAGGATGGATGGGGCGATGACGGGAAACGGGAAGGCAGCGGGACACCAATCCTTCGGCGCGGCAATGTGAAAGGCGGCTGCGGAGATGTGGAACACGGGGTCTGACTGAGAACACTGCCGTACACAGTCTTTTGCACGTACGTACAGTCGTACACACGAGCATGTACGGTACGGCAAGCTCACCTTGACGGTGGTGGTGTAGGGGTTCCCCAGCAGCGCCTCCTGGCCCACGCGCTCAAACACCTGGTGGGGGCGGCAGGGGCGGCAGCAGGAGGAGGAGGAGGAGGGGATGGATGGGCGGCAGGGGACAGGAGGGAGCATGGGGACCGCAATTGGAAACTGCCCGCGCGACTAAGTGGCCGATTGATGCCAGCACCCCGCCCCCTCCGCGACACACACCACACATTGGATATTCTTCTTTCCTCCCCCCCCCTCCAGCGAGCCCTCACCCGGATGCTCCTGGCCGCCTGCCGCACTCCCCCTCCTCCCCCCCCGCCCCCCGGCGGTGACAGCACCATGGGCGGTGTCAGCACCCGCCCCGTCCGAGACATGGCCATGGTGGCCGCCACCGTGGCGGTCAGCGGGGCACCCGCGGGCACTGTGATGGGGGGGCCGGCGGAGGGGAGACAGAAGCTGCCGCTGCCGCCGCCGCCACTGCTGACCATGCAACGAGCTAGCAGCTTGCCGCTGCCTCCGCCGCTATCACCGCTGCTGCCGTGGGGTAGGATGTGGGGTGCGTTGATGTGCGCGACGGCGGTGGGGACGACGTCTGTGGTGGCTGAGGGGCCGCCCGTGCTGCCGCTGCTGCTGCCTGGGGGTCCGCCCTCCCCAGCGGCTGTAGCCGGGGTAGCAGGGGTGGGGTCGGCGGGTGCTGCTGCTGCTGCAGCTGCGTGCGGTTGCGGGTGCGGGTGGTGCTGGCGGGGTGTCACACGTGTGGGCCTTGGGGGCGAGGCGGGAGGTGGTGGGGGCGGCGGAGGGGCTTCCTCCAGGGTGCCTGCAGGCAGTGTGAGGGGGTGGTGGGGCGAGGCGGTAGGGGGGAAGGTGACGAGGGGCCGGGAGAGCCACTGCAGCGCCCGCCCACCCCCCGTTCCCAGCCCTGTTGGGCTCCTCCTTCTTCCTTATTTCCTCCACCCTCCATAGCCCCCGCCCCCCGCGCCACCCGCCCCGCCCCGCCCTACCCGTGAGCAGCCAGTATGCGCAGTCTCCCACCTCCCCCGCGCGGCACACCGCCTGCCCCTCCTCCACCTCCGCCAGCCGCAGCCGCTGGCAGCAGTGGTACCACACGTACAGCTGCCGCCGGTCGGTGCCGTGCCAGTGGGGCAGCTCCACGTTGCGGCCGGTCTCACACAGGTCCCTGGGGCGAGGGGAAAATTATATAAGAAATGCAAACAACTAAAGTCCCAATCCCATATCCCGACTCATGGGGGGAGGGGGGGGGAGAGGAGGGGCATGATGGCGGTTGGGGCATGGGGGCTTACACATGAGCCGACGCATGACCCATGGGTCACTGCTGATGAACGGCGAGGTGGCATTTAGCGGCTCACACAGGCGTTACGTTTCTGTTTGGTGTTTCACCCCTCTCCTCCCACCAGCCGGCCCACCTGTATGTGGTGGCCCGGCGCTGTGAGGCCGGCAGCGAGAGCAGCTTCACCAGCTCGCGGGAGGCCTGGGAGGGGGGCAGCGGGGAAGGGGGGTTGGGTTTAGGGGCATGGGGGGTGGGCAGACGCCGTTCGTCCACCTTCCTGCCCTCGCTCGTTAGTAATGCTCCCCCTCCTCCTCACACCTACCGCCGCTATCGTTACCAGCTTGGTCTTTTTATTCCTCACCCCACCCCCCTTAATCCACCATTGCTTCGCCCTGATTCGTGGTTTCCTCTGGTTCGGTCTATTTGAACCCCCACCAACACATGGGGTATTCTTCTCCGCCCCTCAACCCACCTGGCGGGAGTCCATGAGGCTGGCCTTGTTGATGCTGGCTCTGCGTCGCATGTACGGCATGTATAACAAGTTATATACCCCCCGGCAGCACGGCAATGTTACGGCACTTGTACGGCAAGATGTACGGAAGTAAACGAAGGGAAGAAAGACCAGATGCTGATGGTAAGGTGGCTATGGATTTTGGGTGTGCTGACATGGCTCATACGGACCCATGGGACTGCATGTGAGCCTAATCAGGACTTCACTAACAGGGTTCGCATTACCCGGCTCTGTACTCAGCTGTACTAGCCGTAACATTTCACTGTTTAACCGTCGCAGAATTACAACCACGAACCGATACACTTCGCAATGAACCAAAGCAGGCTTGCACTCACTCAGCGATAAGGTCCGTTAAGGCCTCGAAACCGCCATTTTTAGATTTCCGTCTGCATTGGGAGGCGTACGACAGGAGCTTACATACGGCAGCCAAGGGAGCAAAGGCAAGCCATGGACAGGACTGAGACCAGCGTGGCTGCAGGAGAGGTAACAAACAAGGGAGGGAGTTGCCGCTGCCCGCCTCACGCCCATGCATGGCCACAAACAGCTTAGTCCCGTGAAGGCGATCACGTGGGGACACTGCGCGTTGCATCCTACTACAGGTACAGCTGTGCAGCTAATATCAACGCCGGCATGGAATGACTGCAGCACACAAATCCTTCGGGTCGATACATATTCGCATACTGGAATTTCAATCTCCTTGGTCTTGCATGCTGGTTAGGAACGGTTGAGCTTACAGGCTATGCCACACCTAACCATGAGCCCGGCATGGCATGGAAGCAAGCCGCAAGCCCAATGACTACTAAAGAAATTAGAGTCGACTTCAATTTATTTCCGTGTATAGACCTACCCAAGAGCCTGGACCTTCGCCCTGAAATTGGCGAGTCGGACGTGCGTATCCACTTTGACGCTAGTAGGTGGCCGCTGCTGTTCCCCATCGCTGCCACCGGGATCCCGTGCTGGCGAAGAAGGCGTACTGGGGCTACTACTGTCTTTCTTTACTGTTGGCGTGCCGGGCGGCATTGTGGGTCGAAGAACCGTCTGTTTCGCTCGGGTGAAACGCTCCTATTCCGCCGAAGGCATATAGTTACTTAGACGACAGTGTGGTGTCCATGTCTACATAACATCAAGATATAAACGTTCCATAGGCTCCAGCTGACTGCGAAACGTTAACGGTAGATGACGTATAAGCACTGGGTTTCATGTTTAACGTACGTTGCTTCGTAAAGCAAGGTTAGCTGACTTGTCAAGGGAAACTAAGCTTTGCTTACAAAGCGAGTAGGTGTCAGCGGGTACGACACAAGCCGCATAGCATCATAGGGAATTAGGCTACCGCGAGCTCTGTTATAAAGCGCATTTACGTGCTCCTACTGTATACTTGTGCCTGAAGGTACCTTACAATACAGCACATCGAAGGGGCTTACATAAGGCCAACCTCCGCCTTGGGAACGCCTCATTACTTTTTCGGTCCACAATCACTTGTAATAGGGTTCAAAACCTTTTATGAGTTACATTGTGTAACAAAATGGCAACAACTCTCAGTCGGCTCCCATCTTACCTGCCGGTTCTGCGTTCCTTGCCGGTTGCTAGCGGCTTGAGTGAGGCGCTGGTTGACCAGGTTTCAAGCTGCATCCGTCACGGAAAAGAAGGGGAGGCGCAAGTTCCGCCATCATGTAATCCAGCGCAAGCTACGTTCTGGGTACAGCCGTTTGTTGGGCGTCGGCCAAGTGCTTCTTGGTCGCTACATGGCGGAGTGCGCCTTGGTAAGTGTCCGCAAGAAGCATGTGACATCTGGCGTGCGGGCCGGCATCGGCAGGCGCACTGACACAACCAACCTATTCGCAACGCTGGCGCGTGGAACTTCAGGTCAACGACGATGTTTGGGCCTTACCCGCACACCACACCCTAACGTACCTACCGTACCTCGGCCTCTCTCACTCCCAACATCACCGCGCACACCCTTGACCCTTCCCTTCCCCGCTTTCCCTTGCCCGCCTCCTGTCCCCACCCCACCTCCACAGGCGCCCCAGCCCTCCCCTGGGCCCAGCACCCGCTGCAGGGCTGCCGTACCTTCGCCTCCCAGTCCGAGCAGACCCCCCAGCAGCCCCAGGCGCCCCAGCCCCAGGCAGACCAGCAGCAACAGCAGGCGGGTGCGGGGTCGGCGGGTCTGCCGCGGCCGCCCAACGACGTGACGTACCAGGGACCGCTGTCGCAGCAGCACAAGCTGCTCAAGGTTGGGGGGAGCGGGGCGGGGGGCGGGGGGTAGGGGGCGGGGTTGGGGGTGGGGGAGCGGGTGTGGAAGAGTTGAGAAGCGGGCCGCATTAAAGGGCAGGGGCAAGGCGGGCGGTCGGGTGTTTGGGGAGCCTGCGGGGCCTCTGCTGCATGCGTGCTCGGGGCTGTGCAGTGCGGGGCGGTACAGTGCGGGACAGGGTGCCTTGACTGAGAGACTGCGAGCGGCCCTCCTTGCGTCGCGCTGCTGGGGCTCCCTGGCCCATGGCGGCCATGCATCGGCCCCCCATCCCCCCTTTTCCTTGTTCTACGCGCACACTCCTCACCCCCCACCCTTCCCCCCCAACAGCGCATCAGCATCTCCAACACCCTCATCGCGTTCGCCGCCGCCCCCGCCATCGTGGCCTTCGCGGACGGCATCAGCATGGTCAGCCGCTACGGACTGGCCACCAGCCTGGTGTTCTTCGGACTCATCACAACGGGTGGGGGAGGGGGGGGAGGGGGAGGGTGTTCTTACCAAGAGTGAGGGGGGGGAGGGGAGGCGGCATGTGTTCTGCGAGTGGGAACGTACTAGGCGGCATAGGGTCTGTGTGTGTCAGGCCGGGCGGTGTGTGTCGGGGCGCTGCCGGACATGGGGCTGCGGCATGAGAGGGTGTGCGTGTGTGTGTGGGGGGGGGGGGAGCGGTGTCCCGCCTCCTGGCGTGTGCTGTGTGCTGTGTTGCTGTCCGCCCCCGCTGTGGACTCATTCCCGCCCCTTGGGCCCCCCTGCCCCCCTCCTGCCCCCCCAGGTGCCCTGCACTGGGTGGCGCACCCCTACGTGCACGAGCTGCGCTACTCCGCTGCCAGCGGCCAGATAGACGTGCGCACCACCACCCTGCTGGGCAGCTCCAGGTGGGGGGGGGCCGGGTGGGGGAGGAGGGGGAGGGAGGGGAGGCAGCTCCAGGTGGGGGGGCGGGAGGGAGGGGGAGGAGGGGAGGCAGCTCCAGGTGGGGTATACATGAGGAAACTGACAAACTGTATGGCGAGGCAGGGAGAGAAGAGGGAAAAGCAGAATCCCAAGGTGTTGAATGAGGATAGCAAACAAGCCGGCGAGGGGGGGTGGGTGGGAGGGGGGAGGGGAGGAGGTGGGTGGGTAGCAGCCGTCCCCGCTCTCCTGCCCCGCACTGGTCCGCTGCGACTGTCCGCTCCCAACCGTTGCTGCGCCTCCACCCCCCAGCGCTACTGCCACCCCGCATTGCCAGGCAGCCCGCACCTCCTGCCGCCCACCTGTCCGCCTACCTTCGGGCCCCCAACCCACTCCCTGCCCCCCCCTCCCCCTTATATTTTTACCTCCCTCTTTCCTATGGTTTGGTCTATGCCGACCCCACCCCCAGGTGGCACACCTTCAATGTGGACGATGTGCAGCCGCTGCCCTGGAACCGCCCCGTGGCAACATTCATGGTGGGGAGGGGGAGGAAGGGGAGAGGGAGAAAGGAAGCGGAGAGAGGCAGGGGTAGGGGCCGGGGAGAGTGCTGGTTGTGAGAGGGAGGGGAGTCCAAGTAAGGACCAGCTACGCGACACCTGCTGGTGTGTGCGTGCGGGGCATCCACCGCCTTCTTCCCGTCGCCGCCAGGTCGCCCTCCCCAGCTACTCACCCCAACCACCCCAACCACCCACCCACCCCCCAGGCTAAGAACGAGTTCTACTACATCGATGTGTTTTCCTTCCCCGACGAGGACCTGCTGCGGCGCCTGGCACCCGACCAGGCGGATGTGCCGCAGGTGGGGGAAAAAAGAAATTCCAATGTGTGGTGTGATAGTGGTACATTAGCTGGGGGGAAAAGAGGAGGGAAGGAAGGCAGGAAGACAGGAGGGCAGGTGGGTCGTCTCCCGCGGCAACACAAGCGGGATGCGGGACCGCCGGAGGGAGGTGCAGGCTGGGGTGCTGCTGCGCCCCTAGCTCCCTGGCTCAGTGGGGCAGAGGAGCCCCAGAGGAGCCCGACTTGCACGCACGATGTTCGGTTTGTCGAGTGCCATCCAAACCCTCCCGCACCCTCCCCCTCCCCCGCTCAGGGCTACAAGGACAAGGAGGACGAGGACGACTGAGGTGCCCCCTCCTGCGGGGCTGCTGCGGCTGCTGCTGCTGCTGCGGCTGGGGCTGCAGGGCAGTGGCCGGCGTCTATGTCACCTCACTCGCCGCATCACCCCACCAGCGACCGCCAGTCTGGAGCCGCTGGTGCCACCGGTGTCCCCGCCACCACCGCCCGGGTGCCTCAGCGGGGGCTGCAGCGGGCAGCGGAGGGGGGATGCGGAGGGGGGTGCAGAGGCGGGTTGACAGTGAGGGGTGGTTGGTCTTCTAGGTTGATTGGTTGGTTGGTCGTTGTAAGCGGGTAGGGATGCGCTTCTGACCTTACAGGCTGTGGGCGAGGTCTCGCTTGGCTCTCGCACCGTTCATTCGGATGTTGGATTGTGAAAACCCTTTTCTTGGACATCCTACAGTCAAAAGAGGAACGGAAGCAGCAGGCGACGACCTGCACCACCCGCGGGTACCGCCGGTGACGTTGGGGAGTAGTGTTTCCCTTTGTTCTCGTCTGTGATGTGGGGTGCATTGCTAGGGAGGCACTGCTGACATACAGCGACGGGGGCTGGGCTGGATGCAGGGCGATTACTTGCGTTGAGGGCCCTTTACTGCTACCGGTAGCAGCGCGCGGTTTGCAGTACGGCAACGTATGCCGCTCTGGTTCTCCAAGTTGCCGTACACACCTTAACGGACACGCGATGAGGCACGTCTTGTGTCTTCGTCCTCATCCTTCCTTCACAGAGCCAAGGCATTAGATACAATCTCTTGCTCCATGGAAACTGAATGATGCTCTACCCACAAGGTAGGCCTATCGCGACGACGCGGCAGTAACGGTAACGGTATTGTCAACGGGTCAACGCCGCGAACCATGGGTCACCAGCTCATCATACGCAGTGAAACGCCGCACACAGCTCCCGAGCTTCAGCCCACCCCGGCATCTCTGCCTTATTCGCTTAAGCCAGAGGTACGGTCATCAAACTCCCCCGTATCGTACCTCACTTCCCGACCTCATCATCACCACACTTCACCCATCACAACATGGACTCCCTCTCGCAGTACTACATCCCAGCACCCCCAGACACCCGCAAAAGCCTCTAACCATTGTAACGGTCGTTCATTCAGCCCCTGCTTGGCTTCGACACCCTCAGCTGCTCCCCACCATGCCCCCCATCGCCTCTCGCGCCAGCGGCACCCGCCTCGGCACATCCGCTGCATCCCCCTCCCTAGCTGCACCCGTCTTAACCACCCGCACTACCATCACCAGCCAGAAACCTGCTCATGCCAGAACCCCTCCATCGCCCTTCCACATCATGCCGCCTCGCTCCAGGACCTTGCCGTCTTTAACTAGGCTTTGACCCCATAAGAGCACGCGACCCAGCGCGCATCACTCGCTTCATGCCCACCCCGACACGAAACCACTAAGAAGAAAGACAAGATGAAAGGCGGTACCCTGCGTCTCAGTGCTGCCCGCCCTCAGCCCATCACCAAAACGGTGCTCGTGATGACCCGTGGGTCGTGAGGTTCATGAGGTACATGACGCACCCCCACATGTTGAGTTACCGGTGCAGGACAAGGCATGCCTCCGCTTGCCCGCAACCTAATAACAGCCAACCCTGCGACACAGACAAGCGTATTGCAGCTGGTAAGCTAATACGCAAGAGACCCAACCGTCCCTTTACCAAGTAAACAGAATGACAGCGCTCTGTCCAGCGCTCACAACCTGCGTCCATGCTCACAACCTGCCGTACGTGACTCAATCTAACGGCCAGCTTGCAGTCTCGCAGCCCATGCATGTCGCCCGGGGGGGCCGGAGGGGGCGGGGTGGGGGCAGGCGGAGGGCCAGTGGGGTCCCACTGCAGCTGCTGCTGCAGGTGGTGATGGTGGCGCTGCATGCACGATGAGGCCGCACGTGTGCAGCGCATGTGAGCAGCTGAAGCCGCGCGAGCTGGGGACCCTCATGTGCGGCGGGGGCAGTCCCACAAACTTCTGCGGCCTAGCATGAGAAACCGCTCTACTCACCCCCCGGTACGCACCTGCCAGCCCACAGCAGCAGCGGGGGACAACCATGATGCACCCCGCGAACGGTGCATGCGACTAGGCAGGGGTACACGTCCCTTCCCCGGTCAAATCTTTGTTCCCTGCTTGCTCATACACACGAGGACAAACCCCTCTCCACTCTTCCGGTTATTACAGATCCTCCGTGTCCGGCAGGCGCCCCAGCTGCTCCCACAGCCCCAGCAGCTGCCGCAGCCACTCCTCCTCACCCACTCGGCGCCGGGCGGCCACATCGTCCCACAGCGCCTGAAGCTCCTATTGGGGGGGGGGAGAAAGAGGAAACAACTAATTGACTGAGGGACAAGACGTCCACATGGTTTGCAACATGTGAGCCAGGGAGGGAGGGCGGGGACGAGCGGCTAGGGAGGCACACCAGGGGGACGAGGGACTGCCAACAGAGGCAAAGAGAGGGGTAGTGGGATGCCAGCTGTTGGCCCCAACTGGCCAGGCAGCAGTGGCGAAGGAGTACAGCAATGCCGTCGGGCCGCAACTTATGCGTGTGCCGCAACTTCACGCGCATATAAACGAAGAGAGCAGTACAGCAGCAGACAGCTGCAGCGCTTTCCGCCCTTAGTATCCACCGCAAGCAACATCCAAGCGAGCAACATCCAATGGAACAACATACAAGGTCCCGTGTCTTCAGCTCTTCACCAGCCTGACATGCAAACCCTGCATGAAGGACGCGCGGCTTAGCGTGTCAGAGGAGACACCCCCTCACCTGCTGCACGACCCATGGGTAGACACGGTGCATCTTCGGCGCTTTCAAGTGCGCCACCTGCAACTCCTGAGCCCCATGCTTGCTAGCCAAAGCCCTCACCGCCGCCTCCACTGCCTCCACGGTCGCCTCCACCGCCGCCTTCGCCTGCCCCTCCCCACACTTCAGAAGAACGGCATTGCAGCCGGCAGCGGGCGGCAGCGGCTGGCAGGAGAACATACGCTTGAAGGAAGCCCCGTCGCCGCCAAGGGAGGCTGCTGCCTTGTCTCTGATACACCGCACGAACGCGCGGAATCCCTCAGCTGACTCTCGCAGCAGCCCAACGAAGGGCCCCTGCAGCAGCAGCACCCCCGTTGCGTCCAGCATCCCACCAGCGCTGCTCGACACCGCACGTTGCAGCGCAGCCCGCGCCACTTCCTTCGCCGAGGGAGCTGCCTTCACCGCCTCCTGCCGATCCGCATCCCCCATGACCCATGGGTCAGCACCCTCAGCAGCAGGCGCCAGGGAGGTCGGCCCCTTGGCGCCCCCGCGCCAGATCTGAAGCTCAATAGCCGCGTCGTGCCCCGCGAGTGACAGCACCTTGGGCTTCCCGAACAGCTCGGCCGCCTTCTGCAGGTCCGCAGCCTGGCTCAGCTCCAAGCGCCGTACTGACACCCGCTCACAGCAAGTCAGCAGGAGCTGCAGTGAGGGCTGCAGCTCGGACCAAGAGCGCCGCTCCATTGGCAGCTTCCCTGAAGAGGCGGATTCCCTTGGGGTAACGTTGCGCAGCTGCAGGCACCCAAGCCGGCCGTTCATGGTACGACAGGCCTGCAGCAGCTGTACCAGCCGGCCACACCTCTCCGGCAGGAAGACGCTGCTGGGAGTAACCGTCAGTGTTTCCGCGGCTCAGTTTATCTAATCCCCGCATACAAACACTGCCAACTGCGATAAGATCCTTATGACTGCATGTTGCGCGATCTTGCAACAGACAAGCGCCGTACGACATACAAGTCGTACGTAGTTGCATTTCAATTCCTGCTTGCTCATGCACAGCCCGCGTGCACAGCCCGCGCCACACTCAGGCTACAACGGTCAACTGTCAACTGTACAGCCTTGCGTCCCAGCCCTCACTCCTAGACTCGCCAATCGCATGACTGCATGTAGCTAACGGACATCCAACCAGGTATCTGCCGTACCGAAGGTATCTGCCGCACCGAAGCTCGGACAACATGGTACGACACAGTGACAACCGAGGCAGAGTGTATTGAATGCGCGTTGGCTATCTAGCCCTGCTGCCGTGCACTTCCTGGTCAGGCAGGCCGCCCAGCTGCCCCCACAGCCCCAGCAGCTGCCGCAGCCACTCGCGCTCGCCCACTTGGCGCCGGGCGGCCACATCATCCCACAGCGCCTGAAGCTCCTGGGGAGGGTAGAGCGATGGGGGTGGGGGGCACAGCAGGGGAAGGAGGGCCAGGTAGGTCCCAAGCACATGTTAGCATTGCATGGCCAGGAAGGGACGAGGGGCGTACAGGTACAGGTAATCTGCATTGCATTGCATTGCACGGGAGGAACTGCGCGCTTTTAACGCACCCTAGGCAATCCATCCCCAAGCACACCACGAGCAGTACAACACAGCAGCAGCAGCCACCGCTCTTCCGTACCACTGTACGACAGAACGGAGCTAACTTCTGCTTGAAGAAAAGGTGTAGGAAAAAGGACAGGCAACAGTTGTACGTGGTAGTCGTAGGTGAGAGAGGAAAAGGAAAAGGAAAAGGCTTGTCATAAGGAGGTATGGTGAATGTGGGAAAGGGACAGCCGGGACTTGTGTGACCGTAGAGTGGTGACATGTGGCGAGTCCGGTGACGCGGAAGATGTGATTGGTGGGTTGCTATTTAAAGAAGGGTTGTCTAGTAATGGTACAGCATGTACCGCCAATCATGCTTACATCACCAGGCAACATGGCATGTAGGCAAGCTGCAGCATGGCTTAAGCTTACCTCGTCTAACGCCGCTATCAGGATGCGGCCACAGGTGTTCAGTCTCCCCCTCCTCTCCTCAGCCACCCCCGCCAACGTCACCCGCCGCGCCTCCAGCGCACCCGCCACATCTTGCTCAGTAACCGCCTCCACCGCCGCCTCCACCGCCTCCTCCCAGCACTCCAGAAGAACGGCATTGCAGCGGTCAGCCGGCGGCAGCGGCTTGTATGACAGCAGGCACCTGACCCTGGGGCGGCCGCCGCGGCCGCCGCCGCCGCCGCCAGCCATGCCCGCAGCCGCAGCGCGCGCCTGCTGCCCCAGATCCTCCATGAACTCGTGCAAGCACTCGTTAGCGTGCATGATACCCAGCAGGGGGCCCTGGAGCAGAAGAATACCCGGCTCGGGGCGACCCGCGGATGCCAGACGGCGCCGCATCGCCGTGGCCACCTCTCGTGCTGACGGGCAAACCGCCGTTGCTGTCGACGATGGTGGCGACGGTAGTAAGGACGGCTGCGATGCCGGTGCGGGGGATGGCTCCAGGGCCTCAGCTAGCTCCGGCGCCTCCACTTCTGTCCGCAGCTTCAGCGAGGAGCGTGTGTGTGGTTACGACAGCTCCAGGAGCTCAGGCTTGCCGTACAGTCCCACCAGCGCTAGCACTGTATGGTGGACGCACGACAGGCCATTCCGAATCCGTACAGTGGAGACCTGCACCCGTTCGAAATGGCGACGGATGGTCTGCAGAGGCTGCAGCGCCCTGCTAAGCGCCGTCGGGAGGACGTGGGAAGGTAGGCCAGCCGCGTTGCCAGCCGTATCGGCTTGCCGTACACCTATGAAGCGGCAGACCTCCAACTCAAGCGTTCCCAGGCCGGCGCCCGCATGTACGACACAGCTGTCGAGGGTCAGCTCCTCCAGGGAGGGAGGCAGCTGTTCCAGCAGCTCCAGGAGGTGGGCCCCGGAAGACAGCAAGGCAGCTCCGACCCGTGGGTCGCGCGGCTCGGCATTTGGCTGGAAGGCGAAGGAGTCCAAGCGGAGGTGCGTGAGGCGATTAAACTGCGAAATGGCTGCCACAGCTGTAGCATCAAGGGCCAGGTCAAGCCTGTCGTCCGTGAAGCAGGGGTTGCGCACACGCAAGTGCTTCAGGGTAGTCCTCAAGGCGCCTCTGCATGCTGCAGTCCTTGGTAGCTGCCCAACCTGAGAGTCTCCAGGTGCGGTAGGCTGCGGGCTAGGGTGTCGTACATGCGTCGCTGTTGTACGGCATCGTGAGACATGGCGCCGTACAGCCCCACGAGATTCAGCTCACGCAGCATCGGGAGCTGCCGTACAACTGCCGTAACGGCAAGCTCCGCCGTACGAGGAATGCTGCCGGAACCGGACAAGCCGATAGCCAAGTGCGTGATGTCTGCTTTTCCGTCGAAAGGAAGCACAAGAAGCTGCGCCAGGTCGTCAGTCTCATCGACCGAAGCCCATTGCACATTCAGGCTGACGTCGGAACAGCGAGGCCAGCGCTGCAGCGGCCCTTGACGCCAGAGTTTGAGCTCTCGAGGGCTGACTTTGAGGACCAGTTGGCTCATGCTACCGTCCAGGATATCGCGAAGTGCGCGACATGCGAGACGGGCTTCCTTGAGCCCTTCAAAATTGTACTCTTGGGAAGGCCTAAAATAAGAAAAGAATGTGTCTGCCGTTTGGGCGTCGAGGTTGCGTAAGACGTCTGGGAAAGTTGTCGGCGATGGTTCGGGATCTGCCATTCCTGTGATCAGTGCATTATCTCTCTTCCAGGAGTGCTGCTATGCTTGCGAAGGGGGAATTGGTAATGATTGGGCGGCAAATGGCCCCTAGCAAGTAAGGTTATCTGTTTTCGCCACCCGAGGAACAGGTATAAGCAGCTCAGCTTACGCTGCAATGCTAACCTCAACCGCATCCAGTTCAAGTGAGCTGCTATAAAAATGTACTTACAATAACCTTGTCAGTTCCTCTCGCATTGAAGCCTGACGCGCAAGGCTTCGTACACGTCTCAGCGACGCGACGTGGCACCCCCGGTGTTCGTTCTCTTTCTACCTCTTCCCAATCCCTTACCGCGTTAAGACATTGAGCCATTCAACAGCACACCTACCCTGCTGACCATCCTGCTAACAGAGCCAACAATCCCATTCACGGCGAAACAAGGGACATCATCCACCATTACAACCGCAATGAACCATGGGTCATTCTCCGCTGTGAAACACGGCATACAGCCCAACAAAGGACCCACACTGCCAATCTTTGCTCACATGTACCGCCGACAGCCAAAACGCCGCCCTTACCTCCCTTCCTGATCACATCAGCACCACCCTTCACCCCCCCACCACAAGAACCATCACCTCACACGTTTCTGTGTAGATAGACGGCATCTTCCGGCAATCACAGTACGCTCCGACTCACGACCAGTATTCCTTAAAACACACCTCCCACGCATGCATGTACGACCACCACAGCACCGGTCCCCCCCCCCGCATCAGCCGCTCATGCAGGCAGGCACCGGGTCGGCTCGGCCATATCCACCCACAGCTGCGGCCCCAGCGACACGGCCCACTGCAACCAGCACAGGTCACTGCTGCTAGCAGCGGTGGGGTTGCTGCTCGTACTGCCGTTGTTTGTGCTGCAGGTGCTGCTGTTGTTGTTGCTGGTGGTGGAGGTGGTGGCAGCGCTGCCGCTGCTGCCTTCATGGTCGCTGCCACTGCTGCTAGTGCGGTTGCGGTTGTCCCACAAGTATTGCAACTCCTGACATGGGCAGAGGAAAAAGGGATGCGCGGGTCAAGGAAAGCAGGAGGGGCGGATTTGGGGTTCACGTACACGATTCCGCCGATCTTTGCCTATCCCCTGAACCCCACTCTCAATTCCATCCTCCTTGCTTTCGCCTTACTGGTCCTCGTGTTCGCACCGGATTTGAGCTTACACCGGCATTCTGTGCCCATCCCACCCGCCCCGGTTTCTTCTCTTTTGCTCCGCACCGCCCCACCCTCCCCCCCCCACCCTCACCCACCTGCTGCAACGCCTCGAAGTACGCCTCCCGCGCTCCCAGTCGCCGTCCCTGAAACCTCTCCGCCCCCGTTATCTCCTCCGACACCACAGACACATGCACGCCCCCTGCCGGCACCACCTCCACGCCCACGCTCTCCCAAATCCCCCCCTGCTGCACCAACTCCGCCGCCTCTTCCTCCTCCGCAGCCACTGCGGCCGTCACGAAGCCCCGCGCGACCTGCGCCCCAATGCCGCACTCCACCACTGCAGCACCCAGCACCGCCGGCAGCACCTGATACACACACATGCACGCCCCGTCCCGCCGCCTGTACAGCTCCGCCGTACGTTCTGCCACCCCCAGCATGTAGCCATGCAGCTTGGTCCACCCCTCCGCGGGTCTTGCCCTCCCCCATGTCCGGGGCACCCTGCCAGCAAGTGCCGCGATGCTGGGGCCATGCACCACCAGCAGCCCTGTCGGGTTCAAGATCAGGTTTGCGTAGGAGGGGTTTCTGATGCTAGCACTACTGCCGTTGCTGTTGCGACCACGGCCGCTGCCGCTGCAACGGTTGTTGCCGCCGCCGCGGCTGCTGCTGCCACTTGCGGCTGCCTCCCGAGCCGAGGCGCCTGCTGCTGCAGAGGTGGAGGGGACGCCTGCGTCTCCACTGCTTCCGACCTCCGCTGCTGCTGCTGCTTGTGGCGCCGTGGTTGTCGTCAGCCGTCGCAGAACCGCCTGAGCTACTTCAGCTGCTGTGGGGAACCGCTGCTGCTGCTGCTGCTGCTGGTTGGGCTGGTGCTGCTCCGCCTCCTCGCCGTGACCTCCTTGCTGCTGCAGGGGCGCCGGTACCGTCCTTGCTGGTGCTGTAAGTTCAGTTGCCGCTGCCGCTGCCCGCTGTTGCTGTTGCTGTCCCCGCTGCTGCATCCCCTGCTGCCCCTGCCGCTCTACCCCGGTCCGTACTCCGGTATCCAAGATGAACCCCGAGGGCCCCGTCAGGACAACCAACCTCGCTGGCAGGCCAAACAACCTGACCGCCTCCCCCACCTCCCGGTCTCGCACCGACAGCCAGTTCGCGCTCACCCTCTCCGCCGCCCGCAGCAGCTGCAGCAGCGGGGCAACCTCCGGCTGCTGCAGCTCCGCCACCTCTGGCGGACGCGGTTCCCCCGGGAAGGAAAACGTCTGACGGACTAAGAGCATCCGATCGAATCTGAGCTCCCGCAAACGTATTCGCTGCTGCTGCTGCTGCTGTTGCTTGTCACCAAGGCTGCTGGATCCCAAGCGTACGGCACCGGAAGTAGATTGTACGACAGGTACCGCATGTACTGCAGCAGAGGCTGTGTATGTACGGTTTAGAATGTAAAGCAAGAGCTGCGCCAGACGACTGCATTTCTTGATGGGCAGAGCCCGGTCTGAAGTGATGCTGGCGGTTTGTATGCAGCCGGGGGCTAGCGAGGCGCCTACATCGAAGGGTGTGCCTTCTATCTCGCCGGAGAGCTCCAGGGACTGCAGAGAGGCCGGAAGGTTCTGGAGTAGCGGCTGGAGGCCTCCGTCGCGGCTAGCCTGGCTGTCGCCTGGGAGGTTCAGGCGGGTGATGCGCAGGTCAAGTAGCAGCGGGAGGTTGGATAGAGCTTGAGCTGCTGGGCCACTCAACACACCCTTGGTATCATGCAGGGTAACGCTGAGGCGTTTGAGGCTGCCCGCCAGGACGTGGATGTGCTGCAGGCCCTGGCTGCTGGGGAGGTTCAAGCTTTCGAGGAGAGGCAGGGAGCTGAGGGCGCGGTAGAAGCGTTGTTGCTGCTGCCCATTGAAAGAGCGGTCGTTGAAGACATCGGGACAGCTCTCAGGTCGCCCGTGCTGGTGTCCGGCAAGGTCTAAGGAGCTTAGGTTAGGGAGCAGGAGCAGGAGGCTGGGCAGGCCAGCTACGAATTCGCAACGTTCATCTTGGCCATCATGTTGGCGCTCATGGGTGCGCTCCATGGTGACCCGCAACTCAACGATACGCTCCAAGGATTCAGCTTCCAGGCCAGCAAAAGGCAGCAGCAAACCGCTTTCAACGGATGGGCGGTGGTGAGAGCGAGAAAGGTGGCCCGGTGCTATCCGGATGTCCAACTTGCTGCATGCGGGCCAGAGCGCTAACATACCGATACGCTGGGACCATAGCTGCTTGTCTTCATAGGTTATATTTAACTTCAGTTCATGCAGGTTGCTGTCAATGAAGGAACGTAGTTTTTTGCATGCCAAGCGGCATGTCGGAAAGCTGCCTTGCGCTACAATGTAACTCACTAGCTTAGCGGCCGCATCAGGAGCAAGCTGAACTACAACGTCTGTAAGAAGCAAGGCATTCTCGGTGCGTGGGCGGCTGGCCATGCTTTCGCGGTACCGATGACAACCGAGGCGGGCGGGGAGAGGATGTTAAGTTATCTCGAACAAACCGTGACCCAAGTTGATGTTTTAATGCGCCTATAAGGATATATCACCGTGATTGCGAAATGGCGACGACTGGGGCAGATTCGTTTCCGCCGTACCGGTACACTGGCACCTTAGACTAGTGCATCCTCAAACTGAGAGTTGCAGTGAGTTACGACGTTTCAGGGCACTTTACGACGTTAACTAGGGCAGGTAAAAAAAGTATCGGCTCGCCGCCTACGTAGTACGGGTCTTATGCGTCGGACGGGCGCATCTGCACTGTACGACACCCATGCAACATACCGTTCCACCGCCGTTGCGCCACAAGACAGGCCTGTCTCCAGAGCAACTTGAGCTGCGGCATTTTGGAACCGTCGTTTATGATGAGTGGTAAGTGCGGCCCATACCCGCGCAGGTATTGCCTCACCCAGCCGGGTTGAACCTCACGCCGCTTGCTGCTTTCCCTACATGTTGGTCACCCTGCTAAGTTTACAAGTGTGATGAGCCAGGTGGAAACAGCAATGAGCACGTTACCGAGCTAAAAGTTTTGTGCATTCGCCTGGCCGTTACCACGCATAGGCCCCACCGCCCCGGCGCTCTTAATAACGCCTGCTGTAAGCGTCCGCAGCGCAATCCGTGCACCCGTCAAGACCACTGAACCCGTACAAATACACTGTACAACAATAATCCATACCGTACAACAACAACAACCGGTACATTTGCCGAACGCTCCCTTCGTACCATTCGTACAATTGCAATTTGTTTAGGACGCATAGAGACATGTAAGCCTTAGCTACCTATGATGCGAGAGACACCTGCAAACGAAGTTGGGCGTGGGGCCACTTTGCTAGGGCGCATTCATTGGTACCGGTAGTTCATGCAGGGTTCATGCATGGATAATGGTACAACAGGGCTGAGAGCCTGTTCTGCAGTAGCAACGCAACAACAACTCAATACAACAACGAATACTTGTACGAGTACAGATTCGAATACTGATACAGATTACTGCGATAACAATCGAAATACGGGATAGCAACAGCTTCTGGTCCACTCCAAACCAGCTGTGGTACGAAAGAGGGAGGAGCCAAAATTCCCAGGAGGTCCAAAGCGTCTTATAATACACAGCCATACACATCCAGCCCCAGCCACCTCAAACCAACCTCACATATACCTCGTATGCTATGACCCTTCCACCTCTTACAGTTTACAGTGCTACCAGCAGCCCCTACCACCACCACCTCTTATCGCACCGGCACGTCCGGCGGGCACACACTGGGGTTGCGCCGTACGAACGCCAGCGCCTCCTCCCGCTGTACGGCAAGGTGGGGCGGCATCTTGTCGTACACGTCAGTGAACATGTCGGAGAGGGGCGGCTTGGGGACGCGGGCGGCGGCGTCTAGTGCCTCCAGCACCTGGAAGGGGTGGGGGTGGGGGTGGGGGTAGCGGCAACAGGTGGTGGTGGTGGGGTCAGAAGAGGAAACGAGGAACCATAATCAAGGCGGAAACCGCAAGGTTTAGAGGTAAAGCAGTGGGGATACCGGTAGTAGAAGCGGCGAGGGCCCGTTGGGGTATTGCTGTTGAGGAGGTTAACCGCTGTTGAGGACCTGATTGGGCAGCAGGCCGCACACCAGCAGGCGGCACGGGCGCCCTCCCGCCTCACCTCCCGCCTCACCGCCCGCCTGATCGCCGCCTCCCGCGCCTCCTCCCACCAGCCCCGCCGCACCAGCCACTGCCGGAAGCGACTGACGGGGTCGCGAGCGCGCCAGCTGCGCATCTCCTCACCCGTACGGTAGCTGGGGTTGGGGTGGGGGGTGGGATGGAAATAGGAAACCATGAATGGACAAACCAATGGGGGAATGAGGCGGCGGGGGGGGGATGAGGTGGGGAAAGTGGAGGTTGGGTGCTGGGATGTGGATAGCGGCGGGAATAGCGGTGGGGTGACGGGAAAGGGATGGATTAATTTCCGCCTTAAGAGGAAATCGAACAATGCAGTCCAGTGTGGGGCACTACCAAGGCACGGTGTGAAAAACGAGTTCGGCTCGACTCGACGGTTTTCCGTCAGGGCTTGTCAGCTAGTTTACCACTATCATACCACACATTGGAATTTCTTCTCCCCCCTGCTTTTTTGGGTTTTTCTATGGTTTGAATTGGTCCAAAAATTGAATCCCCTGCTCCCTCACCGCGTGGAGTCATCGCTGGTGGAGTGGTGCCCCGATCGGTAGCTCATGCACTCGATCAGCACCGGACCCGGACCACCACCACCTCCCAGCAGCAGACCCTCACCACTACTGCTGCTGCCTCCACTACTGCTGTTTCCCTCGCCTGCCCCTCCCCCACCACCTCCCCCACCTCCCCCTCCCCCTCCCAGCCCCAGTGCCCGCTGCCGAGCCGCCACTACTGCGTTGTACACCGCCCGCACGTCCCCGCCGTCCACCCGCAGGGAGGGGATGCCGTACATGGGGCCGCGACCCGCGATACCGTCGCCTGGTGGTACGGCAGGCAGGGATGCGGTGGGAAGGAACATGCGGTAACATGATAACATGTGAACACGCCGTGGTGCACAGGTACAGGTGAGAGGCAGCTGCGGTCCGGGGCCCCGGGAGCGGTCCATGCCGGCACCCATCACGGATGCAGCAGTTCGGGGGAAGCCCCAGCCATATCCTCGTGCTTCGCTGCTGCTGTCACCCACTGCCCTCACCCAATCTTGTGCTGCTTCCCAAAGACCGATGCAGCTTGTCAGAAGCGCATGCCATGCTGCCCGACCCACCCTTGTACTGCTCGTGTGCGGGGGTGGAGATGGCGTAACCGTTGTTGCGGCAGATGAAGATGGCGGGGGCACCCAGCACGGCGGCGAAGTTGAAGGCGGCGTGCGCGTCGCCCTCGGAGGCGGCCCCCTCGCCGAAGTAGGTGACAGTGACCCGTGGGACGCGGTCCATCTGCGGGGCGTGTTTGGTGGGCGCAGCATTGCATGACCAGGGTGTGGAACAGGTCTGTCACTATGTTCCGGTAATCAACAGCAGGGCGGGGGGTGGGGAGCTCCCCTTCCGCCCCTCCTATCCCGCCCCCCTCTCCCGCACCTTGTACGCGTACGCCGCCCCCACCGCATGCGGCATCTGGGTGGCCAGCGGCGAGGAGATGGTCTGGTAGGCGAGCTGCGGGGAGCCGTAATGGATCGGCATCTGGCGCCCCTTGCCCGGCTCCAGTGCGTTGCCCAGCAGCTGACGGGGGGGGGCAGGGGGGCAGAGGAGTCCCCCGGGGGGGGAGAAGGAGCAGCACATGGGTTAAAGGTATCTGGGGAAGCGGGCGGCAACAGAAGCGGCAATAACAACCGCATTCGAGGAAACAGCAACAACAGCCACTATGCTGCCCACGACCTCCCCTCCCAAACCCCTCCCCCCCACCTGGTTGGCGAACTGCTCCAGGCTGTATCCCCGCCACAACAGCACACCCTGCTCGCGGTACTGCGCAAACACCTGCGGGGGCGGGTGGGCGGGGGGGTGAGTGCACAGCCGTGTCGTACCGGCCGTACGGTGGTGCCATGGTGGGGCGTGTACGACACGCTGGTTCGCGGGGCGCGGGAGATGACTACTCCCGACAGGAACCCACCATGTCGTACTAACAGGGACCCACCATGTCTTGGTCGTCCAGCCCTGCTGCAGACCCGATGTTGGTGGCCTCCTCGCCCTGGCAGGTAAGGTAGAAGGAGAAGCGGCCCTGCGAGGGACGAGGTGGTGTGGGAGGGGTGAGGGTTATTTTAGCGCTTGTGGGAAGCACTGTTGTGGATGTATGTGACCGAACGGTGCTGTACGGCACGAAGATAGGAAGAAGAATGCAGGAGACGTGCTATGGTGTTGATCTGTGCTGCAGCCCTGCTACATCCTAGCTAATGCACAATTGTCATAGCCTGCGTGTCTCTACACCTCGCTGCTGTTATAGTCAGCCCACCTGTCTCTGTGCCTCATAGAAGAGGGTGTCCATGGTTTGCAGACGAGCCATGGATGTGTAGATGCGCAGAGCCAGGTCCTAAGCAGGCAACCGGAAACAGTGGCGACGGTTGTCCGGGTCAACATGCAGGTTTAGGTTGAAAGGGGGAAACTGCCTTGCGAACGCGAAACTATACAAGCTCGGTGCAAATAGGGTTTCCCAAGCTATTATTATTCCCATCCATCTACTATCCATGCCAACCTGGTCAAATGGATACGGCACTTCTGCTCCCGGAACATCCTGCCCGGTCGAGTCAATGGTGCGGTAGCAGGGGATTGTGGGCGTGGGGTCGTCAGGCCCGCCGACGAACTTAAGCTGGGAGGTATAAGGTAAGCGGCCCCCTGGAACTTCCATGAAGGCATCGACGGTTGACCGAGCCGCTGCCTCGGACTCAGTCCGTGTTGAGTGTGTGCTACGTAATTGTATTAGGTTGCTGCTGCTGGGATTGTCGAGCGTGCTTTGCCTCGAGTCGAGGAAGCTGGGTAGGCCAGCATGTGCCCTGGACGATTGTAGAACGCTGGCAACCTGGGCTAAGAGCGCGCTTCCATGCTTATGAGAAGCGCGTAGGAACATACTGCAGCGCCTCTTCCTAGTACTATGAGTTAAGTCGTTCTTATTGGAACGAGTCGCCGATGCGTTGCTAGTTGACGACTGTGCGTTAAGTACAGACCTTGCCCTGTGCCAGCAAGACAAACGCAGTTTGTAGCGTCTGGCCTACACGTTTTAAGAAGCTCGGAAGCGATACCCCTTCCAACGCGGTCGCACGTCAGCAGAGTGTTGCGCAGCGTGCAGCGCTGCAGCTTTAAGAAGGAACGAGACAGTAGTGGATAAATCTTCACAGGATGCCATGGAGTACTAAATTAGGATGCAAAAGCATACAATGTATCACGCAAACATGTACTACAACTTTGACAGTTAGTCTGAAGCAAATGAAGGACTTTAAAAATTTTTAAGCAAACTCAATTCTAAGGTCAGTGGTATGGTCTCATTGTGAGTGGTAAAACGCTCAGTTTCTTCTAACTAATACCTACACCATCGCTTGCTTGGTTTGGGGGCTTGCCCAGCTTTTCCCAAAATTACACTCCGTCATAATCAAGAAGAACTTATAGGGTGCCTAAACGTCCCTATGATAACGGAACCGCATTTACCCGGTACTAGGCGCCACTAGTAACGCAATTGACCCTGGTTTGACTTTACGCTAATCGCTGAGTGCGGCAATCCACTGCTCACCATACGGCCTAAGAGCGAATCGTTGAATAAGAATGGAAGTCCAGTCTGCTGGTACAAACAAACGGCGCAGCCTTGCAGATGTGCTCCATCAGCTTGACCTCAGTGCCTGTGACACGCTGGTCAGTTGCTTGCCATCATCCGATCGTGAGCAAGCACGACTGGTATGCCGCCAGTTGCGCCGGACAATTGACAACAGCATTTGGGAGGTGCATTTGGGAGTCAAGGCATCCTGGGCGCAGGACTGGCAAACAGGGGAGATGCCCTCGCTCGCCACCTTCCCCCGTTGCAGCAGCGTCGGAGTCACTTTAATCCACAACAGTGAAATTTCCCCAGCCGATATGGCAGCTTTGCTGCTGCTGCCATTCATCCGCGAGCCGCTACCCGTCAGGCAACGCATCACACGCCTCGTCGTGGACAGACTAATAGGTGTCTGGCTGCAGCGCAGCTGCTCCTGCGGAACCGCAATGGCAGCTCTGGTGCACTGGCTGCCATCCCTTCGCGAACTCAACTTTCGCGCCTTGGGCCCGGCCATGTCGTACAACCCGCTCCAGCAGCGGCTCATGTACCGCTCGCTCGCTTCACTGCCCAACCTGGACACCCTCATCCTGCCCAGCTGTGGCGGCCTGGAACACATTACCCCGCTACAAAACACACTGACCTGCCTCAAGGCGGGCATGTTGGTTAGCCGGGAGCAACAGGGCCTGAAGATCCTCAGCCAGGCGGCTGTGGCGGCCATCTCACAGCTGCACAAGCTGAGGAAGCTGACGTTCTACGACTGCGGCCCTTTGCTGGCCCACGTTGACGGCAGCAGCGATGACGCTAATGAGGAGGCAGATGAGGAGGATGACGGTGCTGATCCTTGGCCACCCAGCAGCCTGGCGTGGCTGCTGGAGCGCCTGCCGCCCTCCCTGGAGACACTGACACTGCACTCCGCGCCCGGATCCAAAGGCTTCTACCAGTACGACATGAACTTCCTGTTCCAAGACCGCGCCTGCAAGTCCCTGGCCGTCAAGTTCCACGACATGTACGGGCAGGATGAGCGGTACAGCCAGCTGCTGGCCAGCCTGCACCCCCTCGTCGAACAGCTGACGGCCTGCAACACCCCGAGGCTGCTGCCGCTGGGGCGACTGCTTGTCAACCAGGTGCACATCCCGCATGGGGTGACGCTGGCCACCGGGCGTGAGCTGCAGCCCCTGCGGCTGCTCATGTCCCTGGCGGCCGCTGTGGAGGTGGAGACGCTGCAGGTGGATGAGGGCGCAGAGGTGCTGTCGGCGGTGCAGGCGCTGGGGAAGCCGCAGGAGCTGAAGCTGACGGCTCGAGGAGCGCTCCGAGACATGGAATATGTCCGGGATGCGAACAACAGGGGCTGGTGGACCGGCCGCCTGGTACTCCGGGGCCCGCAGCACGCGGTTGCCCTCGCCGCTCCAGCAGCAGAAGCAGCAGACCCGACAGCAGCAGCAGCAGCCGTTGCAGCAGCCGCTAGTGATGCACTCCCAACGGACCCATTATCAGGACTGCTGCTGCCGGTACCATCACCGGAGCAACCATGCAGCTGCCCGTCAGCCCAGGAGATGGCCTGGATGGTCCTGCACCGCTTGACGTTCGGCGCCGATGAGTCGCGGCGGCAGATGGCTTGCACCGCTGAGACCCTGCTTTACGGGTCTTGCTACGCGCCCAACAAGCTGCTGCTTCAGGGGTCTTCCATTGGGGTCATGCTTCAAGTACGCGCGGCTTTCCACGCATTCCTAGCGCAGATTGAGGAGGAGGCGCGGTCCCGAGCAAGGAGCATGACCAGGCACATCTTTGCGTACCAGGAGCTTCCAGCTGCCGCAGGCATTCCCGCTGTGCTGCTCATTTGCGAGGACGTGCAAGGCGCCGTGGACGCCGTTGTGGCAGCAGTCGCAGCAGCAGCCGCTGCTGGGCAGGATCCCAGCGCGCTGCAGGTGGAGCGTGTGAGGGGATCCACCAGCAGGCTGAGGCCGGCCGGCTGTGCCGCCTTCCTGAAGGCCCTCCAGGAGGTACGGCAGGGGTTGCGTAGCGCTGCAGCATACGTCTGTGCACGTTGGTGGACGCTTGGGAGCTGCTTGTCAGGGTGGGGATTGGGTGCTTACCAGGGGGCTGACCTTACAGTGTACTCCGCGAGATGACGTGCGTGCCTTGATACTAGCCGGCACCACTTGCTTTGTTTGCTGTGACTACGTGGTAACACAGCCAGGTCATGCCAATCAGTGGACCAATTATTAAGGCTGCTTTGCCCTCTCCCAACCATGCTCCGCCTACCGGTATCATGCCCCCCAGGAGCTTCAGGCGCTGTGGGACGATGTGGCCGCCCGGCGCCGAGTGGGCGAGCGCGAGTGGCTGCGGCAGCTGCTGGAGGTGTGGGAGCAGCTGAGCGACCTGCCGCCGGCGGTGTCTTTAGGAGCGTCTGTGTAGCCGGGTGTGTTCAGCATACTAGCAAGGAGCAGTGTAGTAAAATACGGCACAATACGGTAGCGCTGGAGACTGGAGCGCATGTGGTCAGTGTTATCAGTTGTCGAACGTTGCTGTTAGGACGCCGACGGCTGTTGGACGTAGGGGGCTGGATTGAGCGGTGCGGGGCGAGCGTCTTCCGTGTTCAGTAGGTAGGAAGGAGGATGTGGTTGCAAGGTAATTTAGCAGTATCATGGTTGCAACCAATGGCAATGCATGAGTAGGGTTATGAGTGGTGTTCAGGACACGGCCTACGCCGCTTACGGCTTTTCCTGGTTTTAAGTTTCCAACTGATCCCACTTGCTGGACTGGCCTTCACGGGTGCTGGAATGCTGGTAGGATAAGCATGTCGTTGTAATGGCTGGCCCTTGCACCGGATACCATGTCCATCTACCGCTGCTTATGTCGAAGTACCCAACGGTGTCTCATCCCTGGATGAAGTGGAGCAAAAGCATGCGTGCTGGTGGCCTGTCCCGTACTCCGGACCTCCTAGGACGTTTTGCCAATTGGAAGGGATGCCAACAACAGGGGCTGGTGGACCGGCCGCCTGGTGCTCCGGGGCCCGCAGGACGCGGTTGCCCTCGCCTGCTTGTTCCTTAAGTGCAGGATGCTTCGGATTGATACGTTGGTGTCAGCGACTTAGCTGCACACGTCGTAGGTTGGTTCGTGTGCCATTGACCCATGGGTCATACCGGTTGCGAAGGCTGTATGTCTGCTCTCAATAATGGATTACAGTGTGTGTGAATGCAAAACTAGTGTCAATCCAGGCAAAGGGGACGGCAGTGATACAAACTAGGGGAAACTATCCATACCTCCCAACCGAAGCTCATAAATAGTATGCATTCGTCAAACGGTACGAGTCATAAAGGTACCACATGACAATCGCAGCGGCGGCAGCAGGTGGCGGGAAAGCATGGCTTATTCAAAGGAAACCCGAACCTGGAGTCCTAATGGTGAGATGGCATCGACATCCAGCCTGTGCAAACGTCAATATAATCTTCGCCACATGTGCTTAGAAGACGCTGTAAAGCAAACCTGCGCCATCTCAGGAGGCACGAGATAGATTACTACTGTTGTCCAAAACGTGTGCAAATCCGCAACATGCAAGTCTTTCATCCCTGCAAACGGTTAACGAGTAACAACTACTGCTGCCAGGTATCGTGTAAGATACACCAACTATTTCATGGTGCTTTGGTGAAACATCCCTGCTTTTCAGCAGGAACTCAGGCAAGCAGCCGAAAATCCCAAGAGAGACATACAACACCTAGGTATCTTGCGCATGTGAAATGACGTGTGCCATGGCGATTGATCCATTTGTCCATTGAGACTAATTAGGCACGCATGCAGATCGGCAGCGATTCGGCAGCAATACGAGGTTCGTACGGCTTGTATGTGTGGGTTGACACAAAACCCTTATTATTATTACTACTACTATTCAGGTATCCACCACAAAGCGGTGGCAGAAAATACCCCATGAATTCTACCACGGGGCAGCGCTCACTTTCTTCTTGCGCCGTACGATAATGATAACGACGATTGCGACGATGATGGCAGCTCCAGCTGCGGGGTCAGATAGGGTGCAAAGGCAAAATATTGTGAGAGGCATTGCGTAGGAAAATAAACCGTTTTATGGCATGCACGTTATGTAGAAGCCTAGATACCGGTATTGACACTAAAATACACAAAGCCGCCCATGAGGGAAGGGCACCTACCTACGCCTCCGACGACAATGCCCGCAATAGGGCCGGCGCCAAGGCCCTTCTTGCCGCCGCCCTCCTCAGCATTGGGGCTGGGAGGCGGCGGCGCGGCGATGGCGCTGCTGACAGGTTTTGCGGACGGCGATGCGGGTGTGCCCAGGCCAACGGATGCAACCTGGACAACCGCATTGATGCCCTTGGCCTTCAAGGACTGTTGAAGCGTGGCTGCGTGTGGGGAACGGGAGGTAGACGAAGGAAGGGACAAGCAAAGGTGGGTGGAGAGGGGCTGTGAGTGAGCGAGCGGCAGTTGGGAGCGAGTGGCCTTGGCACGGTCTGTGGTTCGCCTACATTGGCATGCTGCGCCATACCACGGATGCCAGTCCAACCTCCTTCAGCAGAACCGGCAGGCTGGAAACACCGTCTACCCACGCACCCACCCACGCACCCTCCGCACGGTCGCCGTTGTTCAGCAGGCTGGCTGCCTGGTTGCCCGTCACCACATCCAAGCCCGACACCGCAACCGTCACCGCCACACCGCCTCCACTGCTGGTGCTGGTGCTGCTGCTGCTGCTGGTCGTGTCAGCCAGCTGCCGCCGCTTGCGATACACCAGGCGCGAGGGCGCCACCACAGGGGGGGAGCTCATCGATTGGCTGCTGCCCTCGTCGCCCCCGCTATCACCATTGCCGTCGCCATCGCCATCGCCCGCAGCAGGAGCAGCAGCAGCTGGGGCTACCGTCTGTCTCTGCTGCTTGGCAGGGTGCCAGTGGTGGGGTCGGACGTGGATCACGGGCTCCAGCGTTACCGCGGCAGGGGAGGCGCTGTTGTCGACTGAAGCAGCAGCAGCAGCGGTAGCAGTGGTGGTCCAGGTGGACAGCAGGCTGCGTCGGGAGGTGGTGCCGTTGGACGAGTTGGATGGGCCGACGGCACCGCTGATGCGGACCTGATGTAGGAAAGGGCAGTAGGGGCAAGTGAGGAGGAGGAGAAGGAGAAGAGTAAGGAGCTAGCAAGTACGACAGTTTTTGTTTTAAGTTGGGGTTTGACGCCGCCGACGGGTGCTACTTCATGCCGACAGAGAGATAAGACGGAGGCATGTAGGAGCTCTGACTAGGTCAACTCCGAATGCAAGACGTTACCGGTACCCCTGCCCGTGCACACATTTACCTCTCCAACTCCAGCTGGACCTTGGAAGATGAACGACTTAATGCCGTCCAGGAACTTCTTGGCGGTTGGCGTGTCGTACTGGTAACCCGTACTGTCGGCGGTTAGGTTACCCCGGAGATCCGAGAGCGAGATGCCGCCGAGATACATTGTGACGCTCATATTGATCTGCAAGCAACGCAGTAACATAAGCGCAACCGCAGCGGTTAATTCGTTGGCCGCCTCAGTAATGAAGCCTCGCTCTTCATTCCGTGCGCGTTTCTCTTAGTCCCGATTGGATATAAATAGCGTTGATTACTGTTTTTTTAAATCCCCTAAAAGCTATTACCTGGCTCTTAGGTTCTGAAGTATACGACGCGGGGAAGTTCGCGTAGGCGCCCGCGCTGTTGGTGCGAGCAGCCAGAGCCAGCGGAGTGACAGAGGAGTAGGAGTCGTTGAGGGTCTTGAGCGCTCGCATGCTGTTATTGCTGGTGCGGTAGCTGCACACGCCGGCAAGCGGGCTGCGCTCGTCAGGCAGCCCGGAAACGGGTTTGTAGGGATCGGTGTCGGAGGGGGATGCGGGCGCGATGCCTGCTTGCAGGGATGCGGCTGGGTCGCCCGCGGGTTTGCCGAAGAAGGATGAGGACTGCGGTGAGGTGGAATCGGGGGAGCAGGCGGGTGAGGGCAATGCGGGGGGAAGGTCAGGCTGGGCGGCCCTAGCTGGTGGGCACGCAACAAGTTTGGATGCGGATATGCCTAAACGGAACGAGAAAGGATGTTGGCGTACAAAGATCTCATGAAAGATCTTATGGACGGAATCCCGGCGTCATCGCCCACCTCATTGCCCAGGAAAGCGCTGCTCGTCACTTCGCGGTAGGTGATGTTGAACTCGAACTGCAGCGCCTCCGCACGGAAATAGGTGCAGGGTACGGCAGAGCAGTCCGGCACGTACGACGCGTTGTTGGTCACATTGGAGGCCGCCAGGCCCTTGATGAAGCCCGCCTGGCCGGCACGAGGGCGGTACTGCAGCAGCCAGGTGCCGTACGGACTGTACAGCGACCGGCCGATGGAGGCTGACGGCGAACCTGATTCCCGTAGTAATTAATTATACATGCAAGGGGCGGGGAAGAAGAAGTTCCGTTATACTGAAGAAATTATGGATGTAATAGAAAGGCGTATTAAGCAGTATAAGCATGCCAGCTTCGAAAGCTCTCACCGCTAGTGGAGTACGACACGCCGGCGGAGGAGGAGGGGCAGAAGACGTTGCAGAAGGCCGCCGGTACGGGGTGGTTGTACGACACCGCCCTGCCCGACAGCGCCGCGACCGGGTCAGGGTAGTAGAAGGAGATGGGGCCCTGCGGCGGCACAGTGGTTGGCGGTTGGTGGTGGGTGCAGCCATAGCGAACGGACATGTCAGCTAGAGGCAACAGCTTGCATCGTAGCAGCAGAAGGGTACCGATAGGTGAAGCATGTGCTCCAGGACGAATGCTTCCGGTATGATGGCACCCTTCTCCTCAGAGGTGCCGATAGACCCAAGTGCCGAGCTGCTGGCGCACGGCTAGGCATGTAAGGCAGGTATGTGGTTGCCGTACTAGCTACTCACCTTGACAGCCGCAGCCACGTCAGCATCCGCGGAGGGCAGCGACAGAGTCGACACACAAGCCCGCACCATGTCCATGCCCAGTGCGTCTTGGAAGACGGGGCTGACGGCGCTCGACTGCATGCATCGGTTTTGAGTAAAAGGACAGACACAGCAGTTACAAACAGGAAACGTTTGGGTCTCTTGCACCTTAGGGCACGAGGGCTGGGTACATAGATATATAGGCTATGAGCATGCGGGATCTACAGTTAAGTGCAAGCATTCAATTGTTCGTACATCATGCATTGTGAAGACAAGATGCATGCCGACATGAATGTATACACATATACGTGAACACATGCATGTATGGCCCCGCACGCACCTGCTTGGTCTTCTGCTGCACTGTGACGGTCTGCGAATGGTCCGCCAGCACTCGTACCGCCACCCCCGTCATGCGCACGTCAAAGTACTTGGACTGGCGAGGCAGCGGTACCTGCTCGGGTAGCAAGCAGCGTGGGAAGTGCATGGCAGGAAAGAATAAGTTTATGAACATACCTGAAGCCACACGAGCAAGTAACCTGGAGACCAACGGACAAGCCAGTATTGGCCCTCATGTATGAGCTGCATCATGTCCCTTTCATAGCATACTCATGGTCATAGCGAACTATGAACAGCAATCCCCACCTGTACGGAAGCCGCCAGGCCCTGTGTGAGGTTGCGCATTACGTGCGCATGCGTCCGGGCGGTGAGCGTGAAGTAGACGGTGGCGTTGATGGGACCTGACACCGCAATATTCGAGCCGAAGGACGGTGGCTGAGAGGTGGTGGTTGCGGCGGTGGGGAGCGGAGGTTGCGGAGGAGGTGGGGGAGCAGACTGCTGACCGCTGGTTGCATTGGCGGGCGCTTCCGGAATGAGGGGCAGCTCCGCCTGGACGATGTCGTACGCCTGCATGCATGCAGGGAAGATGGGACCAAATAGCATTTGTTTGGGGCTCAGCAGTTCTCAAAACAACAGCAATTACAATCCAGCAACGAGGTCCCCCTCACCTCACTCCGCCCCACCCCCACCCCCACCCTCATCCCAAGGCCCCAGTACCCCACGCAAACCAACGCACCCGCTGCAGGATGTCCCCCAGCGGCTGCGAGGGCTGCCGCGAGGAGATGTTCAGCACCGCCGCATCCAGCGCCGCCAGCAGCCGGGAGGGGGCGCCCCGGGACATCTCGTACTGCAGAGCCAGGCTGAGGGGGGGGGAGAGGGCGGGCGCGGGAAGTAGGGGGCGGGAGAAGGTACGGGACGTAAGGTAATGGAAAGAGAGGAGAGGGCAAGAGCAGTGTAGAACTGCCGGCATGCCCTCGTTCCTCTGTTTCTGTTGCTGGTCGGAATGTAACAACGAGGTCCGTAGCTCAAATCCTCGAGCAACTACAGTCACTACAAAGTACAAAACAACAAGCTCGGCTGCCTATCACCGCCACCCTCATCAGTCATCACCACCCCATACACCCCATGCGTGCTGCGGCACACCCTCACCCTCGCAGCTGCCGTATGAAGTAGGTCTGGATGAGCGATCGGTACATCTGCACCAGCAGCACACCGCCGCGACCCCGCAGCGTGGCAGCAGCAGCCCACTGGCCCGGCTTGTCCTGTGGAGGAGTAGTGCGTAAAGGGCCTCAATTCACATACCGGTAAAAAGTATTTGAAAACATGGGTCCTTACGCCTTAGCTCTGAGGAATCCTGAGGCATCTGCCGGCCCAACCCTTGGGCCCCGTGCCGTAGTCACATAAACGTCCCCACCCACGTCCGCCCTCCCCACCCCATTGGGACTCCGTCGGTGGCGGCTATTTATCTATGTTTTCCCCACCCCACGCCGTCCCATACCGTAGGTGTCCCATTATATGCCCCCATACAAATCACCCCCACACCTCCCCGCGCCCATTCGCCAGCCCACCTTCGTGTCCTTGAGTGTGGCGGTGAGGTCTCCTGCGGTGCACACGGCGGGCGAGTCCGCGATGCTGTTCTGCAGCTCCAGGAAGATGTCCAGCCAGGAGCGAACCTGCGGTGGAGAGAGGGAGAGCGAGACGACGGAGAGAAGATAATATAAGAGGTGTGACTTGCCGTACCTGCAGATGTGTACAGCATACCGTGCTCGGCACCACTGCATGCCCACACCTCGCATGCACACAACGCAGCAAACGCCTACACCCCTGTGTACCGGTATTTACACAGAGCAGAAGCAGGTAGGACCCCGCACCGCACCGCACTGCCCCGGGTACCGGTACCTGCTGCGCGCCGCTGACCGCGTCCAGGGCCGCCCACAGGTTGCGTGTCATGCCCGCCAGCCCCCGCCCCATGCCCTCGAAGGAGGGGCCCAGGAAGGGCTCCAGCTCACGGAACATCTTGTCCTGCGGCCGACCCGCCAGGAAGTCGCCGTTCATCTGCGCGGCAGCAGCAGCAGGCGGAAGGAGGGGCGCGGATGATGATACACGTTAACTGTATGTTGTGCGAGCGCCGGTATATTGAACAGATACAGGCTGGAGGCTAGGCAGCTAGCTACCGGCTATGCATAGATCCGCCGTTGTCATGTATCACAGCATGCATGCTCACACTGTAGCCGTGCACTGGGGCGGCCTGCAACTAGCCATTCCCAATCCCCGCTATATATGTAGAGGCAGTCATCAGCGTCCACACCTCCTTGTCAATGTCCGAGAGTGAGAGCACGGGTGGTGGCACATCCGGACCCAGATAGGGCGACGACATGGAACCCGCACTCGTAGCACTACCGCTGCTGGTGGCGGCGGCGGTGGTGGTGGAGGAGGTGGCGGTATCCTTGCTGGCCTTCAATGACGACGCTGAAGAGGAAGCGCTGGTGGCAGCGGCGGCAGCCTTCCGCTCCGCCAGACTGCCCCAGAAGCGCTGCGTCATACGAGACTGTAGCGCTCCTCCTCCACTGCCGCTGCTGCTGCTCGCGCTGTCGTCCGTACCACCGCTCGCTGACGCCGCCGCCGACGTAGTAGCCTTCTTCGCCGCAGCTTCCGAACCAGCAGCAGACACCTTTGCGGCGGCAGCAGTTGCCTTTGCGGCCGCGATCCTCGCGCTGATCGCCTTGGCCTGGCGCTGTTTGGCGGCTGCGGTGGCGGGAGCCGTGGCAACAGCCACAGCGGCTTGTTCCTCGGGTTGCAGGCCCAACACCACGCTGAGCGGTAGCTTGGCGGAGCGCGAGGATGAGGCTCCAGCGACAGCAGTAGCAGCGGAATCGGCAGCAGCTTCTTCCGCGGGTAGGGGGATGTTGTTGCGCAGCAGGAAGCTCTTCATAGCGGCAGTACGACGAGAGCTGACGGCGTCCGCCTGGTCGGTTGCACTGATGAAGCCGATCTGTTGGTGTGGATAGGGGGTACGGAGATTGATTGTTGCATAGTACAGAATCGTTCAGTTTGCAGAATATCGCCAAGCTTCATAGCACATCCGTAAAGTAACAAGGGCGGTTTTTTAACGGCTGCAAATACCCGTACCTGGGCGATGCGGTGCACTTCATTCATGGTCTCGTCAAACATCTCCAGCTTGGCCTGCAGGTCGCTCTGAGCGGAGTTGCCGCTGGCTGCCGCAGCCAACCGCCGCCGCCGCCTTGCATCCCGCTGCGGCCGCTTAGGCAGCTCCACTCGCTGCTTTGAACCCGCTGCGGAAGCTGATGGCGTCGCCGCCGCTGTCTCCGCCACCGCCGCCGTGGCTGCCGGCATATCATTGACAGCTGCCGTGGCAACCTCAGTAGCAGCCTTGCCCTGCTTTGTCTGTTGCAGTTGCTGCTGCAGCTTGGCTTGCCGCTTCAGCAGACGGCGGCGGAGGTCCGCTCGGACCATCGAGCACACATCCCCTTCCGCAACGCTACCTTCCAGCAGCCCGGACGCCATCCCTTCCAAGCCTCGGCGCGGCTCCTCGCCAGCAGCAGCAGCCACGCCGTTAGCGCTGTCGCCCTCGCGCTCGTAGCACTGCCTGGCCAGCCACATGGCGACACGGTGCGCAACCCGACGGAGGTTAACGCGTTCCTGGGCCCCCGCAGCACCACCCGCTGCTCCTGTCATCAGCGTCTCATCAGCAGCAGCGCCGGCAGCAGCCTCCGCGTTATCAGCAGGAGTTGGAGCCTCCGCTGCGGCTGCTGCGTCGCGGCTGTTAGCCGCCGCTGCGGCGGTGGCAGCCAGGAGGCGGACGCAAGCGCGGGCCTGCGGCAGGGGCATGTCTAGCAGCCCTGAGGTGCACTTTCGCAGCGCCTTTGCATGCCGTACGTCAGCAAGATCTTCACCCACGGGAGCCGAACTGGCGCCACTGCTGATGCTGCTAGTACTGCTACTGACGGACTCTTCCATCTGGCTGACAGTAATGGTGGCGGCGGTGGCAGTGGCAGCAGCTTCCGTGTCCTTGTCCACAGCCGCAGTGGGACGGTTTTCCTCCCGCATGGCTCGACGCCAATCAAACCAGCCGAAGAAGCCCCCACCGTAGTCGAAACTAGAGCCGCTGCTCACGTAGTCGTAGTCGTAGTCGAACAAGCTCCAGCCTGCAGTCATGTAATTAGTATAAGTGCACGGGCGTGGCAACGAATCGTGGGCTAAAGGACACGCACGTAAACCAAAGCAACATGCCCTGCTGGAAGATGACAGGGGCAGCACTTCCTCCATCCGTCCCCATGCCTTACTAACAACTTTTCTTGTGGTAGGTGAGTGTCAGGCATAACTTACCACTGTCGCCACCCCAGCTGTCTGAGTAGTCACCCGAGCTTCCATCGAACATCCAGTCAAACCCACTCGACCCGTAATCGTAGTCATAGTCTCCGGAAAACATCATATCCATGAGGCCCATGCTCTGATAGTCATAGTCGCCGCCCAGCGTCATGTCAAACACGCTTGGCTGGTAGTCGTAATCAGCGCTGAAGACCGAGTCAAAGAAGCCTGCAGTCAAATCCAAAGGCGCCACACACATGGCCTAATAATGAGTTCAAAAGGAGACGACCATTCATACCCACACCATGTAGCCGCAAACGCATATTAAAGACAACCCAACAGCCGCCTTGTCATGTATCCAACCAATCACCAGCTCCGCGCATACCTGCGGTGTTGTCCTGCAGGAAGGCGGTGTCCAGGGAGCTGTCCGACAGCAGCCAAGAGTACATGCCGCCTTCACTTCCACCGCTGCCGCTGCCGCCAGATGAGCCGCCAGTAGCACTGTCCATAGCACTGTCAAACAGCCCGCTAAGCAGAGTGCAGTCGGTCTGTGTCAGGCGCCGCCTGCCAAACCAATCAAAGAGTGAGCCAATGGCGCTTCCAATCGCCTTGGCGCCCTCCCAGACGACGCTAGCAACCGCCTTGGCGGGCGCGGTGACGATGTCGATGGCGGTGCTCACGGTCTGAGCGACCAGGTTGACCGCCGTGCCGATGGGGGCGGGGAGAGTCGCCTCAGCAACGGAGCCCAGGCAGCTGATGCCAGCACCTAGGGCGTGGGGTTTTGAGAGGGACAGGGGCTGGGTCAGAAAGGTATTTAGATGGGGCAAAGAGGGCGAAACTAAAGCCGATGTGCGCATGGGATGCATGTATGGTTGTCAGGGTTAGTAAGGCCCTTCCGCAAACTTCGGCGCCAACGTGGTTGTGCAAGTGGCTGCGCAATGTGTTTCCTACCCACCAGCAATGCCCAACCAGCCGCCCTTCAAGGCGCCCTTGGCGGCACTAGCGCAGTCCGAGAGCACGCTTCCGGCCTCCGCAGCGGTGCTGGTGACCTGCAGCAGGAGGTCGAGGTCGGTGTGCACAAACGTTGCTGGAGTTAGAAGGAACATCGTGCTTGGATGTTGACTGTAAGACCGCCGCTGGGCCCTTCTGCTCATTGTTAACAACTTCCTATCCCAGGCATAAACGCAAACCGCTTCTCCACTGCATCATGTACGAGTAGGATACAGTTTACGCAGCAAAAACAGCAGTTTACGCACCGCCATCAGGGACGACATGCTGGAGTCCGCCTGGCCGCTCAGCGGCTCCACCAGGTTGCCGGCCACCCAGGAGGCGGCGGAGCTGGCCTTGTCCAGCACCTTGCCCACGGTTCCCACCGCACTGGACCAGCTGGTCTCCGTCTTGCTGCTGGCGGGGCGACTGCTTGTGCTGCTGGTGCTACTGCCACTGCTGCTGCTTCCACTGCTTGGGGTGCTGCTGCCGGTGTTTGTACCGCTGCTGCTGCTGCCCCCGCTGCTGCTGCTGCCCCCGCAGACGGCCATGGAGCGGCGGTGGTGCCCCGCTTGGGTGGCATTAGCCGTGGTGTTGGAACTGCAGGATTAAGGGCAGCAGGAAGGGCAGCCTTAAGACATCCTATGAAAGGAACGTCCGCATGTCGGCCAAAGGCCCGGAGTACGGATGTGTTCGTACCATAAACCTTTGAGGTACCGGTGCTGTAGTCCCTACCGCCCCCTCGGATCAAGCGGGCCCCAAGCAAACCTACACGGCAGCGCCGTACGAGCTGTAGTAGTGCGTGACCAGCTTGTATCCGTCCTCCCGAATGAGGCCCATGTAGCCAATGGTGCGCAGCACGTCAGCCTGGCTGATGACGCCGTCGTGGTCGGCGTCCCACATGCTGAAGCCCCAGAAGCTGCGCGTGCGGTGTGGTGGTGGTGCGTGATGGTAGTTTAGGAGATTATCGGGGGGAGGGGAAGGCAAAGGGAGGGGTGGGTGGGCGCCAAGGATGGTTAGTTTAGGTTGAGTTTTGATGACTGTTGTGATGAAAGCAAACATCGCGTTCTTCAGGACTGGTAGCAGAAATATTAGGAGGAAAGGCCATACGGGAAAAGGGCGTGGACGGGTTAGCGCGCAAGGATGCATGTCAGGCGTCACAAAGCCAGGCGAGGTCCGAGGTGCACCTGTGGGTCATGCCGTCATGTCCTAGTTACCGGCAGTTCATTACAGGAGTTGGTACGAGGATTTATTGCTTGTGACGCCAGGCGAGGTCCGAGCACGGTGCACCTGTGCGTCATGCCGTCCGCCACTCCCACGCTGCGCCGCAGCAGCGAGGCCACCCCCTCCACCGCCGTGTACGACACATTGTCCGGGTGGATGTAGCCGTCCAGCAGCCCGCCCCAGCTGGGCCTCAGGCCCTTGCTCCACACGGCTGTGATGGGGCGTGGGGGCATGGGAGCAAGGGAGCAAGGGAAGCGGTGGCGGGTGCAGCAGTGACAGGGGTACGCAGGAGGTTGAGGGGTGTGGGGTGTGGGACAGGGTTCTTACATTATGACACCCCTCGTGCGGACGGCTCCTGAAGGGAACAACGACCGGTGGTGGATGCGCGTGCTGGACGACATGCATGCGTGGGTACATCCTCAAGGAGGTGAAAGGGAAACCACACTGCTTCCTATAGCGGTATCTGCTTGCTTAGCACATCAGGCACATCAGTAGCATTGTCAACCATCACCAGCGTCCCCACACCCGCACACCGTCCTCTTCCGCCTCCTCGCTCACCGCCCCCCTCCGCATGGTTTTCCTTCTCCCCTCCCGTCCCGTCCCCCCACCCCACTCACCCTCGTACATGTCCTTGCGCCACTCGTCCCAAATGGCCAGCCCCAGCTCCTCCACCTGCGACATGGCGTCCAGGAAGGCCCACAGCTCGTCCACACTCATGTTGCCGTCGCCGTCGGTGTCCCAGGCGTTGCCCGACACTGCGCTGCTGCCGACCGACTGGAAGAGGCTGCTGTAGGAGGAGATGGCTCTGCAGCAGGGCGTGTGTGAGGAGGGATGAAGCTTCACCTGCTAGTAACGCGGCTGGTTGCATGGATGGAGGAACATCAAGGTGCTCAAGCCCAGGTCCAGGTCCCGGCGACAGAGGGTGTATAGCAACAGGGGGGGACTCGCAAGGAGACCGCTATGCAGGTTGGGTTGAAGCCAGGAAAGCCCGGGTATCCCAGCAATACAGCAACTCAGCCCTCCCTGCAACGCAGCAGCCCGCATCCCCCCCAGCCCCGCATGCATGCTTTCTGCCCCCCTTCGAGCCCCACTGCTCACCCCGGCCCTGCTGCCGCCTTGGCCATGAGCACGTCCTCCAGGGTGACCCCCTGCAGCAGCACTCGGTCACCCGCGGGAACCAACACGATGCCTGCAGCGGGGCAGGGCGGGTCAGGGCAGGGCAGGGCAGGGTGCAGCATGCAGGTAGTAAGTGGGGCGAGGGGAGGTTGTGTTGCACAAACGTAGTGTGAAAATGTGTGCCCTGAATTCCACATCGCTCGCTTTACATTCCTACGGTGGATGCTATGAACGCTTTCCTCCCCCCAGCTTCTTACCCGACTTGCGGTGCACCATGTAGGCCCCGATGTAGTTCCGCCCGTCACTGTCTTGGAGCGAGTAGCGCGGCGGCGGGTCGGCCACTGCGCTGGACGACGGCACCCCGCGCATCACAAACACATAGGCACCGGTGGTGTTGTCCACCGCCAGGGCCAGGCTTATGAAGTGGGCGTAGGTCATGGGGGTGGACGGTGAGGAAGAGGGGGAGGCAGACGGGGTGGAAGAGGAAGGAGCGGGAGGTCTTGTAGCCGGCATCTGGGGAGGAGGGAGCGGAGGGCACATCGCCGGTAGGTGGAGAAATAATTGAAGGAAAGACGTGCATGGCAAACCAAGGCGTGGGGCCTCCAACCCGCCAGCGATACATATCCTCACGGCACAAAGAGCCAACCTCACCCTCATCATACATCCCAGCCAATGCAGTATCGGTATTCACCCCCTCAACGCACCGGAGCCGTCACCACCATGCTGGGTGCCCCGCTACCGCCGCTGGGCAGTCCGTACAGCAGCACGTCTCCCGCGCCCCACTCGTCCATCACGGAGAAGGACACGCTGCCCTTGCCGTCGGGCAGCTGCTTGCCGGGCGGCAGCAGCAGCAGGCCGGTAGGCGAGGTGAGCAGCGCCTCTTGCAGCGCGGAGGTGCGGAGCTGCTGGTTGAGCAGCTGCTTGGCCTGGAGGTAGGGGGCGGGTGAGCGAGGGCGGGGTGTGGGGGATGGAGCCAGACGGGCGGAGACGATAGATAAAAGCACTTGCTTCGGCAGGAAGGATGCTGAATAGGGTCGAGGAGGGCATAACGGCGGCGGAAAAACAAGGCTGCAGCGCTCCCTGCAGGCCACCCTGACGCCTGCCTCCCCAGCAGGTCCCCAATGCAAGCTGCGCACGCACCTGCGCTCCCTGCACGTCGATGGCGCCCAGCAGCAGGTAGGTGTCTCGGAACTGCCGCTGCAGCACTCCGCCCACCAGGTCGCTCTGGGGGCGGGGAGCAGAGGCGGGGGGGGGGGGAGGAGCAGGGGCGGGGGGGAAGTGGGGGTGAATGGGACACACGAGTGAGGAGCAGGGACGAGACGTGAACCATACACTGTCGCGCATCATCTTATAATATCGCACATACCCACATGCATCAAGGCGACATCTTGCATGTCTACTAGGGCGTTGGAATGGGGATGGAAGTCATAGTCTATCCCTTGAACGTCGTTGCCCGTACCACCCACCGCCGGCCACCACACACCGCACACACACACACACCTTCGCCTCGCGGCCAGTTATTTTAACACACACACCTGCATGGTTCCTCCTGCGGCGGTTCTGTGGGGACTTCATCTTATTTTAACACACCTGCATGGTAGCGTTGGTCACCAGATCCAGCTCCTCTTGCATGGTCAGGTCGCCCGCGTCCAGCTGACTGCCGTGGAAGGTGGGCTGCAGCGCCGCCCAGTTGGTGGGGTCGTCGGCGCTCCTGCGTGTTAATAAGTGTACGGCAACAGGTCAAGACGGTGACATGCAGGGGGGACGACAACGCTACAGACAGAGGGGGGAGGGAAAGCAGAAGACCGTCTGACGTTGCAGTTCCTGCGCCATCCCCCTTAGCTCCCCGTACCTGTAAAAGTACTGCTGCAGCAGCTGCATGAAGCGGTCTGCGGTGTTGGAGGCGTCAAGCAGTGCAGCGTCCAGAAGCTTCAGCGCGGACAACATGGTCTCCAGAGAGGACTTAAACTCAGACCTGTCATGGGCATGCAGTGAACGGGCACGGAAAATCCTGGGAGTGACGTATCGGGAACGATTGAACAATCGATACTGTTGCTCTGGCGTGCGTGAAGGGGCCTGGCGTGCGTGAAGGGGGACTTCCTAATAAATGCATACCCGTTAGGGGCATGCCTACTGAACGAATTGCTCCTGGTACCTAGCGCACAGTCACGACGTCAAGCCGCCGCACGCACCCCTATGCCCACCTGGTACTTAGCATTACAGTTGGCACCTGCAGTCCTGTAATATCAGATCCGCCGTACAACGACATCTGCAACCGACACGCCGCAACCACCAGGAACCGCTGCAGGTCGTCGCCAAAGTTTGGATTCTTGTCGTACGCCTTTTGCAGGTTGCAAGCCTCGCCAAGCTGCCGTACGGCCTCTTGCAGGGCGTCATCGGTGTTGATCATGCTCAGCCGCTGAGCGGAGCTGATCTTGTCCAGGATCCAAACTGTTATACGGCAAAAGTACGACAACAGGAAGTTTAGAGTATGTGGCTTGTCGACGATTAAGGCCAAAAGCTGTCCTAAACAACTCGAAACGTTTTAATACATAGACGCGCGACCCAATTATAGCTTTCGCACCAGCTACCTATTGATCTGGAAACACGCACCCCACCTACCTTCATAGTCAGCCCCATCGAAGCAGCAAGAGGCGTAGTTGCAAGCGGGGTCGGGCCGCCCGTCCGCCAGCATGGCCTGGCTGCAGTCGGGTGCACACGTCTTGCCGCACACCGCGAAGCTGTTGCTGCCGTTAGCGGGGGTTTGGGAGCCGGCAGCAGTTGACTTATTAGCGGCGGCAGCAGCAGCGTTCATTTCGGCTTCCATGGAGAGGAACATGAGCCAGGAAGTGGCGTTGGAGGAGGTAGATGGCGTTGATGAGGAGGTGGAGGAGGGTGGTGAAGGTGCTGATCGCGGTGAGGGAGGCTTCGAAGATGACGCCCCGTGACAAACGAAGTAGTCCGATAGGTACTGCGGGGGCAGCAGTGACGGAGTCAGAACTGGTACCACACATGCAAGCTTGTTGGCGGAATGAGGCACTGTCCCTGCCTACATATGTATCAGACATCATGCACCACAACATAGGGAAGGCAACTGCGGTAGTGCCACTCACCTCGCACTTCTCTTGCGTTCCCTGGCGGCTATCAGCCTGCCGAGAGTTATAGTAGTAGCGGTACCAGGAGTCCTGGCCCGATCCCGATGACCCGCATGCCTGCTTGCATGTAGCCGTGAGCGCGTCCAGGCTCGTCTGCACCTGGCCGCTGCGGTCGAGCCACTGGGAGGCGAGGCGTCCGTCGCGGCAGTAGCTGTAGACGTTGACGGAGCGGTTGTAGCAGGAGGAGCGGTAGAAGGAGGAGGAGGCGCCAAAGTCGCTTGGGACAGTGCCGTTGCCGAAGAAATACTCCGTCAGGTCAAGGACATCGCTGCTGTTGCTGCTACCGCTGCTGCCGTCACTGTAATCGCCCCAGAATATGGTGTCAAAGAAACCTGAAAGCGCGCGAGGTGGGTACATGAGCGCTTAGGCAAGGTGGGAACCTTAAGTGTGGGAGTCAAGGGTTTCACTCCCAACGAGGCAAGCAGGCCACACCCCGGCCAGCGGTGCCACAAGACCTACCATCGTCGAAGTAGTCAAAGAATGTGAAGTCATCAAAATAGTCAAAGTATTCGGAGCTGCCCCCGCCGGAGCTGCCTCCGGAGCTACCCATGTAATCGTAATCGTAATCCGAACCTGCACGAAAACAAAAGGCAGGGAGGACTTATTTAACGTATATTTCGCTGGTAAGGCCGGACTAGAGATCTTCGCCGGGTCCACCAGCCCAACAAGATCACTGTGTGTGAGCGGTGTCGGCGTAAGAGAAAGCCAGCAGTGACATACATACATGCCTCAGAAAACGCGCACCTCCTCCGCTGAAGTCACCCCAGTCGACATAGTCCTGCTGATAGTCGTAGTCCGAGAACCAGGACCAAAACTCCATGCGCCGCTTTTGGTTGAGTTTGGCGTGGCGTGCAGCGCTCCAGCCGAGTGCCGTGGAAGCAGCACCTGGGTTGGTTGAGCCCAGCTTTGCCGATAAAGACTTTTGGACGCCGGAGGTACTGCCGGTGTAGCCGTCGCCGCCGTTTGCGGCTGTGGCTGTGGCTGCTGTGTAGTTAGCGAGCGCGAGGGCAAAGGCATCATACGCCGCATGGTGCTCCACCTGGCGCTGCTTCCAGTCAACAGTGCTTACAGCTTCCTCCAATGCAGCACGCCTAGACAACCGAGCGGCACGACGTTGATGAATTGCGGCCATCATGCGAGCCCGTCGCCGCTTGAGAGCATGGGACTGACCCATGGGTCCGCCAACGCCTGCAGCAGCGCTGGAGGAGGCCTCGTCGACATCGTTAAACTGCAGAACCTGTACTTCATCCCTCCCCATTTCCGAAAGCTGACGGTGGCCTGCTGCTGACGGCGGCCTGGGTGCAGGTGGCTGCTGCTTCCGCGGCATGGGTGGCGGGCGGACGGGGCTCGGCGGCGGCGGTGGCGCCACCGGCAGGCTGTCAATGGATCCCCCGGCGGCGTACATGAGGAAGCTGTACGACCTGCCGTGCGGTACGAACTGCCCGTCGGGCGCCCAGCAGGAGGTACGGCAGTCGAGGTGGGGGTACTCGGGGTCGAGGACGTGCCAGGGGGCGCTGGGCAACCAGGCCAGCCGTACCTCGCCGTAGCTCTCAGCCAGCTGCTGGAGGGGCGTCTCTAGCCGGATGCGAGTGGGCTCGGGCTGCAGGCAGCAGCAGGAGGTGGAGGAGGTGGTGGAAGAAGAAGAGGGCGAATAGGAAGAAGGCAGCTCAGAGGGCTGCGTACTTAAGCTAGATATGTTAAGCAGAGACACCTTGCAACCAAGGCCACAAGCCACAAAGCAGCCGCATGTGGGGGCTCAAATCCCTAACAATCAAACTCTGCCATCCGCTCACCTTGCCGCATGTCCGTTGCAGCACCTTGGCCGGGCAGCCGCCGCTTTCATCCGCCACGCTGCTGCCGTACATCTTGCGGTTGAGTACGGCACCCTCGCCCAGCAGCCCGCTGGAGGGCGCGTAGGAGGCCACGGTTTCGGCGTCGTCTGCCGGCGGCGGGCACTGCACGAAGCACTCGGTGAAGGCGGGGCCGTCGCTCCAGGCAGCAAAGGTGCCGCTGCCGGTGGCCGAGCAGGTGCGGGCGCGGGCCACTGCCACGGAGGCGCAGCTGCTGCCGAAGGATACGTACTGGGAGCTGAAGAAGATGCGCACCTGGATCGAGGAGGGGGGCAATAGGCGGAGCAGGGTTGCATGAAGGGTGGGGGGCCGTAAGCCAGTCCTGAACTCAAGCAGGTGCTATTGGCCGCATTGCTTCATATGGCCGCCCAGGTAACACATTTCCATATAAGGCAGCCCCAGTAATACAATGCCAGACAACCCCCCGTGGCTGGACCCTGCACCCTTTGACAAAGCGGGTCGCGACGCTGTGCCTGCATCTACCACCCAATCTAGGCAACACCTGCTGTGGCCCTCCCCACCCCACCCCATCCCACCTGCGTCTGCCCGGGTGAGAACACCGTCCCCATGTCGTACTCCTCATCCTGGCAGCTCCCGTCGCACGGCAGGTCGCGGTACTGCGGTCCGTACACCGACCAGGCTCCGAACTCGCCGTTGGAGCAGGTGCGCGTGCGGTTGAGGGCGGGGCAGTTGGCGGCGGCTGCGGAAAAAGAAAGGACGGTGGGCCGCATCGGTTAGTGGGGCCGCATGCAGTTGCTGTAAGTACTTACCGGTGCAGGCCTTGGATGACAGGTACTTAACACAGCTGAAGTGGCAAGGATTGCGCAGTTGATTTGTCTCTCTCTCAATCACTTGTGCAAGGATTGGACGCCATGTACGCCAGGGTGATCCATAAAAAAGTGGACGCCAACCCGCCCCGCAGGACCACCCCGCCTCCCGCCTCATCATCATCATCAGCACCCACCCGTGTTGTAGACCTGCTGCGCCTCCACCTCCCCGTGGCGGTAGTAGAGCTCGCTGAGGGCGGTGAGGCAGGGCGAGGAACAGGAGGCGCTGAAGTCGGAGACGTTCAGCTGCCGCTTGCCTGCGGGGCGGGGTGCGGGGCGGGGCCACAGTCAGGGCGGGGGGCAACAGGGGCACATTTGTGTCGGTAACAGGAAGGCTTTGGTAAGCGTGTAGCGCAAATCATTGTCAAGGGAGGCAAGCGGGAGGTATTACAACAGGTACTACAGGAGGTAGCAATGTGCCTATCCCCCAAACCATCCAGCTGCCGCGCACCTGTTTCTGCGTCCCAGTACACGACGCTGCCGTCCAGGCATTGCGGCACCACCATCTGGATGTTCAGCTCGTGGCTGCGGGCGGGCAGGCAGGCAGACGGAGAAGTGGGTCTAGAAGCGGGCAGGCGATAAATTTGGGTTTTAAAGAACACGGACGGGAAATGCATATGACATGCATTTCGTACATAGGCATGCACACCAAGTGTAGTGAGTTCATGCACGGCAGTCGTCCGAAGGTATAGCCGGTAGGGCACAAGGCGCCGTAGGCCCTTCTTGGAGAACCGTGTATTTGCACTTCGCAGCCGGCCAGCCGCACCTGCAAGGCAGCAGCGGCAAGGCGCTCCGAAACCACTTCTTGGGCGCGTCGTACTGCGCATGCGTCAGGTTGGCTGTCGTACAGGGTCTGGAGGTGGTGGTTGGAGGCGGCGAGCGTGCTGGCGGCGGCGATGGTGGCGGGCGGGCAGGCGGCGGCGGCGGGGAGGTGAGGTAGGACGAGTACCAGGAGGTCCAAGACCAGGTGGACCAGGCGGGGGGAGGCGGGCGGTACTTGGCGGGCGGGGAGGGAGAGGGGGGCCGCCGGGAGCGGGAGAAGGTGCTGGTTTGGGACAGTGTGGAGTCTGTACCGAGGGGGAAAAGAAGAAGGGGGTTTGCTTGTTTTACTGAGAGCAGCTGCAGGGGGGAAGAACTGATGATGATGTAAGGGGTTCGTGTTCGTGGAGCTGATTGAGGTCCACGTGTGCGCTTCCTTCCATTCCAGGGACGTTGCAATAACCCCTAGCCGCAGTGCATGTGTACCGCTGTGAAGTACGACATGCACATGCATATGTGTCGTACCTGCAATCTTCAAGATCTCGTGCAGCACCACATTCCAGGCGGTTGAGTTGCTTTTGTAGGTGAAGCCAAGCACCCAGATGGAGCCCTCGGAGGTGTTCAGCGGCCGGGGCCACTCCACCACTGTGGGGTAGCCGTCTTCAGAGCGGTAGTGGGGCACCGTCGACCTGCATGCGTGCGGGGGTGCATGCGAAGGCGGGTCCGTTGGCACGTTGGGGTGTGTTTGCATGGAGGAGAATCGTAACAGCCAGGGGTCCTAGATGCAAAGCCCATGCGCTCTGTGCGCAATTATATTTGGAGGAGCATCATGTGTAAGACTGGCACAAAACGACGATGCAGCGTGGAAGTGATGGCGGGTGCATGATGGTCTCCTCAGACCACATTCCCTAGTCTTGATGGGCCGTCACGGAAGTTGAAAAGCTAGAACATCGACCGGCGGCGCTCACCCGGGGAAGTTACAAGACAGCGGGTGCACTTCATTGTCAAGGGAGGGTAAGTACGACTGCGTGAAGTACGACGAGGCATCCGCAGTCTTGACTGACACCCCGAGCTCCTGACCCGCCACGGCATCACCCGAGCAGGTCAGGGAGTTGTTTGTCAGCAGCGTGACGAGCGACGCCACACGCTCCATGTCTCGTGGGTCGGTGGGGGCTGTCAGGATGATGTGTCCTCCGTACGCCAAGAGTTCTTTCAGAGTTGCCTGGACATCCCTGTGGTGTACGGAAGAGGGTGCGTGGGGCGGGATACAAGCTAAGGGCGCGCAGGGAAGAGGGCGGAAACGTTACCGTGGGATGCTACTGTGTGTTCAAAGTGCAGCACGCAGGGAGGGAACCCTCCTTGCGTTCCACGAACGCACAAATTGTTTAGTAGGACCGCATTTAGGAGGAGCAGCAAACATGGAAACAAACCGGCATGTATGATATTGTCTAGGATATGTTGTCAGATGGAGGGATTCCCCAGAGCCAACCTCGCCCCCAATCTTCTGCTCCCAAGGCACATACGGCCCGGAGCCTACATTGCTGCGGCCTTGGGGTCGCCACTGCTAGTCGTTTGGCTGACACTTGCCACATAGTCGGCTTGTAGAGCTGGGATGACGAGGGCGGTGGTTTCAGAGCCCCACGTCAGGCTCTTGGGCTGCTGGAAAGTCACATCCAGCTGTGGTCGTTGACATTTTGTTCGAGGAAGGGACCAGATAAAGGTTGGTTAACCAAGCAAGCATATGATCTTTAAACCTATTAAACTTGGTAACTACGTGACATAGGCATTGGACAACCGGGTGCGGAATGAAGCCAGATACTTGGCCCGACCGACATGCGCTAAAAGGATGCGGGTTCTGAGCGACTTCACGAGCGCAAGCCATAGTGTAAAAATATTTAAGCATAATGATCTAGACAAACAGGCCAATAGGCCATGGATTCGTGCGTGCCCATGTCGACGTGCGTGCGCATAGGTTTAACCATACATGCGCTTCCTTAGGACCCAGAGTTCAAGTCCCGACATACCCCCACGCCAGAAAGCGCTTCCAAGCTGCTGATTATCTGGCGGGCTGGCGGAATAGCAGTAAGAGCGGAGCTCAACAAGACCATCACGTTGTACTGCGTCGACGAAACGGCTGCGAGCCTCCTGGCTGCACGCTGTGCCATGGAGTCGGCATTGATCTTAAGGTTGCTCGTTTCCCGGATGTCAAATTGGCCATTGGAATGGTACCAGTGAGCAGCTCCAAATAAAGCAAGCAGCGCCACCACTGTAAGCACCGCCGGTGCTTTTCGCATATTCATTTACGCAATAACTGTTTGTAGCTCTCTGTTTACGTCGAGGGCCCTTTCGAAGAGGTTTTCACACTTTACAGCGTGAAGAACCGCGGCAACATTCTGCACGCAGCTTGCTTGCCGCAAGGATAAAAGGCCCTAAGTTATGTCCCCACGTTAACTACCTATGTGACGGTATTCCCTCTACCAGTGAAAGCTACAGACCCGATATCCTTAGGAAAGCGCTTGTGTGCCGTAAGGCCCTTGAAGCCTATCCCGGTGACTCACAAATCTCCAGCATCCTAGGTACGCGTTTTGCATCAATTTCATAATAATCATGGCTTATATTACAGACGCAAATGACGGCGCACCTGTAATGCCATCGAAGTTAGCAAACCCTTAACGCCGTACCGGTATACCCGGTCGAGCTAAAACGGCATAGCGCTAAGCATTATTGGTGGCACGAGTCAGCAACTTCAGCTATTTAGGGCTCTACGGTGGCTTTGCCCGTGGCCACAAACGTGTTACAATTGAGAGCTGTTGTGTATGACATTCGCAGTTCTGTCTCCCTGCTAGTATTCGTTTGTTGCTGCACATCTCGATCGGAATGGCTCATGGGGTTGTGCAGTAGGGAGGGAGGGTCTTACACCGTACCATGTAGTTGTGCTCATATTGGTGGCTCATGAGGTTGGATGTCGAACCCCATTCATTCAGGGTACTATAACAGAGCGGTCCCATTTGAGTATACCTGCAGACTAGAGTGTGTACGACGGGGCCGAAATGACGTGGGACCTATAATGACCCCCCCCCCTCGACTACTCCTGGTGTATTGGGGGGGTTCCTCCCCCTCCCCCCGACTGGCGGCTTCCGTGGCGGCTTCTGCGGCGCTGGCCTTCCTCTTTATAGGTAAGTCTCCCCTTTAATTACTTTTCTTGCCTAGTCATTTGTTACAACTAATCACCCGTTTTTCTCCGGCCCTGCCTACTTGTCATGCCGAGCACATGTGGGGCTGTGGCATGATAGGTTGGGTTTACACTTTTGTGTGTTTACCCATTTGTCGGAGAATGAGTTTGTAGCTGTGGTCCCGCTTATTGGAGGCTACGGGTTTGTTTGCGGCAGGGTCTGGCGGGTCAGCAACCCTCTAAGGAGGTACAGGTGGGCGGTGCCATCGGGCTGCAGTTGTCGTGCCCCATCGTTGGCTCGTGCAGTTTGTGGTCACGGGTGGTGACGCTCGCGGGCATGTCCCATGGTTCAGTTGGATGATGACGGTGCGAATTGCTACTGCTGAGGTGACTGAGTGGTTCCGGTTATAATGGCTGGTATTATCGCAGTTCCTTTGCTTTAAGTGTTGTGGGCTGTGGAGAGATCGCTCTGGCGTGTCCAGAGTATCTGTCGTACAAGTGCTTGTCTCGTTAGGCGGCGCAGTGCCCGGGCTAGGGCACTGCGTTTTGCTCACATACTCATGTACTGCCTGTAAGAACCATGAAGGGCTTCATGCGTTCCTGATCTGCGGCGCAGATCTACAGCTTACATGCGCGCTTTAACGTAGTCATAGACAACGATCTCCCAAGCGTTGGGCAGCCCAACGTAGCAGTCAGAATAGGCGATAGGTTATCAGTTCCCCGTGGGCCTGGTCAGTCCGCGGCTCAGCCGTCTTGAAGCCCGCCCCAGCACGGGACGAGAGGCGCTGAGGAGCGCTCTACGTCTACAGCAAGACTAGGAGTGCGCCTTCCGGTTACGGGAGGCAGAGACGGAACCAGCAAAACGGACGGACGGTTATTACGGCCCGAGCGGACGGGCAGGAGAGGAACGGACGGACGGTTATTGCGGCCCGAGCGGGCGGTCAGGAGAGGAACGGACGGACGGTTATTTTGGCTCGGACGGACGGCCAGGGAAGGACGGAGCGAGTGTCATGCCTTCTCGTGCTGTGGCGTGACCTGCAGTGGTCTCTTTCCGCGCCTTGCCTGTGTTGGCGTGGTCGGGGGTCCTTGCGGACAACCAACCCAATGCTGGCTTGGTTGTGGGGGGGAGTACGGACCCCGGTGGCACTAGAGGGCCAAACCAGCGTTGGGGCACGACACAGTTCCCAGCCGGTGTTGTAGCCTAGAGTAAATAGGCCATAACCTACGCCATACACGCTTCCGCTTGCGTTACATCTCGATACTTTACTTCCGCTCGCTTCCGTATCTCGATCCTAATAGATACAACAATACCGTACGCATACGGTAGGGCGCCGCATTAGGTCGCACAGCCCTAGCTTGCGGTCGCATACACCCTAGCCATAAGGGAAGGGACAGAAGCGCAGTAGCCTCGTCCTCACACGGGCGCCGCGTGCCACTCTGCTGTTCGTACTAGTCCTGGTCAATTAGACGGTCACCGGGGGTGGGCATCACTTGACACACGCGAAATTTTTGGGGTGTCCCACCGCCCGCGTGCGCCGCGGGAGTGTTGCCACAGGGCCTTGGTGACTGGAACTTAGACAGCAAACAAGCAGTAGACAACTTGAACAGCCAGCTTTCTTCCGCCTGCTTGCTGGAGCGTCAACCATTCATCATCATTGCGGACCTGGTATCGGTAGGGTATACTAACCAACACTTTGTCTTGTGGCACCCTGCCGCCTCCTACTCCCATTGCTTTGCCCTAACCTGTGGTCTCCTATGGTTTGGTATGGTCTTTGACCCCAACCCGACTTGGGGTGTGTAACCGCACGTCGGTGGATCAGTGTGTCCCGTGGCCTGCATTCTGTATATTATGGGTCATTTGGCTCACTCAAGGCAACACGCCGCAACTCGCAAATGTTCGCCATCCAGGAGGGTGCCCAACAGGTGTCGCTGCTTAGGCGCCAAACAAGCAATCGCCAAGCGTGTAACACGAAGAATGTTGGGTCTGGGGCGCTTGTGCGTGCTTGTAAGGTGGTTGCATGAGCGGCCATGTGACGTGCATGTGCACGTCCATTTTCTGACCTGGCCTCATCCAATGTAAGGTGTCATGCAGTTTGTTCTTTTTCCTTCTTTGACGTGCTGTAGAGTGTCGCGTTTTGCACGACACAAAGGTGTTATTATTTCTCAGCGCAAATCAACCGTGTTTGTTGCAGCACAGTAAGACCTCCTCACCATTGGCCAATAACTCCGTTGCCCTTGACAAAGGTATCTTGTCCACCTGCAGGCTGCACTATAACAGGGTGCAGGACGAGCGCCAGAAGAAAGAGCCACGGGGCCCCCAAACCCAAATTGAGTACCGGTACTTCTAGCCACCAAGCGCCAACCTCTTTAGGAGGAGGCTCCTTTTTACATAATTTTACATCCCATTTCCGACCCTCGAACACTGCACACAACCGTTGCAAGTGAGGATTGTGCACAAGTAAAGACCTCTCGTCGAGTGGGTAAACCCTTGCCTCTCACAGTAGCGCACGTTGTGATCACAGCTTTCATGCACATATGCGTCAAGAGCAGCGCAAATGTACATGCATGTGCAATCAACGCTGTTCCCTTCTGTATAGTATCCTGGGTCATGTATCATGAGATGCACTGTTCTGGCATCAACGGCCGATCTGTCCTTTTCTGTCTGATAAGGCATGATACAACACCTTGCTTCTGATAGGCAGCAACATCGGCTGCCCTATCCATTAACCGTGTACACCTGTGCAGGAAAGCACGGTTTCGAAAACCGGATAGGACCTTGTGAAACTTAGTGACAACTGTCAGTGCAGTGATTGCGGTATAATTGGAATTGAAATACATTTCCCCAGACATAACTGCAAAAGTTGAGCCCCCTTCAAACGCATGCCTTGTGCTTCGCATCACAGTCGCATGATTTTGTTCTTTAGTTATGATTTACATGGTGTATCGTAAGTGTCAGGGCGTCTTTGATGACAGAGTTTAAGTCATGACCAAGACCAGAAAACACCTAGCGCACTTAGCTCAGTGACCCGTGGGTCATCAGTTGTAAGCTCCTGAGCCCAGGTGGTTGAAACAGTGGTGCAGGCGGCTTTACACAGGCCCTCAGGCCCCGCCACCCATCTTGTTGGCCATGTTCCTTAGCGCCTTACATTCGCACGGTGGTGGCATGGCATAGGAAATAAGACGTCCAGACGGACAGGCACAGGTCCTGGATATTATCAAGCACATAAAGCTTGCCAAACGCACTGCAAGCATAGCTGTGTGACTAGCTCGACATCTGTAAATAGTAGATATTAAACCAAACTAACAGCGTGGAAACGAACTGTACATATCAACACATGCGTTAGCATCAGTGGATGTGCTGGCTGTTTGTTCATCACTTTAGGACCGGTTAGACCTGCCTACCGGTATATCTGCTACGCCTCACAGCGCTAATATCATAAATACAAGTCATCTAACAACCGCAACATTTACGACACCGCTACATAGCACAGGACGTCGAAACCCCACAACCTACAGTGCAAGGTCCGGGGTCTGATGTATAAATTGGTGACGTTCAAAGTGCACAAGTGTATCATGAACCAGAAGATATAAAGTGACCACAGCAGCAAACTTTTTAAAGGCACACATCGGAGTCTCGCAGCAGACGCATACAGGATTAAAAGCCAAGTTCCGCGCACACACCACATGTGGTGTACGTGCTTGGCGCTATCCCGGTGACATGTAATGCAACGTCCCCAACCTAAGCGTTAAAAGACGTGTACGGATGTGACCTAACCCCCCGTGGCGGTTGGAATTAAAACGACAGAACGTCGCTGAATTACTCTATAGAACGTGTTATCTAGTTTCTAGAGGGCATACGCCATGTGCGCTTAGAGCTACTGCCAAACAGTTTAGCACACATAAAGACAAACCAGCGAATGGGTGCAGCAGCGCCAATCCCTGACCAGGAAAGCCAAATAAATTTTAACGGATGGAAAAACACGCTCACGCACCACAACTGGAAAGATATGGTCGTCTGCGCGGCTGAGCTGCTTTAGTGTCAACACACAACCTGAAGAACACGAACTCGCGTGACTGCTTCTACAACTGCCGGGCATACGACAGCAACTAAAACGACAACAACAAGCCTTATGTAATCCCATGCACTCATGAAATAGCTGCGATCCGGCACTAGGTCAGCCCGCAACCTCGGTAGCTGTATCGCAGCGGTACTCGAACAATGCTTTCACTGCAATTCCAGGACGTGGTCAGCCCCATATTGCCTCCGCGGGCCTCCATGCATCTGGAGCTGCAATGCGCCTGTCTATCTGGATGCATTGTAAGTTTGTAACACTAACCGTTCGCTCCTTCGCTTTCATGGCTCCGAGGGGCCAAACGTTTTCGTGCGGGCCAGCATCCTGTTGTCCTGTTGCCAAGGCGTCCCAGTGTAGATTTACATCACAAATCCTCCTCGTCTTTCTCCTGTGCGGAGCAGGGGTGGCATTGCAGGTAACCATTAGAGCCTGTACGGAAAGATGTTCCACGGATTTGGGCAGGCTAGCATGTCTCACGACTCGATGCGGACCAGTGCCGTACCGGCGTGCACCTTGAAGCACACTGTGTGATGCCGCAATGCAGTACAGTGATGCTTGTATGTGTGCAACGTCCTTAACCCCGGCATGAGCACCGGTAACTGTGGGCGCACATGTTTAAACTGGGACGGATCTTGCACACGACATTGCTTGCTCTGAAGTTGAAACCAACCGAGTTCCCTACGACCGCAACCACCGGTACCTTGGGCTCTGAGAGGTGTGACGTTTGGCGCACAGGTGCCGGGTAGCTACTGCCGGTGCCGGTGCCATTGTTTGTGCCTGCAGCCGCGGTGTGTGGAATCACCCAAGGCTTCGACCCCAGGTGTGCCGAGCCATGAGCCGGCATGGCTGACGAGTTGCGAGCCACAGCAGGTGCACCCCTGTTGAACTGCGTCGTGCTTCGCTTTGCAGCAAGCGGCCGTGCTGCGCTTGGTGCGGCAGTGGTGGTGGCTTCCAGGCCACCGTCCTTTGCAGCGACAATAGCACGGACTGCCCAGAACGGCGAGTCCTGGGGGTCCGGCTGGGCGGCGCCGGGGTCCCCTGGCACCTCATCAGCCAACTCCCCTTCCAGCATGGGCGCCTCCAGCTGCACGCCTATTCCCCATGAGGACGTCGATGCGGCCTGCGGTGGCTGCGGCCCTGCCGCTTGTGGCAACGTCATCAGGAGAGACGGCTCCGATGGAGGAAGTGTTTCCGCCGTGTCTGCCGACAGCAGGGATGCCGCCTCTGCTGGAGCCTGGTCGACGGCCTGCTCATGCGGCAGGGCGTCCGGCAGTACTGGCAGTGCAGGGGAGGCCTCTGCCGGTATCAGAATAGCTGGCTCTGATGACAGCAGGGGCGCTACCCCTGCTTGTGTGAGGGTATCGGGCTCCGTCAGTGGCAGGGCGACCGGCACTGCGGGCAGCACAATCGCCACCACTGACGATTTCCTAGCAGCAGGCTCTGCCGGCAGGCGGGATGCTGCTGCCGTTGAACGCGGCACTACTGCTACCTCCAAAACCTCCAAGTCCGAAGAGGCTGCGGGTGCCGTCGCCTCTACTAAGCCTTGATGCTGGGTCTTCCCTTGGATCGTGCATGCTTCGACTGCCGCAGCGTCTAGTGCTTGAGATGGGTCGCTTGCTGCTGCCAAGAAGTCCACACTGCTGGCAACCGCTGCCTCCACTTTATCAACCGCACGTCTTCTCACAGGCAGCACAGGCAGAGGTGGCAACGGTCCAAGAGCCGCTGCATTGTGCAGTTGTACCTGTTCATCGCTCACACGGTTCCTGTTGGGCGAATTCTTAGTCCCCTCTTGCAGTACAGCTACCCCCGGGGCTGGCTCTGCTGCCTGGTCTCCTGGTTTCAGCAATGGCAAGGCTTCTGATTCTGATATCGCGAACACCTCACCGCCATCGACTTGAATAGCCGTGTGCAGTGGCCCCATGACCGGCCGGCCAGACTCTCTCGTTGGTTCCCCAGCGGAATCAGTACTGGCCGACGAAGGCCGTGGTGCTGTTGGGCTGCCCATCCTGCGCGCCGCTGAAAGCTCCGGCAGAGGTCCCGCCAGGCTTCCACCAGTTCCTCCCAATGCAGCACAAGCCCCGGCTGCAACGGTACCACAAGGCGCAGGTGCGTAGGTTGAAGTCGCCAAGCTCTCCACTGCCGCTGATGCTGCCCCTTCCGCACCCGACCTAGCCGAGGCCGCTCCGTTCGCCGCTTCACCCGCGGCCTGCTTCGGCTGGGGCTGCAGCAGACCTGCCCCTCCGGCGCCGTTGCCACGGCGCCTCATCACCGCTGTGCGCAGCATCCTCTCGAAGCTGACTGCCAGATGCTGCTGCTCGCGGTGCAGCCCTGAAAGCTGCAAGCATAAAGACTGGGTTTGCTCCATGAGCGCCTGAACCACAGACAACATCAGCGCTTCCAAAGACGGGCCTGCGTTGCCACCAGCGCGGCACTCCTCCTCCAAACCAGACTCCCTACGCTGCAGTGTTTGCTCTACTTCCTCAGGCGATTGCTGTGATGGCTCGGGGCCCGGCACGCGGCTGCTGCTTGGGACTTTTCGGGCTGACCCAATCGCTGCATTCCTGCTCCAGCACACTTTGGGCTGCGGCAAGTCCGCTAATGTATGGGCAAGCCTGGGGTCTTCGTTGCCAGGATGCGGGTCGCCTGCTGTGGCACCGGCGCTGGCAGGGCCCAACGAAGCCAGAGCACCTAAGCTGCCGGGAGCGAAGGGCACCCCTGCATCCAATGCCGCTGCGGCTGGAAAACACCCAACGCCGTAAATGCGAAGCAGCAGGCGTTCCAGCTTTAGTGCAAGCTCAGGCCCGCTTAAGGGGGCGACTTCACTGCAGCTGACTGGCCTTGGCAACGGGGCAGCATCCTGATCAGCCCCGCTGGCCCGAAGGGTGGTTGCCGGGTCCTGCAACGCACTGCCGTGTGCTCCTTTGCCAGGGTCAACCTTCCAGCTGCCAGATGCCCTCATCTCTGTGAACGCAAGCCCCTCCTCTGCCGCCGCAAGGGTGAAGGGAGTCACTGGTGTCATACACCTTGTAAGGCCAGCCCCTGCATCCTCTCCAGCCGGGCGCCATCTGTCCCGTCCGTTGGCATCCGCTGCCTGCTGCCTCTTGCCTGGATTGCGGTTTGGTACCTGACCCAGCAAGTGGACAAGGTATGCAGCTACCCGCCGCTCTGGTACTCCCAATGAGGAAGAGGAGGACTTGGAAGATGAAGAGGAGGAGGAAGTAGAAGAGGAGGAGGAACTAAAGGAGGAAGAGCAGGAGGACAGAACACGCTCAGTAACGAGAGCTTGGGACGGACCACCCTGGTTACTGCTGCCGTCAATTGTAATCCCAATGTGGCCGGTGAAGGGCTGAGCTGGTAGCAGCACTGGACCCCCCCGGACTTCGCGTGCATTGCCATGCACCTCCGCTTGAGGAAGAGTTGCGCCAGTCCCAGCTTTCTTCCGCCTGACAGCAGCTGTGATGACTGCCAACAGGGCACGGCGGAGCAGTGCGGCTCTATCGGCAGCTCCCTCGGGAGGAGTTGCCGCTGTTGCTGGGCCAGCTGCCACTGCTTCCCTACCGTGACGGTGGCGGCGGCTGTGGCTGCCGCTGCCGTCACAGCTACGGCTGCGACTGCGGCTGCGCTTGTGGCAGCTGCTCAGGAGCTCCAGCAGCTCCGCCAGCTGCGGGGCGCCCAGCTCCTCACCTTCCACTTCAACCACCATCCTTCTGTGGGCGGTTAACACAGAATGATTTAGGCGGATAAAGTCTTGGAGGATTATGGGGGACCAGCTGCAAAGGCAACGTCACGAAAACTGCCAGAGGGATGACAACTGAGCAAATCGTGTTTGCTAAAACTGCTAAAACCGGTGGTATGGGGTGCACAGTGCACGAGAAGCTTGGCCCGTGAGCTTTCCATTTTTGTCCCTCACCTGCCGGGGCCATCCTCTCTCCACCTGACCAGCTCCAATCCAAGGTCCTGCAGGTTCTGACTTATCGCACGGGCGGCTGGGGACACAGCCGACGACAGAGAATGGTGAGCGCTGCGCCAGTTGAGGCTCTTAGGCGGGGGCAAAGGCGGTGTACGCCGACCTTGCGAAACACCAGCCACCAGGCGAGCAAGGGCCTTGTTCATGGGAGCGCGGTTGAGCATGGCCTGCATCAGACAAGCGGGTTGGCAAGGCTGAATACAATAAGGACGGTACAGCAGGGATTGCGTTTATCCAGGACGAAACACCTAGAGTTAGAGAAGTCTCAAGCGAGCACAGGCGAGCACAGGCCACCAAGGGGGCATGAGCCCATATTAGCATAGTCACGAGCTCACGACATGCAGGCGTACATTTCCCACCGCCGGATATGCCACCAACGCACCTGCCAGAACCATCCGAGCATCTGAGCAATCTGCTTCCAGGGACGTGGCTCGTCTTCAGTGGCACGCTGTGGGACAGAGCCGCCATGAGAAAGCCAAGGAGTTAGCATACGAGAAAACTCCGCTGTTATGACAAGCCCTTGCAAGTGACACAAGAGTCGGTCGCATAACTCTCACCGGGAAAGTACGTTTGTGCAGGAGGTGTCAAACGGCACGGTGCACAATCAATGCACAGGCACGGCACGCGTTCACGATGCCCTGTCACGCACCTTGAGTGCCGCGAAGGGCATGGTCAGCAAAGCCAGCACAACGTTGATCAAGGTAAAGTAGAAGAAGAGGGGGGAGATTAGTACGACGACCCAGCGCATGAAGACGTAAGCGCCGTTGCTCTCGTTGGCGGGCTGTTTGAGGGGCACGGTGGAGCAGTTAGTTATGCGGCTCCTGCTTGGAGGTATGCAGGCAAGCAGGGATTGTAGGATGGCTTGCAGGGCTGCTTATATGCTTAGCAAAGACTTACGTCCATTACTGCCGCCAGCGCTATTGCACTGTCAGTCGAACCGACGCCGTTGATGCAGTACGACAAGGTCCACACTAGGGCATCTGCCATGGTCGCAAGCTGCGGCACTACGTTGCCCCACAGCAGCAGCATCAGGACCGCGTACATGGCGAGAATGATTAGCAGCACCACCATGAAATTGGCGAGGTCGGGTATCATGCGGGCTAGCGTGCCCGAGATGACGGAGAGGCGGGGCTGGAAAGACAGGTGGTGGATCAGACGCAGGATGAGAAGGATGAGCACGATACCCTGCATGAAACAAAGACGGGTGCTCCTCATTGTTTCCTGGCTACTGCGGAGTGGCTCTGTGTAGGCCGAAAAGAACGCAGGCGGACTACCATTGGAAAGCATGAAGGTAGTGTCGTATCCATCCACACAATGTACATACCTGAAGCGTCTGGTACAGAGCCCACATGTGGCACAAACCGCGGACCTGCATGCAAAGATGAATACTAGGTGGATGCGCGGGAAGCCTACACTGTTGGTCTGTTTCCCATGTGGATGTCTCAGCGCTTCCAAATTAAAGCTTGGTGACCTTAGTCCTCTAGCCCATAGCCGCAACCTAAGCGTGCTCTACGCCATGGCCTGAGCCACACCTCTTGCATGTTGCGCTTAGCAATTTCCTATCCGCCGCCGGGCCCCATGCCCAGCTAGCCTCAACGCACCTCGTAGAACATCTCGGCCATCCGCTGCAGTCCACTGGTGTTCTCTGCAGCCTTCCAGCGACCGGCCTCGCCTGGTCCGGGGCTTGACGAAGACGAGCTCGTACTATCGGCCCGGCGAAGCATTAGGTACCGCGCCATTGCGTGCCTTTGTGCATCGTACACGTCGTACCTGGGCGGTAGGCAGGGAGGTATGTGCGCAGCCTTAGTGCCTTTGGCTAAAGGACGGCGCGCCCATCGAGGATATTGGGTTAGTACAGAGGAACAGCAGCACGTCACTGCATGGCAAGGGTGACAGCTCTAGCTGCCAGCCTCGCTCCCCGCCTTTGTTTCCCCGTATGCATGGCATATTGAGCCCACCTCATCTCTTGCGGTGCGTTTTGAGAGGCCTTGCTCGAGAAGGTAAACATGGCCACCAAGCAGGCAATCATGAGGCCGGCCACGATCACCTCGTAGCACAGCCAGAAGGCTGTCAAACGAGCACGGTACCTTTGCACCACGCGCTCGCCACCCTGCAGAGCGGTCAACCGACATGGACAGCCGTACAGGTGCACGGTTACGGCTACACAAATATAATTGGAGAAAAGGGGAAACACGGACGTGGGAACTGCCAATTAAACCGTGTTACAGGTAGGCAGAGGTTGCGGGGCTATCAGGAGCTGCCGGTGCATTCGGGAGCACCCACTGCTTAAACTCACATCCTTCTTAGGTAGATGGACTTCCTCCACGCCGTCCGCGGACATTGTCACGTAGCGCTGGTGCTTTGACTGGCCGGCCTCTTCTTGCGCTTGCTTGTGCTGCCAGCCCGTTCTTCTTTTCCTGCCGCTAGCTCCATTGCCCGATGCAGTGAAGGCCGTTACTGCTGCTGCTGAGATACCGCTGCGCCGAGCACCAACCGGGCCGCCACCGGAGGCAGCAGCAGGGGAACGACTAGCGCAAACGCGGCTGCCCGCCCTCCAGAGCTCCAGCGGCACACCCCACAGCAGCGCACCACAGCCACCGCCGCTCCCTGCAGCGCCATCCTGCGTTGGTGCTGACAGCAGCTCTGACGGCGCTTCCCCTGCTGTTGGCAGCTCCTTCGACTCGCAGACAGGAAGCCAGGACGAGTTACCTTCGCCAGTTGACGCTTCTGCACGCGCTACGCCCTGACCGCGCCTCTGTTCCAGATCAGCATCTGATGGGGCTTGTTGTGGCATTTCTTGCCCGCTTTTGAGTTGGAGCCTGTGACCCCAGGAGCCCTCAGCCGCCTGGTCGCTAGTCCCGTCAACGGGTGCCATTCCGAAGGATGATGCCACCCGATGGCGTCGCCTAAACAGGAAATAGCGCCTCAGCTGAGACCGTGATGCGGCTGCGACTTCGCAGAATGCGCTCCACCACGACCGTGCAGGCGCTGCTGCTGCGCCTGTCGACGCGGCCAGCTGCACACCTGACGAGGACACGGCAGACGTAGCCTGTTGCCACTCCCTAGTGCCATGCGATCGAAGGAGAAAGGACTGCGCTGACAGAAGCAAAGATGGCCCCTTGCTGCTGATGCCAAAGCTCTTTCTGGATCGCGAATGGGCTAAAGAGCCGTTTCGTGCTAATGGGGGTGTCTGCTCTTGGGCCTCCAAAGCGGCGCGCAGCACGGCTGCTTGGTTGCGCTGATCGCGTGCAGTTAGGTAGAGGTGGTGACCGGTCATTGCGCAGTATGCCGCCACCAGAAGCACGAGCAGTACGGAGGGAACGACCTCCAAGGCACGGCCAGTCTGTGAGGTTGAGAGAAGGGGCTCAAAAGAAAGGTTGGGTACGATCGTAGTCATACACCTCACGCAGTCCTTCCCATTTCCAGCACTTGACATACAATGAGCACGTCGAGCAGCCTCTTCGGGTGTTTACGACAACCCTTACAAGAAAGACACGAAAAGCTGCCATTGTGGCGGTCCTGGCTCACCTGTACGGCAGCCCGCCAGGTGGCAGCCGGCAGCCCCTGTAGGCTGAACGAGCCCCGGATGGCGCCCTCAGCACCCCAACTGAACTCTGCGCGCCAGTAGCCGAAAACGTGCATCTCGGCATCGTACGACACCATTTGTGCAGTGAGGCTGTGACGCAGTGCGAGGCGGCAAGGGTGGGAGAACAGCAAGTAGGCAGGGAGGTTTGTAAGCGGTAGATGTTGCGCCGTTTGCCGGTATTGGAATACGAGCGTGAATGCTACAACATGCATGCCTTTCTCACAATGCGCCCGTGTTAACGGCTTTCCTATCCATCTTCGGACACACTATTCCCTGAGCCGTACCAGAGACCAGTATTATCGTCCTTTACCCCAGCAACCCTCTTCCTGCGCCGCCCACCTTTCTGTGAGCTCCGAGTCCAGGTAGGCGCCCTCTTTGAGCGCCAGCAGCATCTCCCTTATCCGCCGCTCGCCGAGGCTCGTGTCCAACAGCACGGGATAGGCGTCCGGGGCCACACCCGCCAGCGGAACAGGGGAGGTGAAGAAACCGTACGGTATTCCGTTGGGGTTCAGGTGGCCCGAACCGGCAGAGGTATTGTAATAGTCATCTGCTGGTGGGGCGTTAATACGGCCAAGGTGAGGACGTACCTTGTTGTGTTGGGAGTTGGGACAGGGTCTGATACAGTTTGACCTTCGGTGCAACATACAATATAGTCACGCACCGGGATGCGCCGCCACATCAGCACTGTAGAGCTGGGAGCGGGGGTTAAAGACAGCATCAACACCAATGCCAACCGCTGCCGTCCCTTGCAGTTGTTGTCGTTGGGATGCTGCAACAGCCACGCCCCCGGCCCGAGTACGGTTATGGCCAGCATTGCAGGCCGCTGCGAGCAGGCCGGTGAAAGCGCTGCTGGAGCAGCCTCCGTACATCTCTACCAAGCTGGCGGCACTGAGGCGACGCTGGTGCAGGAGAAGGCCCGCGACGACAGTTGAGCCAGACTGACCCACGGTTCGCGGTGGTGCCACAGCTTCAATGTCCGGAAGCAGGTAGTCCTTGAAGTTAGTCCACAAGATGTTACGAATCGGATAGCCATTAACGACATCTGCACTCCCACCAACTCGACCACCGACGCCACCACCACTAACGGCTAGCAACTGCCGGTGCCGTGAGGATGCAGGGAACACGGGAGGTGGAGCGGTGTCACCGCCGCCGGCGAGGTTTCCGTTGTCGCTGGCGGCAGGTGGTGGGGTGGCCGTGGCCATTGAATCTGTACCACTGCCGCCGGTGGTGCTGTTTATGTTGAACGCGACATGCATCCCAACACGGCTCTCTCGGGTAGCCAGGCAGTCAACCAGAGCCTGCAAGTCCTCGCTGTCATCCTCAGGTGCCAGACTTCCCAGGCCGAAAACAATTTCCCCAATGCCAATCTGCGTGCGGTTGGCAGCAGCCTCCAGCAGAACAAGGGAGGTCTGCAGCAGGACAGATGCAGCCTCCAGGGCAACTGCTGAATCATCGCTGGTGGTGTTTGCGGCGAATAAGAGTTGCTGGAGAGTGTCTACGCGAGAGCTAACACGGGTGAGTGCTGCGTCCGATAGGTCCTGTGGGCCGCGTTTTGTGGTGAGCAGGGTTAGCGAGGATGTTCACGCAAACATAGCACATGTTGCAACTGCAACGGCTGGGCGCAGAGACAGCCGTCAATGAGCAAAGCCAGGAGATGCACTTGGCGTCATGGCCCGCAGGCTTTTCTGGGGCTTACCTGAAGTCCCAGGTAGGAGTCCCGCACAGCGGCCTGCAGTGCATCTTCCTTGTCATCTAGCTGAAAGGCTGTGTCACCCGCCGTCGATGCCGCCGCGTAAACCAAGGCCGCAAGGTTTGCTGTTACGGCTGCCGCGCCCGACGCAGCTGCCACTGCCGCCGAAGAGGGGTCGACGGAGGGCGTCTCGCAGGTAACTGTAGGCGTACCCGCGGATGAGAAGCCTCCGAAGAGCGAAGAAATGGAGGAGTCGACGTCCATCACGGCAGATGCTTCGAACAGCGCTAAGAGAGCTGAAAGCTGGACGTCGCAAGAGTATGAGTTCTGCAGCAGCGACCTCGACCTCACGCCCAGGCCTGGTGCCATGCCAGTACCGCGGGTACGGGTAGCACCGCCGCCCTGCAGGTTATCGTCGGCTGAAGAACCCATAGCCTCCCATAGCCGTACACTTTGACTTAACAGCAAATCCGTTGCCCGCGCAGCAGCTGAGAGCTCCTGTGCTAACGAGCGTAGCGTGTGGATTGCATGGGAGGTGGTGGTTGGGGCCAGAGCTTCCACCGCGGGCAGCTTGTCCGCAGGTGCCCCGGGACGAGGCTCGTTTTGCTGCATACTCAGCAGCAGGCGACGGCTACCAGAAGTCGCCGAAGAGGACGTGCTCGAGGGGATGCCAACTGTGACTGTCAAGGTGGCGCTCAGGGTACAAGACAAGCTGGTGGAGCCACCTACTCCAGGAGAGGCGCTTGCGGACACAACCTGCAAGGCAAGCAAGGCGTTTAGTTGCAGCGGCTCCATGTACCGCATGTGTTGCGTGCGCCTCGCTTTCCACTCCCGAACGTACCTCAGCGCGTGTCAGGTTGAACCGCCGTACCAGCGATGGGTCCATTCCCAGGGTTGCCCAGTAGGCGTCAACCAGATGCGACTGCAGCTCGGCCTCCAGCGACAAGCGCCTAGTGAATGCGGCGGCAGAGGCGTTGGCAACACCCGCAAGAGCGGAGGCATCCGCGGCACTAACAGGGGCGCTACTGCTGCTGCTGTCGCTGCTGCTGCTATTTCCCAAGGACGGTGTGGGAGGAGGCGGTGACGGTGGCGCAGGCAACGACGGCAGGGACACGGAGACGTTGAAGGAGAACGTGAGCGAAGCCCTCTCCTCAACGGTCACGATCCGCAGGAGGGACGCGGTGTTAAAGTCGGAATCGGTCACTGTGTACCTGTGAGGGAAAAAGACAGGAGGGACAGGCGAGGAGATTCTTAATCCCGGCGTAGAGTTGAGGGGTTTTCATGCGTGGCTACGCGACCCAAGACACTGTCTGGGCAACTCAGTTGGCAAAAGTGGCAACGCTTAATGCACAGGACAGATACTGTCGCTGGCAGACCCAGCCTTCGTCAGAGGGTCACCGGAGTACAATGCTGGGAGCCAGGTCCCACCCAGCTGCTGTCGCCATTCTGCGTCGTACCTGATGCCGTACACGCCTGGCAGGCAAGCTCCTGCAGACAGCGCCTCAGCACTGCACGTGTCGCACGCATCCAACGATGTCGAGCCACCGTAGTCGGTAGCGTAGTCGTAGGAGACAGCCGAAACGCACACGGGGTAGGTCTGTGGGTTTGGAAGGCATGTCGACACGCCGCCGGAAGGAAGGTTAGTCAACATGAAATCGGGCAATGCATGGTCAATCAGTCATGTGCATGCAGTATGCGCTTGCGTTTGAGAGTCGTGGGCTACAGAAGAAGGCAAACGGGCAGCTTACCATAATGGTGGTCGATATTTCGCCGTCCGTGGCATCCACAGCCACGGCTCCACAGCCTGCCAGGCTCCGGACACCGCTGCAGGGCAGTAGCGAATACGGCGCGGCGCTGCCGTACGGCACCGTCATCTCCAATTGCGCAGCGTACAGCGGTCCCGACCCGTTGAAGAACCTTGCTGCTGCGTTGGCAGCCAGCAATGCATTGACGCTGACCGCCGCAGCGACGGCCTTTGCTGTCGGACTGGAGTCGGCGCCATCCACAAGCAGCAGCAGTGGGCCCTGCTGAGCGCTCGCAGAGGCAGTGCTACTGGCTAGCAAGCGCAGGACGGCGCGCGTGTCGCAAGAAGTGCTGCCACAGGAGTTGTCTTCAGCGCAGTAGATGTCAGCAGTGTTCGTGCAGGGACTGACAATCGTGAGCTGGCGACTCGCAGTCACACGGGGTTGGTTGGCCCACTTGTCGAAGACTACAAAGAGGATCTCTTGCTGCGAGCCAACTGCAAGGCGAGGGTAGCAGTGGCAGTGTTGTGGACCATGGGGCATGCAAGCGGTTCGTCGCAGTCAGCACAACTCTTCGACGTACTGCTCCAATGTTTGCGGATTGCAACCCCCACTCCACCATACTACCCACCTGAAGCACTGGCGTTAACACAGCCTTCGATTCCCTTCTTCCACACTTCGTGCCCAGAGCAGGCTATGCCGTTAACGTAGCAGGTATCAGGTGGGCAGACATACACCTGCTCGGTTATGTAAGTGCCCAGGCGGTCAGTGGCACTGACCCCTGGGTCACAAGGCGCAGCTGCTGTCGACGTCTGGCCCGCTGCACATAGACGGTAGGAGAACCCGCGCGGCAGCTTCACTTTGCCTTTGACCACATCATTTCCAAGGAGTGTAAGCGTCGGGGAATCGGAGGTGGCCGTGATGGGTATTACGGATGCGGCTGCAGCTGAAGAACTGGGAGACGAGGATGCAGAGCCGGTGACACCGGTGCAGACACTATCTGCGTGCACAAGCGGCAGAAGAGCCAGGTAGAGCTCAATGTTGTGCAGGACTGACAGGCGGCAGCAATGTACATGGTTAGTGCGCATGCAGCGGCGCAAGGGCATGTCGTATTTGAACGGCAGGAACCAACAGGCACCTCCAAGCGGCGCCAGAAAAGTGTAGGATTGACTGCGAGCTGCGAGCTTACACCGGAAGTTGTCAAGGGCTACACAACCTCTCACCTTGCGAGCAAGACAGGTCCAAGCAGACCACCTCATCTGCCGGACAGACTCGTACTGTGCGGACAGCCCAGGCCGTTGCTCCGGCAGAGTCGGTGACCGTGAAGTTGACGACATAGTCATTTGGCACAGCGGTGTTGATACCGCATGCCGCTAGGCTGCTGCTGGTACTGCCGCTGCGGCCGCTGCTGGTGTACAAGGCCCCACATGCGCGCACCAGCAAGCCCAAATTGCCATCTTCAGCATCGCTGGCAGTGACCCCTGGGTCGCAGATCGCCTTCACGCCTGACAGCCGTGTGCAGGGCGTGTACTCCGTGTAGCCGCCGCCCTGGTCTGCTACCATTGCGACAGTGGAGTCCCCCAGTAGCGTGAGCACCGGTGGCGAGTTGCTGCCGCCCACCCCGCTGCCACTGCTGCTGCTACTACTAGCACTGCTGGTAATGTTGCTTGCGCTGTACACCACACCGCATATGCCCCCACCGCTGCTGCATGCCGCCACCCCATCAGCAGTTTCCTCAGCACCGCAAACCCGCTCCCCTGTGGGGCACAGCACGTAGACGCGGCGGTATGCGATGGCCCGGTTTCCCGCAGAGTCTGTGGCGACGTAGGTGATGAGGTAAGGGTTGGACTCTCCTCGAGGGACCCGGGTGTCCAGGGGGCCCCCTGAGGGGAAGGATCTCGCCAGGGAGGCGCTGACGTCACCGTCCACGTCGTCCATGGCCCTGCGTGGGTGCGTTGGCGAGATTGACAGCGTGTACCCGGTACCGTAATAGAACCGCAAGTTACAACGTGCGAGCTCAGGTGCACCGCTCCAAGCTGGGCCATGCAGCTGCTGCGCCTCGCTTGAGGCATGCTACTTTGTTCCGTTACCGCTACAAGCTGACGACAGCCTGCGCTTACCTGGCGCCGGCGTCTACGTAGTCCGAGTTGGCAAGGATGAAGGTGATTCGCCCAGTCCGGTTTCCACTCGAGTAGGCCTCCCCAGGCTTGTACGACGGGCTGGGGTCTAGGATTGTGATGGTGGGCGGTGTGCGGTCCACCACAGCCGCCGAGCGAATGACCTTGGACAAGGTGAGAGAAGGGAGGGCGTCAGGCAACAGGCAATGTACCGGTATCTCCAGCCAGGCCCCCGCTTACATGCATTGGCTGGTTGGCGTATCCTGCAATGTCTTCAGGCAGTTCCTCGAAAGGCCCGCTTCCCTTCCTCGCTCACCTGCACTGTGCTTGTGGCCGCAAACGAGGAAGAGGAGGAGGATGCAGAGGCAGACGATCCCGAGCCCGAGGATGTCGACGCATAAGCTAGGGAGCCGGAGTTCAGACTGAAGGTAAACGACGTAATGCAGCTGCCTGCGTGGCATGGAAGATCACATGCGAGTGCAGCCGAAGTGGGACAGTGCGGGTTAGCTACCAGAGCTTCAATCATAGCGGAAAAGCTGAAGGACTTGGGTTCCATGTTCCAAATCCTCCTCCTGAACCCCTCTGCGCCTTTCCAGAATGATGTATTCCAGTACCCGTGCCACCAATGGCCGTACCTCCCACACTGCAGCCGCCCGTGTTGGCGCACGTGGCCTCTCCCTGCGCCTGACAGGGGTCGTACACCGTCACCCGCCGTACCACTGGTGCCGCCGCATTGCCCGCCGCGTCGGCACAGCCGTACAGTACGACAGCCGGGGCGCCCGGCGCCGTCGCCTGCGAGGTGCTGACGGGCAGGCCCACCGCCACCACGGCCGAGTCGCTGAGGGAGCCTTCCAGTGCATCCGTGCAGCTAGCCCCCGTGTCCTGCAGTGGCGCGCGGGTACGGTCAGTGCAGGTCAGGGTCGGGCCCCAGCGGACCGAGTAAGAAAGAAACGCATTCCTGGCACGTTGGTCGACACCTAGCCGCCGCATCCCATATGGCCCACACTGCCACACACCTCACATATATCACATCCCGTGTTCCCTTCTTGGCAACCACTGCAGCGGTCCCTCAATCACACCCGCAGCACCTGGTAGGTCCCCAGCACGGAGACCGTCACGTCCTGGTCGCCCACCACGCTGAGCTGAGGTGCACGTGCATCCCCCATGCCAAAGTACCCAGACGGCACGTCACGATCGGCGGAGGAAACAGATGCCAGCTCTGCAACTGCTCCCGCTGGCAGGGCGGCCGCAACCGCCGCAGAGCTGAGTGCTGCACGGATGGCGGCGGCGGAGACCCAAGGTGCAGGAGCGGCGGCGGAGACCTGCGGTTTGGGTCATTGCCAACAAGGTGTGACTACTGTACCTGCTGGTGTCTGTCTTTTCATCATGAATTTATTCTTGCAGTCAGTACACATGCGCGCTGTGGACCAGCATTGCACATTACCAGGATGCAGCTCAAAGAGTACGGAGTCCTCTCACGCTGAATGTCTACGTACGGGTACTGTGCGCCTTTCCGACCTTTCTTCCCAACCTTCCCAATTCCCTTAGCACTATTTGGTTTCATCAGCCAGAACTCCAAGGCGGCCACCACATCCCCCCACCTGCAGGTAGAGAACTACTGCCGTGGTGTTGGACGAAGCAGCCGAGGATGACCTGACGGAGGTCGTGACGGCCGGAGCTCGGACGGCCATAAGGGCAGCAACCCGAGTGGTTGAGACGGTGGAGGAGCCTGCAGCGGAGGGGGCGGCTCGCAGCTCCGAAGCCACCGCACCGGCAATGGCAACCTGCAACCAATGCAGGCAAGGTGAGCAGCACCATGAAGGAATGTGTAGGACTGTCCGAAGCCACACCCACACACTACATCACATGACAGCCCATGAGGGCCCCGCCAGGTGGCTGGTGCTGCTGCTGCGGTCCACCTCCTGGTCATCATCATCAGCGCTGTCACTGTCGTCATTGTCATCGTCAGAGTCGGATGCATCCGAGTCCGCACGGCCGTCACTGCCACCAGCCGCAGCCTAGGGCTGCTGCTGCGCCGCTGCCGCCGCCGCTGCCGGCGGCGGCGTTTGCATCTACATCCCCGCCAAGCCTCCTGGTCCCCCTGCCCCACCTCCTCCTCCACCCCCAAGCTAGCATCTGCTGCTGCATCTCTTGCAAGCAAGCAGGGCCGGAAGAACACTATGTGCCATGCATGGCGGTTGTGATGCACTCCCAGAAATGACTTCTTTGAGTTGGAGTGATGTAGTTACGCCCTGAGTAGGGTGTTGCTCTTGCATACCACGGCTAGTTAATTGCAAACGTCAGTAAAGGGCAGCGAGCCCCCAACACAGTCGACGTCCCAGCACCCGAACGCATACACCGCATCATGCCTTGTTTCCAGCCTGCTTACCTGGCTGCTGCTGGACATCGCCTGTCCAGGTTCGGACCCCACAGCGTAAGAAGGAAGGTTGGAAACACGGAGCGAAGCTTGAACCACTGTTGCTGTAAGGGTTTGGACGTAAGCAAGCTCTCCGTCAACCGCCTGCAGCACCGCGACTGGGGGAGGTGAGGGCACCGGCGGCGGCGGAAACAACCAGACTGGCGGAGGTCTTGGAGGGACGGGAGGCGGCAGGGGGGCAGGAGGCCGCGGTACTGGAGGTCGCGGCGAGGGAAGCGGCGGTCGAGGACTAGGAGGCCAGGGTGACTGCGGTGCAGGTGAAGGCGGCGCGGGGACGGGAGAGGGAGGTGCAGGGCTGGGCTGCGGCGAGGGGGTGGGAAAGGGAGGTGCAGGGCTGGGCTGTGGCGAAGGCGGAGGCACTGAAGGCGGCGAGGGTTCAGGCGACGGCGGAGCAGGGGTGGGCTGCGGCGAGGGGAGAGGCGGCGAGGGCTCAGGAGATGGCGGTGCAGGGTTAGGCTGAGGCGAGGGTGGGGGCACTGAAGGCGGCGAGGGCTCAGGAGATGGGGGCGCCGGGCTGGGCTGAGGCGCGGGGGAAGGAGAGGGAGGTGCAGGGCTGGGCGGAGGCGAGGGCGGAGGCATTGCAGGCGGCGGGGGCTCAGGAGATGGTGGTGCAGGGCTGGGCTGTGGCGAGGGTGGAGGCACGTCAGGCGGCGAGGGCTCAGGAGACGGTGGTGCAGGGCTGGGCTGTGGCGAGGGCGGCGGCATGTCAGGCGGCGAGGGCTCAAAAGATGGCGGTGCAGGGCTGGGCTGTGGCGAGGGAGGAGGCACGTCAGGCGGCGAGGGCTCAGGAGATGGTGGTGCAGGGCTGGGCTGTGGCGAGGGTGGAGGCACAGAAGGCGGCGAGGGCTCAGATGGTGGTGCAGGGCTGGGGTGTGGCGAGGGTGGAGGAATTAAAGGCGGCGAGGGCTCAGGAGATGGTGGTGCAGGGCTGGGCTGTGGCGAGGGCGGCGGCACGTCAGGCGGCGAGGGCTCAGGAGATGGTGGTGCAGGGCTGGGCTGTGGCGAGGGCGGCGGCATGTCAGGCGGCGAGGGCTCAGGAGATGGTGGTCCAGGGCTGGGCTGTGGCAAGGGAGGAGGCACGTCAGGCGGCGAGGGCTCAGGAGATGGTGGTGCAGGGCTGGGCTGTGGCGAGGGTGGACGAATTAAAGGCGGCGAGGGCTCAGGAGATGGTGGTGCAGGGCTGGGCTGTGGCGAGGGCGGCGGCACGTCAGGCGGCGAGGGCTCAGGAGATGGTGGTGCAGGGCTGGGGTGTGGCGAGGGTGGAGGAATTAAAGGCGGCGAGGGCTCAGGAGATGGTGGTGCAGGGCTGGGGTGTGGCGAGGGTGGAGGAATTAAAGGCGGCGAGGGCTCAGGAGATGGTGGTGCAGGGCTGGGCTGTGGCGAGGGTGGAGGAATTAAAGGCGGCGAGGGCTCAGGAGATGGTGGTGCAGGGCTGGGCTGTGGCGAGGGTGGAGGAATTAAAGGCGGCGAGGGCTCAGGAGATGGTGGTGCAGGGCTGGGCTGTGGCGAGGGCGGCGGCACGTCAGGCGGCGAGGGCTCAGGAGATGGTGGTGCAGGGCTGGGCTGTGGCGAGGGCGGCGGCATGTCAGGCGGCGAGGGCTCAGGAGATGGTGGTCCAGGGCTGGGCTGTGGCAAGGGAGGAGGCACGTCAGGCGGCGAGGGCTCAGGAGATGGTGGTGCAGGGCTGGGCTGTGGCGAGGGTGGAGGAATTAAAGGCGGCGAGGGCTCAGGAGATGGTGGTGCAGGGCTGGGCTGTGGCGAGGGCGGCGGCACGTCAGGCGGCGAGGGCTCAGGAGATGGTGGTGCAGGGCTGGGGTGTGGCGAGGGTGGAGGAATTAAAGGCGGCGAGGGCTCAGGAGATGGTGGTGCAGGGCTGGGGTGTGGCGAGGGTGGAGGAATTAAAGGCGGCGAGGGCTCAGGAGATGGTGGTGCAGGGCTGGGCTGTGGCGAGGGTGGAGGAATTAAAGGCGGCGAGGGCTCAGGAGATGGTGGTGCAGGGCTGGGCTGTGGCGAGGGTGGAGGAATTAAAGGCGGCGAGGGCTCAGGAGATGGTGGTGCAGGGCTGGGCTGTGGCGAGGGCGGCGGCACGTCAGGCGGCGAGGGCTCAGGAGATGGTGGTGCAGGGCTGGGCTGTGGCGAGGGCGGCGGCATGTCAGGCGGCGAGGGCTCAGGAGATGGTGGTCCAGGGCTGGGCTGTGGCAAGGGAGGAGGCACGTCAGGCGGCGAGGGCTCAGGAGATGGTGGTGCAGGGCTGGGCTGTGGCGAGGGTGGAGGAATTAAAGGCGGCGAGGGCTCAGGAGATGGTGGTGCAGGGCTGGGCTGTGGCGAGGGCGGCGGCACGTCAGGCGGCGAGGGCTCAGGAGATGGTGGTGCAGGGCTGGGGTGTGGCGAGGGTGGAGGAATTAAAGGCGGCGAGGGCTCAGGAGATGGTGGTGCAGGGCTGGGGTGTGGCGAGGGTGGAGGAATTAAAGGCGGCGAGGGCTCAGGAGATGGTGGTGCAGGGCTGGGCTGTGGCGAGGGTGGAGGAATTAAAGGCGGCGAGGGCTCAGGAGATGGTGGTGCAGGGCTGGGCTGTGGCGAGGGCGGCGGCACGTCAGGCGGCGAGGGCTCAGGAGATGGTGGTGCAGGGCTGGGCTGTGGCGAGGGCGGCGGCACGTCAGGCGGCGAGGGTTCAGGAGATGGTGGTGCAGGGCTGGGCTGTGGCGAGGGTGGAGGCGTTGCAGGCGGCGGGGGATCAGGGGATGCTGACGCTGGGCTGGTCTCCAGAGCAGGCGATGCAGGTGGCGGGGGGTCAGGGGATGCTGACGCTGGGCTGGTCTCCAGAGCAGGCGATGCAGGTGGCGGGGGGTCAGGGGATGCTGACGCTGGGCTGGTCTCCAGAGCAGGCGATGCAGGCGGCGGGGGATCAGGGGATGCTGACGCTGAGCTGGTCTCCAGAGCAAGCGTTGCAGGCGGCGGGGGATCAGGGGACGCTGACGCTGGGCTGGTCTCCAGAGCAGGCGATGCAGGTGGCGGGGGGTCAGGGGATGCTGACGCTGGGCTGGTCTCCAGAGCAGGCGATGCAGGTGGCGGGGGATCAGGGGATGCTGACGCTGGGCTGGTCTCCAGAGCAGGCGATGCAGGCGGCGGGGGATCGGGGGATGCTGACGCTGGGCTGGGCTCATGCGGGGGCGGAGACTGAGGGGCATCTCCGTCCCATGGAGTAGAATTAAGCCATTGCGGTGGTGGCTGGGGCTGTGGAGATGTGTTCCACTCCCATGGAGCTCCGGGTGGTGAGATTTGTCCAGTAACTGGCTGCTGTGACTCCACCGATGAATAACCTAGCAGACCCCATTAATACAGGGAACACCGGCAGGGGTTGGGCAAGGAAGGTTTGTGCTCATTCAATGCTTATAGAAGTCAAACTAAACAGTACGGGCTCCCTTGCGACATGTTAAATACGAAACGCGTTATGGCAATGAGCCTGGTACGTAAGTTTCCTTGCCCGCGAAAGTACAGAGATGCTGTAAGGCGTTGAACAGTAAGGCCATTGCACGCCGCACCTGAGAACCAGAGTGCCGAAATCAGGATAGTCGCTCTTCTACATAATTGCAGCTTCATCATAACAAGTTAGACGGCCAATGGTTTATGAGAGCTCGGCCCATCGGCCAAGTGGAAACCTAACTGGCCAAGCTGTATCCTAACTGGCATTCGCGAACACAAGTCGGCCATTCCATATCCTGTCCTGAACTTTGAGACTGTGAAAGAGGCTTGCTAAGGCACTATCTGACCGTACACGGACATTTTTCTGAGCGAGACATATGCTATTGTAGCCGAAGGTGCCTGTTTGCCTAATATTTGTAAATATATCCCTGACTAGTTTGCAGGGAGAGCGAGTTTCTTCCGGTCATATAGCTAATTGCAACGGTCACCTTGACGTTAAGCGACAACCGGGTCAATCGGGTTCTTGACTACGCTCAGTTGCCACCAGCCTGTAATGGGCCATTTTCATTAACATTTTATCGTCCATTCAAAGGCGACAGCAACAAGTGTAGCAAAGCCCAAGGCAACATCGGGTGCGCGATAAGAACGTGCTAGATGCGCCTTGGATTCGCACTAAGAAACAGCCCTGCCTCCTCCAGACGCAACGGTCTGCAGACACTGCCGTACGGCACGCAACCCATTCCAGATACACAGTCACGCATGCTACGAACACAACCCATTCCAGATACACAGCCAATGCCACGCATGCCACCCGGGAAAGCTGCCCCAGCCTCCCAGCAAAGCCCACTTTGCAGTCAAACCATAGCTAACCACTGCCGGCCGCACACCACATGGACTTCATCTTTCGGCAATCACAGTACGTTTCGCCTCGCGGCCTGTTATTTTTAACACATGCCGGTCACCGCTGCCAACCAAGCTCTAGAACCGTATGGCAGGCCGAACCGATACCAGCTCCGACCCGATCAGTACCAGCCGGCGCAGCAACTCCGTGTCCCTCGCCTTGCTGGCCTCACGGCTGGCATCCGCGCAGTGCCTGCCGTCCCAAACCGATCGGAACTCCTGTGGCATGCAACAGGCGTCACGAGAGGGGAAGGGTTGGAAGCAGAAGGAACTGAGGGTGTGAGCGTGGCTTAGCCTACAGCCTGCAAACCAAAGCCCCATGCTAAACAGCTGCTTGAACGGGCAGCGTGCATTATGGGTTTATGGCGCACTAGCTACCGCATACGGCCCATCACGGCACCACGTGCCATGCTAAGCTGCCACATCCAGAGAAACACACGCGTGCACAGGTCCCCCGCATCCGCCCCGAGCCTCCCATGTCCCCGCCCCCGGCTACCATGCCCCCGCCCCACCTGTTCCAGCGCTGCAAGGTAAGCCTCTCGCACGTCAATCTTGCCGCCGTTTCGGGACTGAGCCTGTGCCGCCTCCGCTGCCACCGGCACCAGCTCGAGCGCCCCGGCGGCTGCCTGCCCCATTGCTGCCGCGGCCGTGACAGCGGCCGCCAGCGCCTCCGCGGCCCCCTCCTCCCGGCGACACTCAACGAGGACGGCTCCGACCACAGGCGGGAGCACCTGGTACGCGACCACGCATTTGCCGCCGCCCGGGGTGCTGCCATCCGCGTTAGACCGTGCCGCCGCAATCTCTGCGGCCTGCTTGGTTAGCCACAGCATCCAGTGTTCCAGTGCGGTGGGTGTCTGGCCGAATATGGTGATGTGGGAACCCCGCAGCAGCAGCATCTTGCCGCCGCCGGCTGCCGCGCCGCCGTCACTGTCGGGACCGCCGCCACCGGCAGCCTCCTTCGGCACCGCAGTCAGCCGCCGCAGCACCGCTCGAGCCATGTCGGCCGTGCTGGGAAGCGCAGCGGTTTGCGACTCAGCATCTGCCGGCTTCGTGACCTGCTCGTGCTGCGTCTCTTCGTCCCACAAGGCCAAGCCAAAATTAACCTCACCCGACCCAGCCAGCAACCCAAGCTCCTTTGGAATCCCAAACACCTCAATAGCCTCAAGTGCTTCCGACGCATGCGCCTGCAGCTTCAGCACCCTGACATCCTCGCTACGCCCGAGCAGGTTGCGGAGCGACTGCACCTCCGGGCGCTGCAGCAGTGCCTCTCCCTGCGCCATGTGAACAGCTGAGAAGGTCAACCGCCGCAGCGCTGGCCCCATGGCGCGGCTCCGAAGAATGGCCGGCGCCAGACGCGCGCCAAAGTCCGCAGAATCGTCGCTAATGAATGCAATTTCAAGGAGCCTGCCGTCCTTGAAAAAGGCCATCATGTGCTCCTGCTTGCTGGCAAAGTTGATGTGGCTCCAAGAGATCTGCAAGTGCTCCAGGGAGGCCGGCAGGCTGTCGAGCAGCAGCTGCAGACCGGCCTGCGCAGCGTCATGGCGCAGCGGCTGCAGACCGATTATGTCCAGTCGTTGAAGCCCCGGCAGCTGCGACAGGCCGGCCACCTCAGCCTGTGTGAGCTGGTTAAGGTTAAGCACGCCCTCCTCGAAGGATGGGGCGCTCATGGTGAGGTACCTGAGGTTCCCGGCGGTCGCCAGGGCTCCGATGCAGGCCAACTCCCGGCAGCTAGACAGCGTGAGGGTGTCAAGGTGCCGTACAGTTGCGAGCGCCTCATACATGAGCTGCTGCTCGAGCAGGTTTGGGGAGAAGTGGTAAGGCTGGGACAAGGACACTTCTTCAAGGTTTGGAAGGAGCAGCGCGAGGATGGGAATCGCGGACCCTAGGTTGCTCCGCAGCAGCCGGTTAGGGTCGTTCAATGTGAGCGAAAGGTAGGTAAAGCGCTTCCGGGCTGATGATGGTAAGCCCGTAATGGGCAGCGCTGCCAGGGAAGCCAGTGAGAGGTCGTCCTGTTGGGTTGAGTCCGCAAGGTCAACGGTGAGCTCGAGGCTGGTGCATCGGCTCCAGCGAGCCAATGACGGCGGCTGGCGTGGCGACCATTGCTGTAGATGCGCTGGTGTGACGGTCAACCCAACATCACGAACACTGCTGTCGATAGCGTTGCGCAAAGCGCGGCAGGTCAGGCGAGCGCTTCCGACGCATTCCTCATCTACAAGATAATCAAACAGGGTGTCCAGTGCTTCCACTGTCAGGACCCGTAATACTTCAGCGAACTTTTTACCATCCATTGTGTAGCGGAGCTCTGAGTCTAACGTAGGTGTTATCCGACCGAACCGAACAACCGACGGCGGCTAGACGAAGGAACACGCAAGCGGCTTGAAGGGTCCAACAGTAAAACTAACCAAGTATGCGTATATAGTGTGAATAAATGGAACTCCAGTGTTTTTTGAAGTTGACTCCGCTCCGAAACAGGACCGCCTTACAAGGGTTACAACGGTTACAAGGCTACCATCCATAACGCACCCGCAAATGAGACAAACAACGGAAAATTTTGCTTGTATGTATCCTGAAATGTTGTGTTTCATATATGTGTCTGTCCAAGCTTGCATGTGCCTATGCATGGCAAACACCTGCGGAAGCCTGAGGAAGCGTTGCCACAGAGAGGTTTCCTTCTCCTGGACTTTCGTATCACCTATCTGCTAGCTATCACACGTCAATGGCCATTTGCAAGGCCTGAAAGTCGCCCGTCAATACAAGTCAACGTTCCCAGCGCTCATACCCCTTGGTACACGACTGGTGCGGCTGCCGCGCCGTACATGCAGGCCTGCACACGCTCACACCCCCCGCACCACAAGCGCCGCCCTGCCGCCCCTCCACCCTTCATCGCGCTAGCTCCCTCCAGCTGCAGCGCCCCGACCTGCGCCGCCTCACACCCCACCTCAATCCGCCTGATACCAGGCAGCAGCCCCCTTAGCTGTTGACCTGCTGCCGCTGCCGCTGCCGCCACATCACCCTGCACGCCATCCTGCACACCACCACCTCCTACTTCCCCTTCACCTTCCTCCACGTCTTCTTCCTCCGCCACCACCGCCACCCCGGGCGCAGTGAGGGCCAGCAAGGCCGCATGACTGCCCTCCGCCATGTGGCGAGTGATGAGCTCCCTGCCCCCTGACACCCGCCAGTCTGCCCGGCGCACCTTCAGCTGCCGCAGCTGCTGCATGCCGGCCAGCAGTGGCAGCGAGGAGACGGAGTAGGAGCAGCCGTGCAGGTCCAGAGCCTGCGTAGTGGCAGGGGCGCAAGGAGTGCGAAGGTAGCAGCAAGTTGCAATGGCTCAGCCAGATGCGCATACACCGCCGGTAGCGGAAAGAATTCCGTCACGGCAGCTAGCTACGTGATCCGGTACTGCATGCGTATAACGGACTGCAGGGCGTGTAAGACGTGTGCGGCAGGGGATGTAAGGCGTATAAGGGCGGGTGTATGGGCGGTAACAGCGAGGCAAAAGCAAGGTGTTGGCAGATGTTGCTGCTGATGGGACGGGGCTAACACGCGGAAGCGATCAGTCGGTGCAGGAGCAGCAGGGCACTTGGGGCAATGTCGGCAGCAACCTGAACTTCAAGCTGGTTGCAACCAGCCTGGTGCCTGCGACGCGATGCTATGATGAAGGTGCTAGTGCAAGCGGCATTTGGATGGATGGGGATGGGATGCTGAGCGGTGTCGCTCGGGAATGGATTTTCGTTTTGACAGACTTCAAGACCATGTAAGCACCGAGCATATACGAGGTTTACTTTTACTTCTTCAGTGGATCTGTGCCTCAACAACGACTCGGTCCAGCAGTTGGATTTGGATTTAAATGCAGGGTACCTAGGAAGAACTGCAAAGCTTCTAAACGACCTTGACGAATTACAACTACTATAGGTAGCGTTTTCGTTCTACTTCCGCGTTACTCTTAACCACCGGGGCCCAACAGCACACCTTCACTCGCTTTTGGAAGAAAGAGGATGGCGGAAGCGATCAGCGATGTTGAACTCAAAAGGCATGCACAGGAGCTGCTAGACGGGAAGGCGAAGGCCCTCCTTGACGAAAAGTGAGCTCAGCTGCCATTCAAGCAGTCATGCTGGTCCCCGCAAAGTGAGACGCTCGCATGTGATGCGCTATCCCGTAAAGATTGCTTCGCGCCATTAACCTTGCAGCCAGCTGACTATGCGGGTTATGCGAAAGCTTCTGGAGGAGAAGTTGGGGCTACCGGAGGGAAGCTTGGACGCCAAGAAGAAAGCCATTGCAACAATTGTAAAGGAAGTAAGTATTGATATGGGCTGAGGATGTCCTCAGTTACATCCTTCTGTGCCATCCTCGTCCCCAACGCAGCGGCAGTCCCACCCATAACCCATGACAGCTCCAAGTCCTCCTCTATCAGATTGCTACCTCTGACTAGCGTCGAACTCCGCACGCATGGTTCTCCGTGTACGGGTCTCCCCGCTCTCCTCTGCCTGCTTTAGGATTGTCCCACCCCCGTGAAGCGCAACCCCGTGAAGCGCACATTGTCGGGACCTTGCTCACCCTCTCCTCTCCCCCCCCCACCCCCGTGTTTGCATTTCTTATATAATTTTCCCCCCCAACCCCGCTACCCGGGACGCGCCTCTGCCTACCAGGCTCTAGAACTTGAGCCCCAGGCTGCCGCGCCAAGCGCCCAAACATCCGGGAAGGCAGCCGCAGCAAAGCAGCAAAGCAAGGCCGGAGCCGAGGAGAAAGAGAACCGAAAGCCGGCAGGTGCCGAGGCGAAGAAGAAACCCGGAAAGCCGGTGCAGCACACCGAGGACAAGGAGGAGGGCAGCGGCAGGAATGGAAAGGGAAAGGGTCGCAGCAGCAAAAAGGCCGCAGCAGCTGCTGAGGAGGAGGAGGAGGAGGAGGACGGGGGAAGCGCCGGCAGTGAGGAGGAAGAGGACGAACGGCCGAAAAAGCGCGCCAAGAAGAGCGGCCGCAGCTCCCCCGGTGGGTGTCCTGATCGCGTGGTTCCGTTACTGGCAGCTGGCACGCTGGCAGCACGTCTGGTGTCGCTGAAAAGGAGCGCCCTCCTGTACATGTGCAACCCCTTCAGCGTGCACCGCCTCTGAGCGCCTCCCTGCCCGTCCCCTCTGCCCTCCCTTGCTCCTTCCTGACTGCCTTCCTGGGCAGACCTAGAGCAGACCCCACTCCTGTCACATGTGCTCACCCTTGCACCCCCCCACCTGCCTGCCTGCCTGCCTGTCAGGCGCCAAGTCGGGAAGTGCAGCCGCTGCTGCGGGCGCTGCAGGAGGCGCCAAGCCCAAGGCCCTTACCAGCAAGTCTATCGAGCTGATGAAGGACGTGTGCAAGAAGGCCACCATCAAGTGCGTTGCGGCACCGGGGCGAGATGTGCAGGGTTGGGTGGACTGTGCTTGCGGGAGAGGGAAAGGACCTGGGCTTCACAAACCGTGTATGCAGCCTGCCGCAAGACATGGCAATGATGGCATGCAACCCATGGCATGTACCAATATACGTGACGTGTCACGCGTGCGTTCGGGCGTTGTCAATGGTATCAACAAACATGCATTCTGCTAGCGGTTGCTCCGTACGCATTACGGCGCTTGCTTACCAGTATCGTACAGCCTACCGCTGGACCGGCCTGCATGCCGCCCTCCATGCATCGCCATGTCCCTCAACAACCGGCCCTGGCTGCACCTGTGTCGTCCGGCTTGCGTGCTGCCGCAGGATCGGCCCCACGCTGTACGCGCGCAAGAAGTCGGTTGCGGAGCTGGAGGACGCTCTGACGGAGCTGCTGGCGAGGCACGGGCTGAACGCACGCAGCGGCGAGAAGGAGATTTCGGTGGGTGGAAACTAAAGAGGAGGGGGCTGACCGCTAACTGGCAAACGCTCCACCATGGGGTTGCATCACGGTTTCCGGTAGCAATGGGTGCTGGCGGTAGCCGGGACCGCCCGGGACCTTCTTGCGACTCCGCCGCCTCCTTCCGACCTGCATCCGTCGTGTAATCCTCTTCATACCAACAGCTTATGACGACGTCCATCTCCGTACGCAACCCATGTACGGTATATTGGTCATATGGCAAGCTGCCTGACACCCGCCTGCCGCCGCCCGGTTCCATGCTGCTCCTGCCGCGTCCCGTGTGCACCCATTGTACAGCAAGTACGGCGGCAGTTGGAGCGCGATCGAGACCTGGAGGGTATCGACACCTCCAACATCATCAGTCTGGGCGGCGGCAGGCCGCGCAGGGCGGCGGCGGCGTCCGTGAACTTCAGGTGTGTGCGGGTTTCAGGGGTAGGGGTAGGGGTAGGGGGTGGTGCAGGGGCAGTGGTAGGGGTAGGGCGTCATGCAGGGAGAAGGGGCGAGTCGTTTGGACGGGCACAGTGCACGGCTGTTTTCTTACAGAGCTTGGACGTCGCTGTGTTTTGATCGGGAATGTGAATGTTACCAACCCAACCGTAACTGGCGACCGCCTTCACCGTCTGATGGCCGCAGGAAGATGTTCAAGCATGCCGACACGGATTCGGACGAGGGGGAGCAGGAGGAGCAAGAGGGGGAGGAGCAAGAGGGGGAGGAGCAAGAGGGGGAAGAGGAGCAGCAGCGCGCACGCAAGCCAGCCGCCAAGAAGGGCTCTGCCGCCGCTCCTGCTCGCCGCAACGGCAAGAAGGCTGACCAGGAGGAGGAGGAGGAGGAGGAGGAGGACGGCAGCGGCAGTGACAGCGAGGAGCTGGCGGCTGCTCCGGCCCGCCGGGGTGGCGGCGGCTCGGGGGCTCGCAAGGCTGCTGCGGCTGCTGCTGCCGACGAGGAGGAGGACGAAGATAGCATCAAGGATGACGAGGGCGACGGCGGGTCGCTTGAGGAGGAGTCTGAAGACCTTGTGGACGTTCCCACTGGTGGTAAGGGCAAGGGCGCGGGTGCTCGGGGCGCTGGCAAGGGGCGCCGTACGGCGGTGGTTGACAGCGAGGAGGAGGAGGATGGGGAGGAGGAGGAGGCGAGCAAGGCTGGGAAGAAGCGGCCAGCTGCGGGGGCTAAATCATCACGGAAAGCGGAGAAGCAAGAGGAGGACGACGAGGAGGCGGAAGATGACGATGACGAGGAGGAGGAAGACTACGAAGAAGGTGAGCACGGTTGCAACTGACTCTGCCTTAGCTTTATGTCAGCTTCCGTACTCCCTACCTGCTAGCCATGTGCCCTTTCCAGCTGTTTGCTTGTTCGTCGAAGTAGAGGGCATCCAGGGTATACAGGTCGAGGCCACTTAACCCTGGCGACATGCGCTTCGCGCTGCGGTGACCCATGGGTCTTACTTACCCCCAATCGCGTTACTGCTGCCCCTGCCGCTGCCCTACCTGCAGATGCCAGCGAGAGCGGGGATGGAGGCGACGACGGCGACAGCGACTTTGAAGCGGATGATGACGACGACTGAAGGCCGCGGAGGGGTACGGAGGGCGCCGCAGCAGAGGGCTTCAAGGGGTTGCGGTTTGGATGGAATGTGATGCTGCCTGTAGCTGCCTTTCTGTATGCAGTTGTGTTGTGGATGGGGACAAGCTGCAGACCAGCGTGGAACCTTGTATATGCCGCCTGCCTGCCTGGTAGCATGTGGCTAGAAAACTGGAGGCCGCAAGGAACGTACTGTGACTTGCCTGAAGATGAATTCCTGCCTGGTAACATGTGTGCACGTTACTGTTTACTTATTACGTTGTGGTGCCGGTGCTGCCGCTGCCGCTTCTGTTGTGTGGGAGCTGCCTGGATGGGCCTGGGGGGGGCGTGTGTGTAGCCTCTAGCATGGTCCTGAGACCGCAGCAGCATGCATATGATGAGGTTTGAGACCTACTAGCTTTCCGTTCGTTGGGCCAAGTTAGGGCACCTTGAGTGTGTTGCTGCTGCTTTGAGCGGCATTATGTATGCGGTACGGCATGGGTTCCTGGGCCCCTGGCTCCCTTGCTGGGTTTGGGAAACACGTGGTCGCCAGGCTAGGGCCTGGCCATGTTCGCTTCCTGGGAGCAACGGCCGTTTAATAAGACCCGGAGGAAGACTTGAGGTGGAGCAAAACTAATTCAAAAAATACACCGGTGGGGGAGTAACCAATCCAAAAGCCGCGCAGTGGGCATGGCGGTTGCAGCAGTGCGGTTGGCGTCATGGAAACGGGAAACACTAGCACTGGCGGCGGGGGCAATAGATACCGTGGGAAGCGTGGCCATGTGCGGCTCGGCTGTTCCACGGCCCACGGGCGCGACTCCTAGCAGTTATACCTAGCGCTCAGCGCGTCCAAATATTTTTTGCCATAACCGTTCATCGCGACCAGCGGCGAGCGGCCCTCTTACCGCGCGTCGGTTGTCTTGAAAACAGTCACGCTCTGCCGTACAGGAGGGATCCCCATTGAAAGTTGCAGTAACTTTGGTGACGCTCGCACAGATACCAGGTGATTAACCCAGCAACTCCAGCTTGACACGCGTGTGCATAAGCAGCTGCTGGTTTCTAGGATTAGACGAACATTTTCTAGGAAGTGTCAAACAAATTATCACTACGCTAGACGTGCCAGGCATGGCGGAGGAACTTGGAAACAGGAGCTATCTCTCTTGCAGAAAACTTCATGAGACTATGGAAGTCTTTAAAGTTGTATTCGAGAATTGTGGCTTCTGGACTCCAGACTGGCTAGCGTTTCGTAGGGTCAGCAAGGCAGCCCGTGATCTTCATGACCAGTTGGCGAGGAACGTTGGCTTCAGCACCAACGACTACCTGCGGGGGCCCTTTGATCTTCAATCGGTATCTGCGAACGACATTGCAGTTGCTGTTCGGGGAATTCTTTCCAGGGGCTGCCGACCCACACGCCTGCACTTGGACATGCCAAAGGCGCAAGACAAATTACAACACGAAGAGAAACTGTAAGTGTAGCCTCATGCTCGGAACACCAGGTTGAGCTGTCGTCGCGTTGTACGCCAGCTAGCACCCTACTCATCAGCTGCACTTGTCCTGGATCAAGGGCTTACTTTGCTTGAATCAATTTGGCGCAGGTTGATCCTGTTGTCCAGCTGGGGAGAGGCTGCCTCAGTTACACACCTATCGTTGTCGACCGGTTGGCCGCTCACTTCAGCTGTGGTGTCTGCCGTCGCCGGCCTCTCTCCGAACCTGAGGAGCATACGACTGCTCTGCGGCTGCTCCACGTCAGACGGCACCTACCAGCCGGCACAGCCCGTGGACCTTGACGCGGCCGCAGCTGCTGCGGAAGAGCTGCTGCGGCTGCTTGGGCCCCGCCTCACTAAGCTGGAGTTCCGCATGCTAGATGGATGTCGGTATGTCTGGCCCACGCGGGCTTTCCGCGGCCTGTCGCACTGCACAGCGCTGCGGGAGCTGGCGCTGGCGTGCTTTGAGGACCTGCTGCCGTTCGATGGCATTCCTGGTAAGCTAGACTGTTGGCTGCTCACCCACTTCTTTGCAACAGCGGCACTGAAAAGGGCTCTCCACGATGCCTCTTCTTAACCTCACCCCGTTTTCCCCTCTGCCACAGCCGACCTGCTGCTCCTGCGTTCCATCGCCTCCCTCTCCGGGCTCCAGTCGCTTGAGCTGGCCGACACCACCTTGCCCCTCGAACCCGCGGTCCCATCTCCGACCCCTGTCGAGCGGCTAGTCAGCGCCCCCTCCCTGGAGTCGTACCTCAGTGGGCTGACGGCCCTCACCTGCCTCAAGCTGCATCTGGGTCGCCTGCACCACTACCCTAACAAGGAGGAGTACGATTATGTTATGGATGATGCAGACACCAGGAGCCTAGATGAGCGGCTGGAGGAGCTTCAGCAGCTGGGAATGCACGCGGAGGCTGCGGCTCTGCAGGTCGCGGCGGAAGCGGAGTCACGTGCGGTGGCTGCCGCGGTCCGCTGCATGCCCAACCTGAAGGAGCTCCGGACGCCGGCAATGCTCCACGCAGCCGACCTGCCGACGTTGACAACGCCGACGTGCCTTCGCTTCGGCTCCATTGCAGCGCCTTCGCCGCTGCCGGCGGCCGACGACTTCAGAATCGTGTTGCCGTCGCAGCTTCAGCGCTTTGAAACGCACGCGCCGCTGCCGGTTCGTGTCGCAGCTGCGTTGCAGGCGCCTCCTCGGGATCCGGGTGAGGAGCCGTGCTTCCTGATGGCAGGAGGGCGGCTGTGGGAGTTCGAAGCGACCTCCTGGGGTCTGGACTTCCAGCAAGGGGATGTCAACGATCAAGGGCGGTTGACGGCCGAGGCAGCGGCGGCGATGCGGCGCGCCATTGCTGCGATGCGCGCCTTTCGGTTTCGTAAGCTGAAGCGCCACTGTAGTTCCGGTGCCGTGGAGCGCGGAGTGCTTGTGCGGGGACTAAGTGGGGTCTTTGTGGAGCCGCCGGTACCTGCGGACGGCGGAGAGGGCAGCCACTGCGCGGCATGGCTCGGGGAGCTTGCGCCGCTGCGACTGGAGGGCCTGGCGCTGAATGCTCTGGCCTTGGCGCCGCGTGATATGCTGGGGTTGGCCCGGTGCATGGCGGAACTCACGGTAGGCTGGATGGGCCTAGCAGTACCGGATGTGTTCGCATGATGCCATGTCGCACGACCGCTCTGGCTGCGTTTCCAGCTTGTACATGGGTGATGTTGCAGCGGGATTCCTGACATGCGTTGCGACGCCAGGATTCCTGCACATAACGAACCGGACAGCGTTGAGGCTTACTGCCGCCAGTGTCTAGTAGCTAGCTGCCGCAACCAAATCCTTCCATCTACCGGCGGTGTACGTGCACCTGGCTGAGCCATTGCAACGTGCTGCTACTTCCGCACTCCTTGCGCCCCTGCCACTACGCAGGCTCTGGAGCTGCACGGCTGCTCCTACTCCGTCTCCTCGCTGCCACTGCTGTCCGGCATGCAGCAGCTGCGGCAACTGAAGGTGCGCTGGGCAGACTGGGACTGCGACCTCGAGTGGTCCGAGCACCAGCGACATGCCATCATGGCCGCGTTCCTCGGCATCACGGCACCGGCTGCCGGCGCTGACTTCGAAGACGTTGGCGAAGCGGGAGAGCTGCGGGCGCGAGGTCCGCTACCGCGGCTGGAACTCATCCAGATTGCGTGCGAGGATGAAGCCGTGGACTGGCTGGATTCGGCTGTTGCACCGGCTAGGGTGGAGTGGGCTCGCTGGATGCCCTTAGGAAGGCTGCTGCTCAGCGCAGCGTAGTGAACTAGTGATGGAGCGGGGCTAGATGCCCCCCGGTTGGCCGTGTAGGATTTATGACATGCAGGATTGTTGGGCAGACGCATGTGAGCTGGGTAAGCTCAAGCAGGTTGCGGGTGCTGCAAACGTTGCGGGTATGTTGCCTTGTGTCGGTCTGGGTCGCTTCGACAAAGCTGTGTGGGCTATTTGCTTCCTAGTTGGCGAAGGGTTCTTGTCTCCGGTCCGTAGTACGGTATCGTTACTGTTGTAATTGTCGTTGGTTGCACTTTATGTCCTCTACGTTCGATAAGAGGATTAAGCCATGCATTACCTGCGTATCTAGCACAAGCAGGTACACATGTGCCCTGGCGGATGAACCTAAGCAGGCATAGGTTTTGGTTGAGTCTGGTTGCGTATGTAAAAGTTGTTGTTACTACAGGCTTTCCTTTTCTCATAAAGTACTGCAGATGGCCCTTTGGCAATGTACCGTGGAAGCAACGAACTACAGTCAACAAGTGCGCTTCTATCCTACACCTCTACATCTACATCTCAGGCTGGTTGGGACACAGATGCTTTAGTCAGCAGTACGCGGCGCCTAAACATGGTTGGCTAGCTACCAGTAGGCGTCAGCTTTCTCTGCTGTCCTGCTACTCACCCCCCTACCAGCCGATGATTGATACACCTTGCCCAATGTACCCAACCTAACAATGGCGCGTGCACGCTCACCCTGCGTTTGCAATTAATTCACAAGTCCCACCGAAGCAGCACCGCACCACATGCCTTGATACACCACTAGCCTACCCTACACGAGCTATACGCAGCTTCCTACCGGTCATCCACACCTCCCTCACTTCCTCACCGCCGCCTCTTCCGCTTCGCAGGCCCTTGCCCTAGCTCTCCCTCCTCCGCCTCTTCCTCATCCCCACGCCCCACAGCATGCCGCTTGCTCCGTCCCCCCACGTCCTCCCCAGGCTCCGACGCTGCAGTACCAACCGCAAATGCTGCGGCAGCCTGCACCGCACGCCGCGACCGAGTGCTAACGGTCGGACTGCCGCCGGCAGTGGAAGGCGCCGCCGCAGCCGCGCACGTCCGCGGCCGTACGGCAGCCGCCTCCGTCGCCGCCTCCATTGTCCTCCCAGCCTCGGCGGTAGGCACCTCGAGCACCGGCGACAGCGCAGTTCGGGTCCGCTGCGACTGCGGCTCCCCTTGCGCCTGCCGCTGCCGCAACCTCTGGCTGCTGCGGGGTGCGGTCCCCGTAGCTGCCGTATCCGTTGTGGCGGTGACCACCGCCGAACCTCGGCTAGGGCTGCGGGCCTCCTCCGCCGTCCCTGGAGCTGGTCCGCCCGCCGCTGTCAAGGCGACGTCATCCAGGTTGGGTTCCGCCAGGACCCCGCGGCCTCGCCGCCTGGAGGGGCGCCTGGCAGAGTCGGCCTCACTGCCGCGCATCTTCTGCTGCGACGTCTGGTAGTCGGAGTGCGAGGGCTGCTGGAGGTGCTGCTGCGGGCACGCGAGCGCCTGCGGTTGCTGGGATGGTTGTTGGGTGGAGGAGGGGTGATCAGGACCGCCCTCCTGCGTCTGATTGTGGGGCTGCTGAGAGGCGTCAGCAGCAGCAGCAGCAGCAACGGTAAGTGCCTCGCCGCCGCTGTGCTGCACTTGAGAATGCGCAGCATTCCGCGGCGCGCCTGCAGCCGCAGCCTCCATCTGGTCCTCCGCTATCGGCGCAGATAGCCCATCTGCTCCGCCATCTCCTCGCCGGCCGTCGGCATCCTCTCCCGCAGCCTCTTCTTCTCCCTCCTCGACCACTGGTAGTCGTCCAGCTGCCCCCTCACCCGCCACCGAGAAGCCCTGTCGCTGACTCACCCCCGCCTCCATAGCAGCGGCTCCGTCGGCGGATGCTGCTACCAGCGAGTCTGCCGGCTGGAGCTCGCTGTGGAGGGGCCGATGACGGTCCCGCCGCCGGGACTTGTCACTCCGGGCGGCGGATGCCGTACCACTGACACCATGTGCGCTGTCCGTGGCCGGGCACGCTGCGGCTGCTGCTGCGTCCGCAGCTGCATGCACGCCTTCAAAGTCTCCACCGTCACGTTGGGTCGCGGGAAGGCGTGCAGCAGCGGCTGCATGCCCGCCCTCCACTGTTGTAGCTCCGCCGGTACGACTCCTGGAGGACGACTTGCTTGACTTGCTCTTGTCCCTCTTCTTGTCTTTCTTGGCTTTATTTTCTGCTGTTGGCTCTGCGCCGGAAATACCCTCCGGCACTGCCTCCTGCGGCGCACCCGCCGCCCCAGCGATAGCCTGTTGAGCTGCGATTGCTGCGGGCTGTTGTCCTCCTGCACCGGAAGCCGCCATCTGAGTGCAACCGGTGCCTTGGGCCCCTGTCTCGGTGACGGCCGCGTTGCTGACACCATGCGCTGCCGTCGCTGTCGTAGTGGTGGTTGCCCCAGCAGCTGCGGAAGCCCGCGAGCTCTGATGCCCCTTCCGACGCTTCTTACTGGGCGGTTGCTCAACTCCCTCATTAGCACTGGCTGCAGCCGCCGTGCCAGTCGCACCAGCCGTGGCTGCGCCCTCCGCATCCGCCTCCCGCGTGTGCTTCTTGCCAGTCCGCTGCTTCGACTTGGCGTCAGCTGAGGCCGCCGCAGCCGAGATGGCCGCCGCCGCTGCGGTGGCGGCAGTGGCGGCTGGGGTGCCCTTGGGGGTGCGTGCTGTCCCCTTGGACGCGGTTCCCTGCGGCCCGACCTGCGTCCTACTCTTACCACCCGCGGTGGCGGCGGGACCCCCGGTAGCCTTGCCGCCTGTTACGGGCGTCAGCCTTGCTCCCGGCGTGGCGCTGAGAGGCGTGGCCTGCTGGCGCCTCAGCTTGGCCGCCTCGGCCGCGGTGATGAAGAAACCCAGCGGCATACACTGCACGGGCAAGCCCTGCTGATGAAGAGCCATGATCTCGCGCTGCGCCTGAGTCATGCGACGTCGCGGCAGCGCAGTCCACGCGGGCGGTGTGCATGCAGGCGCGGAGGCACCCGGCTGGCCCGCGTTGCCGCCTCCACCCTCCTGCGTTGCGGGCTGGCTGGCCGGGACGGGTTCCTCTGCTGCGGGTTGAGTGGCGTCCTGTGTTGCCGGAACTGCCGTCGTGTCTTGAGTGGCCGACGGGAGCGGCTCCTGCGTCAGGGGTTGCAGCTCGAGCTGCATGGTCGGCTGAGTTGCGGGTTCGGCTGCATGCTGGCTTGCGGGCTCATGCTCCCCTTGCGTTGCGGTTTGCTCCAACGCAGGTGCCGTTGCGGGCAACTCCGCTGCTTCAACCGCTATGGGATCAGCCACCGGCTCAGGTACCGCTCCTGCTGCCTCCTCAGCAACAGACGGACCGGCAGTCGCTGGACCTGCTGCTGCTGCTGTCATGCATGGCCCGGCTTCCGCAGCTGGCTCCTCCGTGGTTGTCGCAGCTGCAACGGCGGCTCCCTCCGCCGCAGCCGGCGACAGGATGGGCAAGGTGAGCAGCGGCGACAGCCCGGGCCAAGCAGCCGATGCCGGCGCTGCAGCAGGAGCACATGAGCCAGGCAGCGCGGTGGGTGCGCCTTCACATGCCGCAGCCTCCATCAGCTGCTGCCGCCCTGCATCGCCTCCCCCTTCCACCTCCATTTGCTCCGTGCTAGAAGCCGCGCCCAAAGGTCCAGCTGCATGGCCACTTGGACTGGTGATCAGGGCATCGTCCTGCATGCCGACCTCACCCGCCGCCGCTGAGTCCCCTGCAGCTGCGTCCGGCTGTTGCTGTTGCGACCGCCCTTGCTGGTCGTCGCCCTGCTGCTCAGACCGCGGCTCCTGAGGCCCCGGCTCCTGCGCTGACCGGCGGCGCCGCTGCCGGTGACGGTTAAGCCGTCCCCGCGGAGGCGGCTCGATCAGGTCTTCTTCCTCCTTCTCGGAGCCCGCCTCGGTGGCGCCCTGCAGATCTGCATGCTGGTCCTCGTCCCCATGCGCCGAGCCGCCAGCTGCTGACAGCCCCCGTGCACCGCCAGCGTGCGCTTGCATGTCGCTCAGCTTCAAGGGGTCCGCGACAGCCGCGCTGAACAGGACCACACCTGGCGTCAAAGCTGAGCCACTGACAGGCGCCCCGGGCGCATCCTTGCGGTGCGGAGATGGCTTCGCCTCGTCACAGCGCTGCCCCGGGTCAGCCTGCCCCTCCGAGAGCCGAGCCGCAAAGTGCTGATGCTGGCTAGTGGTGGGCACTGGCACGACAGCTCCTGAAGAGGGCTCTGCCGCTGCCGCAGCAGCGGAGCTTACGCCAGCCTGTTGGAAGGCTGTCGTAGAGCCGCCTGCTGCCGACGCGTCGCCAGCAACTACTGCTGCCTGGGGCGCCATGCCGCCTGTTGAAGCCGCCGCGGGAACAACCCCAGCGGGAGGGCCATGTTGCTGCTGCTGCCACTGTTTCTGGCGAGATCGTGGATGCGGCGTGAAGCCGTGGGCGGTGCGCGGCTGCGGTGCGGGTGTGGGTTGTGCCGCGACGTGCGGCGAATCCGCGACGACCGCCGCCTCCGGAGCAGCGCTAGCAGGGCGGGCACGCAAGGGTGTACCTGCTACCGGCTGCTCCTGGGTGTCTGCTTGCATGGAGGCACCCGCTGGCGGGTTCACCGCAGCCGTCTGTAGCTGCAGCTGCTGCGATGCCGCAACCGCCGCTGTCTGCGTCCTCTCCGCGGCAACCGCAGCAGCCGCGCTGGACTGTCCCACATCGCCCTCACGAAGCACCCCAGCGGGCGCTGAGCCAACAGCAGTCGATTCCGCCCCCATGGTAGTTGCGGTGACAGCGGAAGGAGGCAGGAGGACTGCTTCTAGAACGGGGTCCGCAGCGGAGTCCGGCTCAACACCGGGGGCAACACCAAGCTCGGCCACACGGCGCCGCCTTTTTGATTTTCCGGTCTTGGTGCCGCGATCCTTGGTTACGGTAAGGGCTGCTGTTGCTGCTGCTGCGGTGGCGATGGCGGCGGCTTCTTCGTCAGCATCACCACCAGTAGCAGCCGCACCTGCACCGCCGGTATCACCGAGCTGCACCGCTTCTTGCTGACGTTGCTCAGCCACTACGGCTTCGCGCGATTGCTCCTCATTCACGGTCTGCTGCTGCGGCCCTGTAGCCGGCATGGTGAGATGTCCAGGAACCGCATCCTCCATGTCGTCATCCCCAGCAGGTTGCACCTCGGCTGCTGCTGCCATGGCGACTGGGGCCGGCAGCACTAGCGCAGGCAAGAGATCGGGTATGCTGTCCTCGGCAGCCGCGGCTTTCACTGCTAGCGCTGCTGCGTTGGCAATGGCATCCGCAATAACCGTTGTGAGCAGGTCAGCAATTGCAGCGGCGGCAGCAGCAGCAACCTGCCCTGATGCGTTCCACATCGCATCTGCTGCTGCTGCTACGGTCACACCTGCATTGTCCCCTGCAACTGCATCCCTGCCAGCCACCTCCACCTCCATATCCACGGCCTCCCCACGGCATTCATCGTCTGCCCCCGCTGCAGGCCCCAGCTGCTGCTGATCCTCCTCGGCAGCCGCATCCAGCAAATCACCAAGCTTCCGAACCAGCTGCTGCTGCTGCTGCGTCTGCTGCTCTGTCTGCCGCTGGATTGCGCCCGCAGCAGCAGCAGCAAGCTGCCCCTTGCGCTGCTGCGGCACAGCGCCCGTGCGACCTGCCGGCTTGGTGGCGGCAACCGCGGCCCCTGCCTGGCGGCCTGGCGGCGCCGCAGCACCCGCCGCGCCTGCTGCTAAACCCGAACGGAAGGCCTTCCGCCCCGCCGCCGCCGCGGCCGCTGCTGCTGCGGCAGCGGGCGGCGCCTTCCGCATGCCAGGCGCCGCTGCACCCCCAGCGCCGCCGACAGCGGCTGCCATGCCAGGCGGCGGAATACGGCTGCTGGCGCCACCAGGCCTCCCACCCAGGTAAAACATGCCCCCACCGGTGCCGCCTCCACGGTTGGCGGCGCCCGCAGCACCGCCGGCACGCTTGGAGGCTCCGTTTGTCGTGCATGGCGAGCAGGCGTCCGGCACCGGCTCCCGGGGCTTCTTGTCAGCTGCTGGGGACATGTCGCTGTCGTAACCGTCTTCCTCGTCAGAGGGGAAGCCACCCTCCTCGTCCTGGACGGGGGCGCAGCCGTGACTGTCCGCCGAGTGCTCTTCCGCTTGCAACCGGCAACCCGAAGGAGGGCCATCAACCTCATCGTCATTGCCGTCAGCGTCAGCGTCCGCGTCATTCCCAACGTCAGCTCTGCCTTCCGCGGCGGCGTCCCCGCCGACGTCGCCACCCGCATCAGCAACGTCGTCGTTTGGCGCCGCCGCGCCGCCTTCCCCCGGAGCCAGGTCTGCAGGAGGTGGGAGGTCGCCAGACTGCCTCAGGGCGTCGCCTGCATCAGCCATGCAGACATCAGCGTTACCAGCCTGGGCCGGCTCCGCATGTCTTGGACCCTCCGGTACGGCATCGGAAGGCCCCGCACCAAAGACAAAGAGGCCCGCTGGGGCCGCGGCTGGAGGTCCCATGGCGGGCTGCGGGTTGGCTGCCGCGGCCTTGGGCTTGTTGTTGACGACCTGTGGAAGGGTGACGGTGTCGTGAGACGTTCTGACTTAGCAGATTTGTGGGTCACAGCGGTCGTTGGTGCACTGCCGCAACACATTGCACCAGAGGTAGCATGGCTGTCAACTTGTCACATGTCACAGCCATGCCAGCAGCAGCAGACCCTCCACCCGCAGCTGTATGTACCGGCACCCCTACCTGGAAGGTAGCCACTTGGCCAAAGGGGCCCTCGCCGCCCGGGTTGTAGCGCATCACCGGAACTGCAGGGAGGGGGGGGTGCAGCGCGTGCGGAAGCGAAATGCGAGGTTGTGGCCAACGGCTTTTACGGTTGCATAGCGGATGGAGACAGATAGATAGAGGTTCGAGGTCAGGCCGCACAGCGCGGCACATGTTAACAGAGAGATACATCACTTGACCCTCGTACGTGCACTCACCATCGTTAGCGTCCGGCTCCGAAAACAGTCCCCGAGCCAGCCCCAGGCCGCCCCCGCCCTCCACCTCTCCCAACCGAGAGCGGTGCTTCCCGCCAAACTGCTCGTCCATGGGCGTAGGGCCCACTTCCGTGGACGACTCGGACGCCGCAGCGGCTCCAGCCGGACTGCCCAGAGGTCCCACGTTGCCGGCAGCTGCCCGGTTCATGGCAGCGCGGGCCGCCAGGGCCCGACCACCACCGCCACCACCTCCCGCCGCTGCGGCTGCAGGACCAACACCAGCAGCAGCAGCACCTTGCCGCGGCGGAGCTGCGCATGCCGCCGGTGGGGCCTTCTGTTGGGCCCGATGCTGCTGCTGCTGCTGGGGCAGCTGAGGGCCTGCCTGCGGCGGTGGCGGCGCCGGGGCCTCCTTGTCAAACAGGTCGGCCAGGTTTGCGGCTGCGGCGCCGCACTTCTGTTTGAGGCGGTGCTCCTCACGGAGGACAGCCAGCTTCTCGGGTGGCGGGTCGGGAGCCATTTGAATCAGCGGACGAGCGATGATGGCAGGCATCCTGTACGGCAGCAGGGAAAGAAGTGACGAATCAGCAACGACGTCGGAGGGCTACCCACCCCCTACTCGGCCCCATGCAAGGTAGAAAGCACCGAGAACCAATGGGAACTTCATCTATTCCTCTTACATGTGCGCGGGGCGGATGGGGTCCATGCGCGCCACGTGCTTGGCCATGCGGCCCCCGCCGGCTTGTCGCGGGGCTCCCGCCACCACCACTCCCCGCAAGCTGTCCACCTCCATCACCTGCAGAGCAGCACCGGGAGCCACCAGGCACCATCAGGGGTCCTGAACTGCTTTTACTGGGATTCGCAGACGGCCGCGAAGGTGACAGCCGCTATGGAGATTTGTATCGAGGCACACCGACCTGGGGCTGCGAGGCGGCTGCGCCCTTGCCGGCTCCTCCGCCGGCACCTCCACCACCCGCCTGACCTCCACCTCCGGCGGCCGCTGCACCGCTGCCGGCGCCCGGCCGCCCTGAGCCCGAAGCCTGGCGGAAGCGAGCGCCGCCGGCAGCACCGCCACTGGCGGAGGCATTCCGTGTGACCGTTCCTCCCCCATGCGCCCTGCCAAACGAGCCGGAAGCCGCACGACCAGACGCCCTGCGAGAAAGGCGAGACAATCAGCGTCGGCTTGAGCTCTCGATTCCCAAGGAAGGTCAACGCAAGGTCGCACTGGTCACAGGACCTTAGCATGCAGTGCAGAGTACACGCTAGCCTTCATCATCCATCCCTACCTGAGTTCCGAGCCTCCGAGCTGCGAGCCCTGCTGCTGCTGCGGTTGGCCCTGCTGTGCCGCCGCCGCCGCTGCTGCCCGCTGCAACTCCTCGAACGCATCCGTCGCCGCCTCCACACCGCCCGCCTGCTCCATGCCAGCTTCCCAGTCCTCATCGGAATCCCTGGGGCAAGGCGGGCATGTTGCCGGCGTTGGTTTGCCGGCGTCTGGGTAATACATAGATGGTGCAGGCCAGGGTGCTACAGGCTTCGGGGCGTGAGGTGAAAGCAATACCCCACGCCATTCCCCAGTGCTAGTAACTGGTGACAGTCAGCTATCATGCGTGGCACCCACCATCGCGCCACAAACTCCATCTCGTTGTTGCCCTCGCGGTCCTCCCCGGCGTACGACACAGCCAGCAGGTCCAGCAGCGGTACGGCCCATGTCTTGGCTGCGGGACGCAAGGGGCGGATTCCCAACAGCACTTAGTACAGCGGGTAGAGGGAGCAGCTCGTGCAAAGATACGTTTTCTATTGACAATGGGGGAAAGAAGGCACATCTAACCCCGCCGACCTCGCTCTCTGAGACCCCGTTGCGGACACACGCACCCCATGCCGGCCTCAGCCGCTCCGTCACAAACGCCGCCATGCCCGGCTGTCCCTCCACGTGCCACAGCAGCGGCACCGCCCAGTCCAGACACTCGCGCAGCAGGTCCACCAGCGCACGGGGGCTGCGGCGGCGGTAGCCTGGGAAGGGGGCAAGGAGGGGAGGGCAGGTGCTGTGGGCACTGTGCGGGGCCGGAGCAACCAAGGGGGCTTGCAAGTGAGTGCCGAGTACCACGGGCATGTCCACTACGTCTACAGGATTCCCCCCATGCCCAAAAAGACCAAAGCTCCCTCTCACCGAGCATCTCCACTGCGTGGATGATCCTGCAAGCAGGACAAGGTCAGGGGTGGCATAGGCGTAAGGAAGGCCTTGATAGTTAGCAAGGTTCACCAGAAACACATCACATTTGCAGCAACGAGTGCAAACAAACATGCCGCCACACCCAGGGAGCCCCCCGCCCCCCCCACGCCGTCCCAACCCCCTCAACATTACCTGCACGCCGAGTACAGCAACGCGCAGAGCTGCAGCCGCGGCCGCCCCCGCACCGCTCCGCGCTCACGCAGGCAGGCCATGACGTCCACCGCCCAGGCCTCCTGCAGCAGCGCAAACACCTGCATGCATGTATGCAAGCGCGGACGCACGTGGGGATACAGTGCGACAACGGAGGGGTAGCTACCTGGGTGGCGATGATAAAGAGGGGTCAGCGATGCTATCAACCAGGCGGCAACCAACTCCGGCCAGCTGGTGTGCAAGAGAGACAGTGTCTTGCTCGACGCTCTATGGGAAACCCGGGGTAGCCAGCGTACGTTCCTACCTGGTCAATGGCAGCCGCATAGATGCCGTCTTGGTCCCCGTCCTGCTCGCCGCCACGGCCTCCCGCCCCTCCGACGGCCTTGCGCTGCTTATGGCCCGTCGCTCCGCCTGCCGTACCTCCGTGCGCACCACCGCTCTGATCGCAGCCCTCCTGATCCGCATCTGGATCCTGATTAGGATCCAGATCTGGGTCAACTTCGCCGCACTGCTCGCCGACCTCCTCCCCATGCTGACCACGGGCCCGGTTCCTCCGCTCAGCCGTCTGCCGCCGTAGGGCCCGTGTGGCGACTGACACGGCACGTTCGGAGGCCCTGAAGGGGGCGACATCCCAATGAACATCATGAAGGATCTGACAGCTCTTTGTTCGATGCCAGTGTCATTACGCACAATAGTTGCCAACATGCCCATAATATGCCAAGCCAACTGCTCCATGATGATGGCTGTGTGGCCATTATCCTATCTGCAATCTTCGCCGCCTGTCCTGGACCCCACTCCCACCTGAGCAGCGTCTCCACCACGCCCTTCACATGCTCCCTGGACCGCTCCAAGATGAGCTCCAGCGGCGGCTCCCAGCCGGGCAGCCGCTGCTCGTGTCGGGACAGCTTGGGGGGCGCCACCAGCACTGCGCAGCGGACGAGAAAAAGCAAGGGAAGCTTGGCAGGAGAAGCTAGATAGATACCAGTCAAACGCGTTCCCTTCCGGGGAAGCGTACGAGCATCCTAACAACGTCTATGTCGACCTCCATCCAAGCCAGGCCCCCTTCAGTCGCCCACGGGCACCCACATTTGCTACGGAGGCGGCTCCTTGCATCGCCCAGCAGCGGCTGCAGCGCGGCCAGCGGGGCGACCTTTCGCCGCTTGGCGTTGCGCTGCTCGGGACCCTCCGCACCCGCCTCCGCATCAGCCGCCGCGTCAGCACCCGCCGGGGACTGTCCGCTCACTGCAGTTCCGTCGCCCCCGGTCTCCTTCGCCCTTGCCGCCGCCGCCGCTGATGCGGAGGCTGAGGGGGCCGCTCCTGCCCGCTCCTGACCGGGTGCCGGGGGCTGCGGCTGCTGCTGCTCTGCGGGGTGTTGCTCCTGCCGCTGCTTGCGATGGAGCTTCTTCTCGTCCTTGCGGATGCAGGACTTGAGGTCCCCCGTAATGAAGCCATGCATTTGCCTGTGAGCGAGGGGCAGCAAAAGGGCGACACGTACAAGACAAGCAATTTTGTTGGTATGGCACTCATCATCTAAAGCGTGGTACAGCAGCAGCACCACGTCCTGCCTAAACAACGTCGAAAGCATCCATTGCTGCCCCACCTCACCACCCCTCTCTCACCCGTCCGCCTGCCGCAGCAGTTCCCCCACATCCAACGAGTCATCCACCGCCACCATGCAGCTCTCCCGGGCAGCTAGCGCCGCCTCCTCCGCAGCACTCAGGGGCGGCCACACCCAGCGGCTGCCGCTGGCGCCGCCGACACCCGCCGCCGCACCGCTGCCGCCGCCGCCTGCACCGACTGCGGCGGCTGCGCTGCCGGAAGCTCCCGCGGCGCCCTGCGAGTCGGAGGGCTTGGCGGTCGAGCCACCTGCACCGCCCGCAGCGACACTCTGCTCCATCGCCTGTACAGCAGGATGGTCGTGGAGCCCATGCAAGATGTCAGGACACAGGAAAGATCATTGGGCGTTTTGGACATCGGGGCGTGATGAATGGTCTTTTACAAGCCGTTGCATTATGACATCTTGCCCCCCAGCCTACCTGCGCCAGACGCTTGCCGGCAGCGCGGTTCATGACGTAGGCACCTGCTCCCGGGGCAGCTGCAGCAGCAGCAGCAGCGGCTGCCTCAGCAGAAGGAGGCCGCGGAGGAGGTTTGCCCGCCTGTACAAGGGACAAGGAGATGCACAGAGTTAAGTACAAGTGTCCGACGAAGCTCGGGAAACCAATGGGAAGGGACAGCGAAAACCCAGTACTTCTACCAAGCCGTGGTGCGTAGTGGGCACGGTTCTTCTTCATCGCTTACGGTACCTTCTGCTGGCCCTTGCCGACCCCATGACCCGTGGGTCGGCTGACGCCCCCCGGACCTCCTCCCGCACCCAGCGGCCTGCCTCCCGGCACTCCACCGGGCTTGTGACCGCCGGCCTTCAGCGGCATGCGACCGCCAGCTGGAACGTTCACCTGCGGAGGAACAAGGTTACGTGGTTGGCGTGTAGAGAAGGCAAGTCCAAAGGAGGTCGATAGAATGCAGCATCCAGCGCGGTTGTAAAAAGATTCACCTATGCTCCCCTGCTCAAACGCCTCTGATGAATTCGAATACTTGCATGCCATCCCGTGTAACAGGCACACCTGCGCGCTTGCCGCAAGAGGCACAGTCCGCCCCGCAGCCCCCGGCCTACTCCCGCACGGGCCCCTGACTGGCATCGCCGGCGGTGCCATGGGCGGCCGGGCGTTGGGGTGCTGCGCGCCCGGGCCGCCGCCGCGCTTCTGCCAGGCGCCCTTGATGGCGCCGGCGGGAGCTGCCTTGGCGGCCACCGCGGCCTTGTGGGGCTCTGCATGGAAGCGTGGAGCATGGGCCCGTTGGTGAGAAGGGGGGGATAGATTTGTCTGACACTTTACAAGGATTTATAACCCAGGGTTCTTGGCAGCTGCTATCACACGCAATCCGTTGCATTGGAGCGCCCTCCGGACACCCCAAAAAACAAACCTGCGTTGATCTTGATAGATGGAAGGCACAGGAGCGGCTGCGTGGGTATGCGATTCAAATAGCTGCGCAGGGAAGGGGCACGCACGGGCAGTGTAAAGGCGCCTCCTGATTCTTTCAGGATCGAGACATGCTCGCCAAGCTACACGTGTCTCGTCAACGGAATAGTCGTGGGGAAGCAACGTTAAGCAGGTTCAAGAGCAAACCCCCAACTTACTATAAGAAGCCCAGACCCAGTGTCTCCGACCACACGTGCCAAAACCACGGCGACGTCTCAAACTCCTTAAACCGGGCGTAGCTGCGAAGGCCGGATACCGCCTCTCCCGCTGCGCCCGATTTCCCGGATGCCGCCCCGGGGGCCGCTGCAGGTTGGGTCGCAGCAGTGGGTGCTGGCGGCAGGACCATGCTGCACACCATGAACTCCAGCGTAATCCCTGCAGGCCACCAGAGGCAGGGCAGCGAGGATCAAGGTGATGTGGGTCAGTCAGGATTGAGGCGGGAGACACACTCGAGTCGGGCAATGGAGCATGGGGGCGCATGGGGGTGAGGTGTGAGGTGAGAGGCATGGGGGGGGAGAAAGGTCCGAGCGACACACTTACTTTTGTGCCTGACCGGCAGCCAGGCGACAGGACGCCACGGGAGGCCCAGGGTGGGGTTGGGAGCCAGGCAGGAGGAGGCGGCGGCGCTGTCCAGTCGCCAGTGAGAGCTGCGGAGGGCGGATGCGGGCAACCGAGCTAAGGGCGGTGGGACCGGAACTCATCCCTGTTCAAAGGCAGGCCACACAAGCAACCCCACGCACCTCAGCAGCATGGCGAGCTGCACCTCCGCCGGTGCGAGGTCCCCCGCCGCCTCCGCCACCCTGCCGCCAGCGCTCGCTGTCACCGCGGCGGTGGCAGCCTCCACCGCCGCCTCCATCCGCTGCTTGTGGGAACCCTCGCCGTCGCCTACAGGTCGGGGGTGAGACGGGGGTGAGAAACACGCCAACCGCAATTCCAACCGCAATTCCAACCAACATGGTTACATGTAGATGTGCATGTGTAATACGTGCATGTTTTTCAACTGGGTCATCCGCTGCCAACCCATGACCGCTGCCAATTCACTCGAATCGCTGCGAAACCCTCATGACGCGTCCCATGCAAGACGCACCCGAGGGGTCGAGCCACAGGAACCTGGCGTTGACCTGCCGCAGCCCGGCTAGCAGCTCCGGGACCAGCGGCTGGGCGGGGCCCACAGGGGGACCTGCATGGGGGGGGAGAACACCGACGGCAGATAGTCGTCACCAGCCCGTTGAGGCTCTTCTGAGGCCCTGTCCACAGCGTGCAAAGCCGCCTAGGGACACGCAGTCCGAGATTCTCACCCGCCGGAGGAGCTCCGGTCACAATGACGAAGACCGTCGACTGCACTTGAGAGCCTGTGGGGGCATGGCGGTTCGGAGTTGCCTCAAAACGGTTTCAAGACGACGAGCTGCGTTCTGCCCCCGCCCCTACCTCGTCATGTGCAGCTGCCCCCCCTACCTCGCTGCGCCGCTGCCGCCTGCATGGCCGCCACGTACCGGCTGGCGCTCTGCTGCACGTGATGTGTCACCGTGTCCAGCCACGTGCTGCAAGCAGCGGCAGTCGCGGGAGCTGCCGCTGCTCCGGAAGCAACTCCTGTGAGGACAGGTACGGCGGGATGAGGCAACGAAGCATAGCGACCACATGCATGCATGCAGGGGTGTTCGTGAAAGCACGGGCGCCTTAATGGAAAGGTGGGGTGCATCCAGGTCGCCCGCTGTCTGAAGGGGACATATATGCAAGTGGGTCATAGGAAGGCGACATGACATGTGAAGTGACTGTAGGTGGCTACAATGAGCGAGATCTACGGTACGGCTATCGTGGACAGCAAGCATGGCAGTTGTTGGGAAGGGGCCAGGCAGTAAAAGTTGTAACGGCAGTGAACGCGGGCCTAAGGTTCTGTCGTAAAGGACAACGACCTACACCAACGCGTCTACACGTATTTACCTTCGATCGCCGTTGCGGCACCGCCACTTGCTGCTGCTGGCCCTCCCGCAGACGCCGATTGGCTTCGCAGGGCGATGAGGAGTTCCCGCATCTCCCAGTGGATATCGCGGGGTGTGCGTGGGCTGGAAATTTTGCCATTCCCCGCATTACCGCTAGTAGTGGCTGGAACTGAGATGGGAAGAGAGGAGTGAGAACGGATGGTTATTGCGGGGTTCAAAGCGCAAGGGATACAACTGCTAGCAAGAGCAAGACGGTGGACTCACCCACGCCGCTCGGGCAGCTGCTGCTGGCAACACTGACTTTGAGCTTAGATATCCGCTCGTATATAAATTTCGACCTGGATTGGGTAGACAAGGGAGTTATGGCCAGCTGTAAAACACCGGGATGTCGGGTTGCCCCCATGCCCATTGCCCACAGCCTCTTACTTTGAGCTTATCAACCCGTATGAGACGGCAGTAGGTATGTTATTCAGCTGGGCAAAGACTTGGGAGATGCGCGTTTGCAGCTCGGGGACATTTTCAGTGACAAGCTTGTCATCGCCTGGACGCCCGCCATAAGCACTTGCTGAAGTGTGATGGTTGTTATTGGCTTGAGAAGCATGGCTAGCATCCGCGGGAGCCTGGCTTGATAGCGCATCAACATCCAGTAGGAACACGAGGTGCTGCTCAGGCTGCAGCTGCTGAAAGCCAACAGCGCCATCCATCATGCCAGCTCTCGGGGTAGACGCATCGGCCATTCGTAACGAGGGGCGCTCCTATATAGCGAGCATTTTCCGTCCTAGGATGTTCAAATCGGCTTCCGACCAAGAGCATCGCCGTCCGAGCCACAGCTAAGATTTATAAATACATGACAAAAGTTTAACCAATCTATGAAGGCCTGTAGACTGTAGACATGTGAGGAACGGGGGGCAAGCTTGGCAAGGCAGTTTCCCGCGCAGCTCCGTACAATGTCATTGGAATGCAACGCAGTTGTATATCTCTGATTGCCTACAATAAGTAAAACGCTCTCTCTCTATTCGACGATTTGGTCATGCTCTCCTGTACGCCAAATCGCACCCGAGCTTTGCAATGACTGGCAACTAGCTTGCGTGCTGGCGCTCTTTCATTTATGATGTGCTTATAATCTTTTACCTACTTAATTCAATAGAACGTCAAGCGGAAACGGGCCCTGTATAGTTGCAGTGGAGGTCACATCTGCCTTTAGACGCCGCTGGCCCAATCTAAGACGTGGACCATTGGAACTGGCACAGCAGTCAAAAATTGATTCTCCCTAGGCTCCATGAGGCGTCAAGTCCAGCAAGTGCACCGCTTGCAGCAGCAAGCAGATGACTTCATACCGGCCCAACTGCGCCAGTTTCCAGCAGCTGTAGAGCGGCTGCTCAGGCGTCAAGGGAAAAATGTCGCATCCCCCTTCCTCCGCACCACGTCTGCGCTAAAGTCCGTCAAGGAAATGCTTACCTTGTTGCTGAACTCCAGTATGAGCAGCGAAGATGATACCCTTCCTGCTTTGTTATCCGATTACGAGATTACGTTGCTTCGCTTGGTCGGTGCGGGCGTGCGAGTGGCACCCGGCGACATACTGGCGGACGCCGATGGCACGTTAGGATTGGACGTTATCTTCAATGCTACCGCCGTTCTTGCACACTACCTGGTGATGTCACCGATAGCAGCTTTGCCCTCTGGGCTGAAGCTGCTGCGCATGCATACTCTGCAGGCCTGCAGCCGCCAACTGGCTGCTGCCGCAGATGTCATGTACGCTGCGAAGTCACTGGGCGGCACAGCGCGTGCGCAACGGCAACAGGAATTGGCTACCACCATCGCACTTGGCATACTGCGCTACAGCCTGAGGCTCCTGCAGGGCTTAATTTGCTGCGCTGTCAAGCCATTCGTTGATGGTCCCAAAGCCCAGGCGTTGCAAGCACAACTGCGCAAGGAGTTTGCTGAAGCACTCGGAGACAGCTCTGTGATGGATCACGCATCACGGCTGCTGCTGATGGCTGCCGTGGTGCCGGATGATGCGGGCGGCACGCATCAAGACCTCGTCGGCAAGCGCCTAGCGTCCCACGCCTTTGTGGGCTTGATCAGTATGGCGGACTCCTTTCGGGAGGAGCTCACTGCCGACATGTTCAGGGCCAGCAGCAGCTCTTCCAAGGGCCTTACCTGCGAACCCGAGCTGCTGGTCCGGGTGCGGCGGCGGCTGTCAGGTTGCTGCACCCAGCACGCCATGTTTGCTCATGGTCTGGCGGCGCTGTGTGCAATGGACGGCGGCTCCTCCTACAGCCTTCCCCCCGAGGTGCTGCGGGGCTTCCCAGCTGTGTATGACACGGAGGAGCGACCGACGAGCTGGGACGGCCTCGCCACGCTGCTGTACGCCCTCGAAAACCGCCGGAGTGACATGCCGCCGGGTCGCCGGGCGGCGCTGGATGTGTCCATGCGGTTGGGGCGTCTGGCGGTGGCGTCAGGGCGGGCTTGGGCGGAGCAGCCCTCCCCGGCCGCCGTGCTAGCGGAGGTTCTAGCGGGGATACAGCGTGGCAGGATACCACCCGCACCCGTCTCCGATGTCAAGGGGCCATCGTTATCCTGGGACAAGGTCCCCGCGTTGGCTGCTCGAGCCCTGCAGAGCGCTTGGCAGCAGGTGGCAGCGCAGCCCCCCGAGGCACCCGGCCGGGCGGCGGAGGTGGAGGCGTGGTGGCGGCTGGGCTGTGAGGCTGCGTCGGTGGAGATGGACAAGGGGGGGACGCTGCAGGCGCTGGGGTTAGCGCTGGCGGAGCCCTTCCTCGCCGCAATCCGGTCGGGCAACGCCGGTAAGCCGTGTCGTGCTGGCAGCCGTTCAGCGGCTGTTGTTGGTCGTTTCCGGCAGACCTGGTGTGTCCTGCCTTGCGCCTGCGGGTGAAGTGCATGTGCATGAGCTGTTGTGCTGCGTGTGCGCCCCTCGGCACTCGCGAGAGCCCGCATTGCTCCATGTGACATGGGGTCTCCTAACCCGCACGTCACCTACCCCGCAAGGCCCTCACATGCTACCCACCGCGTACCGCGCCCCTGCAGGTGTTTCTCTCCTGTCGCCCGCGCCGCCACTCGAGGTGTCAGCCGCGCTGTCAGGCGGTCTGCTGCCTTGCCTGGAGCGCCTGCTGCGTCGAGCGGGGAATGCACCCGACGGGCCGCAGTCAAAGGTGCTGCAGGGCTTCCTTTGGAAGGGAAACGGAAAGCCCAGTCTGCTGGACTCGTGTTTCCCGGGGCTGCTCCTGTCGTACGGCGATGTACGACAGACTGCGGCGCTGGTGACGAGCTTAAAGAAGGTGCTCATGAAGGGGGCTGCGGGCGGCAGTGCGGTGAAACTGCATGCCACGCTGTTGTCCTTGGCAGCGGCTGCACTTAAATGGATGCGGACACTGCTGCTGGCGGAGTTCCAGCGCGGCAACAGCGGCTGCGACGGCGTGCAGCGGCTGCAGTCCGTTGCGTCGTACGCGGCTGCCGAGCTGCTGCCTGCATGCGGCCAGCTGCTGCGGCTGCGCCTGCCGGCTCCCCAGCTGCAGCTGCCCTTGGACCAGGCGGACGTTACCGTACTTGAAGTCCTGTCCCATTGGCTGTCGCTGCTGGCTCTTCGTTGCGGGGACTGCGACGTGCACACTGCTGCCGCCTCCGTTGCTGTCGCCCCTCGTGACGACGGCGGGTGGCGGCCGGTGCTGCTGGGCACCGCGCTGCAGCTGGCGCCTGTGGTGATAGCTGGTTCAGCGGCCCCTTGCCGGAGCCAGGCGCGCAGCCTGGTGGCGGCTTTCCGGTCGGTGGCTGGGGCCTTCCCGCCGGAGGTCAGGCAGGCGGCGCTGGGGGCAGCAGCGGAGGGCGACCAGGGAATAGCCGTGCAGGAGGGTGCGGCTGCCGCTGCTGCTGCCTTCGCCTCCTCCGATTCGGCCTCCCATGTCGCCGGCCTGCCCTGGGGGCCTGAGCAGCTGCGTGGCCTCGTGCCGCTGCTTGTGGCCGACGGCGAGGAGGACTTGGCGGAGGACGCGGAGGAGCTGGCTGGGCAGTTGGACTCCTGGAGTGCGGGCGGGCGGGGAGAAGGGGAAGCGGACGCGGCCGGCCGTCCCACCTTTCCTGCGGCGGCGGCTGTGTGTGCGACTGCGACGGCGGAGGCGGACGTGGGTCGGTGCCTGCCGCCGGTGGGTGAGATGCGGCGGCTGCTGCGCACGTGCGCCCACCCGGGATGCGGCAACCTGACGGGGGAGAGCGAGGCGGAGCTGCCGCTGCGGGGGTGTGCGGGCTGCGGGGAGGTGGGGTACTGCAGTCGGGAGTGCCAGGTGGCGCACTGGCGGGCTCCAGGGGGGCACAAGGAGGCATGCAGGCGGGGCTAGGCAGGGTAGCGGTGTGTCACATTTGCCAACCGACGTTGCACACAGCTACATGTTTGCGAGGAGGAATGAACGAGGCTTGACAATGCATTGATATGCGTGTACAGTACGGTGTAGTGCGATGTGGCCTCTGCTGGGCGCTAGGGCCGACGGTGGTGTCATGCTGCCGTCAGTGTGGGGCAAGTGTCCGTTCACAGGACCGTTGGGCGACGTAACTGTAGCAAGTGCGTGACTGTTCCTGTGGATCGTCTAATGGGGTAGACCGTTAGGTTTTGGCCTGACCTTGCCGTACATTGATACGTCCTAAGGGAAATCAAATGGCAGTGTGTGGGAAGAGGCACCTTCTGGCTAGATGGCACAGGGCCGACTGGGGCCCTGTGCGTTTGCGAGTTGCAGCTCTCGCTCCAGTTGCGGATGGAAAGTTGTGAAGGGTGGCCGAGGCGCGACTTTAGGCGGTATGCTGTAGTATGGCACGGTATGCAGCTGATTTGCAGGATGACGGATTGTATCTGGTGTGTCGGACGTCTTGTGGAATCCGTTTGCGGTGGAACATGCGCATCTTCCGATCGTCGTGTGAATAGGAGGCTGTGGGCTTAGTCCTGAACCGGTCACATGCGCGCCCGCTGCAGCGCCCGCTGAAGCAGCATGACAGCAGCTCAGGGGCAGGGGTAGGTTGCCAAACACAGCGCAAACATGTGCGGGCGCTTGATTGTGTGGCTCTGCGGGACGCACGCACGAAGCCTTGCAGGAGGTGTTGTCCCTCGCGTAAAAACGTAAACCGCGATTGTATGCAATAAAACAGGTAGCAAAGTTAATCGGCGCTCTGTTCATTTTGCTGTCTTTTCGTTGCCGACGAAACGTCGTGTCGGCCGAGCAGTTGTGGCCTGAACGATTTCAGTGCTGATGGGACATTGGAACGGAGTTTTTTCCTATGTTTATACAGTTAGCATTCGCAGAAACATAAAAGCTGCATATACTAGAAGGTAACTAGCGCTCGGGTTAATTACTAAGGCTTTTCACCGAACGGCTTTTAAAGTCTCCGGCGAAACGGAGGCAGCTATGACTCGCTTGCAATTACAGTATTTTATACATCTAAAGCTAAGTCTGTAAGATAGGATTCCTGCTCTCGTCCTTGTCGCTTGGCACATTTCGGCTCGCGCAACCGCCGAGCAGTGAAAGGTCTTGTCCAGGTGGGTTCAGAAATCGGACTCTGTCGGGGCATACCATATAAACGTTTTTGCTTTAAAGTCATTTCTCTTTGGACCTTTCCATGCGCCCTTCCTCGCTCGCTCGTCGCTCCGTTCCATCGCATGCAACAATGCATGGTCACAGTGCTTGTGCTGCTGCAGTTCCCTGATAACTATATTACGCTTCATTAACCTCCTTCCCAGTCTTTCTGCTCTTCAAGTCGCCGCAAATACGTCATGGCGCCAAGGCTCTCTGTGGTCCCCAGCACCCACACCACGCCGCTCCTTAGCGACGACATGCCCAACTCCCAGCCCGGCGACCCGCCCAGCCCCAGCGCCCCTCCCAACGCCACCGGCAGCGGCACACCGGCCCCGGGCAGCATTCCCCTGCCGGCCATGCCGGACCCCCGAGCCGCCTGGCTGCTACAGCGCTACCAATCCCGCAACAGCCACTCCTCCCGGCTGAGCAATGTGACAAGGTCAACCACGCCTCCCTTGCCATCTCAGTCTTTTCCATCACCGTCCTCAGCCGCCTTACAAGCCTCAACTTACCCGCATCAGTTACTGCTGCTGTCTCCCTTCGAACAGCCCGCATGGCTGCCGTCCTGCTGCTGTCCGCCAGCCACCCCGGCGGTTGCACAGCTTGTCCGCACCCAACGAACTGTAACCGTCACTGTCGTACACCCGCCGGACGCGGAGCCTCTGCCGCCGCAAGCTTCCGCACTGAAGATTGCTGAGTCCTCAGCAGGTTGCGCCGGTGGTGGCGGTGCAGTGGTGGCGGCCAGCGGCGGCAAGAGCTCGGCTGCCGGCTCGGAGGGCCTCACGCGTGTGGCTAGGTCAGCACTGGCCATGTGCATGGCTGTGCTGTATGTCGTCCTCTTCCTGGTGGGTCGTCTGGAGTGTCGCATTCATACCGGTGTATCGTTGCCTGTTGCCTTGTGGACGTCGAAAGCGGGGGCTGCGGGGGCTGTCCGGGGTTGGGGAGAAAGGTATTGGAGGTGTATGCGACACCGGGGGCGGCGGCTTGGTTGTTGGTTGGACGTACGTTGGATGTGATGGGTCCGGGTGTTGGAGCAGTAGGGGGCTTGGGGAGCTGATCTGGGTGTATGTGTCTTGGATGGGGCGCGGGGACTGCACTAAATTACCCTAAACTACATGTATTTCCATGTTACTCGATCTTCGCACGTAACCCCTCTTCGTTCTCACACCCCCCTACCGCCTCTTCCCTCCCCACCGCCGCAATCAACAGGGAACCCTGTCACTGGTCGCCTCGCAGCTGTTCAACCGCTCCCCCTCCAACAACCCGTACGGCTTCTTCTCGGGCATCATGCCGGCCTCCGTACGACAGTCCTGGAAGACATCCGCCGCCACTACACCCAGTACGGCGTCAGGGGTGCGTCCAGCCCAGGTACCAGGTTCCACCCGCGCAGACAACAACAGCAGCAGCAACAGCGGCGGCGGCGGCGGTAAGGATATCGAGGCCTTGCTGCCCGTAGCGGCAGGCGAGGTGAAGAAGCCTGCGCTGCTGGTCCCGTTCCTGGGAGGCAATCAGGGTGACGACGACACGAGCAGCCGCCACGCGGATCAAGAGGTGGTGGTGGTGGAGTCGGCGGCGTCCTCGACAGCGGGCAGCCGGGCACTGGAGAGGGTGAAGGCGGAGGTGTGATGGAAGGGGCGGTTGGAAGGCACCTGAATGAGCAGCAGCTACTAGGCTGAGGAGGCTGGCAGGGATGCTGGGTAGATGTGTAGTTCCGAGGGGGGTCAGTAGTGAAAGACCCATGGGGTAGGGTGGGTGGGTGGGGAAAAGGTGGGAGAGGCGGGTATGACCTCAGGTCAGCTGACGCCGGAGGAATCGATGATGCGGCACTTATGAGGCGGTTGTGGGGGACAGACATTCTGTAGTAGCAGTCGTACCTTCTTGGGCAGATAATAAAGGAGGTTTGACATCCACGATTCATTAGTATTGTAACAGCCATGCATTAGCATTGTTTGTGCAGCCAGGTCTCTGCCCCCACGTCGTCAGCTGCTTCATGTCACTTGATAGGAGATGATGTTGCACCACAGGGCCCAGCCCCTCGGCCGTATGACATGTAATCGTACCAGCCGCATGCTTGCAGAATTGTATCTCTCTTTGTCACCACAGATGTAACTAACATATTGTACAATTGCTTTATCGTACAGTACCGCTGCGGTTCGGTTCAAAAACAAGTGAAAAGCACCATGCCCTGCTAAACAGCCTAAAAGAATGCTACCGGTTCGCACGCTTTCTTGTTGCCGCCGCTTCAAAACTCCCCTACGTGTTCTACCTCACATTCACCCTCATAAGCCGTCATGAACCCCCCAGATATCTTCCGTTCTCTCTTCAACATCTTAGGTATTCCCGATTACCACCCGCATGCGTTTGTTCCCCTCCCCGCATGCCCGCCCCCACTGCACAACTCAATATGAATGTTTCTGATTGCAGAGCGCGCTTCGCCCCATCTTACTGTACACCCCACCCCCACTCGCCCCTCCCTCCCTGAGCTCACTTCGCCCCATCCAGCTGCACCACTGAGCTATTACTGTACACCCCCCTCACTCGCCCCTCAATCCCGGGTCCGACCACTCCCAGCACCCGCACCCTTCACCGCACCCCGGGTCCCGCCGCCAGCCTCTGCCCCGGTAGCGGCCACACCCAGCTCTTCATCTACAAGACCGACATCGCCACCGCCAGGGAGTGGCGGAGGAGCAGTCACTGGCGGCGATGACGGCTGAGGTACGGCCGCCGCCGCCGTCGCTACATCGCCGCTAGACCCCCGGCAGGCCGCCGCCGCCGCCGCCACCGTTGCTGCTGCCTCGGCAGCTTGCACGTGCCGTGAGAACGCACGAGCCGTCTCAGTGGGCGGCGCTTCGTCTTCCGCGCCCACGTCCACGTCGCTGCCCTCCTCGTCGTCCGCCTCCTCGCCAGACAGCCAGCCGAACCCGCCGCCGCCGCGACTGCGTTGTACGGCACCTGCCATCTGAAGACGAATCGCCGCGGCGGCGCGGCGGAGTGCGGCGGCGCGTTCCGTCAGCTCTGCGGCAGCGGCGCCGCCACCGTCACCTCCACCGCCACCTCTGCCGCCGTCACCTCCGCCGCCGGTCTCAAGCTCAGCCAAGCCGCTGCCCGACGGCGCCGCCGCCGCCACCCGGGCGGCCAGTACGGCAATCGCCGCCGCCGCCGCCTCCAGCTCCTCTAGCTGCCGTTGAAGCGGCGGCAGCCGGACCCCCCGCGGTGGTACCGTACCACCGCCTCCGCCGCCTCCGCTGACGCCGCTAACGTCAGCTGCCAGCAGCTCCTCCGCCGGCGGCAGCGCATTCGGGGCGCTGCGGCTCCTCACCACCGTCAACCTGATGTCTGCAGCGGCGGCGGCGACGGCGGTGGCAGCAGCGCCACCCTCAATCGTGGCAGAAATAGTGCTGCCGCCCGTCTCGCTGGCGACGTCGTTCGTGAAGAGACTGGCCCTGCGTGGGAGTCTGCCGTGCCTCGGAGGATGGTGATGGTGGTGGCGGGCGGGGTGGAGGGGTGGACGCGGTTGTCGTGGAACGGTGGGGGGCAGCGGAGGCAGCAGCGGAGGCGAGGGAGAGGGAGTCCGCTTGCCGTGCTCACCCTTGCCCGCAGCGGCAGCGGTGGCAGCTGGGAGCAAGCCCTGGCAACGCGGGCAGCGGCGGAGGAGGCCCGCTAACGACGGCGGCGGCGGTGTTGTGCTGCTTGAGGAGTCTTGGTTGCTACCGTTGCCAGGTGCTGACGTCACCGTGCCGCCGCCGCCGCCGCCGCCTTCGACGCTGCTGGCCAGGTCCTTGCCGCCGCCGCCGCCTCTGTCGTTCACAGCTGGCGGCGGCGGCGGCGGGCCCCTCGGCGGTGTGCTCAACATCGCCGTACCGCCGCCACCGCCGCCGCCGGCGTCACCTGCAGGATTCATGTCGTACAAGCTGCTATCCTTGCTGACGGCGGCGCCGCAGCGACACCAGATGTCGCCGCCGCGCCGTTGACCGCCGCCGCCGCCGCTGTCCGTCCCCGCCGCCGCCAGCGCACCTCCGCCTGCCGCAGCAGCAGCACCCGCTGCCGTACTTCTCGGAGTGGGGCTGTAGCTCTCCTCCGCCGCCCAGTCGTACCCCCGCGGACCCAGCCGCAACGGCCGCAGGCCCCCCCGCCCGTCACCGCCGCCGCCGCCCCGGTGTCGAGGCGCGGTAGCGGCCTCGTCGCCTCCGCTGCCGCTGCTGGAGCCGCCGCCGCCGCCGCCGCCGCCACCACTCGGTTGGTCCGCCGGCGAGGCCCCCGCCGCCGCCGCCGGCGTCAGCAGCAGCCTGATTGGCTCCGGAACCGTCCTGTGCAGCCACCTGGGCGCCAGGTAGTGGATGAGGGAGACACCCACATTGGCGCAGATGATGATGGCGAAGACGGAGGTGGTGAGGATCTGGTTGCCCACTTCAATGAGGGGGCTGTGCGGGCCGGCGGAGGAGCGGATCATGTCCAGCGGCTGGGCGCCCAGGGCCGCCTGGGGGTGGGGGTGGGGGGGTGGGGGTGGGGGTGGGGGTGGGGGTGGGGGTGGGGGTGGGGGTGGGGGTGGGGGTGGGGGGGTGGGGGTGGGGGTGGGGGTGGGGGTGGGGGTGGGGGTGGGGGTGGGGGTGGGGGTGGGGGTGGGGGGGTGGGGGTGGGGGTGGGGGTGGGGGTGGGGGTGGGGGTGGGGGTGGGGGTGGGGGTGGGGGTGGGGGTGGGGGTGGGGGTGGGGGTGGGGGTGGGGGTGGGGGTGGGGGGGTGGGGGTGGGGGTGGGGGTGGGGGTGGGGGTGGGGGGGTGGGGGTGGGGGTGGGGGTGGGGGTGGGGGTGGGGGTGGGGGTGGGGGTGGGGGTGGGGGTGGGGGGTGGGGGTGGGGGTGGGGGTGGGGGTGGGGGTGGGGGTGGGGGTGGGGGTGGGGGTGGGGGTGGGGGTGGGGGTGGGGGTGGGGGGTGGGGTGGGGGTGGGGGTGGGGGGTGGGGGTGGGGTGGTGTTTATGTGGGGTTCACGATGAGCCGTTTATTATTCCAACGGGTGTGTGGCAGGCAGGCAACCCTGTAATGGACCCTTCCGGTCCGCACACACACACACACCCTTCCGACAATATCAGTACGTTCCTACTCGCGGCCAGTTTTCTTAACACACCTGCACAGTTGCCTTGGGTGTCCATGCGACCGCCATGAAGATCCGCTCGCGGGTGGTCAGCCCCGCCCCCGCCATGGCCAGGAAGGTGGTGGGCATGCGGACAGCCATGCCTGGGGGGAGGAGGGAGGGAGGGGAGGGGGGGAGGCGGTGGTAAGGCAGCTGCGGTATTGAGGGGTCAGGGAGGGGCAGGCGAAGTGGCTGGACGCGACGGGACCCCGTAATCGCCCGGCAGGGAAGAAAAGAGGCAAGCATGCGGCCTCTCCGGCCTGCGTCCCTCCCCCTCCCCCCCCTCCCCCTCCCCCCCTCCCCCTCCCCCCCCCCTCCCCCTCCTCACCAATGGCCACCAGCGCCAGCGCGCGCGGCACCACCCCCCCGCTGACCGCCCGCAGGTTGACCAGACTGCCGATGATGCCGAACAGCAGTGGCTGCGCCACCACCCGCCAGAACAGCCCCACACGCGCCTCCACCTCGGCGGCGTAGCTGGGAAGGGGGGTTAGGGGGCAGCAAGTTGTCAGGAAAAGAGAATAGGGTTAGTAGGAAAGGGCATGGGAGAGGTGGGAGGTGACAGGTAAGGGACGCATGCATGCTTGCCATCCACTGCTCCCCCCCCCATCCCCCCCCCCACATCCCTCACCGCGGCTGCGGCCCCCGCGTGAGGCCGCTGTGGCGCCCCAGGCCCCAGAAGAACAGCGAGCCGCGCTCCTGGGGGGTGGGGGTGGGTGGGAAGGGGTTGTGCGTGTGGGGGGATTAGGGTGCAGGGGGGGTGTGTGTTGTCAAGTGCGTTGGCTGAGAGTGCCACTGCGTGGGACCATGCGGCCGTACCCCGGCTCTAGCCTCACCCGCCCAGCCCCATGCGACCACCCCTCCACCCCCCTCCCACCCCCCCCACCCCCCTCACCCAGAACACGTTCACCGCCAGCCCTAGCACCAGCGCCGCCAGCGCCCCCCCGCCGCGGAACTCGAAGCGGTACAGCGCGAACAGCAGCGCCAGCGCGGCCGCGAACACCACCGACGTGCGCTTGAGGGGGCTGTCCCACAGGCGGGTGGCGGAGCAGAGGGCGGCCCCAGCCAGACCCGCCACGATACCCAGCGCGATGTCCAGGGGGCCTTGGAGGGGGGGGAGAGGGGGGGTGAGTAGGTGAGGGGGTGAGGGAAGGGAGAGCAGCGCTGAGGTGGTGAGGTGCACCAGGGGGTCTATGTAGCGGCTGGGAGTGCGAGTGCATGCAGCGGCGGCAGCGGCAGCCTCCCCACCTCCTCCTTCTCCATGGCGGCATGCACGCCCCCTTCCCCCCCTCCCACCTCCTTCTCCATGGCGGCATGCACGCCCCCTTCCCCCCCCCCTCCCCTCCCTCCTTACCATGTAGCAGCGCCCACAGCAGCCCGCCACTGGTGGTCACACCCCCGCCCCCTCCACCTCCACCGCCATGATGACCTCCTCCCTCATGACCCCCCGCGCTGCCCCCATCAATCCCCCCCACTGCCCCTGCCCCTCCTCCTCCCCCTGCCGCTGTCGCCGCTGCTGTCCTGACATGCGCCATGGCCAGCGAGGAGAAGAGCGAGTAGCCGGAGATGGCCACCATGTCGTCGAAGGAGGCGGCGCCAACCACGATAGCGGGGATGCCTGGTGGTGGGGGGGGGGGGCGGGGCAGGAAAGGGTTCGAGGAAGAAGATGGGGACACGCCGGGGGGACATGTCGTACCCCGTAAAGCCGGCACCCTGCGGGGTGGCGTGTGTGAAGTGATCACCGGTGGCCCGGTAGTGGTGTCTGACCCCCTGCCTACCTCCCTGCCTGCCTGCCTGCCCCTCCCCCAACCCCCAGCCTCCACCCCCAGCCTCCACCCCCAGCCCAACCTCCAGCCCCCTCCCCCACCTCACCCTTATTCACCCCCAGCCCCTTCTTCTGCAGGTCGAACATGGTCTGGATCACCACCGCCGGCCCCACCGCCTTCAGGATGAAACCCATCGTGAGCGCCCAGAAGGGCGGCATGCGCAGCAACCCCACCGCCACACCCGCGGAGGTGAACGCCTCCACAAGGCCCGGCAGCAGCAGCAGCCGTACTGCAGCGGGGCCAACACGGCGGAACAGCTGGGGGGGGAGGTGGGTAAGTGTGTATGTGCGAACGCGTGTGTGTTTGTGTGTGCCAAAACACACGGTGGAGGGTGCGAATGGAGTGCCGGTGTACGAAACACAAGTGCCGGTGTACGACAACCCACATACACACACGTTTCGCCTCGCGGCCAGTTATCTTAACACACCCCCTCCCCCCCCTCCCATCCTCCCCCCTCCCCTCCCCCCTCCCTCCCCCACCTGCAGGTCCAGCTCCAGCCCCGAGCGCAGGAAGATGGTTCCCAGCGCCAGGGCCCTGAAGGTGGCGCTCCAGGAGGGGGGCAGCCCCGCCACCAGGGATGGGGTGGCGTTGCGCAGCAGCAGACCCGCCAGCAGCATGCCCAGCAGCGGGGGGAGGCCCAGCTGCCCGTGGGGTGGGAGGGGGGGAGATAGTGGGTGGTGATGAGGGGGTGGCGGGTGGTGCTCCAGGGGTGCGGCAGGCGGCTGTGTTTGCGCTGGCGCGCTGCTGCTGCTGCCCCCCCAGGTGCACGGGCGGCTGCAACGGGCACGGGCTTGCATGCAGCAGCACCCATCCCTGCATGTCCCTCCCTCCCCCCAGCCTCATCCCCCCCCAACCCACCACTCCGCACACCGCTCCCCCCACGTGAGCCGCCAGGAATATGAGCAGGGTGGACCAGGCATTGCCCCCCGGCAGCAGGTCGGGACCCACGGCCAGGTACAGGGCTGGGGGGGGGGGCGCAGGGAGGCGGGTGGGGGGAGGGAAGAGGCGGGCGCAGGGGGGGAGGTTGGATGCTGCAGGCTGGCGGGGCCGTGAGGGCTGTTGCGGCCGAGCGGTCCCTCTTCTCCTGCTCTCCCTCCTAGAGCCTGTCAGCACCCCCTCACCCCAGTCCACCCCCACCGCAGTAGATGACGGCGAAGAGGATGGTGAGGCTCAGCACGCTGCGAGTGGCTGCGAGTGGGAGGAGGGGCAGGGGGGAGGAGGACGGGGGAGAGGACAGCGGTGACCCGTGGGTCGCAAACGAGCGACACAAGAGAGGCCTGCTTTGATGGTGGCGATGGGCGACCTGCAGCTCGGCATTTAGGCATGGGTTTCCACACAACAAGCAAGCAAGGGAGACCGCCAAGCAGTGCGTCCGTAGTAGCTCCCCCAAGGAACGCTGCCACCAAGACAAGCCTGCCAAGCAAAGGTGCTTCTCGCAGCAGCAGCTGCTGCACCTGCCGCTGCTGCTGCGGGAAGAGGCCGAGGAGACGCACCCACCTCGGTGACTGCGCAGTCGCCGAGCCCACTCTGACATCCGGATCCAGGGCATTTAGCTTGCTAGGCTGCAAACGTGAGTTCAAAAGATACCTACTAACAAGCCCCAAGGGTGCAGCGCCTGGGTGCAAAGAGCAGCTTCCCGTTTGTAGGCCGCTTTCTTGGAAGCAACTTATGAAATCATTTCGTGTGTTAAGTGTGTCTTGTGGATGGTGCCCAGGAAGCCTTGTATGCGCAACCTGCTGCCAAAGTAAACAGTAGCATGTCCGCGGATATTCGGACGCACGTGACCTATGAGACCAGCTCAGTAAGGAGGACGAAGCAGCATCAGTAGGTTGATCAACAGCGGCCGTTTCAACAGTTCTCGAGGAGCCGGAAGCAATGGAACATGTTCGGCTCAAGTGAGAAGCATTGTTGGGGTGGGAGAGCTGCTTATGGACATGAGCGGCGAAAAAAGACTTTGCATGCATCCCGATGGGGACAATCGGCGCATCGCATCTCTCGCTCTTTCTTACTGTTGCCGCGATGCCGGCGTGACTAGACTTTGGACACGGCCATGCAGACTGATTCCGCGATCACAGCTGCTGCACTGCCCCTTATGAACGCGAGCCTATATAAAGGCGTTTTTTGACGGGTAGTACTGGGCCATGGGCGGTATTTCTCAGACGCTGCGTAAGTAAGTTCGTCCCACGGGCCAATCAGGTGAATCCCAGAGGGTTCTCCATCGATACCTAATATGATATATGTACATGTCGTGGCTCAGTTGTAGCTGCTTTGCGGTCATGCGCAAGCACCGCACTGATGCTAGAAGGGATGCGCGCATGCTCCGACAGCCCTTACGTATGTGGCCGAAGAGCGCCATGCGATTTATCCACCGGTGTATCGTTTGATATGGATGACGAGGCATGCTTTGATTGGGAGGTTATCTTACTTTCCTTGGGTGTGACAGATGATGGGTACAGTATACTATAAGGGCTCATAGCCATGGCTTGTAATCGTTGTAACAGCAAGTAAATTCAAGGGGCAAGAGCCAGCTGGTCATGGCTGAAAGGTTACGGCTGCGATCCGGACTTCACCTGAACTTGCATGGAAGTGGAGTCGTCGACGCCCTCTTGACACACATGTCGGCCTGCTTTCTTTATATTTAACCCTGCTTAACCCACCTGTATCTGTAAACAAAGTTATTTTTAAACGTAAGACCTCATACCTCAAGACTAGAAGGCTGTATTCACTCAACGACAGTTAACCACAGCGGGCGCATATCCAAGCTTTGCTTCTTTCAGCTCAAGGTTAACTAAAATTTCATAATTTACGATAAGAGAAACTGTTAATATAAGGCACAGGTCTTGGATACGGAGGAGGATAACTGTAGCCGAGAATGGAGCCTCTTGACAAGGACCAGCTCCCGCAGAATTGGAGGACTCCGCTAGTAAAAGTCGTTAGCAACCATGTGTGGCAGTGCTGTGATCGCGTGGACTTGACTGATGTTCGAAACCATCCAAGTGCCGACGGCAGCGGCGCATCCCCTGCATATGGAGCATATGCAGGTGCGTAGCGCGTTGCTAAAGTAGCGCTGCTAGCTTACATGAGGACGTTTCGGTTTCGATGTCTGAGAATCTAGCTATTTGTAATGCACGTTTAGCGGACTCAAGGGAAAAGAACATTCGGGAGCGCGCTTATTGTTTGTCCTGTTCCTCCTTTGCAAATTTCGTTGGTTTAGCTCATCGCCCGTAGGTCGCGCCCGTCAAAGCGGTACCTGCTTACACTGGTTGACCTACCCTTCCGTGAACCCGTTGACCTGCCTATGGGCAATCAGTTGGTATTCCGTGAATCCGGTCATCACCCAGCTTATCGTGGGCCATTATCACCAAACGCTCCCACCAAACTCGCTGCCCCACACTTCCCTTTTCCCAACCCCTGCAGGCCCTGTTGAGCAACTCCTGAACACCGCCTTCGAGGGAGCGCTCAAGAACTGGGAAGTGGGTAAGACGTGCCTCCCCGCCACTGCCACGTCTAGGAGGACGCCAGCGGAAGGCTTGTGGGTGTGTAGGTTTCTGGCTGGGTGTTTGGACGGAGTTGATTTGGGTCGGGGACGAATGGAAGTGGGGGGTCCAGGGTGTACGGCCACGCTCCGACCCAAATGCATCCCAGCGCATGCTGCCACACCGGCCCCCGCCAGCCCTTGTTGGCTACCACTGCATGTTGACTGCATGCCAGCCTTTCCACCGCTTCTGCTCCGCCCCCGGCTGCACCACCGCCCCATGCAGGCCCCTTCGCCGCCTGGATTGGGAAGACCAAGGTGGGCGGGCTGGGGGAGGGGAACCTGCCATGCATGCCGCCAGCAGCCCCCGTGCCAGCCAGTCGTGCCCATGGGTGGCCCCCCTTTCCCAGGTCTCATGGAACAGCTGGCCGTCCTCCTTCCCGCCTCACGTCGTCACGCTTTACGCTACCCGCCTACCGCCGCCTCCGCACCTCCTAGCCCTCCCCATGTGTAACCCTCCCCCACCCTTCCCCTTCCTCCCCCAGATGTTCAACGAGCTGGACCTGCAGTGGGACTTCTCCATCACCCTGCCCAACCAGCACCTCACAAGACCTGCAGCAGCAGCAGGAGGAGCGGGAGCGGGGCAGCAGCAGGGGGCGGCGGGAGGTGGAGGCAGCGGCAGGACGGCAGAAGGGGCAGGGCTGGGGAGGGGCAGCAGCGGAGGTAGCGCTTCGGACTGTGGCAGCGGTGGCAGCAGCAGCAGCAGCGGCGGCGGAGGGGACAACGGCGAGTTCACTGCCCAGGTGTGCAGCAGGGGGGCGGGGGAGAGTTGGTGCTTGTGGGGCGGGGGGAGTGGCCCCCCTCGAGGCCCCTCAGCCCCTGGTGGCGGGAACTGGGGACGGAGGCAGGCCGACCCAGATGGAGGGGACTGTGGTGTTGACTCGGGGAGACTCCCCCCTCTTACCCCCTACCACACCTCCCCGGCCCCCCTTCCCCCTCCCCGCGCAGGAGGACGTCCCGGTGGACGAGCTGTGGTCGCTCATCGTGTGGCTCAAACCCGGGGATCGAGGTAAGGGGTGGAAAGAAATAGATGGGGTAGGGGGGAAAAAATTATATAAAAGTGAAACAACGAATCCCAGGGGGGGAGGCATGTGGTGGTGGTGGCAGCAGCGCACCTGGGCACCTGCACGCAGCACCAACCCACATCAGCAGCTGCCGTGCAGCCCTCCGCCACTCCTAACCGACCTCCGCTGCCTCGTCACACAGCGCCCTCCGTTTTCCCCTCCTTACCCTCTCCCCCTTCCCCCCGTCCCCCCACACACACACGCACACGCAGGCACCACTGTGGACGCCGCCCGCTTCGTGTCGGTGGTGGACAAGATGGCGAGTGCGGGCTACTCCAAGGGCGCATCGGGCTGCTGGGACGTGTTCCTGTCGCACTACCAGGTACGGGGAGGGGGGGCGGGGGATGAGCGGGAAGGGGGGGGGAGTAGGGGAGTGCGGCTGGGGAAGGTGGGGGGTTGGTTTCCGGGCGTGTCACTTGTGGGATGTGGGTCAGACAGCAGGTCAGACGGGCTGCGCCCTCCCGCCGGTCGACCGTCCCTCGGCCGCTGCAGCAGCAGGGCTAATCCCTCTCTCGTTGCCATTCAACCGCCTTTCCAACCCCTCTTCCCCCCCTACACCCCCCCCCCCTTCAGGGCAACGCGGGCAACACGGTGATGTCGCTCAAGGCGCTGCTGGAGTCCGCGAGCCCGGGGCTGCGGTGCTGGCTGGACAAGGACGAGGACGCGACGGAGGCGGGCATGCGGCGGGGGGTGGCGGGCAGCAGGCACTACCTGCTCTTCCTGACACAGGTGTGTGTGGGGGGGGGTTCGCATGGGGATGGGGCATTGGCGGGGAGGTGGGAGGGTGGGGAGGTGGAGGTGGGCAGGAAGAGGCGGTCGCCCCGTGTCCAGCCTTCATGGGCTGTTGGGTGTTGGGTGTTGCGCATGTGCCTCCTCACGCGCCTCCTCAGCCTCGCAACCCTTCGCCCTCCCTCCCTCCCTGTCTCCCCCCTCCCTCCGTGCCGCTGCCGCAGGGCGTGCTGACTCGGCCCTTCGTGCAGCTGGAGGCGCGGGAGGCGCTGGCGCTGGGCAAGCCAGTCATTCTGGTGGGGAAAAAAATGTAATGAGACACTGACGAAGGGGGGAGGGGGTTGGTGGGGGGGTGGGGAGGGAGTGGCAGCTACCAGTTACGTTGTTAGGGCCCCACCCCCGAACCCACCCACATTCACTTGGTATTCTTCACCCCCCACCCCCTCAGGTTCACGAGACCGACCCGCGGTTCGGCGCCGCCCCCGGCTTCAACGACTACGTGTCCGAGGCGCCGCCCGACCTGAAGCCCATCTTCAACCTCGCCAACTCCATTCCCTGGTACCGGGAGGAGGAGTTCAGGTGGGGAAGGGGAGGTGGAGTTCAGGTGGGGAAGGGGAGGTGGAGTTCAGGTGGGGAAGAGGAGGAGAGAGTGAATGCTAAGAGAGGCAACCGGAGTCCCAATCCCATGGGAGGAGGTGGGGTGCAGACTGGAGCCCCCACGTTGTTGAGCCACCACCGCGCCACCGCCGCAAACCGTTCTCCGCCCCCTCTCCCAACCCACTCTCCACCCTTCCCCACCCGCACCCCTCTGCCCCCGACCAGGCTGGTGAGCATTAAGAAGATCCTGCAGGCGGCGGGGCGGCCCTGCTGATGACGTGATGGGGGCAGCAGCAGCCGGGCAGACAGCACACACATCTACCAGGCCCGCCTTGCACCTCCAACGACCCGTGGGTCACATACGGCTTGTTACCGGACAAACCGGACATACTAGAACATAAGGGGGAAGCGGGGGGATGGAATGAGAGTGGTGTGGGGTGCCCAGTGGTGTCTGTAGCGGATGTGAGGGGTGGCCCACAAGCGCTGTCAACATGGACGCCGGCTAAGTGCGAGCGAGCGATTGTAACGCATACTTGATGTCATGATGTGTATGTATGTATGTATATCGCGGAGCGGCTGCTGCTGCGAGGAGTGCAGCACTGCAGCAGTGGTATGGCGGTGGTGTGGTGGGGTGATCCGCTGTGGTGTGAACCGCTGAGGGTAGACGTTCAGTAAGCTGGGTGGGGTTTGTGTATCTGACACTTTAGGTGTTGGGCAAGGTGCGTTGCGCTGTTACCGCAGGCGGTGTTTAACTTATGAAGTAGACAGTGGTAGGCGTGCGGTGATTAGCATGTAGATGGACGGATGTTAGAAATCAGGCAGGCTAGGCAGGGGGAGTGAGGTGAGGTGAGGTGAGGAGGCGGCTCTGGGCTTCTCGTGCGGTAGACCGTCGCAGGGCGGTACGGTGCCACCAGCAGCAGCAATAAGGGTACTAACAACTAGCTAGGTTCTTGGACAGGGGTGTAGCAGGACGGAGGTGACGCAGCAGGATAGGAACAGCAGTACAGCAGTGTGCAAGTTTTGAGCTGGTGTGTGGAATGAGAGCTAGCTTGGCCCCCTATCAGACATAGGCGCCTTCCTTTTGCAGTTCCATCTTAGCAGGACATTTTTCTAGGCGTACGGCGCATTTGTGTATCAATGATCTTGAGTTGCGCCGTTCAGGCGCAAGCATATGAGTTGCCCCCGGCTGGTACCGGTAGACTGCTGATGGGGGCAATGACCCATCCATGTGTACGGTACCGTGCTCCGGCGGGCTGTGGCGGGTGCTGCCTGCGCGGGTGTGTGCGGCAGGAGTGCTGGCGCATGTGGGAGGTAGGTGTGCTGGACTGGTGGTGCAGTGGTGGTGGTGGTGGTGGTGGTGTGGTGGTGATTGGGGTAGAAGGACATGCGCAGCACGCATGTGTTTGTGTTGGCTCTACGTGCCTATAGAGAACGACGGTATGTGCGTATGATGCAGGGCAGGGGGCACGTCACAGCGACCGGCAACTCGGGCGTGCGGTGCCGCTGGGTGATAGTCAGCAGCAGCAGCCCCCTGCCTGCGGAGGTGCAGCAGCGGCATGAGGAGGTCTCCACACTTCACTGCCTGCGTCTTGTAACGGGCTAGCACCGGGGGGAGGGGGGTGGGGTGGCTGCGGTGCAGCAGCAGTGGCAGCGGGGAGCGGCAAACTTCTACCACAAGCGGATTGGCGTTAATGGTTTCGTAACCGTAAGCTGATCCTCCTGACGTGCACCAGGGGCTTATGTGGCATAGTGTACCGGTACCTAAACATGCGAGTTGCGAGGGCCGTTGAGCGAGCAAGGTATTGAGCTGCGCTTTTATCCGGTTTCTTATAAGGAGCCAAATTGAATAGCGTACTTACAGGTTAGTGGCGGAGTTGCCACGTTCCCAAGTGCTGTACAAACGTAATCTTACGCACGAGCTGGTTCCAACAGCTTCCACCTGCCGGTTTCAGAGCGACAGATAACCTTGCGCGCTGTTAGCTTTGGCAATCGGCAAGTCAGAGAGTAGTAGACATTGAACGCTATTTTGATAGGCGAGCCAGGTTCGATTGTAGACGCTTAAAGCTTCCTGTAAAAAGCATTGGACAGTAGGGCTGCCAGTCGCGGTAGCCTAGTTTGTGTTGGAACTAGTAAGCAGTATACCGTTAGATGGAGTCAAGCACGGGAAAGCCTCGACTGTTGGTCATTGGTGGCGGGTTCGCTGGAGTAAAGTTGGCTTTCCAGTGCAGAAAATTCGCCGAAGTCACACTTGTTGACCCGTAAGTTTTGTGAGTGTTCATTTGTCTGTGAGGTCTTCATTTCAACGAGCTCATACGGCTCGCGACTTCTCTTGTCCGCTCGCCATTCCTGCAAGTAGCCTTACCAGCTTCCCATCACTTGACGTCGCGGGATCATCCTTAACAGGAAGGACTATATTGAGATTACATGGGCAACCGTACGTGGCATTATCGACGATCGGGTAGCCTCTCGGTCCATCATCGAGTACAAGGTGCGTCGCTGCTTGAAGCTGGCCCATACGTAACCGGCGGTATCTGTTCCAAGCTATTTGCATGATCTACTTCAACAATTTTTTCGCACAATCATTAGTACACGGTTGTCCGTTGTTTGACTATTTCAGTTCGTACATTAGCCGACCCTAACTGACCGACCTCCGACCCCAACCCCGCAGGACATCCCGAACATTGGCCGAGTCCTGCAGGGCACCGTGACCCGGTTAACGCCGCAGGTGTGACTGCTGCCTCTCCCGGGGCCCTTACCCACCCTGGCTGACAGGGGGGGAACACAGCAGGAGACTGACGAAGGTGTCAGGACCTAAGGGCCTGCCACCGCTATCCGGGATGCATTCCCACTGCATTCCTTTCCTCCCAACTACCTCCCGGCCTCTGCTGCCCCTGCCCCTGTGCAGGAGGCCACCCTCAGCACGGGCGAGGTCCTGCCGTTCGACTACGCCGCCCTCTGCTGCGGCTCCTCCTACAGCGACTCGGCCTTCAAGTCGGCGGCAGCCACCACCCGCGGACAGCGGCTGGCGGAGTTGCAGGTGGGGCGGGGGGGGGCGGGGGGAGGGAGGCGGATGGAGGGGGGAGAGGGTGGGGTAAAGAGGACTAACTGACTAACTGACGGGGAAGGGGGTGCAGGGTAGACATGCTCGCAAGAGCGTCCGCGCGCACATAGAGGGGCTTCCTGCTTGGTCCCCAACCCACTACTCCTCACTGTCATTACTAGGTCCCATGCCTCTCGGTCTCACTCCCTACCTCCCACCCCCCTCCCTAGGCCCTGTCCGAAACCATCCGCGCCGCCAAACGCATTGTGGTGGTCGGCGGTGGCCCCGCTGGCGTGGAGGCGGCGGCGGAGGTGGTGGAGGCGTACGCGGGAAAGGCGGTGACGCTGGTGACCCGCGGGGCGGCGCTGCTAGCGGACCTGCCGCCCAAGGCGGGTCGACATGCGCAGGCGTGGCTGGAGAAGCATGGAGTCAAGGTGGGGGCGGGGCGGTGTGGGGCGGGGGCTTGTGGGGGCTAACAAGATGCCTTTCATCTGTGTGTTGGGTGGTCGGAGTGTGTGTTTGGAGCAGTTGTCTTGCTTCTCATCCCCCCAAACCCTCAGCGCCTCCTCCCTGACCCTCCCAGGTGCTGCTGGGCACCGGGATAGCGGGCGCGCCCCCCGGCCCCGGCCCCGCCGTCCTCACCCTCACCCCCGCCTCCAGCCCCTCCACCTCCGACAGCAGCTCCTCCTCCCTGGCCGCTGACCTGGTGCTTTGGTGCACGGGGGCCGCCCCCAACACCTCTTTCCTGGCGGGGGCGGAGAAGGAGAAGGGGGCGTGGGCGGAGGGAGCAGCGGAGGAGGGGAAGGAGGAGAAGGGGAGCTGGCTGGATGCAAAGGGAGCGGTGAAGGTGGGGTGCATGAGTGGGGGGACATGGAGTAATGTTGCAGCAGGGGGAGATTTGTGTAGGTGTGGAAGTGGTGGAGCTGCTGTGGGTTGCTGCTCAGGGCAGGTTGTGGTCCTCCTTCCCCGCCAGCCCACGCCCCTCCCCTCCCTTCCCTTCCCTCCCTCCCCCATCCCAGGTCCTCCCCTCCCTCCAGCTGCCCGGCCGCCCCCACATGTTCGCGTTGGGCGACTGCTGCGACGTCAAGGAGACCAAGCTGGGTTACCTGGCCATGCAGCAGGCGGAGCTGGCGGCAAGGAACTTACGGGTGGGTGGGCGGAGGGGAGGGGAGAGGAGGGGGGGCTTACGGGTGGGGGCGGTCGCTGCAGGGGGGGACGCAGCTGCAGGGCCGTGGGTGGGTCCGCAGTGCTTTCCATGCCCTCTCCTGTAACCGCTCTTTGATCACTCCCGGCCCATGCGCCCCTCGCTGTCCTCCCTCCCCCCTCCTTGCTCCACCACCCCGCAGGCCCTCATCCGCGCCCGTCGCTGCTCGCCCTCCGCCTCCCCCCGCCTGGCCTCCTGGGCCCCCCACACCGGCGCAATGGCGCTCATGCTGGTGACGCTGGGGCGGGGTGACGGCGTGTGTCGCTGGGGCGGGGCGGTGTGCGGGGGCTGCCTGCCCGCCTGCTTCAAGAGCCGCACTCTGTTCGTGGACCACACGAGGAAGGAGTTGGGGGTGCGGGAGGGGGCGCGACAGAGCTGTGAGAAGACGTGTGCGCAGGCGAGCGGGAAGGTGGTGGCGGCGGAGGCGCCGAGCGGTTAGCTGCGGTTAGCTGAGAGTGGTTGGGGCGGTTGGGGAGTCGAACTGCAACGACCTGCGGTTACACGCAGTGACTGTTGACTCGTCGTCGCTGGGTGCCGTGGAGGCATTGCTGCTGACAAGAGTGGTGACGTGCGGATGACGGTGCGGGTAGGAGGGGCGCGGAGGGGGCTTGCATGCTACAGCTTCGTCTAGTGGTGGGGACGGGGCTTGCATGCAGCTGCTTTGGACGGTATGGTGCTCTGCTGACCGACACAGCTGGACGAGAGGTGGACGAGAGGTGGATAACTGCGACGCTGACGGGGTGCATGGCGGGGGCTGTGAAAGCGCTGTGCTGCATGTCATGTCATGTGGCCCGCCTAGAATAAGAACGTGAGCACTGGCATGGTGCATCAGCGGGCGTGTATTGCTAGGCGCTATTGCATTCCCTTATGTATTGTTATGCGCATGTTAACATGAGGACTGCCGTGTGCTTGTATTTTCACCCTTGCATGACTGGCTTGGACCGTGCTTAGGCTGCTGTAGGCAATGTCCACTTTACACCACATTATCATATGTGAACTGTGCACATTATCACATGTAGAGGGTTTGTGAAGGGTTTGCGAGGGGTGCTGGTATGCCGTACCCTGTGCAGTTGTATGATTGTCAGGAAAGCTGCGGGGGCGCTGTCATTGGGTAATCGCCGGTGAAGGTTCCCGGCTTCATCACCCGGCTGCAGTTCTCTCCCAGGGAACATCCGGGGCTGTAACGGTCATTCACTGGATCACTCAAGGATCCCAGGCGGGAGGGGCGGTTTGACGGCAGCAGTGACACGCGGGGTTGGCGCAGATGGGCGGCACCACCAGTACTACAGACGCGGGGTTGTGTCCCTGGTACGGTATGTGGAGCAGGGCACACCCGCCCCAGCCCCGTCACCCAAGAGTATGTCCAAGACCTAGGGGGTTCCAGCCATCTCGAGTCAGACCCTTTCGCGCTGCTACAGTACGGCAAACCTCTGTATCTCCGCGAAGAGACACGGTGCTAGCGGAGCAGCGCCCCAAGCTGTAGGTTTACTGCTGTTGGCCGAGTCATGCGGCGGCGGCATGGGCGGTGTACGGTGTAAGGGAGGGAAGATGTGCAGCGGGCTGGAGATGTGAGCTGGAGACAAGTTGGCGGAGGCAAGGATCGACGGGATGAGGGTAGTAAAGCACTGACTGTGAGCGTGATTGATACGTAGGAGTAATACTGCGTTGGGGGGAAATTATGCCTGCGTTGCCTCGAGGCTTACGAATTCTGTGACGATGGTTTGGCGGTCCCTCAAGACAAGGTCCTTCTGTTGCACACGTATAGAAATAAATCCAAATTAGGTCTCCACAATAAGTTTTGTGGACGTCATGGGGCTATCGCGCGGGTAACATAGGCACGGCTCCGCATGCATGGCGCTTGGACTTGGCGAGTTGATTTACCCAGGGCGTAACCTCAGACAATTTATATCATATTAAACGTTCTTTGTATCTGGGTAATACTTATTGAGCCGTAACTGCTTTGCGCGGTTACTACGCGTTCCAGTAGCCGTCGATTCCGCTACTGCCATGAAATATAGACCTATGTTGCAGAAACCCAGACCTACTACATATAATCATGGTAACCAACCATTACCATGGTATATAACAAAGCGCATTAACAGCCAACGTGCCCGGTAAGCCCAGCAGCTTATGAGCGGCAAGTCGCCCGTCGTAGATGCCTGCAACATAGCGCACATTAGTTCATGTGTGCGCTTGGCTATAGGTAACAAGCTAACTTAGAGTGTTCTGTAACGCGCAGATACTTGATCAATCATAGAGACTTTAAGCCATTCCGCCTTGCATCAACGCCCAACATGCGACCATCACTTCTCCGATCGACGCTGATCGCGGTCGTCATCGTCGCGCTTTATCAACAAGCGCTCTGCAAGGTTCATGGTTACTCAAGGTGGGATACTTGCGGCGACCAGGCAATGCAAGGCTTAATCGGAAGGCCCTTAAAAGGCCCGTGGCATTGACTAGCAAAACAGTTTTATACATTTATAAAAGTAAGACTAAAAGGTGTCATTCAGACGTACGCGAAGTTGTTGGTCCTGCAAGCCCGCATGTCGAACTCATGGCGGTTGCTTACTTCTGTCATTTGCTTTGCTGGCCGCGGCTTCATATCCAGGCCCCACTGTAGTTTAACCTGCGTACGCTCGTATCTTTCTCTTACGCACTCACGTACCCGCTCTCCCCGATTCCCATGCATTGCAGACGGCACCTCCGAGAACGCGGCATAAACTGGGTCATAAACCAATTCAATTCGCTGGTAAATACCAATACAAATTCCAACTCCTAGATTCCTGTCCGTCCCGGCAGTTGTCGCTAACTCCTTGAACGTTCACGGCGCAGGGCTGCGATGCACTGTCAGCGCACTCTCCAGTGGACGTTTCAATCTCGCGACCCAGCAACATTACTTCGTGCCTGATCTTCTCTCACAACGCGTCGAAATGCCAAGCTGGCAGCTGCTGCAGCGATGGAGGCAGCGTGGGTGCTGTGAACGCGGTTCAAATCCTGTCAGGTACGCTGCTTCGGCGTTCCCTTCCGCCTGTCCCCTGATTAGCAATGGGTTGCGTACCCAGTGTAATCGGAACCCTGAGCTGTATTTTAGGGTTGAAGGGCTTTGCTTGTCTCAGAGCCACACCATCCACTCTGCCACCTCCACTGTTCGCCAGACCTCCCTACGTATTCCCACATCCTCACTGCTCCCCGACCCACCTCCTTTCCCCGCAGTCCCCGCATGCGCCTCCTCCGTCACCCGCGTCACGCTTAACGGCCGACCGTGGAGCTCCTTCTCCTTCAGCTCCGACGACAACATCCTCACCGTTTCCGACCTGGCCTCCAAACCAGCCACCGCCACCTCGGCCGCGTCATCCGGCTTACTAGCCGCCAGCAACAGCGGCAACAGCGGCAGCAGTGGTAGCAATGTAGTTTACACCCTCTGCTTAACGCTGTCCGCCAAGTCACGGCGCTGCAGCGACCTGGCTTCCTTCTGCCGAGACATGCCCGACTCCTCCCCAGCTTGTGGCATCCTGGTGTCGGACGCCCGAGGAGGTTGCTGCCCCGTCTTCCGTACACCGTACGGCGAGGTTGCGGACGTCATCGCCTCCCCCTCATCTCCGCCACCGCCACCGCCACCTCCATCCCCGCCGCCACCTAGCCCGCCACCGCCGCCTCCATCGCCCCCGCCGCCATCCAGCCCCCCGCCTGCCGGCACGCCGCTCTACCCGGCTGTCGCAGCCGTCACCATGGTCCTGTCTGGGGTTCCCCCAGCTACCTGCAGTGTGGTGGCGGCGCGGTCCCGAGTGGAGCGAGCCGTGAGGGCTCTCCTCACCATCGGTTACAACAGCGCGCTGCGGCTCAATGTCACCGACGGAATGGTCAGCCTGGACTCCTTTGCATGCGCCGATGATGCTGCTGCCCCAGCTTCAGCGGATCTCGACATGGTCGTACGGGTGCAGTTGTACGACAGCCAGCGGCTAACGGCTGCCCTGGTGGCGCTGAGCGACCCGCGGGTCCATGAGGCGGTGCTGCCCGACGTGATCGACTACCTGCAGGACCGACTGGGAGGCGTGCAGAGGAACATCACGGGATCGGTGAGCAGGAGGCTGGGGTGCGGGAGGGGGGTGTGGAGGGGTTCGTGGGTTCAAGTTGATAAGGGTGCGGCGGTTCGTTGCGCTTTGCCACGTGCCTGCAATTGCCAGCTGCTAGCCTTCTGAAAACACCGCATCATAGGAAGGCACCCTTACGTTGCGTTACTAGGCTTACAACCCCTCCTTTCTACTTGCATCATACGTATCCTTTTGGAGTGGGCTTGCGTGCTATGGATCTTGTGTTGCCTATCCTATTTCTAACGGCGATCCCTCCAACGCTCCGTTCCCGTCACTACAGGTACGACTACACAACGTGACGCTTGCAGTTCCGCAGCCGCCCTCGCCGCCTCCACCACCACCGTCGCCCCCGCCGCCCACAATGCCCCCGCCGCCACCTCCTCCCTCTCCGCCGCCTCCGTCCCCTCCGCCGCCTCCACCTCAGCTTCCCACCTACCCCGCCTCCTCGCCGCTACCCGCCACACCCCAGCCAACCCACCCGCTGCCGCCGTCACCCTACGATGACCCCACCGCCCTCACCGCTTCCTCCCCGCCGCCAGCCCTCGACGCGCCCCTCCCCGCTTCCTCCATATCCCCACCCTCGCCGGCCTATGGCTCAGCACACACCCGCCCAGACCAGTCAAGCCCCGCCGACATTTCCTCGTACGGCACCCTAACCGCCCCAACCGCCGCCGTACAAGCCGCCGTACAAGCCGCCAGCCTTCAGGACGCCTCCCCCAGCTACCCCTGGATCCCCCTGGCCAGCCCGCCTGCCGCCCCCGCCTACACCGCCTCCCCCTCCTCCCCCTCTCTCTCCGCTCCCTACCCAGCTACCTACTCCTCAACCCGCTCCATTTCGCGCCATGCCACCCGCAGCGACGTCATCATCCCCCCGGTGTACGGCCCCTACCCGCTCACCCAACCGCCATCTGCCCAGCAGCAAACAACACCCGCCCCCGCCCCCACTGCCGCCCAGCCCTCCTCTTCCTACGGAGCAGCAGCAGCAGAGCCGCCCGCAGCTCCCACCTACTCCTCCGCCCGGACTGCCCGCAGTGAGACGCTCGTCTCGGAGCTCCAGGAGCTGCCGGAAGCAGCCGCAGCAGCAGCAGCCCCCACCTACCCCTGGGTGCCCCTGGCCGACCAGCCGCCCGCACCACCCGCCCCGCTGCACCACCAGCCGCCCGCCTATTCCCGCCCCGCCTCACCCCAGCAGCAGCAGCAGCAGCAGCAGTACCCGCTACCCAGCCTGTACGGGCCGTACCCCCTGCCCGCCCAGTCCCCGCCTTCGTACCCGCAGCGGATGCCGGATGCCTCCTTCTCCTCAAGCAGCCGGACGGCGGCTTCCCGTGCAGCTGTGGCAGCGGCAGAGGTAATGACAACCGAGGAGGTATCAGCAACCTACCTACCCTCCAGCAGCAGCAGCACTAGCAGCAGCGGCCAGAGCATGCATATCGCGGAGGTTGCAGGAGGCGCCTCCACGCTCCCCACCTACCCTTGGGTTCCGCTGGGCAGCCCCCCGCCTGCACCTGCTCCGCCCGCAGACCGGTCAGCAGGCCCGCGGTACGACATGCCAGCGCTGTACGGCCCGTACCCGAGATCTCAGTCGCCGTACGAGGAAGCCCCCGTGTCTGACAACCGGCCAGCCAGGGAGGGAGGGGACGCGCCGGTGTATCCGTCTGCCTATGGGTCATACTAATGGCGTCTTATTGGGAGATGAAAGCAACTGATGCTGACGAAATAGAAAAGCTGTTATGTCATTTTGAGTTGGGGGTCGCACTGAGTGTTCCGTCCATGCTTGTATTTGCTGCGCTGTGAGTGTATAACCCGGTATGCAGGGCGAAAACAAGTGTGAGCGTGAGAGGTGTGTGGGGGCGCTTAGTAACAACTATTGGCGGTTGTTTCATGTAGCTGTTGGTTTGAAATGTACGATTTGTAGCAGTGTGCGGCAGTTTTTTGTCGTACGAAAAGTACGTGAAATGTGTGTATATGTGATTTCGGCTGTCCAAGCCTCAAAGCCACCAATTGTGTGCCGAGTGCCACCAATCAACCGCCGTACCTATCTGCCGTAATAAAGCCGTACACTGTGCCGTACGGCAGAAGGCGTACGGCGGTAGACGTGCTCCACAATGACAACCATGCACTGGGGCGCACAAGGCATACACACACAAACACACATACACCCATGGGGGATGTTGGTGTGAGCAAGTGCCTAAACGATGCGAGACGCATCAAGGACATACACCCTCACAACAACACACAACTAAAAACGACACAAGGAGCATTTGTGCAGGTTGCGCACTTGATGGCGGCTTGATGGTTTGGTTTGGCTTTGCTTGGCTGCTGAATGTTATTTGTACGCTTGCGTCGGATACTTTCGCTGAGTTGTTTTCATTAGGCTATGCTAGAACGCATGCTCTCGCTTGATTGGGACTTAACCCCTTACTTCCTTAGCACGGTGTTTAAAATAATAAGACTTTTAGCTTTTTTGGTTAATTATCGCATAGAATGCACGCTTTGTAGGAACCTAATGCCGTTTCGTCTTCCATTTCTTGCTAGTGTGGGGCCGGCTGGTGGGCCGCGCGGTCGGGGGTTCGCAGGAACAACAAATTGCTGCGTGTGTATATATTTAGTGCTCTTGTAGGATATTAGGCGCAAATTAGCACGCTTATGCATGGATGTTGAAATCCATCGCAGGATGCGGTAATGGGTAGTCCGGCCTCGAATAGCGGCGAGGTGCGCGTGTGCACCCCATGTACGACTAAATAGGGCATATGGCGCCTTTGAGGTGTGCTTACATGTGTGTCCTTTTGTCCTTAGTAATCGGGGCTCTGCTGTGCCTGAACAGGCCCGTGTTATTACCCGTGTAGCAGTTTTGGTCGGTGCACGTGGTGTACATGAATGGTTAACCGTCACAGTGGAACCTGTAAGGTGGTCATGACATGTATGATGCGTTCCTCCTGCACTCCGGCCTCACATACACGAGTGCATAAACATTCCGTTTTGTTCCTGCATGGGTTGCTACAGCCCGGTGTGACGCAGCGGAATCCCGATGTGACGACAAATAAGGGGCCCACCCGCTGACAGCAACAACTAGCGGCATGGCTAAGGAGCCGTTGTGCGGCTCCCGCTAGCTAGCAGCACATGGGGCTAGTTGGCTGGTAACGTGTGCGACCCACGGGTCGGCGCCCTCATTGCTGCCACAGTCCTTGGGAACATGGAGCCTGATGGCACATGGCATACGTGACGAAAGTGCTAGAGACGTAGCTGCTGCTGGCATCGCTTCACAAACGAAAGCTCATCTGATCCGGTCACCTCATGCAATGCATGGAACCCCGGTACCCTCTGCTGTCGTGTACCGCTACCTTGGTAGGTCAACGGCTCCATGGGCGTGTTAGTGACGGCGTTACACCTGACATACAGACAATGTTTCCTCACATTCACCACTGCCTACCGGCATGCATGGCATGCTTTCAATCACCAGCGGAATGCAGCACCCCTGCCCGCTGCCCCACCACGTCCTACAGTGCCCCCTGCCGCAACAACCGTCGTCGAGGACGTAGCTGGTGCAGACCGGTGCCTTTGCAGCAGGGGACAGCAGTCAGCGGGCGGCGGGAGGGCGGGAGGGTTACATGCACTGCTGAGTGGCCGTGTAGCGACCCCGACGACGTCACGCGATGCAAGAGGATACCCGCTGCACTGCTCACGATACACACAGTCATCATGTGATGTATAGAGGCTAAGCAAGACCCAAATAAAGACTACCAGTAATGTCCAGCCCTCGACTTACAGATGTTATGAGTGAGGTCAACCGCTCTAAACGGTGCCTGGAGTTTGGTTTCCCTCTGCACCGCGCTCAATGTGCTGTGAACCCGCCACCAGGCCACCAGGTCAGATCGGATCAAGTTAGGTGCTGTCAGGAACTCAGGGTGCTGTCGCAGTGTCACAGGGGGCTCCGAGCAGGACATGCAATCCCACGGGCCAGCAGGGACCAGAACACGGGTCCCCATCTAGACAGGCACCCGTCGTGTCCACGGGCAATCAGTGCTGCACAAAAGATTAACATTACCTAAAGGAACACGACAGCCAGGTTGGAGGCGTCCACAGGGCCAGACAGAGAACTCCTCACCGATTCACCGCCCAGCCAAGCTACACGCCCATCAAGATGATCCCACACGACATGACCCCAACCGGTGCTGCCAGCTAAGGGCTGAAGGCTGCAAAGCCATCATTACAGTGACCTACACGTTTCACACAGCTGGTTTCCCCACCTGTGAAAAAATCTACAAAAGGGACGGTCCAGATCATCCAAGCCAGTCACCCTGCAACGGAAACACACCGCCATCCATGCCACTCGGCACGACCAGCCCTGCAAGCAAGCAAGAGCAACAGACCTCCCAGCAGCTGCCTCCTGCTGCTGTGAAGCCACAGCCCCGCACCACACGCATCCAATGTATCCCTTTGTCGTCAACCTGCGACCATCCCGTCACCACCACCTGGTACACCCCTCCAGCCACACGTCTGGTGCCTAATGAATTGAGCCCTTGAGCCTGCTGCTCTGCGAACACCTCCAAGCACCGCCCCCACAACCAATCCTGCCCTTATAATCCTTTCCACCTGCACAAACCAGTTAGATCAAAACCAGATAAATCCTCACCAAAATAACAAATAGACCGTCTTTGGCACAGCAGCCTGCGTGGTACAGCCACCTGCAGTGTGGAGCCCAGACCCCTGCGTGCATGCTTGGATGGCCTGCACAGCTCGCCTCCAGACCCGTCCGACGAGGTAGGCACACAGCTGGTCGGGGCCATCCTGGTTCGCAGGGAAGCTGTATGTGTCAGCCTTATATATAGGTAACGCTGCAAGTAGAACCGCTCCCTTCCAATCACATGACCCCCTCCTTCCTAGCGACGCCCCACGTGCCCCAGGGCCCATGGTCAGTGTTTCGTCGCGGCTCCAGCTGAGCCGCCCTACGTACACCTGCTCCTCCTCCTGCCACCTCCTACCGCATGCACAACAGCCCTAGGACAGAAAAGAGTCTCCAGACGACATCCACCCACACCCTCCATCGACCCCACGTGGTAACACACCATCACAACCGCACCCACGCAAAGGGGTACGAGGGCCCCTACTGCTGCTGCAGCCTTCCAAGGGTTCTTTCAGGGGCCACTTCTACTGCAGCGTTTCCCCCATGGCCCCCCTACTGCAGCCCGTCACTACTGCATCCCCCCTCCCCCTACTGCACCCCCCAACTCCCTCCCGCTACTGCAGCCTGCCCGGCTCGGATCGCTCCGTGAAGCGGTCCTTGGGTCCGCCACCCAGCGCCGGAGTGGGCACGTTGCCGACCCGCGGGTCATGCGGCAGGTACACGGGACCCGGGCTGTGCACTCCGTAGTTGGCGCGGCGCGCGTGGTTGAGGCTGAGCCAGGCGGATGCGGAGAGCGCGCCGTTGGGGTCGTAGGCCTTGGGCCCGGTTCCGATCACCGCATGCGGCTTGTCCCCCAGCGTATGGCGCCCTACCCTGTCTAGCTCCTTGGGCTTGTACACGGGGCCGGGAGAGAGCTCCACCGGGTCGAACCAGCACCGCCGCCGACCCGCACCCGAGTAGGCTGGCGCGGAGGGGCGCGTGGGGGAGGTATCGGGCGAGTAGTGCGCGGGGCCCGGGGATAGTGCGCCGTAGAACTCCCTCACGTGCTCCTTGGAGAGGACTGGGAGGGCGGCGCCGTTGAGGGCGGGGGTGAGCAGCTTGGCGGTGCGGGAGAAAGAGTAGGCGGGCTGCGCGCCCGAGGCGCCGGGGTGCAGGGAGTCGCCGCCGGAGGTGGTGGCGGGCTGGTAGGCGCCGGGGCCGGGGTTGAAGAGCGGCGCGTTGGGCGGCTGGCCGGCGGTGTAGCTGAAGCGCCCGCCGGTGAGCTGCTTGTCGAACCTGAGGGGTGGTGGTGGGGGGGGGGGGGCAGGAAGAGGGGCTCAGGATGCAAAACGGGTCCTGTTGTAAAGCTGCCACACCTCCGTGCTGCTGCCCTGGCCACCGTCAGCCTAACTCGTGACATGCCACTCGCCCAACTACCGGTACCAGCGAAGCCCCTTCCCTCGCTCCCCATCTTCCACTTCTCTCCCCCTCCGTCCCCCCCCCCCCAGCCACTCACGTGTGGTTGACCTGGTTGGTGAGGGTGGACAGCGAGTCCTTGCTGGGCAGGTACACGGGGCCGGGCGAGTAGGCGGGGTGCGGGATGCACACGTGCGCGGGCCGCTGGCTGGCGCTGCCGAACGCCCAGGCGCGCGGGGGCGAGCCGCCGCCGAAGCTGGAGCCGCCCAGACCCGAGCTGTCGCCGCGGCGGGATACCTGCAGTGGAGGACACAGAGGGGAGCAGGGGGGGGCGGCATGTTGGCATGGGGCATGGGGGGCATGCAAGGGGTCAGGCGAACCTTGGAAACCCCCCATCTAGAACCCCATGTCCTGCATTCCCCGCGCCGTTGTCACCCGTCGTCACCGCGGACAAAAGAGGGGGTCAACTGCTCAGGCGGTTCCCTACCGAGGGCGAGTAGGCTCCAGGTCCCGGGGAGTACAGCTTGGTGTAGGGCGCCGCGCTGCCCGTGTGCGTGGGCGCAAACACCTTGGAGGGCACGTCCTGGCGGGAGGCGCGGAAGGCGAACCGTTGCGGTGAGGTGGGGTGCGACCGGGTGCCGCCCACCCCCACGGAGGGCGGGCGCCGGCCGGAGGAGGCCGCTGCTGCTGCTGCTGAGGCGCTGCCGGTGAGGGGCGGCAGCACCCGGCCGCTGGGGCTGAGCAGGGCGCCGTCGCTGCTCTGGGAGAGGCCGGCGGCGGCGGCGGTGTCGAGCTGGGTGGGCCCGCCGCTGCTGCCCGGCCTGCGGGCGAGCGGCTCCACCTCCCAGGCAGTGCGCGCCTGCAGCCGCGCGAGCTCGAGGCCGTGTGCGGAGAGGTTGCTGTGCCCGCTGGCGCCGCTGGCGGTGCTAGCGCCGGTGTCCGGGCGGTGGGGGTGGCGGGAGGCGCCGGGGGCGGAGCCGGGAGCGGAGATGGCGGAGGGGGAGGCTGAGACAGCGGCGGCGGCGGTGCTGGCCGTGTCGGCACCTGTGCATGTGGACAGGGGCGGACAGGGGGGTGCAGGCGGTAGCGCATGGTTGCAGTGGCATGCGGGAAAAGCGTTCTGACAAGGAGTTCGGATGTGGGCAGAGAATAATCTCCTTGTGACGTAAAGCGACCAGAGCTAAAGATAGCATTCCCCGCATGTGGGTCCCCAGCCAGCCAGCACCCTGCCAGCCAGCATGAAGCACACCGCACGCCCCGGTGTCAGCTCCCCTACCTTCCGGCGCGGTGGACGGCCGGTTCAGCGCCCCCGCCTGCAGCATCTTGAGGTATTGCTGCGGGGAGTGGGAGTTGGAGGCCGGCCGGTAAGACATGCGGTTTCTGAAACAGGGCCAAGGGGCTTCGAACAGGTCCTCAGGGCTGCCATGCACGGAACACACGCTAGCGACTCCGCTGTATGGTTTGTTTTGCACTTCCTTTCCCTTCCAACCAGTAGGACACGTCACTTCCACAGGTCTGTGCCGCCCTGCTACCCACCCCGCCTCCCCGCCCCCGCCCCCACCTGAGTGATGCTCTGCGGGTCGGGCGAGTCAGACGACTCCATCACATCCCGGATCCGCATGGGCGCACCAGCAGCACCAGCAGCAGCAGCGGCCGGCGCCTTCACCTGCTGCTGCTGCTGTCGTTGTCGCGGTGCCTGCTGCGCCTGAGCTGGAGGCTGCGACGGTGGCGGCTGCGGTTGACGCGGCTGCTGCGGAGTGGCTGCGGCAGGCTTGGGTGCCGCGGCATCCGAGCCCGCGGAGGTGGAGGACGGAGAGGAGGATGCGGAGCCGCGGGGCTTGCTGGGAGCTGCTCCGGCTGCGGATCCAGCAGCCGAGGACTTGCCCTTGCCGGTGCTGCTGCCGCCGCTGCTGCGGCTGCTCCTGACCTCCGCGGCGTAGGGGCTCTTGTCCGCCGAGTGGGAGGGGCCCTGCGGGGAGGCGGCCTGGGGCGACTTCGCAGGGCCGGAGGAGGGGGAGATGGGAGGCAGGTGGGACGCGGGTGGCGAGGGCGGCGGCGACAAGTCAGCGAGCCCCAGCTGCGGCGGAGGCGGAGGAGGCTGCGGACGCGGCTTGGATGCGGGCGGTAGCGACACCGGCGGGGGCGGGGCGGCCGCAGGAGCCCCCTCCGCCTCCTTCTCGTCAGCCTCCCCTGCCACCACCACATCAACGTCCGCTCCGTCGGCCTGGTCTCGCTGCTGAGGCTGCTGCTGCCGGGGCTCCTCTTGCTCTCCAGAGCTCGAGGCAGCTTCGGCCCCTGCTGCTGCTGCAGGCGATCTTGCCTCGCCAGCCGCTAACTCCTCCTCACCGTCGTCGGCGAACGCCTCATCCTCGTAAGCCCCCTCATCCGCCTCCGCCTCCTCCTCCTCCTCCTCCTGCTGCTGCTGCGGGCCACCCTCTCCTTCCAGGTTCTTCTCCTCCGCCTCCTCGCCCTTCCCCTCCGCTTCCACTACCTCCTCAGGGTCCTCACGCCAGGACGCCTCCCCGCTGCCCACACCTCCGCTGCCATTCGCCTCTCCGCCCACCGCCCTGCCACTGCTGCTGCTGCCCTCGTTGACCGTCACAACGTCGTCCCCCTCCTCCCCCTCCGCCACACTGCCGCCCACACTGCGGCTGCCAACACTGCCACCCGCTCCTCTGCCGCCACCACCCCCGCCGCTGCTGATGCTGCTGGCCGCAGCCCCCGCGACACCGTTGGCCACAGACACCTCCGTCGGCAGCGACTGGGACTGCTCCTGCAGCGGCTCCTCCTCGCCCTCGCCCTCCGCCACCGCCTCTTCTTCCTCCTCCTCCTGGGGCCGGCCTCCCTCTCCTCCTCCTGAAGAAGCCACCGCATCCGATGCCACCGAGGGCAGAGTGACGCCGTCGCCCTCCGACCCAGGTGCATCCCCGGCGCTGTCGTGCAGCTTCGCACGGACCGCCGCGTCGGTTGCCTCGGGCTCCTGCTCCTCCTGCTGCTCCTCATACTCATGCTCCTCATACTCATCCTGCTGCTCCTCCTGCTCCTCCTGGCGAGGTGCATGCAATAGCGCTGCACCTCCAAAGCTTGGGTCCACACCCAGCTCGCCGCTGTCATAGGGCGGCAACTGCTGCACCTGCACCTCCTCTTCATCCGGCTGCGGCGGCTTCACCTCCGCTTCCTGCTGCTGCAGCTCCGGCTCCTGCTGCCCCTGTTGCGTCTCAAAGTCCGCCGCCTCCTGCTCCTGCGGCGGCTGGGCTTCAGCCTCCGGCTCGTACGGCAGTTCGGCACCCGGGCGGTTCTCAGCGACCGGGGGCCTGGCCACTTCCTGCTCCACTTCCTGCTCCTCCTCCTGCTCCTCGGGCAGGAGGTCCTGTGCCGCTGTTTCCGCACCGGGTGCGTCCGACACGTCTGCGCCCTCGCCTGCATGCGCCGGCTGGCCCGGCACGGCGGCCTGCTCCTGCTCGGCCTCCTCTTGGGGGAGGTCAGCCGACCGAGACTCCGGGAACAGCAACGCGTCCTCCTCCTGCTGCTGCCCTGGCTGAACCTTGTCCTCCTCCTCCGCCTCCTCCTCCTCCTCCTCCTCCTCCTGCTGCACCGCACCCTGCCCTGGCGCCTCGTCGCTGTCATCCGCTGCCGCAGCCTTCACCGGGGGGCCCCCCTCACCTCCACCCTGCTCCTCCTCCTCATCCTCCTCCTGCAGGTGCTGCTGCTGCTTCGCTGGGGCTGCCGCACCGACGTCTGCCTCCACCTCAGCGGATCCCCGCGGCTGCCCCGCCTCCCACTCAGCTGTGTCGTACTCCGCCGCATCCTGTGCAGCGGGCGTGTCGGCAACTTGCTCCCCACCTCCAACCTCCTCGCTCACCAAGCCCTCCACCAAGCCCTGCGGCTCCTGCGGGTCCTCCTGCTCCTGCTGCTGAGTGGAGCCCACCTCCGCTTCATACCGCTGCTCCTGCTGCGGAGGTGTGTCCTCCGTTGCTGCCGACTGCCGCCGCTCCGGCTGTGCCTCGCTTGGTTCCGTGACCCCTTCTTCAGCAGGCGCAGCAACGGCAGCCGCCTCGTCGTGCCCATGTGAGCTAGCCGGCTCAGCAGCGGCCGCTGCGGCTGCCCTGGGGCTTGCTTGTGACTGCTGTTCTTGCTCCTCAAGCTTGCTGGCCTGCTGCGGCGGCGGCGACGGTGGGGCGTCATCCTCCTCCCGAGGAAGTCCTGAAAGCTGCTCGTCGTCCTCTTGCATCAGCTGTTGCGCCTGGCTGGCCGCTGCCTTGTCCTCTGTACCTTGCTGCTGCACGGGCTGGCTGGTAGCACCTTCATCGTCACCCGCTACTGGTTTCTCCTCAGGCGAGGCATCGTCGGACTGACCAGGCTGCCCCGCCGCTTTGTCCGCCTCAGCGGCAGCACCAGGCAAGTCGTCGATGCTGTCATTCACGGCTGCCTGGGCCTTTGCAAGGGCAGCAGAACTCTCGCATTGGGTAGCACTAGGGTATGCGTCGGGCTTAGAAGAAGTATCAACAGCCGCTAGTTGCTCCGCATGCTGGGCTTGAAAACCTGGCGCATCGACGTCTGAGCTCACAATCCCGATACTAGAGCTACTTCCTTGCCCAGACTTTGCTGCTGCAACAGTACCACTGTGCGACTGTGTACTAGCCTCAGTAGGTTCATCAAACTCGGCGGAGGCCGGCTGCGCATCATCTACGGCCTGGACCGGTTTAGGCATACTGAACACAACGCTGGCAACGCAAGAGAAGCTGGCTTAGCATAAAGAGAAAGACGTCGAAAAACTCCACATGCTGGATTCACGCCGTGGCCAGTCCACGCTGGATACAGGCACCTGAGGATATGCAGAAATAATATTGTTGCAGGTGTTCATAGCTCGTCATGCACGGGACAACAGGAAGCCGGCGCTTCTAAGGGCATTGCCCTGTTGCACGCACGTTAGAGGCGTAGCGCTAAGGTCCGGCATACTTCATTATGCCACCAACTAAGCCTACCTTCGATGGTCTGCAAGGCGAGCTTTCCCAAACCGCCGTGTAAGTCTTACAGAAACTGTCGCCACATACTAACAGCAAAGCATAGGTAGCACTATACCCTGACGCTCCTCTGACACATACCTTCCTATCCAGCGTATGAGCTGGATTGATGTTTTTGGGCTAGGCAAGCTTTTGTACGGCAGTATCAATCCATCCGGAGTCGTTGCTAGGCGTCCCTACAAGTCAAAGCAGTTGGTAACTTTTCCGTGGCACCTTGAACGTCCTTGTATTACTGTTTTTGCAATAGCCTATGCGGATGCACGACGAGTGAAGTCTCGCTTACTGTTTTGCTTACAGCTCTAACGCCGGTTACGATACAATTGCATTGCGCTTAAGCAAGCAGGGGTCTGATCGAAGGCTTCTCTTACTCCTAGGAAGCGACATCCCAGAAGTCGCGTCGGATTCACGTCAACAGGTAGTCCCCCGCATTGGAGTCTACATCCGGGCTGCCGCGGATTCATCGCTGCGCACAACAAACGTTGGAGGCGGTTCTTACCTTAGGAAGTAGCTACTTACAATCGGCCTTGCCGAGTCAGAGACCAACCGCTCTGGAGGACTCTGCCGACGTGCAGTCTGCGTCACCTACTCAACCCCAACCAGCCTTCTGTTGTCGCCTAGCAACCTGTTTAACGAACGTAGCAGAACAGCTAATCCCTAGCGCCTTACCGTTCCTTTGGTAGCGGGGAGGAAGCATTTCAGCTACACTGCGTTACTGCCCTCCAGCCAAGCATTGCAGCCTGGTATAACGCCATCCCTCACCAACAACCACAGCAGCGTATCGGTGCCGCCATGAAGGTGCTGGTGGCTATCAAGCGCGTTATCGACTATGCGGTACCCATCAGGGTCAAGGCAGACAAGGTAAGGACCTGTGGATCCCCACACAAGCCCTCTGTTCCTTTCTACCTCTGCCACACTGCTTTCACAGCGGCTCACTTGCTTTAACATCCCGCTCCATCCCTCCCTGCCGCTCCCTCCCTGCCTGCCAGAGCGGCGTGGAGGCGCTGATGCCCAAACTCAGCATGAACCCCTTCTGCGAGATCGCGCTGGAGGTAAGCCGGGCGGCAGGGGGGGGCAAAAAATAAAATATGGCAGGGGGGGCAGGGCGCGGGTGGGGCCGGTACTGGGTGATGGCGTACCGTGGTACGGCAAACACGCCACGCCCCCGACTCATGCATACATACCGGTATGGCTCCTTGCCCCTGCCCTTCATCGCCACTAATACATCCCCGTTCGCCACCACCCTTTCCCATATCCTCCCGCCGGCCCCATGGGCACACCACGGCACGTAACGCCTCCCCGGCCCGCTGCAGGAGGCGGTGCGGCTGAAGGAGCGGGGTGTGGCGAGTGAGGTGGTTGCGGTGTCGCTGGGGCCGCAGCACTTCCAGGTGCATGGGGGGGGGAGGTGGGGCCGCAGCACTTCCAGGTGCATGGGGGGGCGGGGGGCCGCAGCACTTCCAGGTGCATGGGGGGGGGGGGGGGCCGCAGCACTTCCAGGTGCATGGGGGGGCGGGGGGCCGCAGCACTTCCAGGTGCATGGGGGGCGGGGGGCCGCAGCACTTCCAGGTGCATGGGGGGGCGGGGGGCCGCAGCACTTCCAGGTGCATGGGGGGGAGATGGGGCCGCAGCACTTCCAGGTGGGGGGGAGGTGGGGCCGCAGCACTTCCAGGTGGGGGGGGAGATGGGGCCGCAGCACTTCCAGGTGGGGGGGAGGTGGGGCCGCAGCACTTCCAGGTGGGAGGGGGAGGTGGGGCCGCAGCACTTCCAGGTGGGGGGGAGGTGGGGCCGCAGCACTTCCAGGTGGGAGGGGGAGGTGGGGCCGCAGCACTTCCAGGTGGGGGGGAGGTGGGGCCGCAGCACTTCCAGGTGGGGGGGCCCGTGGGGCGGGGGAAGGGTGAAGGGGAATAGGACGGGGGGAAGGGCAGGGTAGGGGATGGGAACGGGCAGGCAGGCAGGGGAGGCAACACCGTGTTGTCCTCCTAGCTGTCACAGCACCCCACCGCACCCACCTACCCCGCACCCCCGCCGCCCCCAGGACACGCTGCGCACCGCCCTAGCCATGGGCGCCGACCGGGCCATCCACGTGCCCTGGGGGGCCCCACCCGCCGCCCCACCCGGCCGGGGGGCGGCGCAGGGGGGTGGAGGGGCCGCCGCAGCAGCAGCCGGGGGGTGGGACCCGGAGGCTCCGCAGCCGCTGGGTGTGGCGCGCGTGCTGGCGGCGGTGGCGGGCCGGGAGGGCGCGGGTCTGGTGTTGCTGGGCAAGCAGGCGATCGATGACGACTGCAACCAGACGGTGCGGGCGGGCAGGGGAGGAGGGGGAGGGGGAACGAGGTTGCTCGGAGGGAGGGACAGGGAGGGAAGTCAGGCGTAGGCAGGACAGGGGGGAAGGTCCGCGCACTCAGTTCTGAGCGCTGGGTGTGGCAGGCCAGGTAGGCTGCACGAGCAGCAAGGTGGGGACTCAGGACTCCATCATGGCCCCCCCCGATTGGGACTCGTTGTTTCACATATTTAATTTCCCCCCCCCCCTTCCCGCATGTGCTCGCTGCCCTCCCTCCTCCCCCCCTCAGGGTCAGATGCTGGCGGGGTTGCTGGGCTGGCCGCAGGCGACCTTCGCGTCCAAGGTGGAGGCTGCCAAGGGCGACCCACGGGTCAGGGTCACCCGCGAGGTGGACGGCGGACTGGAGGTGCGGGAGCTGCTCGGAGGCGGGGCACTGGAGCGAGGGCAGCTGCTGGGAGGAGTGGGGGGCAGGGGGGTGAACAGCGCCGCATGACAGAGGCACTCCTAACTAGCTAGCTCACGACAACGACACCAAACCCCAACCGCCTGCCGCCCGCTTCACCTGCCCTCCCCTCTTCCCCTCCCGCTCCCTGCCCCCCCCCCAGGTGTTGTCGCTGCCCCTCCCCGCAGTCATCACCGCCGACCTGCGCCTCAACACACCCCGGTGGGGGGTAGGGGGGGGGGTTGGGGGAGGGGTTTGAAGGTGGGTGGGAGGCTGGTGGGTCCAAGCGGCATGCGATTGTGACGGAGCTAAAACACCCCTTCCTGACTTCCTCCCCATCCCCACCACCCTTGACAAACCGGTTTCTCTTCTTTCTTCCCCCATTGTTCTGTCCAGTCGTGGTTTCCTATAGTTTGGTCTATTTTGACCCGACCCCGCAACCCCGCCCCCAGGTTCGTGACGCTGCCCTCCCTCATGCGCGCCAAGAAGCGCCCCATCGAGGTCGCCCCCCTGGAGCAGCTGGGGCTGGCGGCGGCTGACGTGGCGCCGCAGCTGGAGGTGGCGGGGGTGGAGGCGCCGCCGGTGCGGGGGGGCGGGGTGATGGTGGGGAGTGTGGGGGAGCTGGTGAGGCGGCTGAGGGAGGAGGCGAGGGTGCTGTAAGGTAGGGGCGGGAGCGGATGGAGGGTGAGGTGGGAGGGTGAGGTGGGAGGGTGAGGTGGGAGGGTGAGGTGGGAGGGTGAGGTGGGAGGGTGAGGTGGGCGGGTGAGGTGGGCGGAGGTGTGTGGGGCTGATTGTTGGGTGGCGAGGGCGGGAGCATGCAAGGGAGCCGGTGGGGGTGAGGAGCCGTGGAGGGGGGTTAGGGGTCGGGCTCTGGGCGTGTCATGCACGCGGGGTGCCTGAAGACATGCACGGCTGGTAGCCGGTGGTGGGGTGAGCCGGTGGTGTGAGGGTGGTTGGTGCCTTTGTGGGGTGGGGGTGGTGTACAGTGAAGTATGTTGGCGTGGTAATGGCGGGCTGCTGGGGACGATGGGGGCTGGAGTCGTTGCAATTGACGTGTGTTGTGATGCAGGAGCGCTGGGCTGGGGTGTGCGGTGGTGGGGGTGCATGGTTGCGTTGCGGTGGTGCGCTGCTCCCTTCCGTTGCTCGCTGCTTGCCACCCCCACCGTCACCTCACGCATCCGTGGAGGCGGTGATGAGGGTGGTGCTGGTGGGGACCCGCAGTCAGTCAGATGGACACAGCCAGGAGCTAGCAGCCTGGTGTGTTGCATGCCTGGTGGTGCGTGGGGAAGAATCAGTTCAAGCATGCGGTAGTCTCTTTCCTCTTGCTTTAGGAATGAAATTAAAACCTCGTAGATGCTCGAAGACGTACGGTACTGCAGGGGTGGGGCACGTCCCTGTCGTACGACCCGCCGTACGACCTGCTTGCAAGCTCGCAGGGGGCTGTTGGCGGGGTGGGGGTGCGCAGCCTGCCAGACATGCAGTGGGGTACCCTGATGGTGGGACCCGGATGAGACCTTGACAGGACCTTTTGATAGGGCCGTTTGATATGGCGTTGCTGGTGTGCCCTGCAGGGCGTGCAGGGCTGCAGGTAGCAATGTGCAGGAGGTTCTGTAGCTCAACATTGCTACATGGGAGATGGCGGGCGCCTTTAGGCCCTTCACATGGCAGGCAGGCGCATGTGACACCTTAGCCGCACTGGACTGCTTGGTGGCTGCGGGTTTGTACTCGGAGTCATCAACCAGGCATGCTGCCCGAATGCCACATATCAGTAAGCCTCGCTAACATGGCTATACAGCACCGTGTGCCTTCGCTTGCCGTGTCACTTTTGTCGATGTGGTTCCATCGTCAGTCGGGACCCTTGGGACTGCCTAATGCCATGTACAGCTGTTCTATTTCGGCAAGCCCGCTGATGACTATGGTGCCTACGGGTGCTAATGCAATAAGGGATGCATCGGGCAAAATGCGAATGCGACGTCCATAAGGACTGTACGGCGGTGCTGCGTTCGATAGGCTCCGAACCAGTAGCAGCTTTCCCGGGACAATGTGGCAGTAACTGCAAGGATACAGAGCATAAATTGAGACAGCTGCCATCCTACTTTTGACACCACACAAACTTGGCCACACATTGCAAGTAGAACGGAACAGTATGAATTGCTTAGCAATGATTACCCAATTGGTTGTTCAGTGCTCATAGTCGACAATTATCCATAATTGTCGTTATGGGTTGCACCTGACGAAGACTGCTTAATGCAATTCACCTTCGGCGGCTGAAACCAGCATAACTTGGCATCTTTTGCCGATTTTCGCTTATAAAGATGCAATATCGGCATAATTCGTCCGTTTTGCGGGGGCCGGAAGAGAGAAGGCAACCCTTGGCAAGCAAAGACGTCTCGGCGTTGCGCGCCGAGCCTCGACATCTATATGGTGGAGCACCTCGGGTTCAAAATCAGTCGCGGCGGCTGCTCGCACCCTGCACTGTGGCCGCGCCGCAGCGTCCTGCGGTTGATTCCGCTGCTGACTCGCAAACCCTTTTGCTGAGCCAGAAGCTTGAAGCAGACTTCCAGCTGACTTCCATGCTTGCTGAGTCAAGCTTTACGCGACCGCAAGTTCCAAACGTACCATCTTCACCGCCCAGCACCTCGGCTAATGCCGATGTTGCCAAGGGTGCCCATGTCGGCGACCGCTCCTTTGCGGCCGGCTCCAGGCGCCGCTTTCGCAGCCCAAAGTCACGCCGCACTCTGAGCTCCGCCAGCTTCTACGGCGAATACTGCGACGCCCAGGCTACGCAGCGCACGGTTGCCAATGTCTGGCAGCGCGTCATGTTGGAGCACCAAGATGCTGCTGTTGCCGCTGCTTCGGAGGACCATGCGAACACCAGCAGCAGCAGCAGCAGTCAACCTCACGACAGCCGCGAAGACAACCAGGATCACAACCTCCCAGCATCACCAAGCGACGCAGCCCAGGTGCCGAGGCTCCTCAGCGAACGCCGTACCCCCCGTGACGCCTCACTCCTTCCACCACCCCCCTCACCCGCCCCCGCCCCCGCTGCCACCACCACCACCACCACCACCACCGCCTCGGACCCCAGTGGCCGAGGGGCGGTGGCTCCCTCCCTCACCAAGGGCTACCCCGCCTGGCTTCCAAAACCCGCACGCATCATTTCCGACCACCCCGAACCCCAGCCGCCCCAAGCCGCAGCCCCAGTCCCGCTCCAACAGCTCAACAGTGGCAGCAGCAGCAGCTGGCTCAGCGCTGTCGCAGCAGCAGCAGCAGCTCCTGCCCCCACCGCCGCCGCTCCCCTCCCCCCACGCCGTGTCGTACTCTACCTCGGACCAGAGTTCGAGCTACAGCTGCCGCCTCCCCCCTTGGAGCCGCCCCCCGACCAGCTCCTCCTGCCGTACGGCCCCCACGACCCGGCGGCCGCATGGGACCTGCTGGGCGTCAGCGTCGGCAGCGCAGCTGACGTCAGCAGCGGCGGCAGCGGCGGCGGAGGTGACGTCAGCAGCGGCAGTCACGTCGACCCGGGTCCCGCCTGGGAGCTGAGTGAGCGGGAGCTGCTGGCCAGTCTGACGGCGCCCCCTCCGGAGCCGGTGCGGGGCTGCATGCTGGCGCCCTCGCCGCAGCTGGTGCGGGCGGTGCGAGGAGGGGGCGGGGGCGGAGGCGGAGGCGGGGGTGCGACCGCAGCGGCGGCAACGCAGGCGATGGCAGGAGGGTTTGTTCCGGGTGGCGGCGGGGGTGGAGGGGGCAGCGCTACCGCTGCCGCTACCGCCACACCACGTAGGCGGGGCAGGCCGCCGCTGTCGCCCTGCCCCTCCCCCTCCTCCTCGACTGCCGCTGCTGCTGGCGCTGCTCCGTCCACACCCGCCCAGCCGCCCCAGCAGCACCGGCAGGAGCAGCCTCCTGGTCCCCCGGGAGCGGAGCAGCAGCCCTCCACTTCCCCCTCCGCGCCCCCAGCAGGCAAGCTGCTGGTGCAGCAGCGGGACCTGGTGGAGGCGCTGGTGGGGCGGCAGGGGGACGAGGAGGTGACGGAGGCGATCATGCAGGTAGGGGGGGCGGGGAGGGGGAGGAGGGGTGGGAGGTGGGGGCGGGAGGGCTAGGCCGCACCGCACGCATGCTTTGCTTAATTGCTTTGCTTGGCCACCCCCCAGCCTGTCCTCCTGCCTCTACACCTCTCCGCCCTGTGAGCCCGCCTGCTGCCAGCCCCCAGCCGTCCCCCGCTCCCCTGCCCGCCGCCTCCTAACCCTCTCGCTCCTCCCCCCTCTCGCTCCTCCCCCCTCTTCCTCCTCCCCCCACCTCCCCGCCCCCAGCTGTCCGGCCGGCGCGGTGTGACCGCTGTCAACCGCGCGCTGCAGGTGCTGGGCGGGCTGGGACACGTGCACGCGCTGTGTCGGCTGCTGACGCTGCAGGTGGCGCTGGGGGCGGCGAACGAGCACACGTACGCGACCGCCTTCCGCTGCCTGCACCGGTCGGGGCGGCTGGAGCTGGTGCTGGAGACATTCCAGGAGGCGGTCAGGTGGGGGGAGGCTGGGGGGGGAGGAGAGGAGAGCGGCTTAGTCGCGTGTGTTGGACCGTTTCGCATGCCCTTGCCTGCCAGCCCCCCTATCTGACGGTGTTACCAACTTGACGTCCTGCTCGCTTCCCCTCCTTCCCTGCCACCCCGCGCCCCCCCCAAAGGTCCGGTCGCGACCTGGGTCCGGTCGCCTGCTCCACCCTGCTGCACATCGCGGCCCGGGAGCGCAACCTGCGGCTGGCCTGGCAGCTGTTCGATGGCATGGTGGCGGCCCGGGTGAGGGGGGGAGAAGGAGAGGGGGTTTTGGGTGAACGGAGTAGAAAGGCGCATACCCCACCGCGGCGGCGCGATGTGCCCCTGCACCTGTCGGGTCCGCCCCCTTCAGCCTCAGACGGTCATACCGGTGCTGCAACCTGCCCGTGTCACTCCCCCGTTCCGTACATACACCCTCCAACCAACCCTACCCTCACCCCCCCCATCCCCCCAGATGACTCTCAACCGCTACTCGTACAACTGCATGGCGCACGCGGCGGCCCAGTACGGCAGCCTGCATGACGTCATCCTCATCTACAACATGATGAAGGCGGAGGCGGCCGGGCAGGGACCCATGGCGGCGGCTGCTAATGCTGCTAATGCTGCTAGTGCCGCTAGTGCTGGCAGCACCAACCGCAGCGCTGGTGAGGGCGCCGCTGAAGCTGATGGCGCCGCTCCTGCTAAGGAGGAGGCGAGCCCTCTCGCCACTCCTACCAGCCCTACCAGCGGCAATGTCAGCAGCAGCACAACCCCCAGCACCCCCAACAAGCGCGGTGGTGGCAGCAGCTCCCTCCTCGTCGCGCCCGCCCCCGCCCCCCGCCCCGACTGCTCGCCCGATTCCTACACCTTCTCCGCCCTCGTCCGAGCAGCCGACCTGGCGGGTCGTGGCGACCTGCTCCCAGCGCTCTTCAACGAAATGGCGGCTGTGCAGCGAGCGCAGGAGCGGGCGCGGGGGCGGCCCCGGGCTGGGGGGGTAGTGGTGGGGGCGGGTGAGGGCGAGGGCGAGGGCGAGGGTGGGCCGAGTCTGGAGGTGTGGGGCCACTTCATCGCCGCTGCCAGTCGGAGTGGGCAGCCGGAGCTGGCGCTGCGGTTCTTCTTCTCCGGGCGGCGGGAGCTGGGGCTGACCCCCAACACGCTCATCTACAATGCGGTGCTGGCGGCCATGGCCAAGAGCAGGTGGGGGGGGGGCGGATGTGGGGTGTGTGCGGGAGAGAGGAATGAGAGCAGGTGGGTGATGATTGCGGGAAGGAAGAATGAGAGTCGGATGATGGCCCTGCCCCACAGCCCCTCTTGGCGTACGCCACCTCGGCACACCCGTCTGTCACCGCACACCTTCCCGCTTGCCGGTGCCTCCCAGTTGACATCGGCACCTCACCTCCTACCCTCCCTCGCCCCTCTGCCACCCGCCCCCGCAGGCCGCTGTCCGAGGTGATGGCCGCATACCGCGAGATGGTGCAAGGTGCGTGGGTGCCCCTAGCAGGTGTTCCTGGTGACCCACGGGTCGTTAGGAAGACATCAGGGCTGCATGGCGAGGGGCACCCCAGCTAGCAACACATGGGACCACTCTTGGGTCCCTGCCTGAGGCCCGCCTGCTGCGCTACCCGCCAGGTTGGAATGGGATACCCCTGGCCCCTTCCACTGACGTCCTCCTCCTGCTCCTCCCGCGCTCTCCGCCATGCAGGCTGCGAGAGGCCCGCCCCTCAGGGCATGACCCGTCCCCGACTGACCCACGGGTCATCCTCCCCGCCTTCCTCACCAGCTTCCACGACATCCTCCTCCTCCTCTGCCGCCACGGAGGCGTCTGAGTCAGCGACCAACCAACACAGTGACAGCACCGCTGATGCCAACGGTCACGACAACAGTCACGACAACGGTCACGCCAACGGTCACGATGACAGCGACAGCGACTTCGGCCCGACCGTCCTGCAGCCCCCCCTCACCCCCGACCACTACACCTTCAACGCGCTGCTCACCTCCGCCGCACACCACCAGGCGCCCCTGCGCGCGCTGGACTTCATCCGCCGCGAGATGGCGCGACACGGCGTCTCCATCAACATGCACATCGGCGCCTCCCTCATCAACGCGTACCGCAAGACACCCGAGCTATCCTTCGCGCGCGCAGCCGCCCGACCCGCTGCTGCTGCTCCTGCTTCCACCTCCTCACCCTCCTCCACCTCCGCACCCAATCGTCCTCCAGCCCCGGGTGCCCAGGCAGCCCAGGCCGCCGCCGCTGACCGGGTGGTGGCGGAGGCGGAGGCGGTGCTGTGGGAGCTGGTGCGGGGGGGGGCGGCGAGCCCCACCGGCTACATGTGCATGGCGGCTCTGTACGCGGCGGCGGGGCGGCCCGAGGCGGTGCTGCGGTGCGTGCGGAGCATGTTGGGTGCGGGCATGCGGGTGAACGAGTCGATGGTGCGGTTCCTGCTGCAGGCGGTTGAGGATGCGGAGCTGTACGGGCTGGTGGGGCCGCTGACGGCAGCCATGCAGCAGCAGGGGGGGCGGGGGCAGCAGGGGCGGGGGCGGGGAAGGGAAGGGCAGTGGCAGCAGCGGGGGCGGGGGCAGGGGCAGGGACAGGGGCAGCATGGTGCTGGTGGGAACCCAAGAGATGAGTGGGAGCGGTTGCGGTAGGTAGCGCGGATTGGGGCATTGCAGGGGCAGCAGTCATTGAAGTGCAGTGCGGCTGAGCTGTGGTGCAGTTGTACTTTTATGGTTTGGTTTGGTGTTTTCGGGTGGACTGGCTGCGGATGTCGGCGGCTGGAAATGGTCCTTGCAGGGGTTCCACCGAACGCATTGAGGGCGGGTTGTGTGCTTTGGACGGACCTATGAGGTAGGCGCTGTGTTGCTGCGGCGTGTTCGCGCGCACACAGAGCCTGCGTCTGTGGGTAGGCAGCGAATGGGTTGTAGAAACCCGGCTGGCTGTAAGCCCTGTAACGCTGCGGCATTGCTTGCGCCCAGGTACGGGACGCGGGTGCCGGCACGTTACAGCAGGGCGCTCGGCGAAGGGCGTAGGGCGTAGGTACGTGCCACGCAGTTGGGAGAACAAGCCCTGCTGAACACCACCACCGAGTCCATGCTTTGTGTCGCAGCCTCAATGCCAGCTGTACGGAGGGAAGTACGGCACCTCAGCCGCCCACCACCCTTCCAATCCCCGCCCCCGCTGTACCGCTGCGTCAACGATCACTCACCACCACCATCACTAGACCCATCTTAATGCACTTCACCGCCGCCGCCGCCGCAGCAGCAGCAGCACCCACCCACCCATCATCCCCGCAGGTTCAGGTGCGTTCCTAACACACATCCATCGCTCTTTGGAGGATACCGGTAACGCCCTCATTCCTGCCTGCTGCTGCCTGCCTCACTTCTCCTGCCTCACTTCTTGCCCCCGAACAAGCCGCCCAGGAAGCCGCCCAGGGGGGCGCTCGGCCGCTCGAAGCGCCGCAACAAGCCCTGTAGGCGGGCAGGCGGGTGGGTGGGTGTAGGGCGGGGGTAGGGCGGGAGTAGAAGCTGACATCGTGGGCCAGCCACACCGGGCCGGACGTTAGAGGCGGGAGCAGGTGCAGCAGGCGGGGGACAGAGGCCGGGACCAGCAGCAGGCGGTGTACGTAGGGTGGCTCCGGGTGGCACAGGGAGCCCCAAGGGAGGCGGCTGGGGCGCCGGTTGGCACACGCTGCTGCGCACATGGCACGGCCGCGCACAGGCCCACAGGCACACCTGCCCCCTCTAGTCGCACGCCCCCCCCCTCCCCCCACCTCGAAGCGTTCGTCCCCCCTGAGTGGCGCCAGGTCGGGGTCGGAGCGCAGCTGCTGGAAGTCGTCGTATCCCGCCTCAAGACAGCCTGGTGGGGGGTAAAAAAGAAATTCCAAAGTGTGGTGTGATAATGATATAAGTTGCTGACAATCCCTGGTGGGGGGTGGGGGGTTGGAGGGAGGGGGACTAGGTGCCGGGAGGGGTGGGGGGCAGGAGGAGGAGGGGGCGGACACATGTCGACATGTGCATGCAACCAGACCGTTACAGGAACCGTTGCAGAGTGTCTTTCCCCGTCTTACATGCCGCCCCGCGCACTCCCACCACCTACCTCTCAGCACGGTATACCGGTAACTGTTTCTCTTATCAACCCTCAGCACCCCACCCCCACCATCCATCCATTCCTATCCATTGTTTTGCCCCAACCTGTGGTTTTCAATATTTCGGTATGCTCTTTGACCCCCCTCACCCCCTCACCCACCCCCCACCTGCCAGCGCCACCAGCCCCGCCCGCATGTCCCCCAGCTGCGCCTGGCAGCAGGCGGCGTTGAACAGCGCAGCCGCCCGCTCGCCGTCGCTGGCCTGGGGGGGCCTGTCGCTGGGGGGCGGAGGGGTAGGGAGGGGAAAAACGTAAATAAGTGAAACAACGAGTCCCAATCCCATATCCCCACTCATGCAGTGAGCGCAGGAGGGGGAGAGCAGGAGGGGACATGGGGTAAGGAAGAAGGGAAAGATGGCTGGCAGGGAGTACCGTGTATCGCCTGGCAGTTAGCGACACGAGCGGAGAGGATGCCTGCAGACACCTTGACGCGACTACTGCGACTACTGCGACTACTGCTGCTGCTGCGACCGCTCACCTTGCAAACATAAAAAATTAAAACAAAAAACCCACTGGCATGGTCCCCATCAGGCCCCCTACCCCCTCACACCCAATATCACACCACACATTGGAATTTCTTTCTCCCCCTCACCCCCTCACCCCCCCTTCACCCCCCTTCACCCCAGCTGACCGGTATCTCTTGATGCCGGTGCCGGGCAGTGTCAGTGCCCTCTCGTACAGCACCAGCGCCTCCTGCCACCTGAAGCGGGGGGGGAGCGGGGAGGGGGGCAGAGAATCAAGCCAGGTGCCCGTACTTACTACTTAGGGAATCACGACTTAGGGCAAGGCAAGGCAGTCGTAGCTGGCTTAGTCATGCAGCCGCCATGCAGCCTCAGCCCCCACCTCAGCGCGCCCCCACTCCCCCGCACCTAGCTTGCTTGGCCAGCTGGTTTCCCTGGTCGATGGCCTCTCGAGCGGTCTCGGGCTCAGGGAGGGGGGCGGTGGAGCCGGATGAGGGGGCGGAGGCGGCTGTGGAGGTCAGGTGGGGGCGGCTGGCTGCGGGGAGGGGGCTTCGGAGCAGGCCCCCTGGGTGCTGGAGGTGTGGCTGGGGGTGTGTGGGCAGGTGGTGGTGTTGGGGACGTGGGGCGGTGGGGACTCTGTGGGGTGGTGAGGAATGTGGGGGGTAAGGGCGAATGGGAGGGTGGGCAGCAGGGCGTGCAGTGAAACCGAGCAGTGTTGAGCTTGCTGGCGAGGAAACAGCGTACGCAGACCCGCAATCGGCGTGAACTCAGCAAGGTAGAGGAAGTAAGGGCCCTACGTGACGGCCCAGACTGCGAGGCAAGGTATATGTGCTGCAAGCGGGGAGCGATGCTCGGGCGATGTTGCAAGGCAATGACGTGCTTGTTCGACAAACGTGCGGCCTATAAGTAGTGAGACTCTGACTCGCTTACCGTCGGCCAGAAACTGTCCTTGCGCAGGGAGATGCTGACCCGGCCAGGGTAGTTGCGCGGAGCTCCATGACTACTATCGCACTGCCTAGATTCAGTGATACTTTGCTATCGTCAGTCGGTTGAGCGCCTTAACTCAATTACTATCACTCGCTTGTCGAATCGGTTGTGTGTTGCCTCGCCAAAGGCTATTAGTGTTCTGGGTGAGGCCGTACTGCGCGATCAATACTTCGTCGCCGCGATATGGGCCAGCTTGCCGCCGCGCAGGTCCTTACCCGTTGATTATACCGGTTTGGATTAGGGAAATTGTGCTGGTAATAAGTGCAGGATCTTCAAATTCTGCAAAGACCATGCTGTCTAGCTTGCGGTAGCGAACTTACTCCAATTCGCCTTAATTATTTTCAACTGTATAAGATGCAACTACAACATTCATTATCATGCTCAAAGCTAGCTAGGTTATCGATACCCCAGCGTTCCCCTCAATCGCTCCTCATAGGCATTGCGGCGCGCAGCGGTAGCTCACGACAGCTAGCAGTTCAGGTGCGCGCTGCAAAAGGATTCGGTAAATCAAAGCAGCCAGTCCGCAAGGCAACAGACGACGATGACGACAAGTCGCGCAAGCAATCGGGCAGGCGTAAGCGCCTGTACCCCGAGTCCCAGGGACCCATCCCCGGCCAGGCACAGCAGCAGCAAACCCAGCAGCAGCAGGGCCTGAACGGTCAGCCACAAGGCCAGTTCGAACTCGGCTTTCCCGGCTCGCCGGGGCATGCCGCGGAGGATGATGATGACTTCCTGACCCGCCTGCAAGCGCTGAAGGAGAAGGGCAAGGAACGAGCCGCGGCTGCAGCCGCATCCACAGCCGAGGCCAACGACGCCGCCGCATCCGCGCCAGCCATCTTCGACGCAGCACCCACTCCCGCCTCCGCTGATACCGACATCTACGCCAACCCGCCTCCGCTGGCGCAAACCCTGCTGGCCGCTGCTTCCGGCGGCGACGCCGCCGCTGCCAGCGGTATCTCCGACCCCAAGCTCCGCGACGCCAACATCGGTCCCAGCCAGCTGGGTCTGGCTGCGGGCGCGCTGGTGTTCATCGCGGTGTTCGTGGTGGTGGCTGCGGGGGACTACGCGCCCGCATCCCGGCGGTACGCGGGGGTGCGGCCGGCTCAGCAGCCGCCCGACCCCATTGAGGAGAAGATCCTGAAGGGTCGCATCGCGCTGTACCAGGACCAGTTGCAGGTGGGGAGGGGGGGAGGGAGGGAGGGGAGCTGGGGAGGGAGGGAAATGAGGATACGGGGGAGGGAAAGGGAGGGGCAGATAGAAGGCGGTTGCGTGTGCATGGTTGTGTATGTAACGGTGCTGTTCCGCACTCACCCCCAACACCCTCCTACCTCCCCATCCCCACCCGCCCCGCCCTCCACCTCCCCATCTCCACCTGCTCCACCCCCCCCCCAGGCCAACCCCTCCAACGACGATGCCACCCTGGCGCTGGCAAACTCGTACGCCCGGCTGCTGCAGTACGACCGGGCGGCGGAGCTGCTGGAGGGGCTCACGCGGAGGTAAGGGGGGGAGGGGGAGGGGAGGATCTTTAACACACACGTTGTGGGGACTTCATCTTCAGGCAATTACAGTACGTTCCGACTCGCGGCCAGTTTCCCGAACACACATACACTTTACCCGTCGCCGCCCTTCCTTTTCCCCGTCCTCCCCCGCCCCTTCAGGACCCCGGACGACGCGGAGGCCTGGCGGCTGCTGGGCGAGAGCTCGCTGCTCAGTCAGCAGCCTCGCAAGGCAGTGCCCGCATTCGAGCGCGCGGTGGAGCTGCGGCGACAACAGCAGACAGCAGCTGCCGCCGCCTCGCCTGCGGTGGTGGTGGTCAGCCAGCCCGACCTGCAGCTGCTGACGGGGCTGGTGGATGCGTACATTGCGAACGGGGAACACGCGCGGGCCATTGAGACGCTGAAGGGCATTCGGGAGCAGCTGAGGAGCAGCCAGCAGCAGCAGCTGCTGCAGGGGCAGCAGCAGCAGCAGGCAGCAACGGCAGCGGCGGAGGGCGCTGGAGCAGCGGCCTCAGCGTCCTCAGCAGCGGAGGAGGGGGTACCAGCGGGGGCGGCCATCGACGCCTCCTCACTGGCAACGGCTCTGCCGGTGCTGCAGGCGCCGCCGCTGACGGGTGACGCGACAGATGCGGCGGCCACCTCCACCTCCACCTCCACCACGGCTGCTGCTGAGTCCTCGGCTGCCAATGCCGATGCCGCCCCTTCATCCGGGCAATCTGACGCCCAGCCGTCTTCATCCTCATCTTCATCCCAGCAGCCTTCAACCACGTCCCCTGAAGCTCAACAACAGCAACAGGGGCAACCGGACCAACAGCAGCAGCCTGCAGCAGCCCCCGCACCTGCAGCCCCCGCTGTGCGCCCGCTGGACCCGGTGGGAGTGGAGCTGCTGCGCGGCAAGGTGTACAGCTCGTGGCGGGGTCACGAGCAGGACGCGCTGGCCGCGTATGACGAGCTGCTGGCGGCGTATCCGGAGGTGGGTGGGCGGGGGGGAAGAGGGGGGGGGGTAATGTGTGGAGGGTTACTCAAAACCGGCTGTATAGGGGAGGGTTGTGGGTGATCCTGGCATCCCTAGCTCGTGTGCCCTGCCTTCGTGACGTGCCCGTCCCTCACCGCCCGCTGCCACAGCTGCATCACTCCCGCTGTCACCTGCACCCTCATCTCCGCTCTGCCGACCCCTCCCTGTCCTGCCCCCTCCCTCCCCTCCTCCCCCCCTGCAGGACTACCGCGGCTATCTGGCCAAGGGGCTGTTCCTGAAGGAGCGAGGGCGCAAGGCGGATGCGGAGCGCATGTTCCTGCAGGTGGGGGCGGGTGGAAATTATATAAGTGAAACAACGAGTCCCAACCCCATATCCCTACTCATGCAGTGAGCGCATTCGGAGACACTATCCTGCGGGAGGGGGTGTCCTGAGACACCGGCAGTCAACTAAACACCGGGCACCACAAGACAGGGCAAAGCAAGGGGGATAGCAGGCGGCACGGTGCCAGGCCATGCAGTTGGGGACGAGAGAAGTGCGGGTGCATGGGTTTGGTATGTATATGGTCAGTAGTGATTGCCGGTTACGTGCACTGTACCAATCCTGGCTGAGAGCTGTTGGTGGCCCCACCCGCTGCCCGATGACCCGTGGGTCACCTGCAGGCTCGCTTCTTCGCTCCCGCCTCCAAGCAGCAGCTGGTGCGGGCGCTGGCTGAGGCCTCCCCCACCCTGGAGCTGCCGGACAACAACTGAGATGACGATGAAGAGGAGGGGATGATGAGCGGGCTGGGCGGGATGGGGTCAGGCCGGGAGCAGGGTACAGCGGGCAGCATAGTGAGGCGAAGGGGGACAGTTGGGCTGGGTCCTAGTGCGGAGGGGTGAGCGTGCGTGTAGGTGTGGTAGTTCGCTGGGCCCTAGGAGTGGTAGATGGGCAGTGTAGCCGGCCGATAGCACTCGAGTCCCCGCGGCTCTGGGAGCAGCGTACCGGTAGGTTGACAAAGGTCGCGTGTTGTGAAGCCGCGTTGCATGCACAGCAGAGAGAGTGGAAGGTAGTGCCGGTGGCAGTCGTGGAGTGGGGCGGGATAAGTAGGAAGAGAGGGCGCATGGGCTGCACGGCGGCACTTACACACGTGCAGGCGGCATGAAGCGCTACTCGTGCATGTGGATGGGGAGGAAAGGCACACCGGACGAGGCTGCCCCGGGCCCCAGCGAACGGGCTGCCCCGGGCGGATGCATGCAGGTGCAGGTGCATAGGTAGGGGTAGTTAGGGGCGGCCATGCAGAGGACGGACACCCGTGCGGCTTACAGGTGTGGCGTTGCATGGCGAGGACCCATCTACAGGCAAAGCACTGACCATGTAATGAGGTGTAAACGAGCACTGGACCTGCTATGCAAGCCGCTCGGATTGGAAGTCCCCACTGCATCACCACTTCATACCGGTAATAGAAATCGCGAGCATGAGATGCCACCCGAGGTAGACCATCCGGGTGTGACCGGAAGCCTCTATCTCCTCGTGCTGCCTCTTCCCTGCCACGCGATCTGTATGTCGACACACCTGCACTGCACTGCTGTCATGTGAATCACATAGGACCCCTTTGCCGTACCGCTGCCCCAACAGGATCCCAGCAGCTGCCAACGGCAGCAGCTAACAGCAGTCCAAGGGTGGGCCAAATGACATCAAGTGCGTCAACCTGCGGTCCAGACGACTGTATTGGCGGGTGTACTACACTAACGGATTCCGCCGGCGGTTTCGAAAGTAGAATGCGAATCAAACGTCTAGCCTTGCTGCTTGGGTTGCACAGCCATGCAACAGCAACCACCAGCAGCATGCATGCAATCCTGCTGAGACCAGTTCACGGGCCTGGTGACTGCACCGCACTGCAAGCGGGGCCACCAGGCACCACCCACCCACACACAACCCTGCGATGCACACATGTTAAAGCTGAAGTGCACGACTCACCAAACAGCGTGTAGCAACTCTGGCGGCCCTAAACAAGCAGCGGCTGCTGTGTACGGGCCACGACCGCACATGGCACACACCAGCCCCTGCCCCCGCAGCGTTTGCCCACCTACACTGAATGCCGCGGAGGATGCCGGCGGTCTGTACCTGTACGGCTACAGCAGATCCAGAGTCCCCTGCAGAGTGACCCCGTGCATGCGCAGGACACCACAACTGTTCATTGTTCCCAAACTCTCCGTTACCATCAGAGACCTCTGTACGCATGCGGCCGCTCTTTCACAGCTCCACCATGGTTGCCATGATCCAGGAACCCAGTACCCTACGCAGCTGCCCACTGCTCCACACAGCTGCCCGCACCCCTTGCCGCCGGACTTACGTCCCACATTGCGGTGGCTGGTGGCGTGGGACTGTCCAATGCGGACTGCCTACACGGGTTCAATCGGATCAATGTCCTTCAGCTGCTCCCACAGCTCCAGCAGCTGCCGCAGCCACTCCTCCTCGCCCACTCGGCGCCGGGCGGCCACATCGTCCCACAGCGCCTGAAGCTCCTGGGGAAGGGAAGAAGCGCGCGCAGGGGTAGTGCAGGGTGGGTCAGGTTACAGCTTGGCACTAACTGTGGAGCTGCATGCAAAACACACGCATGGAAGGGAGCATCCCCGTGGCAGCAAAGACCAGACAAAGATCAAGACACACGGAGAGCTCGATTGAGTGCAACGTGCTTGTTACATGCATACAGCCCTTCACTACTGCTCCCAGACACCCACGTCCGGATCCCCAACGCAGCCTACCAGCGCCAGGGCGCCCAGCAGCAGGAGGTGCGCGTCCTCCCCCAGGTTTGCAGCCGATACCACCCGCATCAGCACCGCACCAGCAGCAGCACCGCTGCTGCCGGCCACTGCCCCCGCATCAGCCTCCACATGCTCCGCAGCAACAGCAGCCACCGCCGCCACCACCGCCACCGCCCCCTCCTCCTCACTGCACTGCAGCAGCACGGCGTTGGCCCGGCTGCCGTACGGCAGTGCCTGGTAGCCTGTCAGGCACCCGGGCTCGCCCCCACCACCTTCCACTTGCCGCCCCAGCCACTGCATGAAGTGCTTCAGGGCCTTGCGCGACCTGCACATCAGGCCCACAGCGGGGCCCTGCACACCAGGCCCACAGCGGGGCCCTGCACACCAGGCCCACAGCGGGGCCCTGCACATCAGGCCCACAGCGGGGCCCTGCACATCAGGCCCACAGCGGGGCCCTGCACATCAGGCCCACAGCGGGGCCCTGCACACCAGGCCCACAGCGGGGCCCTGCACATCAGGCCCACAGCGGGGCCCTGCACATCAGGCCCACAGCGGGGCCCTGCACACCAGGCCCACAGCGGGGCCCTGCACACCAGGCCCACAGCGGGGCCCTGCACACCAGGCCCACAGCGGGGCCCTGCACACCAGGCCCACAGCGGGGCCCTGCACACCAGGCCCACAGCGGGGCCCTGCACATCAGGCCCACAGCGGGGCCCTGCACATCAGGCCCACAGCGGGGCCCTGCACACCAGGCCCACAGCGGGGCCCTGCACATCAGGCCCACAGCGGGGCCCTGCACACCAGGCCCACAGCGGGGCCCTGCACATCAGGCCCACAGCGGGGCCCTGCACATCAGGCCCACAGCGGGGCCCTGCACATCAGGCCCACAGCGGGGCCCTGCACACCAGGCCCACAGCGGGGCCCTGCACATCAGGCCCACAGCGGGGCCCTGCACACCAGGCCCACAGCGGGGCCCTGCACACCAGGCCCACAGCGGGGCCCTGCACATCAGGCCCACAGCGGGGCCCTGCACACCAGGCCCACAGCGGGGCCCTGCACATCAGGCCCACAGCGGGGCCCTGCACACCAGGCCCACAGCGGGGCCCTGCACACCAGGCCCACAGCGGGGCCCTGCACACCAGGCCCACAGCGGGGCCCTGCACATCAGGCCCACAGCGGGGCCCTGCACATCAGGCCCACAGCGGGGCCCTGCACATCAGGCCCACAGCGGGGCCCTGCACACCAGGCCCACAGCGGGGCCCTGCACATCAGGCCCACAGCGGGGCCCTGCACACCAGGCCCACAGCGGGGCCCTGCACATCAGGCCCACAGCGGGGCCCTGCACACCAGGCCCACAGCGGGGCCCTGCACATCAGGCCCACAGCGGGGCCCTGCACATCAGGCCCACAGCGGGGCCCTGCACATCAGGCCCACAGCGGGGCCCTGCACATCAGGCCCACAGCGGGGCCCTGCACACCAGGCCCACAGCGGGGCCCTGCACACCAGGCCCACAGCGGGGCCCTGCACACCAGGCCCACAGCGGGGCCCTGCACATCAGGCCCACAGCGGGGCCCTGCACATCAGGCCCACAGCGGGGCCCTGCACACCAGGCCCACAGCGGGGCCCTGCACATCAGGCCCACAGCGGGGCCCTGCACACCAGGCCCACAGCGGGGCCCTGCACACCAGGCCCACAGCGGGGCCCTGCACATCAGGCCCACAGCGGGGCCCTGCACATCAGGCCCACAGCGGGGCCCTGCACACCAGGCCCACAGCGGGGCCCTGCACATCAGGCCCACAGCGGGGCCCTGCACATCAGGCCCACAGCGGGGCCCTGCACATCAGGCCCACAGCGGGGCCCTGCACACCAGGCCCACAGCGGGGCCCTGCACACCAGGCCCACAGCGGGGCCCTGCACATCAGGCCCACAGCGGGGCCCTGCACATCAGGCCCACAGCGGGGCCCTGCACACCAGGCCCACAGCGGGGCCCTGCACACCAGGCCCACAGCGGGGCCCTGCACATCAGGCCCACAGCGGGGCCCTGCACACCAGGCCCACAGCGGGGCCCTGCACACCAGGCCCACAGCGGGGCCCTGCACACCAGGCCCACAGCGGGGCCCTGCACACCAGGCCCACAGCGGGGCCCTGCAGCACCAGGCCCACAGCGGGGCCCTGCACACCAGGCCCACAGCGGGGCCCTGCAGCACCAGGCCCACAGCGGGGCCCTGCACACCAGGACGCGGGAGGAGGGCTGGTCCGGGTGCTGCTGTGCCCCGACGGCATCCGCCGCCCGCCGCACCGTGGGGTTGGCTAGCATGCGTTGGACGGCCGCTGCGACCACCTCACGAGGCGAGGGCAGCTGGGGCGGCGCAAGCTCTGTCGCCACGTCCTCAGCCGCCGCTGCTGAGGGTGCTGCCACCCCTGCTGGTGAAGCTGCCTCCTCTGGTGATGTCTGCTGCTGCTCCCGCCCCTGCTCAGCCGCCGCGTTCTCACCGCCCTGACGCCCCGTCAGCTTAATCGTGAGCATGTTGCTGTAAAGTGCGCTGCGCGGGTAGAACTCGCCATCGCCCCGCTGCTCGCCGGACTGCAGCAGCAGCAGCGTGGGCAGTCCGAACAGCGCCACCGCCGGCAGCACGGCAGGCACGCCCCCCGCCTCCTCAACCGACATCACAAACACCCCCACCTCTCCGCAACAGCAGCTCGCCAGCAACTCCTGCAGCGGGGCCAGCGCCTGCTCCTGCAGCGGCGCTCCCTCGCCTAGCCTGAGCCACGACACGAAGAGCTCCTGCAGCCGCATCGTCACTTCACGACACTGCAGCAGCTGCTGCGCCAGCGTAACTAGCGTGGCCAGTTTTGCGGGGCAGCAGTTGGCCAGCTTGGTGCACACGCGGTCTTTGAATTGGAACTCCGCACACACAGGCAAGTCAGGAACCTCGATCCATTGGAGTTTTAGTTGCTTGAGGGAGGGAGGAAGGCTGTCCAGCAACCAGGAGAGGCTCTCTCCGGGGCCCTCAGCGATCCGGTCAGGTGCGAAGCCCGCCAGTTCCAGGGCCTCCAGGTTGCGCAGCTGCGATATGCCAGCCATGATGGCGGCATCGAGCGGGGTACGGTTGCCACCGCCATTGCGAATCTCCAGGTGCTTGAGGCTGCCCGCCAGGCAGCCGATGTACTCAAGACCGGGGCAGCTAGGGACGACGAGGGTCTCCAGGCCGGGAAGGGTAGCTAGGGAGCGACACATGAGCCGCTGCTGCACATGCTCACATGACATGGCGGGGAACAGCGAGGAGATGTCGAGCTTTTCGAGCGCCGGAAGCTGCTGCACAAGCGCGACAATAGCCGGTTCGGCGTTGTTCGACACCCAATCGCCAGTCAGCTCGACGGTGGCGCGTTTAATGCGCTTGCGGACAGGCTCGGGCTCTCCGGTGAACGGAAGCAGTAAGAGTGTGGTCAGGTCTGCTCCGTCCTCCTGGTCAGGCTCAGCTAGGATAGTTACGTCGCTGCACCGGGGCCAGCGGGACAGGGACGGCAGAGTCCCCAAGGCCAGGTCCTGGACAGTTTCCTGGTACAATTGCAATCTGAGCTTGAGAGTGCTGCCGTCGATTACGTCGCGCAGGACACGGGATGCCAGCCGTGCGTTCTTCATACATTTGAGCCCTTCCAGGCTGCAGCACAGCTTGTCGGTTGCAGTGGTGTCGAGGACTGACAACACATCCAAGATGCTCCGCTTCTCAATCAGCGCTGCACGCTTGGCCATTGGTGCCCAGAGTATCAGATGCTGCGACGTTTCGTAGTTGTGCTTCAAGGTAGCAGATACGTGTCTGGGAGAGCAATACGTCGAATCTGCAGGCTCGGCAGCCGCGCTATACAATCAGACGGATCACGCGCAGGAAGCCTGTGTACACGGTGAAGAAGAAGCCGGCTGGCTGTTAGTCGGCAGACATTTAGGAGTGGCAGGCTAGCCGCTATGTTGCCAAGATGCCAACTTGCTGTATGCTTACACGGGCACCGAAACCACGCCGGAGCGCGCAACCGAGCAAGCCGTATTGCCCTATTGCCGCGCTGTCATGTTGAATTCAGTTACAACCATAACGCTGGACGGGCCGCTTAAAATCTTTTTATCTTGGTATGACCAACTCCTGTCAGTTGCATGTTCGTTACATCACATGTTGTTGCAGCGAGACAGGAAGGAACACAGCTGACTTGGTATTGGCTGATTGGATTGGGATCATAACCTGAATAACAAACAGGTCGAAACACAAGCGCAGACACCGGCATACGACAAGGCTGTACCACTATGCGTTCAGCACCCAAGCAAGCCAGCTTCGAGTTAGCCCTCCAACCAGCCCTTGTATGCACAATTCGCATTGCGCGGGACGACCCCCGCCCAAGGGATGGGCTTCCCAGTGTCCCACAATGCAACTCCTTTCACCTCACCGTTGCTCATTCACCCTGCCACGGACAGACCCACCAACGAACCCTCACGCCTCCTTGCCAATTTCAACATGAAGCCCCCCCCACAGGGAACCGAGCTTGCAACGATGCAGGGCGCCTGACAACGCATCCTTCCATCCTTACCCTACGCCCAGTAAGCGGCGGACAAGGTACCATGCCAGCTGCAACACCCCACAGCGACACGTGCACACCACGTACAGCCGCGCTAGCCTGGGAGTCGCCGCACACACGCATACATTGCCATGCATGCGGCCCCCCATGCAAGCTCCCAGACAGTAGCAGCACCGGTGCATGTACGGCACTGGGTGGGAAGCTGCTCACATGAGGTCCGGAGGGGACGTGTCAGCTAGCTGCTCCCACAGCTCCAGCAGCTGCCGCAGCCACTCCTCCTCGCCCACTCTGCGCCGGGCGGCCACATCGTCCCACAGCGCCTGAAGCTCCTGAGGGGAGAAGCATGTAGGGGGCCCCCGGGTCGGGCAATGGACGGGATGCGATTAGGGCTGGGCAAAGATCGTTTGCAGAGGGGAGCGCCTATGCAAGGAAGCATCGATAGGAGACCACCTCTTCGTACCCTTCACTGCCGCCAAGGGGTAAGTGGCGCCGCCTCACGTACCTGCTGTATGGTGCGGAACAGGAGTGTGCGGGCATCCCTCGCCTTGAGTGCCGTCACGAGCGACTTTGCAGCCGGTACCACCCGCATCAGCCCCGCACCAGCAGCAGCACCGCCATATTATGAGATCGCGTCTTGAAAGGTTCTTCATAGATGTTTGGCTATACCCTGTCTGTAAGGGTCAAGGCGGTCAACGAACTTAGGCGAACGGCGCCGAAACCAAGCTGTCAATTCAAGCCTTCGACATATTTACTTGGGCGACAGACTTGCAATGAAAGCCTTAATCTCAACCGCCTATTAAATACACTGGTGTTTTTGTAAGTTCTGCAGCTCTAAGACCGTGCAGTGGCTGTAACTTGGCACGTCTAATAAGGCCAATGGATGGATGACGGTTGCCACCGTCGCGCTTTACGTGAAGGACCTTCACTTCACGGCTTTAAGGTTTGATGCACGGTCACATTGTTGGCTTCACTGGCTCAACATAATGGGTATTCCGATGGCAAAACCAAGGCACCCATACCTTCCCTAGCAACTGCCGCCTATAAGCGACTACCTCCTGCGCAGAGCCGGGCCTTATGTGCTTAAGAGTACGCAGCAGCGGCTCTCACTAATGACGGCACCTTGCATACCTTTGCATCTAGTTCATCCCCTTGCACTCCATATCTACTACACACCCCTGTTCCGATCGCTAGGCACCGCCCCAATGCCGCCAGCGATCAGGCACAGGGACATGCGAGCCACAACGCACGGCCCCCTGCCGCCAGCTGCTGCCAGCTCTACCAGGGGATCTCATCTCCGTTGTACGACAAGAACCTCCCATTCAGCGGCTGCCCCGACTCCAGCACCGCCATCAGCCCCGTCGCACTCTCCTCCACATCAATGTAGCCGTTGCCACCTGCATAAAGTGAGGTCGGTGGTTGCCAGCGGCGAAGAGGAGATGCATTCGGTTAGCTGCAGTACGAAGGTCTTCTGCCTTGTTCCGCACAACAATCAACGCGAACTCGTTTGCTGCCGCATCAGCCCCACCACACGCCCCCTGTACCGGCCCCACACCCGCCCCCACACACAGCCCCAGCACTCCCCCCCCCTCTCCCCCCCCTCGGCCCCCCCCACCCGTCATGTCGGTCCGCACGTATCCCGGGTGCAGCGCCACCACCTGCACCCCCAGGGCCGCCAGGTCGCGGGAGAGGGTGGTGGAGAGCGCGTTGAGCGCAGCCTTGGAGGCCCTGGGGGAGGGATGGGAAGGTGGTGGGGGCGGTTGGGGCGATCAGTGTAGTGCATGGAGCGAGGTAAGCTCTGGGAGGCCCTGAGAGGGAGCTGAGGAAAGCGTGTGTTTCTCGCTAGGTGTGCGGCAGACTGCCCCCCTCACAACCCTCACGCAAGCCCTTGCAGCTGCAAGCAAGCAGCACCCTGGAACCTGCCCCCCCCAGCTGGCTGGTTGGCTCCTCCCGCCCCCCACCTGTACGCGTAGCCCCCCGGTGTGACCGCCGACACGGTGGGGTCCGCGTTGGACCCCATGATGGACGAAATGTTGACCACCAGCGAGCCGGCGCCCGGCTGGCCGGGGGCGGGGCAGCCCAGCAGGCCCTGACGTGGGGGGAGCGGGCAGGGCGGCAGAGGCAGGCGGGAGCAGCATGAGGTGAAGGGCAGCCGTGTGCCAGCACTTGGTTGCTATTTGATACATACCAAACCCAGAAAGGCGCCTAGGGAAATCCGGTTCCTGGTGCTTCCTTGTACCGGTCCTTGTTCAAGACATGACATGACAGCGCGGGCAATCGCAGCTGCCCCGCCGCCCCCGCGTGTCTTTAGAATAGTGTCTCCGAATGCGCTCACTGCATGAGTCAGGATATGGGATTGGGACTCGTTGTTTCACATATTTATTTTTTTTCCCCGCCCCACCTGTTTGAGCAGCTGCTGCAGCACGAAGAAGGGGCCCATGCTGTTGGTCTGGAAGGCGGCCTGGAAGTCCTCCGCCGTCAGCTCCTGAAGGGCGGACCGGGTGCCGTACCTGCCCGCGTTGTTGACCAGCACCTGCGGGCGGGAGCAGGGAGGAGCGGTTGGTAGGGAGGAGCGGTTGGTAGGGAGGAGCGGTTGGTAGGGAGGAGCGGTTGGTAGGGAGGAGCGGTTGGTAGGGAGAGAGGGGCGGGAGTTAAGACTTAGTAGGGAACGGGTTTGGGACGGAAACGTGCTATAAAAGGTTTTAAGGCTAAACGGTTACCACTTTAGTATGGGGCTTAATTAGGATTGGGAGACGCGCCAGGGATTTCAATGGCACACCGGCAGAAGCATGGGAGGTACTTACGTCCACATGCTTTACGCCGCTGGCCTTGACTTGCTCGGCCCAGGTTGCGATGCTGGAAGGGGCCGACGTGTCCAGATCAGTAATCTGCAGGTGCTTCGGATAGGTCTGCAAGAGCTGCTGGAGCTGCGCGGCGTCGGAAGCCTTGCGGCTAGTCGCGATGACCACATTGTCGCGTGCAAGGAACTTTTTGACAAGTCCAAGACCGATGCCCCTGCGTCATGCATTGAATATTCTCAATGAGTGTGACCCGAGTCGCGCGTCTTTGCGTGTTTGTGGTAGCCTTTGCAGACCCGACAAGTTGATAAGCTTGCTCTAGGTCAGCTCAGCTGTAAGCCGAGCATCCCATTCCATAATACCTATATATTTACGTTGATTTCTACCTGCTTCCACCCGTCACGACCACTGTCTTGCCGGTGATCGAGGTCATCGCGCCAACCGTTAGCTATCTAGGTGCCGATCCTTCGTATTAAGCACTATCTACAGGGGCCAGTCTTTATACATGGCCCTGGTAGTTGTCTATTAACAAAATGTGCAGTGGCCAGGTTACCGTAACCCAGTTACATTGCTGCAGGAACTAGACTACTGTACTGCCTACCCCGGTTACAGTCCTTACCAGCAGGCGTCATAGGAAAGTTGTAGTCGCAAACACTGTACAAGAGAAACCGATTTCTTTACGGATTTTCTTGAACAGTAGGACAAAGTAGATGTCGAACTATGGATGGATTGGACCTGCGGCTGCGCGGCCCTCCTACTAACCTCCCACGCTGACAGTACATGTTTGCTTAACGCCAGGGTTGCCGAACGGTCCTTCTTTAAGGGCCACTACAAGCCCATTCACAGTGCCACATGTCAAGCACGCGTGCCGCTCGCCTAACTGCCTGAACCTGGGCACCCGGCAAACCCCCACTCCGGCCGCCCTTGAGACCCCTACCCCACGTCCCAAACTATCTTCGCGACCAACGCGGACCGCTTTTAAGCACAGCCCCCATGAAGGCGACATCTACCCGCCTTAATCCACCCTTCGACTGGCTACCTATCCACCGTGCTTCCCACCACTCGCCCCCCAGGCCCCTGCGGCCTCACACCCTCAGCGCCCGCAGCAGCATCTCCCTCCGCTCCGCCGGCCCCGCCGCCTCCCACTCCGCCTGCCGCACCGGCCGCACCAGCACCCCCAGCTGCCGCAGCACCAACTGACGCCACCGAGCAGGACCCAGCAGCTGCACCGCCCCTGTACCCGCACCCGCACCCGCCTGCAGCTGCCCCTGCCCCTGTCCCGCCTCCTCCTCCTCCGCTTCCTGCTGCCCTGTCGCCTCCGCCTGCGCCACCCCCACCGCCTCGTCCGAGCGGAGCACCAGATCCAGCGCCACCATCCACCCGCCCTCACTGCCACCCCGGCTGCTGCTGCCGCTACCGCCTCCGAAACCCCCATAACCCCCGCCGTAACCGCTGCTGCTCACCTCAAAGCCCCCACCCCGCCCCTCGTCCGGCCCCCGCCCCGCCCCCCTGCCCCCCAGTCCTCCGCCCACTTGTCGTGCCAGCAGCGGCAGGGTGAGGCGGATGTCGGCGGAGGGCTGCAGCATGCCCCACACGTAGCCCGGCTGCAGCCGCCACCGACCCACAACGCCATCACCGCTGTCAGCAACACCACCGCTGTCAGGGCTGCTGCTGCCCCCCCACAGCCCGCCACCGCCCCCGCCTCGAAGCAGCTCGCGGGCAGTGGCGAGGAGGCTGCTGCGGAATGCGAGGGCGGCCGGGTCGGGGTCGGGCGGTAGGCCGGTGGGGCCGGCTAGGTGCTCGCAACGGGATACGGCCTGCGTGGGCAGGGGGAGAGGGGGGAGGAAAGGAAGGCGGGGACGTTGGGATGGGGAGCTGGAAAGGAACATGTGAACGGGTCCAGACAGCAGACCTCCAGGTGTACAAAGGTGAGGTGGGGGTGGGGTAGGACAGGCTAGCAAACACACAGTCGGCAATGGGGGAGCAGGTCGCTCCACACCGGTCCCCTGCCTCCCTCCGTCCCCGCCCCCCCATTACCTGGTGCTCCCACGCATACCCCAGCGCATGGAACCAGCCGCTCCGCAGCTGCCCCGCCGCCTGCTCGCCCAGCCCGCCCGCCCAGCCTAGCAGCAGCAGCAGGTGCACGCGCACCAGCCGCAGCCAGCGAGGGTCGTCGATGTGCACCACACCCTGGGAGGCGGCCTGAGGGGCGGTGGGGGTGGGGGGGCGGGGCGGGGAGGTGGGCGTCCAGGGCTTCAGGCCAAGCCATGAATGAAGGCTGGCACCGGAGGGCGCCTGGAGGCTCACTGTTGACACATGGAAGCGGAACACGGAACACATGCCCCCCTTCCCCCCCCAGCATGCCTCCCTCCCCCCCTCCTCCTCCCCTCCTCACGGTTCATTTCACCAGGGATTGTCAGCAACTTATATCATTATCACACCACACTTTGGAATTTCTTTTTCCCCTCCTCCCACCCCCCCACCCGCATGTACAGCTCCCGCAGCTCCGCCCCCCGGTTGGTGCGCAGCCCGTTCACCGCCAGGCCCCACATCACGTCGGACAGCTCCAGCGGACCCAGCAGCGGGGCACCGGGCAGCGGGGGGGCGCCGACCTCGCACCCGCCAGCAGCGGCAGTGGCAGCAGCACCCCGGCCTGAGGAGGCGGCGGCGGCAGCAGGGGAGGAGGCGCCGCTGCCCCCCGGCCCCCCTATGAGCTGCATGTGCGCGGGTCCGAATGCGGGCGGGGCGCTGAGGGCCAGAGCGCGGGCCTGGGGAGCGGGGTGAGGGGCGGGGTGAGGAGGCGTGACGGGGTGACAAGGGAAAGACAAGGCGGCGCGCGGCTCGTAGGGGTGCAGCTTAATAATAGGGGTGCAGCTCAGCGGGGTGCAGCTCAGAGGGGTGCAGCTCAGAGGGGTGCAGCTCAGAGGGGTGCAGCTCAGAGGGGTGCAGCTCAGATGGGTGCAGCTCAGAGGGGTGCAGGGCAGAGGGGTGCAGCTCAGAGGGGTGCAGCTCAGATGGGTGCAGCTCAGCGGGGTGCAGCTCAGAGGGGTGCAGGGCAGAGGGGTGCAGCTCAGAGGGGTGCAGCTCAGCGGGGTGCAGCTCAGAGGGGTGCAGGGCAGAGGGGTGCAGCTCAGCGGGGTGCAGCTCAGCGGGGTGCAGCTCAGAGGGGTGCAGCTCAGAGGGGTGCAGCTCAGCGGGGTGCAGCTCAGCGGGGTGCAGCTCAGCGGGGTGCAGCTCAGAGGGGTGCAGCTCAGATGGGTGCAGCTCAGCGGGGTGCAGCTCAGAGGGGTGCAGCTCAGCGGGGTGCAGCTCAGCGGGGTGCAGCTCAGCGGGGTGCAGCTCAGCGGGGTGCAGCTCAGCGGGGTGCAGCTCAGAGGGGTGCAGGGCAGAGGGGTGCAGCTCAGAGGGGTGCAGCTCAGCGGGGTGCAGCTCAGAGGGGTGCAGCTCAGAGGGGTGCAGCTCAGAGGGGTGCAGCTCAGATGGGTGCAGCTCAGAGGGGTGCAGGGCAGAGGGGTGCAGCTCAGCGGGGTGCAGCTCAGAGGGGTGCAGCTCAGAGGGGTGCAGCTCAGAGGGGTGCAGCTCAGAGGGGTGCAGCTCAGAGGGGTGCAGGGCAGAGGGGTGCAGCTCAGAGGGGTGCAGCTCAGAGGGGTGCAGCTCAGATGGGTGCAGCTCAGAGGGGTGCAGCTCAGATGGGTGCAGCTCAGAGGGGTGCAGCTCAGATGGGTGCAGCTCAGAGGGGTGCAGGGCAGAGGGGTGCAGCTCAGAGGGGTGCAGCTCAGAGGGGTGCAGCTCAGCGGGGTGCAGCTCAGAGGGGTGCAGCTCAGAGGGGTGCAGCTCAGAGGGGTGCAGCTCAGAGGGGTGCAGCTCAGAGGGGTGCAGCTCAGAGGGGTGCAGCTCAGATGGGTGCAGCTCAGCGGGGTGCAGCTCAGAGGGGTGCAGGGCAGAGGGGTGCAGCTCAGAGGGGTGCAGGGCTGGCGTCCCCTACCTCCCTGTCTCTCTATCCACACCGTTCCCCGCCTCCCCACCCCCCGAGCTACCCTCCCCACCGCTTGTCAGCAACTTGTATCATTATCATACCACACTTTGGAATTTCTTTTTCTCCCCACCGCCTCCCACCTGTATCGCCGCCAGCAGCTCCTGGTTGTCGTACCCCAGCTGCCCCACCGCCCACGCCAGTTGGGCAAGGGAGGTGGGAGACAGCGAGGACCACCCACCGCCTGCTCCGCCGCCGTAACCGCCGCCGTTGACCGGTGCGAACCTGCCCACACTCCTCTGCCCGCCGCCCTTCTGCTGCTGCTGCGGCCGGCTGCCGGCCCCGCCACCACCTCCGTTGCCGCCCACCGCTCCCGCGGACGAGGCCAGCAGCGGCGCCGTCATGGCGTCCAGAGCCGCCCTGTCGTACACTGACAGCATGGCGCAACTGACAACGAACCGAACCACCTCGTTCGGCGAGCCGAGGTGCCCCGCGTGCCGTACCGCACTCGCCATCACCGGCGCCGCCAGCGCCCCCACGACCCGTGGGTCGTCGCTGCCCCCCGCCCCCGCCACTCGCGCTGCCGCCAGCGCATGCCATGCCAGGAAGAGCTGCCGCATGTCGCGGGCGGTGCGCGGGTCCGTTCGCCGCCGCAGCGCAGCAGCCAGGGCCGCCAGCTGGTCGCCCACACCGCCACCGCTGGCCCCTCCTGCCCCCGCCCGCTGCTCCCCTGCTGCCGCCGCCGCTGCTGCTCCTCTCCCGCCGGCTACCGCAGCACTCGACCCGGAACCCGGGGCGCTTGCCGCTCCTCCGCGGGAGAACAGCAGCCCCCGCGCGGACGACGGTGCCGGTGGCGGTGGCGAGGGTGTTGGGTAGGCGTGTGCTGCCGCATGCAGCGCCGCCGCCCCCGCCGGCATGAGGGCCGCCAGCAGGGTGACCAGCTGCTGCGGCCGCAGGTGGGGCTCCAGCAGCGGCAGGTGAGGGAGGAGCAGGGCGGAGGCAAGGGAGCGGGCGGCGGAGGCGGCAGCGGCGGAGGCGGCGGAGGGCGGGTAGGAGGAGGCGGAGGCGGCGGCGCTGCTCCTGCTCCCCCAACCGCTGCTGCTCCCCCCGCTGCCCCCGCCCGCCGCCCCCGCCGCCACCAGCGCCTCAAGCAGCACCAGCAGCGGCTCCAGCTGCTCCGACAGCTGGCTACCGCTGCGGCTGCTGCCGCCCTGTCTACCGGCGCCAGGCAGGCAGCCGGCAGCCGGGAAGGAGCTGCCGTACCAGCAGGGGTCAGCTGCGCCATCCCCGTCACCCGCCTCCTCCTCCCCCTCACTGACGTCACCACCACCCTCCCCAACACCCGCGCTGCTGGCACCCCCACCGCTGCTACCACCCGCCGCACCCCCACCGCTGCCCTCTCCCCCGCCCCCCGCTGCTGCCGCCTCCGCCTCCTCCAACACCCGCCGCATGTACTGCCCCGCCGCCGCCTCCGCCTCCTCCGCCACCGCCGCCATCAACTCCTCCCCCAGCCCCCCTGCCCCTCCCCCTCCCCCTGTCCGCCGCCCTGCCCCCAGCTGCACCGCTGCCGCCGCCAGCCGCGACAGCTCCTCCAGCTGGAACTGAGGTGCGCGGTGCGCCCGGTCCGGACCGCCCCCGCGCCCCCGCCCCCGACCACCCCCGAACAGCGCCGCACCCGCCAGAGACAGCAGCCCGCCCGCAGTGCTGGCAGCACCCTCCGCGGCGCCATCAGCCCCCACTGCTCCTCCGCCTCCGCCCCCGCCCGCCCACATCCGCCGGTGCACCTCATCACATAGCGCGGCTGCCAGGTCGGGGTCGTGGTGGCGCAGGCTGGCGAAGGCGTGCAGGCTGCGAGCCAGACTGCCGGGCTGCAGCCGGGGGGCGGCGGGGAGCAGCCGTTCGGAGATGGACCTGTCGCGGGGGGGGGGGGGAGGGGCGGATGACGCGTGAGGGCCGTGAGCTAGCGGACGATGCGATGAGCAGTGCGCAAGCGCCCCTCACAGGCCACTCCTATCCTACGTTCCCATCCGTCCATCGCATCCCGATGTCCTCCCCTTTACGGCGCCTACACCCCCCCTCCCACCTGAACAGCTGCACGGGGTGGTAGCCCGCCCGCGCGAATGCGGCCGCCACCAGCGACAGCTGGTCGGGTGACAGCGCCTCCAGGGGGCAGGCGGCGGGGGCCAGCAGGTGCCGAGACAGCTGCTGCCACGCCTCGTGGCTCTGCACCGGGAGCGCGCACATGGCCTGAGCCAGCCGGAAGGCGGTGGGCAGCGGCGGCGGGGGCGGCAGTACGACACGGCCGCCGCGGCGCTTGCGGAAGCTAGTGCGGCTGACACCCGAGGCGGCTGCCAGCTCCTGCCAGACGTCGGGAGCGGGGGTGGGCAGCCGGCCGCGCCGGAGCAGCAACACCAGCTCGACTTCCAGCTTTGGGGTGCTGGGGATGCGCAGTCGAGATAAGAGGAGCAATAGCTCTGGTAGGCTGGTGCGCGCCCAGTAGCAATCGCGGCTGGTGCTTTGCAGGAGAGCGGTAATCGTTGCGACGATGGCGTCCGCATCGCTGACAGGGCGGTCGCGCCGATGTGCGTCCGTTGCTATGCTAATGCCCTTGCTGACTTCCTCCAGTCTATGGCGAGCAAGCTGCAGAGAGCTTGCCGTCGGGTAAGGCGGCAAGCTCTCGAACAGTTGGCGCAAGATGGATGCTGGCTGGTCAACCAGGCTTTCTGATGTCCCTTCTCCATCCTGAGCTCCAACTCCAATCCCATTCACGTTATCTGGAACAGATGTCTTAGAGGCGTAGCGCCATGCATCAGCAGCAGGGAAATGCCGCAAAGCGGCAGGCCCAGTTCGCAAACTTAAGCCAAGCTTGCTTATTGCAGGTAGTTTTTTAATCCATGAGGACCATAAGAAAGGAATTGGCGTCATACATTTGGGCTCGGAAGTAAAACGGGCAACTGCATGGATACCTTAGGCAGCCTAACCTAGAAGCTGTCTTAGTGCCAATAATACGTCTTATATCGATTTTCCTAAAGTTGTACGTATGCTGCCTATGGCGCTAGGCGACCACGGTATTGCGCGCTCGGTGAGCTGCTCTGCTTGCACGACACCAATGCCACCTAGCTCTAGATCGCGATCATTGCACCGTGCGAAATGTAGAACGACATCAGAAGAAGCAAAACGAGTTATCGCATTAACTCTGGTACCACTACGTACTGGCCGACGACTGGAACCATGGGTCAACAGTTGGTCAACAGCTGTAAACGGTGTGCGACTGCAAGGGCACCGGGCTCGCTACCTCCGCTCCCTGCATTGCCCTCGCGTGATAATGTCTCATAACTGGATTACCGGTACCGTAGCATGCCGCTAAAAGTCAGCGGCCATATTGGACGCAGGGTTGTTCAGTGTTAATGCCTGTCGGCTGTGAACAGCCCCTTACAGCTGCATTCTACGCAACCTGAAGGAAAGTGGGACGGGCGCCGGACTAGGGAAGGCGAGTGGTCCGGGGCCTAAAAAGCAACTGCCTAGCAAGTGCCTTTGTGTGGCAAGGCTCATTGTCAAGGCTAGGAATGCATGGTTCCACATGGCCTAGACTGGTAGGGAGTATTGCGTACAACCCCAACTCCTCACCGCGCACGCTAAATATGGAACTTGCTGTCTCTGTAGTGCCGATACTCCTTATGCCCACTGCTGATGGTAGCCATATCCCCACCCTTGATCATAGAAAGCCTGATGCGCACCGCTTCCTTTCACCCTTTCACCCTTACAGCTCCGAACCCTCCAGGCAGGAGAACCCATTGCTCACTCAGCCACATGTCGCTGCTGCTGCTTCTTTTAGGATACTCTTAACACGGCACCTCTCGTAAAACAGTGCCCCTGCCCCCGTCCTGCTCAACCGGCACATCATGAAATATTGAATGCATGTCGTACAATACTGCATTAGATTGTCAACACAAAACGAAACGCCCTACAAAAATCGAATGAGTTTTTCTTCTCCTATACAAGATAAATACAGTGTAGGCGGGCTCATCACATTAAACCCTGCTGCTGCTGCCGCTGCTGCTGCGCATGGAAATTGCTCACGCGACCTCCAAACTTTGTACTTCTGTGCCTGTCAAGCCGGCAACGGTTACGTATGTACAGTACGGGGTATAACTCAACATCACGATACAACTACGGCCCGAGAAAATCGCGCAGCGCCCCGCCGCCTGATGCCGCCCGGGCATGCATCCGCCGCCCTGGTAGCTGCCGCCTGTTTTGCTGGGTTGCGGCCGCTCACTTGCCGCCCCCTCACTTGCCGCCGGTGACCTTCTCCAGGAACTCGGTGACGGAGGCCTTCACCATGTCCCTGAGGACGGGAGGGAAGGGGCACAGGGCGGCAGGCAAGACAAACCGGTCACCAGCTCATCAGCAGGGCATCATCATATTGGGGCGGGACGAGGGCCTCTCGGTTAAAAGAAAAGCTTGAACTGGACCCCGACCCAATGTACCCGCCCCTTCCACGGCTCCTATCCCCCATTCCTCCCCGCCTCCAACCCACCGCCCGCCCTCACCTCTCCTCGGGGTCGGTCGCAACCTTGTAGCCGAACACGCCCGTCACCCCCAGCCCCACCAGCTGCAGCAGCTTGTTAACGATGGGGATGCGGTCGACCACGTCAATGGTGGCTGCGGGCGGCAGGAGGAAGGAGGGAAGGGGAGGGGTTGGGGTTACGCAGGCCGGCATAGGGAAGGACTTAGCGGACACTGCCGTGAAGGACACATGCTGCAACTGAGCGGTAGAGCTCATGTGAACACGCCATGCAGACCCAGATAAAGTGGGGTGTGTATGTGTGCCGTGCTAGGCTGGGAGAACCGTGCAGCATACCCACACATAGCTTCCTCGCCCAAGACGGGCCGCCCCGCTCACCTCCGATGGCTGGTTGAAGCATCAATCCGCGATGATGGCAGGTTATGCATGCGGGAGGGCGCAAAGGAAGAGTCAGTATCAGGTGGACATCCGTACGGCATGGGATTGCGCGGTTAGGGCCATATTCTCACAAGACTACGTGCAAAGCCCAAGAATAAATGGCAAATACACGTTTATGCTTAGGACAGCGTATTCAGAGCTGCGATGCATTAAACGCGTCCAACGGTTAGCTTCCCATCCATTCATGTATCCCAAGGGATACTCACCAATCTGCGCCACAATCACGCCAATGAGGATGGCAACCACGGCGGGCTTCTCGCTATCCTCAGTGGCCTCCCACTTGGTCTGCAGCGGGCGGAGCGCCACCGACATGCGTTACGCTAAGTTTGGGGAAAGCTTACACCGGCTTGCGTAATAGTATCTAATAGAAGATTAAAAGGAATGAAATTTAGCGCTACACGACTGCGTTAGGAAGCGCGTCTTACCTTCAACCAGGTCCAGGCCTCAGTAGCTGCGGCTTGAGCCTTAGCAAGGCTCTCGTTGGCAACGGTGTTAACAGCATCGTTAGTGCTAGCGGTCGGCTCAGTCGAGGCGCGCACCACAACTGCAAGCAAAAAGCGTCAGTCATGATCAGCAGCTCCGCTTCCACTATATGCCCTAAAGACAGAGCATCTTCGGCGGCAAGTACTTGGCTTACTCTTGCGAGGCGCGGTGCGCAGAGCTGGGCGGCAAGCAGCGCGAAGGGAGGCATTGCTGCGCATACAAGGAAGGGCAGCCCTCCGCATCAGCACTTCACATTCTCACTTCTTTTTTGCCGGTCAGATTTGTATGAATGTTATAGAAACCTACCGCTTGGTCATGGCCATAGGGGCAGCGCGCCTGAGTGCAAGGGCCATCTTGAAGGGGTGTTGCGGTGTTGCGCGAAAGATAAATATAACGAAAGACGGCTAAGTTACTGCAAATTATCCAGTCTGAAAATGATGCCGTGAGGTGAACACGCCAGTGCTTTTATCGGCCATGAGTCGGGCACTTTACGAAGACCGTACAGGTACCATCGGTGGCGCGCAATTTTGAACTAGCTGGCCTGATGCGTATCTCGCCTGCCAAGTATACTTCGTGATCCTGATGGACAGCACGTGCTGCGGTCGTAAGTACTTTGGTCCAGCTTGTTATATGCCTGTTACATTTCGGGAAAGCAAGCACTACAAGCGGCCAGCGGAGTATGGAAATTTGTTCCCAGAGGCGTGCTGAGCCCAATTCAGCTTATTGTGGCAACTTGACGAAAATGTGAGATCTGGCGATCTAGATCCGCGCGGACCCCAGCCCTGCCCCCGCTCGCTGCGCTCCAGAGCCCCTGCAAGTGCTGTAGTTGCTGCTGCCGTGCGTGAGCCTTCTACCTCATTATGCCTTGATTATAATAAATTTCACAACCTTCATGGCAGCTTTGCATGGTTATGATACCTTCGGCGACCAAGTTTCATTGCCAAACCACTGTACGCCCGCGCATCGCAATTCGCTAACAGTCCTACGCTTTGCACTGTGTGGGGCAGCTTCGTGGCCCGTCTCCTTATCCCCATACCGGTCTGTGACAGACGTGTTACCCGGATACTCTGTATTGCCTTCGGCTACCGTGGTGGGGGCTGCATGTCGGCTTGTAATGCAGTGGCGCGCTGACTGATCAAGTCACGTTGGTACAGCACCTGTTGCGCTCCCAGCGTTGCTTTTCTGCACCGAAAACGGCAAAGAGCAGAGTGCTAGCTACTTTCTTAGGGCGGCCAAAGTAAACCTCTCTGCTCCCCACCTAGTCACCAACCTGTTGGGCAGCCGTTACACCGCCGTTACTGTGTAGCGGACATGCCAAGTGTGTCGGCTGTGTGGTTCAGCGTTGCATGAGCTCCTAGACAACTTATGAGAATATTGAAGTATGAAGCAACCACGAACCACGAGATGCTGAGTTAGTAGCAGGTGCTGGCTCGCTGTGGTGTCATGGCCCATGGGACACACTGAACGCGGCAAGCTCACAGCAACGCAATGATACTCGGCTCTTTTAAACAAGCATTGTAGAAAATCCATGTCTGACCATAATGAATTGGTGATGCTTGTAACGTGAGTCGCACGGGGTGTTGGTACTGCACCCAACCAGTCCACCTATTAAGTACAGTATCTGATATCCGTTTGCGGCATGCTATACTTCAACCGTTTATTTAATTAATTGCCTCGCGAGCTTCTTGAAAACCTAACCGCTAAGTAACTTCCTTCCTGTCAGTTGGAAAGGTGTTAGAAGTCCGCAACATTTAGGTGTAAGGATTAGCAGCAACGATTACTATAAGGGGGTAGCCATAAGTATTCTAAGTTTCGAGTGCGAATACCTTGGCAAGGGGCTTTGCTTGCAAGTCGGTCATCGCGGATTGCCATATCTGGGACCGCAGCTTTTGTTGAAGCACGTAGTGCCATAAAACAGCTAGCGATCGTTGCTGAATGAAACGCTCCCTCGAGGCTGCAAGTTCCATGAATAGTCGTGCGGGCCAGGATGTAGATGACATCATCAGTGGCGAGAAGTAAGCGCCGGGCTGTTCGCTGTACTCTGAATGCCCAGGATACGTCATTAAGATGTTCTTGTGTTACAAAGAGCAAACGGTCTTAGCGACCGCATCCTGAGCAATGGGTCGCTGCATTGTCCTGCTTCTCGCTCAGCGCTTAGCAAGGACACATAACGCCAAGCTCACCGCTAAGTATACATGCCCTTTGTTGTTTTTGCTGCTTCATGCCAACCGTCCCACGGCCCAGCGTACCCCTCATCTCCGGCATAGCTCGCAGCAGCTCTCCGGGCGCAACACCCGGCTCCACCGCCAGCGCCCCCGCAGCATTCCGCACGGACCCGCAGCAGCTGCAGCTGCAGCCGCGACGGGGGACTGACGAGGCCGGCGGCATGCCGGCTGAGCAGCTGGGGGCGGGCGGCTCCTGGTTTCCGCGGCCCTCCATTGCAGTGGAGAGTGCGGAGGAGATCCTGCAGGTGAGGGGCGGCGAGGAATCAACCCGTTGCTAAGGGCAGGTGAGGGTGGCGACAACCCCTAGCTACCTGCCTTCCCCCGCCTGCTCCGAGTAGGAAGGGGACCTGCGTAAGGACGCGCACGGAGTGGGGGGTGGCATGCACATGCGGTGGGGTTGCATGGCCCCGTTATGTTGTTCGTCCGCACGCTCGCAAGCTCTCCCTATCCCCACGCACCTACCACCTCCACGACCCACTCCCCGCCCTGTCCCCCGCCCCCGCCGCCTCCCGCTCCTCATCCACGTATGCGTGTCTTTCGTTTGCTCTCTCCCTGACCCTCTCACCCCCCACACCTCATCGTTCCTCCCACCCGCCACGCCTCCCCGCTCCTCACCCCCCAGGCCGTAGAGGCCCAACTGGAGCAGTCCCCGCTGCTGGGCCGCCGGGCCTCCCTGGCTAGGAGCAACAAGGGGTGAGGGGGCGGGGGAGCGGGAGAGGGAGGGGATGGGATGGACGTATGGGTGCGCCGCGGGGCGGCAAGGTGGTTGGGGCCCGTAACAGAGCAGGAGAGAAGGCGGCAAGTGCAGCTGTTGCCTTTTACCCTGCAAGAAGGAGTAGGAGGGACGGCGTGATGCCGCTGAGCACCCCTGACGTGAACGCCCCTCCTCCCTCTCCCTCCTGGACTCCCTCCCCTCTGTGGCACACCCGCCGCCGCCGCAGTCGCGACCGCCGCCTGCCGCCCGCTGACTCCATGCCTGAGCCGCCGCACCCCGGGGGGCTGACCGGCACTGCGTCCGCCGCCCCGCCGCCCGCCCTGCTCCGCGCCGCTTCGGCTTCCACGGGTGGCATTGCACTTGGCGTCACAAGTCGCCTCGAGGTCCCTCCCGCCTGCCGCACCGCCACCTCCACGCCGCCGCCTGCCCAGCAGCCGCCCCCACCACTCCCAGCAGCCTCCGCCTCCCCGCGCCCCGCTGCCACACCGCCACTCAGCGCTGCAGTTGGGGAGCCCCTGACGGGCCAGTCGGGAGCTGAGCCGCCCTCCAACACGACAGGGACAACCCCGCTGACAGCAGCAGCAGCAGCAGCAGCAGCAGCAGTGGCGGCGTCAGCGGAGCAGGGCCTCCCGCACCTGCTGCACCCCGAGGGAGCTGCAGCTGCTGCTGCTGCGGTCCCTGGTGGGGGTCAGTGGGGGCTCCACCCGCTGCAGCATGCGGCCGCACCCGCCCCAGTGGCAGCAGCAGCAGGGGCTCCCCTGCTGACGCCGGTATCTCCCCCGGGCGGGTGGACGGGTAGCAGCCTCAGCATCAGCAGCAGCTCCATGAACGGCACCAGCGGTGGCACGGCGGAGGTCGGTTGGGGTCCCCCAGCAGCAGCAGGGGCAGGGGCAGCAGCAGCAGCAGCAGCAGCAGCAGCAGCAGCAGCAGCAGCAGCCGGCCCCCACGCGGCGGGCCCCAGGAGCAGTGGGCCGTCCAGGCTGGGGTACCCGGGGGCAGCAGCAGGGGCAGCGGGAGGGGCAGCAGCAGGGGCAGCGGCTGGCCCCACGGGCAGCGGTGCGGCGGAGAAGAAGGTGGCCATAGCGGGGGTGCGCACCTGGCTGCAGGTGGGGCCGCCGGGGAGGAGGGAGGAGGGGATGGGAGGTATGGCCTGTTCTCCGGGTTTCCTTCCAACCTGAATTCAGAGTCAGGCAGCAAAACGTCCGCACGGCCCCTCTGCTCCGCTGCCCCCCCTTGTCCCTTCCCCTCTTTACCCCACCCCACCCCCTCCAGGTCCTCCCCGACGGCTCCGCGCACATTGTGCAGCTGGACCGCGGGCAGCTGGGCGGGCGCTTCGGAGTGCAGCTGCGGGACTTCAGGTGGGGGCGGGAGGGGGGCGGGAGGGGGGCGGGAGGGGGACGGAGGGGGGCGGGAGGGGGGCGTGAAGGGTGGGGCACACGTCTCTCTTCCTGCTGACAGCAGTGCCACTACCAGGCAGTCAAGAGCTCTGAGGCCACATGCGCCCCCTGCCCTGCCGCCCCTGCCTCACCACCTGCTCTTACCCTTCATTGCCGTCTCCCCCCTCCCTCCCTGCTGCCCTCCCCACCCCCTCCCCCCCTCCCCCCCTCCCCCCCTCCCCCCCTCCCCCCCTCCCCCCCTCCCCCCCTCCCCCCCTCCCCCCCTCCCCCCCTCCCCCCCTCCCCCCCTCCCCCCCTCCCCCCCTCCCCCCCTCCCCCCCTCCCCCCCTCCCCCCCTCCCCCCCTCCCCCCCTCCCCCCCTCCCCCCCTCCCCCCCTCCCCCCCTCCCCCCCTCCCCCCCTCCCCCCCTCCCCCCCTCCCCCCCTCCCCCCCTCCCCCCCTCCCCCCCTCCCCCCCTCCCCCCCTCCCCCCCTCCCCCCCTCCCCCCCTCCCCCCCTCCCCCCCTCCCCCCCTCCCCCCCTCCCCCCCTCCCCCCCTCCCCCCCCAGGGTGTTGGACCCGGTGCTGGGCGGCGCCTACCCCGCCTGCCTGCTGTGCCGGGAGGGGGCGCTGGTGGTCAACCTGGACCACATCAAGGTGGGCGGGGGAGGGGGAGGGAGGGAGGGGGGGAAGGCACTGGGTGAGAGGCTGGGCACCTGTCGGCATGTGAAGCACACCCAGTTGTTTGTCTTGCGGGGCAAGGTGCGGGGGAAACAGGGCAAGCACGTCAGCCGTCCCTTCCCCAAGAACATGAGAATTCCCCAAGAACGTTTTAGGTTTACTCCGCTCTCCCTCCCTCTCCAGATGATCATCACCGCACACTTCGCGCTCGTCAACACCGCGGACTCGGACAAGGTGGGGTGGGGGGCGGTGGGGGGAGGGCAGCAAGGGGGGCATGCAGGGGACATGCGGCCGTAGCTTCATCCCCAGCTCGCCCGCCTCCTGCTGCGTGGAGTCCTGGGCGGGCTACACAGGGGAAGGGGCTCGGGGTTTAGCCCTGTGTCGCCCACTGCCTTCCATGTCCCCCTCTCAGCTGCTGGCTGCCGGCTCAGCGGGTCAGCCAGACACAGCCTGCCCGGTCGCAAGGCAGCCCTACCCTCCTCGCCCCTCCCTGCCTCCTGCTCACCCTTTCGTCTGTGTCGCCTTCCGGCCGCCTCCTTCACCAGGTCACATCCCCTTACCTCCCTCCCCACCCACCCCCAGGCCCGCCCCTTCACGGAGGAGCTCAAGCGGCGCCTCCAGCTCTACGCAGCCAGCAGCAGCAGCGGCAGCAGCGGCAGCGTCAGCAGTGGCAGCAGGGCGCCCTCCACCACTGCAGCAGGCGCGGTGCGGCCCCTGCAGCAGCACCCCCCGCAGCAACAGCAGCGGCCCCCGCCACCCCCCAGCCCTCCCGCAGCGTCAGGCGCGGCTGCCGGAGTGGCGGGGCTGCTGGGGCAGGTGGGCGGGCGGGGGGCGGGGGGCGGGGGCACGACTGCGGGTCTGACCAGGAGCAGGGAATGCTCCTGCCCGCCCCAGCGGCCCCTACATGCTGCACAACTGCCTCAGCGACACCACTGTCCGGGGAACCCCAGGGGCCGCCTTCCATGCGCATGAAGTCTTGTCCGGAAACGTTGACGCCTGCCCTGTCACGGCTCCTAACCACCTCAGCTCCCTCCCTTCCGCCCGCCCCCTGCCTCCCACCCCACCCCCCTCAGGGCCCCATGTCCCAAGTTGCTAGCGCCCTGCTGTCCATGATTCCCAACATGGGGGCCGCGCTGGGTGGCCGGCAGGGGGCAGCAGGGGCAGCAGCAGGGGCAGCAGCAGGGGCAGCAGCAGGGGCAGCTCCCTCAGCAGCGGGCGATGTCTATGGCGGTGGTGGTGGCGGAGGTGGCGGGGTGAGCGAGCTGGTCGCCTCCATGCCCTTCGAGCTGCGGGCGCTGGAGGTGGTGCTGGAGCAGGTAGTGGGGGGAGGGGGGCGGAAAGGGAGGGGAGGTAGGGGGGCGGTGGCGAAGCGGCACATGCGGGGAAGGGGCAGAAATAGGGTCGCTTATGTCTGTATCTACTGCAAGCCGACACAGGACACGGCAGCTGCCTCCCTCCGTCTCGTTTGTTCGCGCCCCGCCCGGGGTCACTTTTCACCCCCACCCTAGTACGTCCCCACCCGCGCTGACCCCTCTCACCCCTTCCCCTTCCTCCCTCACCCTCCCCCTTCCCCTTCCTCCCTCCCCCTTCCCCTCCCCCCTCCCTCCCCAGACCGCCTCCCTGCTTGACGTGCAGGCCGCCGAGCTGGAGCGCGCCACCCGCATGGCGCTGGACCAGCTGACGGCCCGTGTCAACCCGCGCAACCTGGAGCGCATGCGCCACCTCAAGGCGCGCATGGCGGCGCTGGAGGGAAGGGTGGACACGGTACGGCAACATCGTGGGGATCATGGCCTTCCGGATACCCCGCTCCTTGCTCGTCCCACCCGCCGCTAGCAATCTGTCGAGCAACCTTCCGAGTGTCCCTTCACATCAGCCCTTCGCTCGTCCCCCCGCATACTCCCATCTAGTCCTCCCCTTCCCCCTCCCCTCCTCGCCCCAGGTCCGCGGCGTGCTTGAGAAGCTGCTGGATGACGACCGCAGCATGGCCGCTCTGAACCTCACCGCCAAGCATGTAGCGGAGCTGCAGACGCAGCAGCTGCAGCAACAGCAGCTCCTCCTACGGCAGCAACAGCTGCAGCAGCAACAACAATCTGAGCAGCAGCCACAGCAGCAGCAGGGCGAGCTGGTTGGCAGCAGCGGTGGCAGGGGGGCAGCAGTGGGGCATCAGGGGGAGGGCGGGGATGCAATCAAGCAGCAGCCGCCCGGCCGGGAGTCTGCAGGGGTGCCGAGACCTGGGGGGCCGCCCGCCCCACCCGCTCAACCCGTCGGCAGCTTCGGGGGTGACAGTTGCGGGGGTGCGCTGTACGGCAGCTGTGGGGGCGGGGGCAGTGGGGGCGGTGCTGACGCGGAGGAGGTGGCGGTGGTGGAGATGCTGCTGGAGGTGGGGCGGCGGGGGGCCTGGGGAAGGGGCTAGGTGGCGTAGGTGACAGGCCGCTGTAGCTTCCGTATGCTTCTTCCCGGCCGGCACCTGTCATCCACCGCTGGCCCTTCCTCTCTCTTCCCTCCCCTCCCCTGGATTCGTTGTTTCGCTTATATAAATGTTTTCCCCTCCCCTGGCCCCCGCAGGCCTACTTCATGCAGCTGGGGCACTCCTGGCAGCGGCTGCAGGTGCGGAGTAGGGGCAAGGAGAGGAGTGGTGGCAGGAGGGGGTGGCTGGGGAGCAGGAGGGGCGGAGAGGGGCTATCCCTTGCTGCTTATGCTGGCCCCGCTCCCTCTTATCAGGGCCCCGTATCCCGCCTTCCACCCCCTCCCTCTTCACCCCCAGCCCCCTCACCCCACCCCCCCTCCCCCCCAGTCCCTGAAGAGCTACATCGACGCCACCGAGGACCTTATCAACCTGGAGCTGGACCAGCAGCGCAACAACCTCATCAGCGTGGACCTCATGGTGGGGCGGGAGGGAGTGGGGCGGGTGGAGGGGGGGTGAGGGAGGGGGGATGGAGGGGGTAAATATGGCCGGGGGCCTGTTGGGCAAGAGGGGAGAGGACGTGCTGCTGGCTTGAGCGGTACCGGTACGGTACCTGAACTGAGCCACGACTGCCTGTCCTGGTGGGCACGCCCGAGGGCGGCTTGCGGGGTTACGAGGGGCAGGTTGCATGGCAAGAGGTAGCCCGGATTGCCGGACTGGCGGCTAGGGAAGGCCGCTGTCATACCCGCGATTGCCGGTACTGCCCTCCACATCAAGGGCGCACCGAGCCCTCCTCCTGCCCCTCTCCCTTCCCCCCCTGGCATGATATGTTCTTTGACCCCCTGCAGGTTACGTTCGGCTCCTTCCTGCTGACCGCCATGTCGGTGATCGCGGGGCTGTTCGGAATGAACGTGGCCAACGGGCTGGAGGCGGACCGCCGCGCCTTCCTGGCCATCTGCCTGGGCTCCGCGGCGGCGGCGGTGGGGCTGTGGCTGCTGTTCGTGGCGGCCGCCCTCCGCACGGGGCTCATGAACGGGCTGTCGTGGAGGTGATAGCGGTGCGGGGCGGGTGTGCTGGGAGCCACCATGCGGGGCGGGTGCGTGCGTGTGATGCATGAGTCGGATCTCGGATGGCAGGGGCAAGGCGGTGACTGGGGGCTGTCCAGGCGCATGCACGTGATGTGGTTACCAATGTGGTACCGTCACTGGAACCGGACGTTCTGAGACGGCAAGGCGTGGTGCTGGTGGGGAGGGGGGCAGTGGTGTGTGGCTTACAACTTGCACGGGAGAGATGAGAGGCACTGCACTGCGCATGGTGACTTGAGAGTGCTTAGCGGCGAGAGGTGTGGGCGCGTAGCCTCCCTGAGAGGTTCAGCTGTGTAGGTGAGACCCTTGCATGCATGGGGCTACAATGACGGAGTAGCGGAGCAAAGGAATCAGTTTGGTTTATTGAGTCAGGCGAGGTGCCGTGTAGCACAGTGTAGTAGCATGGGGCGGGGCTTACAGGCAGCGGCGGCCCTGGCGCCATGAGGTTTGCTGGAGCCCCCCTGATGGCATGGGGCCATGTGGTACCGTTGGGGGCAACGGACACGAGGTGCGAGTGTGACAGTGCAGGTTTCCTACGTTGCATGTCTGAGAAACGGTGCCTGCATGTTTAGCCATGCGATTAAGGTTTCAATGCAACTCGTCTTCCTGGTAAACGGGAGGCAGGCATCCATTAGGCGCAGGGTTAAGAGGTCAGCGATGTGCAAAGGCCAAGCTGGAGAGTTCTACTCTGTAGTATAACAAGCAACTAAGGGATTGGGATGCTTTTCATGCGATGTCCCGCCATAGACTATGAATTGCGTTCGCGGATGGCTGTAGTCGACAGGCGAAAATAACTAATTCGCAAAGCGATCATCCTCGTAATTAAATGCGCTTACAATATGTGTTAAAATTCCTGTAACTGCCCAGGAGACCAGCGCCCTTGGGCTGGTACCGACTGTGTACGGCATACGAGGAGACAGCGCCATTCTACTAGTAGACTTGAAGGACCAATCTTAGGTGATTGCTGCCCTTACTAGCTGGACACGTTACTTACATGTGACATTAACGCCCTTCTGCTCAAGGTTGTCAAAGTTCCAAACACAACATCTGAAAGAGCGGGCCTCCCCCTCCTGTACATGTCCTATTGTCAGCAACGCCTATAGTTCAAATTTACTGTACTTTGTGTGCGGATCGCCATTTAATGCGGTAGGTTGGTCGTAGCCGGTCTCTCGTCTGTCGCTGTGAACTTTGACGACTTGATACTGCCTCCTGCAAGCGCCCGCTGACCGAAGCACTGATCCTGCAGGTGTATCCTGAAAACAGACGTCATGAACAAGCCGCGTGAATGTACGCTAGTGAGGAGTCTTTTATTGGTCGTCTTCAGCCTTACCATTTCTTCTACCACAGCACAGCCCACCTCCTCACCGGCTTGTAGTGACGTTGCTATTCTTTCACGTCAAAATATACAGTCTAATTCATTCACGGGTCCTATACGAGCAGTCGCCACTGGGGCCATCGTTGGCAATGCCACCGTTTCCGCGCATCAGCCTGGCCACCTGACTTTAGGGTACATGATATCGCTTCCAGCCAACACGCAAATATGGTGGAACATGTTCGATTATGACGGCTTGCAGCGGTCGATATACTCGGACAACTTGACCGATTCTTGTCATGCGCCAACCAGCCTTCACGGACCCTACAACGTCCCCTACGACAGCAACTCCTTCAGCCAGTCCTACACCTACGACTCCCTCGGCCTCATACCATGCGTCACGAAATCCCTCTACTTCGTCTTGCGCACCCTCACCCCCTCTGGCGAGGAGTCCTGGGTCGCCTGGAGCTGGTCCCCTGCCAACACCTCCTCCGACCTCTGCCCCGCCTCCACCAACACCTGGGGCCTGGCCGCCTTCGACGCCCTCTACTGCCCCTGCCCCCCACCTCCTCCCTCCCCGCCCTCACCCCCACCCGCCCCACCACCTCCCCCGCCGCTCACCTGCCGTGACACCGCCTACCTCACCCGCCGCGGGGTGGACTCGCCCTCCCTCACCGGCCCGCTGCGCTCCACCCGCACCGGCGCCGTGGTGGGCAACGTGACCTTCAGCGTGGCCAAGCCGGGGCGGCTGCACCTGGAGTACACCATGTGGCTGCCCAAGGGCACCAAGATCTGGTGGAAGATGTTCAACCTCAGCGCCATCCAGGACGCCATCTACTCCAACGGCTCCGCCTCCTGCCACGCACCCACCTCGCGCATGCAGGGCCCCTTCACCGCACCCCGCGGCAGCCACTTCCTGGGCCAGTCCTACACCTACGAGAAGCTGGGGCTGCAGACCTGCGCGCGCAAGCAGCTCTACTTCGCCATGCGCACCCGCACACCCGCCGGGGAGGAGTCCTGGATTGCTTGGGACTGGGTGGCCGCACGCGACCCCGCCAGCTACGTCTGCAGCAACTCCACGGATACATGGGGCGTGGCGGCATTCGAGCTGACCTACTGCCCCTGCCCGCCCGGACCCGGCTCCTCCACCTCCCCCCGCCCGCCCAAACCCCGGCCCCCACGACCTCCCACGCCACGCCCCAGACCCTCACCCCGCCCGCCACCCAAGTCCTCCTCCTCCACCACCTCCTCACCTGCACGCTCACCACCTCGTCCGCCTCCTCCCCTCCCCCCGCCCGCTCCCTCCCCGCCCCCGCTCTCCGGTCTGGGCAGCGGATTCCCCTTCATCGCCTGCACCCGCCGCCAGCCCTCGCTCAGCCCCCTGCGCATGACGCCCTTCGCCGGCCCCTTCAACGCCTCCCTCGCCACCACCCCCAGCACCAGCAGCAGCAGCCCGCTGTCTACCTACTGCTTCAGCGTGCGGGCGGCTGCGGCGGTGGCGGCCAGCAGCCCCTGCGCCCTCATGCAGCTGTACAAGCTGGAGCTGCTAGTCAGTAAGTGGGGGAGGAGGGCTGAGGGCTGGGGCTGTGGGGGGAAGCGGTAGGGGGTTGCTCAGCAGGGGTTCTGGATCCTGGTCGGCGGGGTTCATGTCGATAGGAGGGAGGGGGCAGCAGGCGCGCGTCTGGAATCACAGCAAGGAGGGGCTGCGCGAGCGGCATGTGCGCCCGCCTGGGAGCATGCATGCACCGGCATGTCTCCCGTTGTAACGCCCCTTGAGGTGTTGCTGTTAGGAAAGCTTACCAGCGCTCACCACCCCGCCCTGCTGTCCCCTTCTCTCCCCCCTTCTCCCCCCACCCCCGCAGGGCCCGAGTGCGCCACGGAGAGCCCCAAGCCCGCCCGCCGGGTCACCGTCAACGGCGTCAAGGTGCTGCCCTGGTACGGCACCAAGACGTGGAAGGGCACCAAGTACGGCATCATGGCGCTCAACCACCTAACGGTCGCCGTACCCAACGCCACCCGGGAGGGCTATTACGTGTGCATGGCGCTCAACGCGTCCAGCTCCTGCGGCTCCCCCCGGGGGCTGTGCTACGGGGGCAGCGGCTGCACGTACTCGCTGATAGACAAGGGACAGAAGTGCTGCCCCACTGCCACCACGCCCCTGCCGTCCTAAGTCTCAAGGCAGCATCGCAATGAAAGGCGGTTGTACATAGGGTCGCCTGATAGGGACCGGCGCCTAACTCGGCTCACGTTGGCCGCAGTTCATGTGGGTCGTTAACCTTCCACTGTGACTGAGTGGACACCCCACATCCCTGCGCTGCGAGAACAGCCTGAGACACGGCGGGGCGTGGTGTGGATGCGGGCACATTGATTGTCGCAAGACATAGGCTTGCATGCGTTCGTGCAGTCGACGTATTGTCGCACCTCTTAATGTTGTGTGAGGAGTGTAAAGCGGACTAGAGCGGCTTGATGTTATGATGTGGGTCAACCTCTTGAGTTTTGACGTGTGGATTTTGCAAATGACCGCAGTTGTGGGAAGGATGCATGAGTGCATGTCGAGAAATGCTGTGCATGTTTGGTTTCAAAGCGCATTTTTTGGTACTGTCAGGCATTGCTAGATAGGAAGGTGAACGAATGAGGGAATGCGTAGCCATCGCTGCGTTAGGTAGACATTTACCCCGTGCCAGTTAGCACGCACATGAGGAGATGCGCTGGCATTTAGACTAGATGCTGGGATGAGGGGTTCTGAAGGATGGCACCAAGGCAGCTGCAGGGTGACATCTCACCCTGCAGAGCTCTCAGTGTTGCTGGGACTCTGTCCACGTGCGGCTGGTGGCGTAGGATAGGACTGCTTGCAGGCGGCTATTACCTTGGTATGCTGAACCAAGTAGCCAGGCCGTGTGTTTCACTGCTAGGATATGTGAGACACACCCTTGGCGGTCATCATGCAGTTCGGAGTATGGTTGGTTGCTGTGTTGTTCATTCGGCATTCGGCTGGCTTGCGAAGTTGGCAGGGCGTTGTACTTGCTTGTGTGTGCGCTAAGACATCGAGCATGGTTTCTGGTTTGTAAGTAACGTGGCCACAGCCACGTGCTTAAATTGTAGTCAAGCCATTCCTATTTGCTAATGAACACATCGAAGCTGCCCCGCGTGAACACGGTCGTAACAGGGCGTGCTGCTCATCGTAGAGCAAATGGCTACGACATCCTGCAACCAAGGTACTTCAAGCAGTCGATAGTATGAGCAGCGCTCACCGTGTATGATAGTCTATACAACCTTCGTGTTCGCCTTCATCCTAAACGAAATCCCCACTGGCAGCCCCTAGCCGGACGCCTTCCGTCCGTGAGTAATGAGGCCGGTGACGTATCCGGATGAACAATATCTGCCTAATAAGCAAAGCGGCGTATCGTTGAAGGCAGGTGAACTCGGGGATCCGAACCAACTGCTTGCATGGCGGTTAGGCCGAGCTTCGCTTAAATACAAACGGGGATCATCATCTTGAACAGGATAACGTGCTCTTAGAATCTTATGATACCAGGGAATATAAGCTTCTTGCCTCTTTCAGCTTTCGCTTGTAAAGTCTTTTTCCTACTTCAACAATACTCTGTAACCTTTGTCTCTCTGAAGCTTCAGTCCTTTACCTAATGATAAGCAAGCCTGTGTGATATCAACTTCATTTAAGCGGAGTCTTTTCAGTTACTAGGGTCCATGCACTCCTCACGCTTAACACAGAACGCTTAGACGCCGCAGCGACACATAAGAGTATTGCTCGTAATTTAGAGGTTACTTGGTTTGCCAGAAGCTATACTATATACCCGCTTTCAAAACCTATCCTGGGACGTTGGAGCTGGCCCTTCCAGGAGGCAGCGCTGGCGTCTGTTGGTTATCAATGGATTGCTACCAAGGACAATTGGAGCACCGGGAAGGCGGTCATAAGGGCTGTCGCAGCGAGCCTGCGTCGTCGTTAGTCAAAGCCGAACCACATGGCGGTTTCGCCCCTGCCTTGGACCAGGGCTGCAGCCTGACCGGATACCTGCAGCTCACGCAAGCACCTTACCAAGCATATCACGTTACTGGCGGCATGCGCCTTAGCGAACCCAGTCCTGTGGGCGCGGCTTCTCGCATGTCGCCAAACGAACAACGGGAGTTGCCTTGTGCGTCCGTCGCCACTCCTTTCGCTCAATGCGCACCACGTCGGAAATCTCTTCTTTGCGGGCCCCCGTCACCAACACTGAAGCCGCATTCCTTGCCACCGACCCCACCCATGGAGCTTCTGAAAGGTCCCCCAGCAGCACCTAAGGTCGCTCCCCAGCCGCCCACGCCTGATATAGACGGCTTCTGGTCGCTAACTGGGCCGGACGCGGCTCAGCTGATTGCTAACAACTGCAGACGCAGCAGTGGCAGCGGCCGGCCCTGCAGCGGCGGCAGCACCCTCAGCAGCAGCTGGGCTGCCCACGGCGACGCCGTCAGCACCGCCACCGCTACCGCCGCTACTAGCAGCGGCGGCTGCAGCAACACCAGCAACCTAAGCGTCGCCAGCAGCCTCACCTCCCAGCTGGCTGCTGCGTGCTCGCTCGCTCGGCAACTGAACTATCAGATGGTGCAGCGGCTTGGAGACGCCGCCAGGTCCCGGTCTCTCGCGCCTCCTTGCCTTCTCTCTGCATTCGACACTGGAGCCGCACGGGAGCCCGCCGACCCACTAGCGGCCGTGTGCCGGGGCAGACGCTCCAGCTCAACCGGAGCCGCCATGCCTACCAAGCCGGCCACTTCTATCGGCAGTTCAGGCACGCCCAGTACGTCAACGCCAACGCCGCTGGTGGCCTGTACACAGCCCGGCGATGAGGGAGGGAAGGCTGCACAGCCCCATGGGTCACCGCGGGCTGAGCCGGTCAAGGCGCCCGAGCAGCGGACGCCAGCGCCCGAGCCGGCCTCGCCTGACGGCGCTTCGGTGCAGCAGCTTGCTGAGCTGCTGTGGCGGGAGCGGGCGCGGGCGGATGCGCTGGAGGCGGAGCTGGAGGTGGGGCGAGGGAGGGAGAGAGGGAGGGGGTGAGGGAGGGAGAGGTGCAGGGGCCGCATGGGTGGGCGGGCGCCGAGCCGGCGGGTGCTTGTCCTAT